TTTACGACTATGCGTGGACTACAGACAACTCAACGACATAACAATCAAGAACCGATACCCATTACCACTCATCAATGAGATACAAGACAGATTCGGACATATTGTGTCGACAGAAGGAATCCAGATGGACCCAGACAAGATCAAAGCCATTATCGATTGGCCTACGCCGACAACAGTCAAGGAAGTACAACAGTTCCACGGACTAGCGAATTATTATTAACAATACATACACAAATTCTTAGCAACAGCGAAACCCCTGATGGACCTATTCAGGAAGGCAAAAGAGTTTATTTGGGGAACTAACAAAGAACAAGCATTCAAAGAACTTAAAGAAAAGTTTAGTCAAGGAGACATGCAAATATACTTCAACCCAAACAAAGAGAGTTATCTTAATACAGACGCATCAGACTATGCGATCGGAGCACGGTTACAACAAAAAGACAATACAGGAAAACTAAGATTAGTTACATGCTATGCAAGAACCATGACCCCTATAGAACAGAATTATGATATCCATGACAAAGAGCTATTAGCAATTATTACAGCATTTAAGAGATGAAAGCAAGAGCTCCAAGGAGCAAGGCATCTGACCACAGTTATTAGCGACCACCAGAATCTGACATACTTTATAACGACCAAGGAACTCACTTGTTAATAGTCAAGATGGTACACTGAGGTACTAGCCTACTACAACTTCAAAATATAATATTGTAAAGGAACAGAGAACGCCTTCGCGGACGTGTTGAGCAGGAGACCAGATTTAATGATAAAGAAAAGAGAATCTAGAGCAATATTGCATCTAGATCCAGATATCAAGGGTATGATCTTAGATCAGCAAGCATTGAGAGCTACTCGAACGGTCACGACCAAGGAAGACACTCTAACAAACAAAATATAAAAAGCAATAATAAAAGATCCTTTATTCGAACGAATCAAGGACAACAACAAAAAATACAAGAAGGAAAACGGAATACTTCTATATCAAGGCTTGATATATATACCCAGAGAAGTATGACCACGAATACTGAGAGACAACCACGACGCAAAAGTTGCAGGACATTTCGGAATTGAAAAAACCATGAACCAAATTACGCAAAACTATTATTAGCCAGGTATGTAGAGAGAGATCAGACGATACATCTAGGAGTGTAAAGTTTGCCAATGAAACAAATCAGAACGACACGCGCTATATGGACTCCTACAGCCTATACTATACAAGGAAACAGCATGGAAATCAATAGTGATGGACTTTATAGTCAAGCTACCAAAGTTAATAGAGCCACGAACGGGCATTCAATACGATTTGATACTTACAATCATAGACAGATTAATGAAGTATACTTATTTCATACCATTTATCGAAAAGACTATATCACTAGAGATAGCATATATCCTATTATAACATGTCTTCGCAGACAAAGGATTACTAGACAAAATTATATCAGACAGAGACACAAGATTCATATATAAATTCTGGACAACACTCACTGAAAGAATAGGGATTGAACAGAAAGCCTCAACAGCATATCACCCACAGACAGACGGACAAAGCAAAAGGATGAACCAAATAATGGAACAGTACCTAAGATGCTACATTAACTATAAATAGAATAACTGGGTTTCACTACTACCAATAGCACAGCTCGCCTATAATAGAGCGAAGAACGCCTCAACAGGCATGACACCTTTCTTTGCAAACTACGGAAGAGAAATAGAAACAATAAAAACACCAAAAGAAGGCAAGACGCACGCCTTAGAAGCAGAGGTTTCAGCAGAACAGATGCGCGAACTCCATAGACACCTATAGTTAGATCTTGAATTCTTGAACTACAGAATGAAACACTACTATAACTAACGGCATGTAGAAGCGCCAGACTTTAAGAAGAGGGAAAAAGTATTTCTACTCCGACGAAATATTAAGACATTGAGATTAAGCGACAAATTGGACCACAAGAAACTAGGACCATTCAAGATTTTGGAAAAAATTGGACAACTCAATTACAAACTCCAACTCCTAGAACATATGCAAATACACCTAACATTTCACATCTCACTAATTGAAAAAGCACCCCAGAACGCCAAACCATACGAACCAGAAATATAACCAGAAAATCAAGAAAAAGAATATGAAGTTGAAAAGATCCTAGACAAGAAAGTGATTAGTAGATGAACTTACTACTTGGTTAAATAGAAAGGATATGACTTCTCAGAAAACACTTACGAGCTAGCTAGACACCTAAAGGATTCACCGCGCCTAGTAAAGGAGTTTCACTAATGGACTCAGTGTTAAGAGAAGAGACCAGCAGAGCAGGATCCAGGAACGAAGTAAGGTTAGATAAAGAACTCAGTTCACTTAGGAGCCGTTGGAAGTCATGCTCTTAGAGCTCGGCCAGACGACTCTCCTCTTCCTCTAGCTTTTCCAACTCCTCCACGGTCTCAACAGATGATTCAACAAACTTACTGATATGATTCTGAAGGAACTCGCGCTAACGAGCAAGATGATCAAGATGGGTATCAGAATCATTTAATGCTTTTTGAAAGGCTTTGCAAATTCACTGAGATTCCTTGCGAGCCTCATGCTCTTTTAACTCCAACTTTTCCTTTTCACACCAAACTTTGGCCCAGTTAGACGAAGAAGGTGCACGATTGTGAACACAAGGATGACCCACACAGATACACTTTAAACACTTTATGGAATGAGATAACATAATATAGAGGTCGCCATTCTCCAAACAACAAACACAACAGGAAGGTATCGCGACACTAGTTTTCGCAACGTTTTCTTTTAGCACACAAGCACGGATGGAGGAAGAATCTTTGGAAGACTTTGGAACATCAGTAACACCCTTAGAACGAGCCATGGCGAGGCATACTCAAGAAAAACACAATAATGAACCAAGGAGAGGGAAACTAACTAGGTTTATATATGCGCGTCGGGACGACTTGTTGAAAAAGGAGGGGATGATGTTACAGACCACCTGCGGCGCAGCCCCAGGATATACACTCATTGGACGGGAGGATCACAGGCCAGACCTTGAGGGCACCAGTCACGTGACCAATAGCAATAGGACCGATAGGACAGGCTTGGCAGCTTCCTATCAATACTATCACAACAACCGATAGGAGTAATAGGAACCCCTTGGTGGAGAACTATCGTACCTATCACTAGATATATACCATATATATAAAGACGCTCATTACCTTAGGATCAAGAGTTTTATACTCGCGATCAAACCAGCTATAGTTTTATTATACTACTTAATATAAAGCACCATTCCAGTTGTCTTATACTATATTCACCAAATACCCCTTTGCCTATTAACGTAGGTCAACTTTGTCTTCACTACTCACAAGGACCTTTAGCCTTCATCCAACCCAGGCACTGACTGAAGCCACACTTGGAACTAAGGGATAGTCTCACTATAGTATTCTATCTCACCCTGGTACCAAGTTGTCTCCTATAACGACTCACCTCCAACCTAAGCTTTCCCTAAGACCTTCGTACCTTCTGTCTTACGGCAGGTGTGAACCTCTGATCACCTTTAGGTAATCAAGGAGCGCCGTCAGCTTGTGACATGACTCTGAGTACATTAATGGCGTCTTTGTGACTTTTAACTTGTTCTAAAGTCTATTTAATAATATTTTTGTATTTATTAAGTAATCTTTATTATTCTTCTACTTATTTGTTGATCTTATCCAGCTGCTTATCGTTAGGTTACTCTTCGACTCTTTTTTCTAACTCGATGATTTTCTGTCGTATTTGCCCTAACAAGGCGTTGGTGTTGGTGGTTGGTCCACTTGCTGATGACATATTGGCTCGTCTTACTTTGGTATATTCCTGTAGTTAGTATGCTCTCAGGGGTAGGGTGATACGTACCTAGTTTTGTCCTTCTTAATATATAATTGTAAGTCACTCGGGTCGGAGTGTCTATAATAGTATGATGGCTCTAGTAAGTTGGAATTACTTTTGCCTCTTTGTAACCATGAAGTCAGGGCTCTATCAAGTTGAAATTGATTATGCCTCTTTGTAACTGTGAAGTCGGGGCTCTATCAAGTCGAAATTGATTATGCCTCTTTATAACCGTGAAGTCAGGGCGATCAATGTCATAAGCTAACGGCGCTCCTTAATTATCTAAAGGTAATTAGAGGTTCACGCCTGCTGTAAGACAGAAGGTATAAAGGTCTTAGGGAAAGCTTAGGTTAGGAGTGAGTTATTATAGGAGACGGCTTAGTACTAAGGTAAGATAGAATACTATAGCGAGACTATCCCTTAGTTCTAAGTGTAGCTTTAGTCAGTACCTGGGTCAGATAAAGGCTAAAGGTCCTTATAAGCAGTAAAGACAAAGTTAATCTACATTAATGGGCAAAGGGGTATTCAGTAAATATAGTATAAGATAACTAGAATGGTACTTTATATTAAGCAGTATAGTAAAACTGTAGCTGGTTTGATCGCGAGTATAAGACTCTTAATCCTAAGATAATGAGCGTCTTTATATATATGGTATATATCTAGTAGCTCTCCTAGCTCTCCTGGCTCTCCATAGCGAGTCGAGCGAGCCGGCTAGTCGGTAATACATTCTTCCAGTGATCCTTCTGGACCAATCGTTGCAGCCCATGAAGTTGCGAGGCTGTTGGTCTGTAACAGTTTGAATTTGGTGGCCGGCTCGCTTGGGTGGCCGGCTCGCATGTGGATTACGTTAAGGAAATTAACTGCTTAGTCATTATTTCAATATCACGGGGTCTCAATATAATTGACAGGAATCAGGTGATATTTTCTTAGTCATAGCCAATCGTCTTTTAGTATTTTAGCTTATATAACCCCTGTTCAGGCCAATGGTTAAGCGCCAAGATGACGCAATAACTACCGAGGCACAGGATTTGTCATCACGGCGATAAGCTGATGGCTATAGAAGTTCAGGCGAAGTCAAGGAAGCCGAAGATAGATAGGAGGATATCCTCTTGTCGTGCTTCTATTCCAGTCGCATACAGCCCCAGGAAAGATGAGTGGCCTCCAGCGAGTAGCCGGAGTCACGGTCCGGCCGTTCTCGAGGAAGTCTTTGAGCCAGCACGGCCGGTACCTTGGTATCAGGTGGCCGGCCACTTCACTTGCATGTCACCGCGTCAGCCCTGTGCCGGCGATCTGCCAGCGTCCCATTCACGTTCAATCCTCTCTCCAGGCCCAAGTCGTTGCTTCTCAGTCGAAAACGCAGGGAAAGGGCCAATATGACTCCTCAAACCCGGCCATGTCGTTCCCTTGCCTGGACGCATTGGAAGCTAAGTCGGCTGCCTTGTCGATGCGATCGCTTGCTTCGGGACCTGAGCCGTCATATACGGTTGGAAAACATGAGCGGTTCATATCGAAGCAGGATCTCTTGCTGGATTGGGGTGGCATACTTCCGGAATTCGAGATCGCCTATGAGACGTGGGGTACCTTGAACGCAGACAAAAGTAATGCCATCCTACTTCACACCGGCCTCTCAGCTTCAAGTCATGCGCATAGCACGAGGACGAATCCTCAGCCAGGATGGTGGGAAAAGTTTATTGGGCCGGGAGCTCCCTTGGATACGGACAAACATTTTATTATCTGCACGAACGTTATTGGAGGCTGTTATGGTAGCACAGGGCCGTCATCTATTGACCCGTCAGACGGGAAACGATACGCCACCAGGTTCCCCATCCTCACCCTCAACGACATGGTTAGAGCGCAGTTTCGACTTCTGGACTTTCTAGAAATCCGAAAACTGTACGCGTCAGTTGGCTCTAGTATGGGCGGAATGCAGAGCTTGGCTGCAGGAATACTATTTCCTGAACGGGTGAACAAGATTGTCAGCATCAGTGGTTGTGCAAGGAGTCATCCGTATAGCATAGCCATGCGTCATACGCAACGTCAAGTTCTCATGATGGACCCCAACTGGGCACGAGGATTCTATTATGATTCCATTCCTCCGCATTCAGGCATGAAACTGGCCCGGGAGATCGCCACGGTCACCTACCGCAGCGGACCAGAGTGGGAGAAACGATTTGGCAGAAAGCGGGCAGACATCAGCAAGAATCCAGCATTGTGTCCTGACTTCCTAATTGAGACATATCTCGACCACGCAGGCGAGAAATTCTCTTTGGAATATGATTCTAACAGTCTCTTATATATCTCCAAGGCCATGGACCTTTTCGATCTTGGAATATCTCAGCAACAGGCTACGCACAAACGCCGGTTGGAAAGTGAGAAGTTAATATCCTCTCGTGGTGGTCGGCCGGTTGAGAATAATGCGTCGTGTAGCTTGACTTTACCTTCGGAACCATATGAGGAACAACCTTCTACACCGGAAAGTCCCCAGAGCACTGGAGCTCCTTCACCTGCCCAGCATCAATCCTCGTCATCAGGGCCGCCAATGGATTTAGTGTCTGGTCTCTCTCCGCTGAAGGACCACCCTATACTCGTCATGGGAGTAGCAAGTGACATTCTCTTCCCGGCGTGGCAGCAACGAGAAATAGCAGAATCGCTTCAAGCTGCTGGCAGTCAGACTGTCAAGCATGTGGAGCTGAGCGAGGATATATCCCATTTTGGGCACGATACCTTCCTTTTAGATCTGGAAAACGTTGGAGGCCCTGTTAAGAGGTTTCTTGAATGATATATCTAAAAACCATTTCCACCTTTGAGATTCGGGGTGGCACTCTGTTGGAGTTTGGAGGTTAATTATGATCTAAGCGTTGTACATCTAGCATCTACTTATTTTTAATCGCCTATTATTTAGGGAACATCTCATGCATATAAATTTAGATAACACATACATCTATCATTTCATCTTCCTACTCGTATAGTAGTGCTGGTTGACTTCCAGGGCATTCCACCTATATCAACCACAACCCTGGGATTGCATAAAAAAATATAAAAAACACAAAGGGGATTCAAATTGAAAAAAGCCATAAACGTCCTCAGATTAGCTCTCTTTTGTTCTCATTGATTTCCATGCAATTGTATTGATGTGCAATGACACAGCGCCCCAACCCAAAGCCACCATAGAAAAGAACAGATTAACACACTTATATCTGGTAGGCTTTGGTCAGGGCGATAATATCTTTTGCAGGATATCGTGCAACTTTGGCTTAAGACACGTTGAATCATCACCGGACGGCTTATCGTGTTGATATTGACATTGGTTTCCGCAGCCCTGAGACGTCAAAATAGGTGTGGTATAATGTGGGTGGGGTAAGTCATCTATTTTGCATATCATAGCGCCAAATTAAAGGGTATTAGGCCGACATTTCAATTCCACCAAGGCAATCCTAGGATATACTGAAGATCAACGGTTAGTCAACACATAACTTCACCTGTAGCAAAGCCAGAAACAGGAATCAACACAGCAAGTGATTGACAAGCGTATCAGATTGAAAACTACATTTTATCTCGGCATAGGTAATTGCTCAAAACGCCGTTTTACTTCCCCGAAAGGCAAAAACATGCGGAGCAAAGAGGGATTCAGTATCCCCACCTTAGTAGACCTTTGCGGTAAGGTTTCTTCATATTTTTGGGAAGTATTTTGATGGAGGGGAGGGCATAAATTAGATAAATAAGGGCAACATCAACGTACCTTGAGTGTGTTATATCCGTAGCTTCTTCTTCTTTGGCAAAGTTAGTATGGGAGACTGAAGATAGACGACAACGCACGTTAGGTTGGAAAAGCAAGATGTAGAAGACGGCGTAAAGGGTATTGCACGCGTATCTTGAATAAAAATGCCATTATCAAAACGCGAATAGCTGTTGGAGTGTCTCTAAGATTTCTGTTCAATTTCCTCATCTGTATCCCTCACGGGTACATTGCAAGCGATTCCATCCCTTCCGGCTTGCGAGCAAGAGACATGCAAGGGTGGATTCATCCTTAACGACCTGCGAGGGAGACTCGGATAGCTCTGTGACGGTTCATCATCATCGAGACAAGTTGTGAAAGAGTCGCGGTCTCTCTCCAAAAGTTCCAAGGTCGAGGCCGAAAAATACAGTGTCACGTGTCGCCGTTTATGTACGATGACATAGATGCCAGCTAGAGAATGCGACAGCGAATGGAGGAAGACGCATCGTCACTCGGCTTCGTTGTCTATATAACATCCTTCATGTCGTTCAGTCAGTCTATTTAATCGAGGATGAGTACGGAAGCCCTATATCCAAGTCATGGATTACCCACGAAATCATAAATACAGCAGGTCACATAATTACGAATATTACCACGACAACCCATGGGCAGATTGTGACGATAAGAAGAGGATTGACCATCGCCGCTACAACAACGAAAGCGAACAACCAAGGGTAGTCAGAGAGGGTGTTAAAAGGCGGGAAACGATGGCCAGTTGGATTCAGCGCCAGGCAGGCTCACACGGTGTGCAGCTGGCTGGCGCAGCGGTGTTGTCTGGAGTTGCTGTAGCCGGTGCAATTCTTGGTTACCAGAGCGTGAGGCGTCAAGCAGCTGTGGAGGAGCTGAAGGCCTCTATCCCAGCTCTGGACGAGAGGTCGGCGGAGAAGGTTGGTATTCCCCTTAGTTATGGGACTAGCAGTTCACAAGAATATCTCCAATTTCTTGATATATACCCGGATTTAAAATTATTTGCAGCTAGCTAACAGGTGGTGAAGCTTACAGAATATGGTGTAGCAACACCACCGCCGCCGGCAATGAGTGAGGAAGATAGACGGAGTGCCCTTCTTGCTCGGAGAGCCCAGCAGGGAGACTACGATGACGGTATGAGATCTATTCATCTCTAGACAGCTTTCTAGATCAAGCTAACATATACTTCTCGCTTCTATAGATCTTATTCTCGAACAACTTGCTCGAAACCGTGTATTCCTCAACGACGAAGGCCTAGAAAAGCTACGATCTTCCTTCATAATAGTGGTCGGCTGTGGTGGAGTGGGCTCTCATGCGGCCGCTGCCCTTGCTCGATCGGGTGTTGGGAGAATCAGACTCATAGACTTTGATCAAGTAACGCTTTCGTCACTGAATCGGCATGCGGTTGCAACACTGGCGGATGTCGGAACGCCCAAGGTCCACTGCATTGAGAGGAGGCTACAGCAAATAACCCCGTGGGTACGTTTTGACTGCCGCAACCAGCTGTATAGCGAGGCGGCTGCCGACCAATTGCTGAATCCCTGGTCTATGGCGAACGACTCGGGGACTCGCAAACCGGATTATGTACTCGACTGCATCGACAATATCTCCTCCAAGGTGTCTCTACTTCATTATTGCCACTCGCGCGGTATCAAGGTGATATCGTCTATGGGAGCAGGGTGTAAATCGGATCCTACTCGCGTCGTCGTTGGAGATATCTCTCTTAGTCTCGAGGATCCCTTATCACGGAGCACACGACGCCGTTTGAAGCTACTAGGAGTTTCAACTGGCATACCTATTGCTTTCTCCCTCGAGAAGCCAGGGCCTGGCAAAGCTGCACTTTTACCCTTGGCCGATGAAGAAATCAACAAAGGAGATGTTTCTGAACTGGGAGTGCTGCCGGATTTCAGAGTCCGTATACTTCCAGTACTAGGTACGATGCCTGCAGTTTTCGGTTACACCTTGGCGAATCATGTTATCTGCGAGGTCTCTGGATATCCCAACGAGTACAACCCAGCAGGTAAAGGACGAGATAAATTCTACGACGGAATCTTAGGAACGTTACAGGGCACAGAAGCACGACTTGCAAAGACTATTGAGGGCCAGGATCCAATTGGATTGAGAATACCCGTCAGCAAGGAGGACGTCGGTTACCTTATTGAGGAAGTCTGGAGAAGCAAAAGCGTGGTCAGCGGGCTCACTACTCGCCTTTCCCTGATAAGATGGGAACGTCCGGCCCACGGCTTCGGAGCTGACCCTGGGCTGCTCAAAGAAGGCCAAAAAGGCGTACGACTACAGCTTAACGACTTGGTATGCATGACCAAGGAAGAGGCATTAAGGCATGAGACAGAGATCTTCAAGGGTGGGAAGAAACACTCCGAGATCTATGATGATACGATAATACAAAAAGTGCGAGAGCGAATGGAGGAGGAACAGTTTTTCCAAAGATATAGATGATTATGCTTTTCGTTGCAAGGTCTCAACTTTTATGCATTCTGTTATGTTCATATTATTACTACTGCCATTGGAAGTAGTCTACGTTGACGATAAACTAAATAATGAAAGACTGAATCTCCATGATACTACAACAAAACGTATAAAGGCGATCTGTAGGGCTGGATGTCTTCAACCCTATTTCAACCAACTATATCTTGCAACAAGCGAATATTCCCCTAATCGAGCGCCTGTCTCGCATAAATGACCTGTATTATTGGCCATCGATGTTAGATTTTAACCATGAGAGAGTTGATATAGTTTAATCCTACATCAAGGAAGCAAGAATACAGAGTTTACTCACAACCATGTTTCCATGTCATAACCGAGATGACGCAGCTGTTTTATAAAATTGATATATCTCAGTAAACTTCTAGATGCTTTACTTACTCAATGCATATCGACCGTCGGCCCCTGTATACCCCAAACTATAAGACTTCTCCAACAAATGACGCCCTGATGGCGATCGCATAATCCATGCCTTCTGACCAGAAGAATACGCCACGCGGAGGGATTAGAGATATCGTAGCAGTCACTTCAGCACCGCGGTTTTGGCGACGCTTAATCGTCTTCCTTGTTTTTCTATGCATATCCTACGGAGTCTGGATGAACTTTGAATCAGCCCAAGTGGAAAGGAATGAAGAGCTAGACAGGGCATTGGACACGAGTAATCGAGACCGAGTTGGGGGGTGGTTTGGCTCGAACGCGCTGCCTGGCTTTGGGGATATGTCTCATATACAAACTATGAACCCAGCATTGCTTCCGGGGGAGAGTAGGGCATGGTTTCGCCGTTCTAGGCGCAGACTTGTGATTGTTGGCGATGTACATGGGTGTAAAGATGAGTGTATGCCGCTTCACCGTTGGATGTCATTTCAGTCTGAACGGCTAACTGAGAGACTCGCTTAACGATTCAGTGGAGAAACTTCTTGTTCAAGTCTCATTTAACCGTGAAAAGGGTGACCATCTGATTTTCACAGGAGACATAATCTCAAAGGGCCCGAAGAGCGTTGAAGTAGTGCAACTTGCACGAGAATACCATGCTTCCTGTGTCCGGGGGAATCATGAAGACAGGGTCCTTCTGACACGCCGGGAGATTGCATCACAATCATCAAAATCACCACATCGCAGAGTATCCGGTAATGAGGCAGCAGGAGAAGAAATTGAAGGTAGTGCTACGATCAGTTCCAAACACGGGAAACTAGAAGATAAGGTACATACACTCGCCCGCCAACTTAGTGGTGAAGACACCGAATGGCTCGAGTCATGTCCTGTGATCCTTAAAGTTGGGAGTATCAAGGGCATGGGCGATGTAGTCGTGGTTCATGGCGGATTGCTCCCCGGTGTCCCGCTTGAACGCCAGGATCCATCTTCAGTGATGCATATGAGAACGATTGATCTAGACACTCATACCCCTAGCAATTCTCAAACTGCGGGTACTGCCTGGTCTAAAGTAAGTATTCCCATTTACTCTGCCTCACGGATAGTCTAGATGGCTCGATTAGTTCAGCTCTGATTTATAATAGGTGTTTGATGAGCATCAGTCTCGTATATCAAAAGAAAAAGGCTCACAGCCCACAACCGTGATATACGGCCATGATGCGAAAGATTCCCCCGTCATACGAAAATATACAAAGGGGCTCGACACGTCCTGCGTACGTGGCGGGAAGCTTACAGCCCTGATTATTGAAGATGGTGGGAAGCAACGTTTGAAGCAGGTGAAATGCAAGGGTTATGTTTCCTGGAAATAAGTCTGGGGGTGGCGTCGTTGACTTTATGATTGATACGAATTGACAATGCAAGATTCGTGGTCGAAAATAGAACATTCGTATCAACAGATTATTTCATTGCATTGAATCGCTATATTCATTACTAGTAAAATCATAAGCTCGCAATAAAATCATGACTCGGGTATATGAAAGCAAGGAAATCGGATCGCGTGAAGGAGGGCATGGAGGATAATTAGATATTAGAGACATTGGTATCGTCAACAGGTCATGGACATAACATGACATAGCAGCGCGTTTCTTCGTTCCAGACCGCAATGGATAGCCTCTCAAAGGTCAAAAGGTGATTAATTTAGCCATGTCCCTTTCAGCCCTTTTTGGAGCTTTCTTGGTTCGAAGGCGTTTAGACGGCATGACGACGGTACCACTTGCGGCGGCCACTAGAGGGAAATCAGTAAAAAGCACTTCCATAGAGATATAGAATGTATGCTTACTCAACTCCATCACCAGCAACGGATTCATTGCGCTTGCGGCAAGTAAACCAGACGCCCTATTGAGACTCGTTAGAAAGGCCTATACGTAAATACTACAATGCGCATGGTGGAGACTTACCAAGAGCGCAGATGCCATCCAGAAGCAGGCAGAGAGGAAGCTGAATGCCTCAGCGGCTCTCCAGCGACCACAGGGGTTGCCGCTGGTGAAACCGGTCCATTGGAATGCAGTACCGCAGTTGCGGGATCCGAGAGAGTTGACCTGAAGACCGAAGGAAGCAAACCAAGCGAGCGAGAGGATTAAGTCCACTAAGAATTGTATTAGTATCAGGGAACTAGATTTTAGCCATGGACGGGGCAGCGCATACATGGCCATGCCCAGAACGACCACGAGAAGGGAATAAGCCACAGTAGACCGAACAGCATCGAGAGACCAGCGATCACCTCGGTGTAAATCCAGCGACTCTGAGGGAAACGACGGACATGTTGCCAACGATGGAAGGAATGCAAGTATGAGCCGATGATACCGGCGACGACCTTGGAGAGCAGTCAGTTTCACGTCACTTCACAACTTGTAGTTAGGTCTACCTACCGCAGCGAAGATGATTTCTCCCACTCGGAAAAACGGAGAGATGAGGCGAGAGAGGGCTGGCATGGCGACTATCTTGCACTGATACCGTTGATTGAAGATAGAGGAGTCGTTGAAGGTTACGAGAGACGCAGCGAACGGTTATATGCCTTGGCAGGACTTGTTTGCTGGGTATCAAAAAATATCGCTACTAAAGCTCTCCCATCTCGATTTGCGTCCGGGATACAAGCTCGAATTTATAACAACAGAAAAGCTAACTAGAAGAGCTTACACCAATGACGCAAGTGAGAGCAAAGAGGACCATTATTGGCCACTGCTGGGGGGGCTATACTGGAGCAGCTTAAGCTCTGATCTGAGAGCAAAAAAGTGGCTATCAAATCATGGCCTGGTTCTACAGGGAAAAGGCCCATCTCCACGGGTAAACCTTCTCCTAGGCAAGATTACCGTGATCGAAGAAGGCGATACCATGCAGGCCGTGAGGGGGAACAGCCACAAGTCAGTGTTTCCTTTCCGTGCCATCCATCTCGCTATCACCGCCATAGGAGGGAAAAAGGGAACAAGGGAGATGCAGAGCCGGGCGCGCCTGGCGGTCGATGACGCAGTGGAGCTCTACATCCCTGTCGCCGGCGATGTTAAGAGGCCAGCATGCGAGGATCGGCCTTCGCTAATTCTCCTTGTTCTTCATGTCGGTGGAGAGGAAGAAGCAAGGTTGCGATCACCCTGTGCTGTGGGCGTGATTGGCTCGATGCACTAAGCTTGCTCTGCGAAAGGTTGCGCTGTCACCAAGCAGCTCTGGCTGCGTAGCACACTTGCAGGACGATACAGTTGATACACGGCTGCCGGGGGGCGGGCTCTCGTTGCGATCAGAACAACGGCGGCCGTCTAGTTCGCCGTCTGCGCACTAGCACAAGAGCACTGAGTATGGAAAGCCGAGATTGATATTTGCTGCGTCTTGTGATCCTTGCAAGTCATGTATTTAAGCTCTGGTGGATAATATGACATCACAGGCATTTGCATGGTAAAGGTCTTTTATGATTAACGGCAGACTCCGTGATTATACCGTACATGGGATAATGAATAAGGAATGAAGAAATGTTGAAGTCGAAGATAGTTATTGTGAACCCTGGGTCGAGAGGAACCATCGGAATAGGGTTCTGAACATGTCCTTTGCTCCCTGATCAACTGTATCACCATGGCACGGAATTGCACGGTCAAACTCCCACTCATCGATCCTCTGCACCGACCGTTTGAACGCCTCACGGTCGTTTTTTGACAGGACGTACCAGATGAATCTCTGCTGCCCTATCGCGCTACCTTCCGTCGACATGACCGAGACGTAAATCTTGTTCGTGAGACCGTCCCTGGGGCCTTCCTCCGACTTCTGGTACTGCTCGACGGCTGGCGGGTTGAAAAACATATCTGCTTGGATCAGGGTGGCTGAGGGCTTATGTAGGATGACAATATCACGGTTGGCATGGGCATGAACGTATTCGATATCGAGATCCGCGGCGAACTCGTCCGATATATGAAGCGTCTTCTTATTCTCAGGCGTAAAGATATACTTGAACCTCGGTCCGGCTGTGTCAGGGTTCTTTTCTCTCTTCTCCCATAGCCCTTCTGGAGCTATCACGTCTGCATCCGGGTACGCTTTCGTCCAGTCGTTTAGGAACAGATGATGTTCCATGTCTGGCGCGATGAGATATTTCACCGTTCCATTCAGGCTATCGACAGCCTCTCTCACAGACTGCGTAAGTGCAACGGGAGAGAAGACTGCGATAGACCCGGTTTGTAGACGCACTGTATAAACGAGTTAATACATGGTCTATATGATATGGAGATTGACCAACCTAGGGTTGCACGACCGCCAAATTTAAGAACTCCGAATCGAGCAAACGGTAGACTGCATGTAATAATATCATCGCACACCTTGCGAATAACCATCACCTTGTCCGGGTCGGACGGGGAGAGCGACATGTCGACTGAAGAGCTGTGGAAAGGCGCAGATGCGGAACGATGGACTCGAGATAGAACGCTGTGCTTGTCCCTTTGCTTCCCAGGCCGTTTAGAAATGCAGACGTAGCTTATATTAGCTCTTGATAATATGTGTGTTCTCTTTGCGCCGTTGGTCACGGAGAGATATGCTTGACGGATGACTGAAGCGCAGCTGGGAGATCGATGCAACATGTGAGCTTTACAACGCTCTCTTATGCCGTGGTCATTTGAAATATGATGTTCAGCGTATGACTTTTGAGATATAAATGTGTAGATTCGTAGACCTCGGGATGTTGTCGATAAACAGGAACCAGGGCTGCCTTCCTTATTAATATGGACATTTTCTTCTATATGACGTAGGCACACGGGAGTACTCGACGTTTCTGGAATGCCGGGTGAATGACCAATATGTACAAATAGTATAATAAGTATTTCAAGAGTGTAAAATGGCAAATAATCATGCTTGCTAAAGATAATGGATGCCTCCCAAATAAGAAACCCAACTATAAAGGGTTGACGGTGAATTACAAAAACACGTCTTTTGCGCAGCAAAATCAGTTTCAAAGAAGATAAGGGGATAGATAAAGGGTAAGGGCAGGAATTATGCAGTGCTATGCATGCCATCTGCCTGTGGAGGTGTGATTCTCAGCTTCATCATCCCGGTGTGGAATTAAGGGGTCTTTGATATCGAACGTCTCGATAAGTTGCGCCCACGTATTGAAGTCTAGCCCAAAGACAGCTTGGTGTTTTTGGATGCCCTGTTCCCGAGCCTCTGAAGGAGCGAGCGGTTCTGACGGAACTATTTGTAGAATATACTAGGTTAGCCTCTAAAGAGCACATTAAAGGGGAAAAGGGAACTAGGACATACGTAATGTGGGTAGGTTGTTCCCGTCCATCGACATGCCTATACTTCCATCACGGACCAGGAAACTGACATAGAACAAGTTCTCGACGGACTGGCCAAATGATCTTGGGTTGATACAGAACCGGAAGAGCGGAACTCCGCCATCGTCTGATATTCCATGTTTATTCATCACTTCGACGGCTTCAACCTGACTGACATCGCCCATCTGTGCCAGTTCATCACGGGCTGATGATTCCGCCTCTTGTTGTATCTTAGCCAGAGTGGCTCTTATGTTCGTACACATGGTCGTTAGCGTTGCGGTTTCCTGCTTCCCCAAATCTGCAGCTTTAACATCGTTAGGCCGTACGAGTTGGGACGGATCTATTCGTTCTCTTGCTCGTCGCTGAGTCTGTTGACGAACACGCTTCTGTACCGATAGTGGACCAAGCAGAAAACCGGAGATGGAGGGCCGTAGGTTATTTGGGAAACAGGCATTCCGCCCAAGATAGTCCCAGTTGAAGGGTTCCTCCTCATCGTCACTATCAGCTGCCGCGCGCGAAGGATGACCGGAGCTGCGACGATGGCTTTGTGTTGGGGTAGGTAATGATGATTCAGTACTGGCGGACTCTCTCTGCATGAATGAGATACATTTTGACACAAATTCGTCAATGTCAAGACCCGCTACATTGTTTCCTAGGCTAGCTTGCGCTGTTCGTTTATAAGAAAGGTCCGCCGCGGTAACAAGGAGACGGGAGTCAAGAGTTGCATCTGAGGTTTGCTTGACCTTTTTGAAGTATTCGTTTGCCTTTTCAACAGTTTGCATAAGACCATTTGATTCAAGCCGGACAAACTCTGCTCGTGAATCTATACAACCATATTTTAGTAAAAAAAGACACTCAAAATATGAAAGGAAACATATCCTCATACCGTTTAAATTTGTAGCTAGTTCTCTCAGCCCCTTCCGAACGGCTCTCCGCTCCTCTGGATCCTGGTCTGGGTCATAGTAGTCGGTGTCGATAGTTTGACGAAGGCGGCGCTGGTGGGTGGTCTGTGACTGTTCGGGCATCTGCTCAGACACACGCCTCTTCTTATTCGACGCGCTGGCCATTGGAGGGACCGCTAGGCTGCCGGATTTCCGCTTCTTCAGGTGCAGCGTGCGTGCGCTTCGATTCTCTTTATCGGAAGAAAAGGAGGTAGGTGGTGACGGTTCAGAGCCCCGATCCGAGGCCGGGGGTGTTGCAGAGAGAGATCCATCATCACGGCCGTTCCGTCCTGCCATCTTTAAATATACGTCTAGCGTTTTGTCAGGGATAGGATGCAAGCGTCGCAAATTCAATGCGAAAGGCGTTTGTTGGAGCGCGTAAATTGGGAACAAAGCCGTTCGGGGTCCGCATAAAAAGGTCAAGATGGTGTACGGAGTAAAGGACTGCTGGCTCAGCAATTGTCTAGAGACATCAATGTTGTACTGCGATTGTTGCACTGAGGTGGAAGCAGATATAGGAGTTGCCGGTCTCCCCTCTATCTAAAAAACATGTCAACTAGAAAGTGGTTTCCCAAAGAAGAAACAGAAACGCGATGGTCTGTGCACCCTCCACAATTATTCCTAGCGGAGTTACGTTTATCCGGATAAGATATGGACGAGGTCTTGGCGCGGACAGCTTCGCCCTTTGAGGTCATAGATATAGACAGACGAGACGGCGACGACGACGAGGAGGCTGATACTGTCTGTCTGCCCGAGCGAGAGTCCGGCTCCGAGGATGCAAATAGCTCAGACGGCGAGCGTGATATCTCTAAAAATTGGGTGACCGTCATGGACACCTTCACCTTTGCGACCTCGACGCAGGTTGCCCTCCCCATCCGGGCCAAGATGTAGGTATAACAACTTGGGAAAAAACAATAGGCCGTTATGCAGCTGTACTGACCGGTGTTTTTACTGTAGATGTAACTTGGAAGGCAAGCAGAAGCAGATTCCGTTTTCTGTCTTGCTTAAAAACCCCGAGCTTCGTCACCTTGGCTCCAACCAGAGCCCAACTTCGGACCTCTACGTTACTGCACAGCTATGGAGCAGCTGCAAGCCGCTTGGAATGCCCATGCAGACGGCCTACAAGTCGTTCAAAACCAGTCGAACATGGAACGAGTGGCTGGAGATGCCCATCCTGATCAAGGATGCGCCGCAGAATACACAGCTAGCGCTCACCGTCTGGGACCTGGCGCCCTTTGGCGGAGATGGAAGGCATGACCATTCAGTTCCATTTGGTGGAACGACCGTTTCGATAATTGATGAAGACGGTACCTTGAAGAAAGGGAAACAGAAATGCAAACTATACCGGCACAAAGCTGCGGATGGCTTCTCGTTCACGACAACACCGTCTACCCCACCGCCAAAACGCCGTACGGGCCAGTTTGCCGAAGAAGGTCCTACTCCCGCAGAACTTGAGCTTGAGAGGCTAGAGAAACTGCTGAAGAAACATGAAATGGGCGAAATACCCCGTATTGACTGGCTGGATCAACTGGTCTTTCGTGCAGTGGAAAAGATCAAGGTCGAGGCTGAGGAAGCTGCGAAGAAACGTGCACTCCGAAATAAAGCTGCAAGGGATAAGGCAGTTGATGAAGCCAATGGCGATGCCGTCACCCAGGATGACGACGAGGAGAATTTTATTCTCTATATCGAGTTCCCCCGTTTTGACTTCCCCCTCGTTTTCCAGGATTTCGAGTACCCTCCTCCTCCAGTTTCTTCACTTGTGCAGCATGCCGCGCCTGGGTCTACTGTTACTCTCAAACCACCGCCAGAAGTTCGTCTCGGCCCTGACATTGAAGGTGCGACTGATGACGAAGGCAATTATCCCATCATCCGAATTTATGATCCCGAGGTGGGCCAGAGAGGGAACCCGTGCGAAGATAAGCACCGAAGGCTAGTCCGTAGCCATCGAACTGGTATTATGGACCGTGATTTGAAACCGAACCCGAAGATCCGTGATGAGATCAATGAGATCATGTCATACGGCCCAACTCAAGAATTGAATGCGGAAGAGAAAGACCTTGTCTGGAAGTTTAGATTCTATCTCACTCGAGATAAACGAGCTTTGACTAAATTTGTCAAATCAGTTAACTGGCAGGATGTCAGTGAAGCTAGGCAGGCGGTTGAAATCCTGCCGAAATGGACCGAGATTGATGTGGACGATGCTTTAGAGCTACTTGGTCCGCTTTTCGACAACCCTGAGGTTCGAGCTTATGCCGTTGATCGCTTAAGAAAATCAGACGACAAGGAATTGCTTCTATATCTTCTGCAGCTGGTACAAGCACTGAAATTTGAAGCTATTCCGAAGGACGCCACGGAGGAAACAGATGGCGCGCATGATTCCTCCTTGACTAATTTCTTGATCAGCCGTGCAGCCAACAATCCTATACTTGGGAGCTATTTCCACTGGTATCTAATGGTTGAATGTGATGACACGGCTGCCGGGACACTCTCTACGCACCGCAAATTCTTTGCACGCGTGGAGTTTTACTTTATGCTTGAACTTGAGAAAGTTAACCCTGCCCAAAGAAAGGTTTTACTCAGGCAGGGCGAACTTATTACCATTCTCTCCAAGATCGCAAAGGACATTCGATTTGCCAGAGTAAATCGGCCTTTCAAGATTGAAATGCTCAAAAAATTCCTCAGTGACCCTAAGAACGACATGTTGCAGATTGACCCTCCCCTCCCTTTTCCATTGGACCCTGAGGTCTCTATTGTTGGCTGCCATCCAGAGGAAGCAAATGTTTTCAAGTCATCCCTATCTCCGCTTTTCATCAACTTCAAACTATCCGATGGCCGAAAATACCCTGTGATATTCAAAGTTGGAGATGACTTGCGCCAGGATCAGCTTGTCATCCAAATAATTACCCTTATGGACCAGCTGCTGCAAAAAGAAAACCTGGACCTCAAACTCACACCTTACCGTATCATCGCAACTGGTGCTGCTGCCGGTGCCGTGCAGTTCGTCCCATCAACACCATTATCTGCTGCCACAGCAAAGTATAAAGGCTCCCTGCTTGCGTATCTTAAAGCAAACAACCCTGACGAGAGTGAGCCGCTGGGGGTACGCAAAGAAGCAATGGACACTTACATCAAGTCCTGTGCAGGATACTGCGTTATCACCTATCTCCTAGGGGTTGGCGACCGACATCTGGAGAATCTCCTCCTTGCACCAGACGGACACTTCTTCCACGCCGATTTTGGTTTCATCCTTGGTCGTGACCCAAAACCATTCGCACCCATGATGAAACTTTGCAAAGAAATGGTCGAGGGAATGGGCGGAGCGAACTCTCCGAATTACATCCAATTTAAACAATATTGCTTCACAGCATACATCACCTTACGCAAATCCGCCAATCTCATTCTTAACTTGTTCAGCTTGATGGTCGACGCTAATATTCCAGACATTCGAGTAGAGCCTGACAAGGCGGTGTTGAAAGTCAAGGAACGATTTCACTTGGAAATGACTGAGGAAGAGGCAATTCGGCATTTCGACGAACTCATCATCAATAGTGTCAACGCTATCTTCGGTGCTGTTATCGATCGAATACACGATATTGTTCAAGGCTGGAGGGCATAAACTACGTTTTACTGACCCTTCAGCGTCAAGGCTGATGCTCACCTAAAAAAGATTTTGGTCTTTCTCGTTTAAATATTACATACATAGATTCTCAAACTGTACTAGGGGATAGGAATTACCAGGAGTTGCGAGAACGTTTGGAGCAGGACTGGTTTATGTCCAGATGATATACCCATTTTTACGCGACAATTTATTTATTTTACTCACTAGTTTACGGTGTCCCGCAGCCTGGAGCGATATATGGACCTAGATGGTTATACAACTAGACGGTTTCTTCTACATTCCTAGTACTAAGTTACGGGGATTATCCTTCGCCATGATCGCTCGCTAAACCCGATCAACCGACTCCCCTCTAGATTCTAGCACACCGGCATCATTTTCGCCTTGCCTTCCTTTCTTTTCGCTAATATCTTCCTCTTTGTCCTCAGTATCCTCAGGCGTACCAGCTTTACAAGCCCATGCGTCTACAAACCGAAGCACTTCCCTCCTAAACCAGTGCTTCATAATCAAGAGCCTAAAAGGGACGAGTAGGATGATTAAAACGGGAAAGGCCGGGGCTCCACGTGTGAGGGTCAGGACGAATATAGCTGTCGTGATTACGAGTTGAAGTAACGTGTATAGATGGATTGGTATGTATGATGGCTTTGACAGAGCTTCGGGGGTCGTGGGAGCAGACGATGGAGTAGACAATGAGGTGCTCAATTCCGCCGGAAGGGCAGGAAGTTCAGATGGTGGTGTTAAAAGGTAGAATGTTCGATAAAGAATAGGACTAATGTGAGAAACCCGTGCAGTGGTTAGTACATGGTTTTTCAATATATAGTAAATATTACTTCCAGGTGAAGATATACTTACTTGACTGACAAGCTCTGCTCACCCATGAACAGGAATAGACCCGCTAACACGCTGGTAGGGGTCAAACCGAGGACCTTCATGAAAGGAGGGCTGACAAACGCAAGAATGCCGCAGCCGTGGAGGAAAGATGACCATCTCTGCTCATATACCCTTCTGGTCGGTTGAACTTCAACTGTCTCCTGACCATCCACTTCAACTATAACTTCTTCCGTATCCGCATGCATCAAGGACTCGGAATGAAGCGGAGCCTGGGGCAAGAGTCCATTTGCAGGAGGAATACCCAGTATGCCACATAACGCTGTGGTAGTGCCGAGGAGAATGATATCCCAAGCAAACCCACCAGGTTTCCGCGTTTTATATCGGTCGATAGTGCATATTATGGAACTTATCTCATGGTCGAAAAAGAAAAGCATCGTGATAATGATGCCTGGAACGATAGCTGCAAATATCCAGCGTAAAGGGAGCTTCCAGAACTCTACAAAAAACACCTGTCGATCTGGAGACGTAGGCTTGAACGTGGTGCTCACGGGGAGCGTCGACCTGTCTAGATGAGAAAGCTCTCCAATATATGGCAACCCGATAAATAGTATGATTGATATTGCGGCGGCGTACTCCGACAGACCCAGACGGATATATCGATGAAATAGGGGTTTCCAGGATTCCGCCGTAGATAGAAATATGGCTAGCAGCGTTGTCCCTACTGCCCCTATTATAGCATACAGAAATGCTGCAAAAGAGAGATTCGCATGGGCACGTTCAAGCTCCTGGATAGCCTTGTGGAAGTATATCACGCTGTTCAGAAGAGAGAATATTTCGGTTGAGAAAGTAGTAACGTAGCCCATAGTCCAGTCATGGGCATTGAATATAGCTAATAGGTAATGTAGCCATCCAGCATGGACGAGCGACCATGCCATGAACGGAAGAAATGGAATCTATATATCGGAATTAGGAATCAAAATTTGAATAATTAGAAAAGGGACATGACGGCCAACCTCGAAAGTCTCATCACAAAGAGAGTATAAGTTCTCCGCAAGCACAGAAAAAGGGCCAGTAACCCCTAAAATGGTAAGAGGTTGAATGGAGAACCTAGATATATGATCATTCAGCTTTGGGTATTTTTGTATATTGAGAGAACTCGTTCAGTTTGGGGGGTCCCTACAGAGAGAAGATGATGCTGCATAACCCCGTACTAAAGACAACTTCGATAGCGCCCCAATTCTTGCCCGTGAGCACATAAAGATCACTTGCAAAGGTGATACCTGGTAGCAAGTTTGTAAAGAATACATAGACTGTGCTAGCAACTATTAACTGATTGAATATTTTCCAATCTGAGAGATATCGTTGCCGCAAGTTCGCCAGGTCCTGCTTTACAAGACGATAGGGCCGCAACGGGCCACCTGGCCCAATGGTTCTGTTCAGTAGCCGAAATGGCTTGGGCGTATGCTTGGATGGGGTTATATATGAGTGAGCATCGTCTCCGGGCAAATCTTCATTGAAACCGCTAGAGGTTGCACTTTGATTTAAACCCGAGGAACGACGCTCCTTTCTTCGACGAATCATGTCCACCATCGGCCTGGTAGAACGAGGCCGGAGGTACGAGCCTACAGACATGCAGATAGCTCCTCTCTTATGATATCTCAGGGAGTGACGATACCTAAGTCACCACCGCCACCTTGCTCTTTCAAGTTATGATTAATGTGGATAGCATCAAGTGAGTATTATATGGACTGGAACGCGTGTATTGAGCCGTTGTAGGAGTAATAGTACCTCAACTGTTCTACTTCGTTAGTGATATAGCTTTGCTCCAACGAGGGGGAAATATTTTAACACTTTTAGGTTCAACGTGGGAACCAGGATATGGCGATACAAAGCGCAAAGCAGAGCTAAAAACATGAACTGCTACGTAAGCCAAGCGCTGCCATGCCTTGTAAAGGGGAATGAAATGGCAGACGGCGAGCATGAGGACTCGTTTCTTGCATGAGTTCTTGGGCACTCTTGGATACCCAAGGCACTAACAGTGAGGCCGAGCCTTTGTCGATCCAGTAATACCAGATATTCCATCTCGGCGCCGAGTTCTAAGCCTTGGAGATTGGTTCTGAAGACAGAGTACTGCATGATAGTCTGGGCTTCTCGGAGTATAAAACAAATAAGTCGTAGCCCTGTGTGGTTTGCTTAGAAGGATATGTGTTGAACGGAGATTCGGTGTAATACTGCCTGATCGTACGAAACACGTTAGTCAACTACGCCGTTTCATTAAATATCAGTGTCAGCTCTCCATCATCGAACAAATGCTACGCCCGGCGTTTTAACGCCTGTTTCAGCTGTAGCTGGCATCTCCGCGATGGCAAGATACATGGCCGTATGAGGAACATAAATAGGAGCTCAATATCGTGTATTTAGATGATCAGTGCTTGATAGATTGAAATCTCATAGATTGCTCCAGACCCACCTGACCAATCAAATCAATCAAATATCTCGTATCTCAGAATATGACATTATTTTGGAGGAAGTGGTAGCTGTTGCCTCAGTTCGTTGCATATTTGACACTTTCTCTGCTAACGCCGCATGCTCTATCTATACAACACTTCCCTCCTCTTCTCTTTAACAAGAAACTGAATTAGTTATATCCTCTCCCGCCGGTATAGCAAGTGATTGATAGTTGTAGTCAAGAATATCCTCAAAAGATGCCTCGGCAAGAGATCAAATTGGTTACTTAATCACATCACGTGTACTGATTAGTCACGAGATTGTCAAGACCTTCGCCGCCTTATGCTTTTCTGCCATGGCTTATCGGGAATAAAGTTGTTCCGTTATCGATCTCGAGGATCCAAAAGTTATCGCATCAACGACTCGTAGGATTCGAATATCTAATTGCTGAATTTGAGCGTGTATAGTGAAGATATCACGGTTTTTACTTTCTATAACCATGTTACTATAACTATTATAATTGAATTTCTTTTCAAAATGGCATCCTTTGTCCCTCGGGCGGTGTTCTCGGCGTCAGAGAACATCCAGCGAAGCTACTTTCTGGGGCATCATCGAGCTGGTCTCGACAAAATGAAAGCAATGCTGGACTCCGTTGACCATGTGATCGAATGTCGAGACTTCCGTGTCCCCGCGACTTCCATAAACCCGCTATTTGAAGAGGCATTGGGCGAGAAGAGCCGGACAATTGTCTACACAAAGAGGGACCTAGGAGCTGACTCGGAGCTAGAATCACGGATGGTACCTATCACTTTTCTTGTTTTGTTATTGTTCTTTAAATACCGAGATATACTTGCTTATTTACTAATATGTTTTACTATCTAGAGAGAAAGACTCATCTCACACTGGGAGCAGAAATCTACAAGGGTGTTCTTCGCGAGTAGAAGCCTGAGGAACTCGGTCACGCCGTTAGCGAAATATATCAAAGGACTCCCGGTGGCCGCGAATAGCATAATTGGATACCGCATGCTGGTTGTTGGAATGCCGAATGTTGGGAAATCAACCCTGATCAATAAGCTGCGGTCGATGACCAACATTAAAAATGTTAGGAAATCTGCAGTTGTCAGAACTGGCGCGGACCCAGGAATCACAAGGAAGATCGGGACATCTATAAAGCTATTTCAGAAGGACGATGTGGGCATTTACGTATATGACACACCAGGTGTGTTCGTGCCGTATATGTCTGACCCAGACAGCATGTTGAAAATGGCCCTCTGCGGAATCATTAAAGACTCCCTGGTTCCTATTGTTACCTTGGCCGACTACCTTCTTTTCCACATGAACTGCCACTCATTATCAAACATGTACAAAGCCTTTTGTCCCCCGACCAATGATGTTATGGAGCTACTGGATGCAATGGCAAAAAAGGCCGGCCGACTTGTGAAAGGAGGCGAGCCGGACTACGAGGCAGCCGCACGGCTCTTCATCACGCAATGGCGAGAGGGAAAGCTTGGGCTATTCATGCTTGATGATGTAGCGAGGATCTCCTGGGAGAAGAAGAACGCCAAATTGGGGAACACCGACTCGGCAGCCGGAACCTCGCTGGATTTTACGCCTGAAAGAGCCCGGCGAATACTCGCGACGGGGGCAGTATAATAGTTGCCCTTATTTTCGATGTCTATGTTTTATATACTTTGCAATATACCCACACAAATGTACGATAATCACTGTAACGTTGGATGGACTAAATAATTATACATAATACTATCATATAAAAATCTCGAATAACAGCACTATAGCACATGCATCTAATGCCTGTGGGCAGCCTTGGGCACATCAGCCAATCTTATCGAGTAGCTTCCTCCTCCGTCTTTCCACCAGCTCTTCCTGGACGTCATCTAGCGTAGGTAGCTGCCATTCAACGCCATCCCCTGCATCGCCGGGGAGCGGCTCCCACCCGTCGTCGGGTTTATCGTCACCCTTCTTCAACACTGCCTCAAATGCTTCCTGTTCCTTCTTCTTTTCATACTCTAGTAGCGTACCGTCTTCCTCGTCTAGCCCGTATCCAAAGTATGCTGCATCAACATGTTTTTTGAACATATCAATCTGTGCCTTCTGTCCTCCCGCACCATCCAGCTCGTCGGCACTCCTCTTTTTCGTCGCAGCCTCAAACATCTCCTTGACACCCGGCAACTCTCTCGCGCGGCCAAAATATCTATAGCCTTTACCACCACCAGGAATCTCTTTCCCATCCTCATCATATACCCTCCCGCCGCCGCGAGTATAGTTTGGACCCCCCAAATTCCGTATTTGAACTTCCCACATCCATTTTTCGCGCATCAGTTTGTTTATTTCATCGTTCACATCTCGGATCTGAAAATCGCTTAAACTTAGGTCTTGTATGCGTGTGACTTTCCGGGATATTTCCTTGAGCACTTGGCCTCTCCATTTTTCGCATACGGGGATGGAGTCGATTGTTGTGATGGCTTTTGGGCGACGGGTACGACCAATATCGAGGATTCCAAGGTCTGCAGCTTGAGCGGCACGAAACCGAAAGAGCATAGACTGCGCCTTTTCGCTATTGCGAGCCTAATGGACGCGGGAACGTACTGCAATTAGTAGGCAGTTATAAGATGGAGTGATGCGGATTAGGCTTACCATGGCGAGCGAACGGGGCTTGGATTAACCAGAGCTCAAGCTGGGAATATTTATTTGAAGCCAGAATATGCGATGGTGTAGTAGACTGGTCAATTCTTCTCACGTCAATCCTCGTTGTTGTTTTGTTTGAAGGATGTGACTTTGACCGTTGCTACAGCACAAGCTTTGTTGCCGCCAATCTTATCAATCTCGGCCAAGCACCTGCACTCTCTCCGCCAGCTCAACTTCCAAAGACCATGTATGATTTACAATTAAGTCAATACCTACTACACGAGAATATTGCAGATATTTGATGATAGAATTACACCGACCATCCTATTAAATACATGAATTCATATGAAGAACCCCGCTCATCATCATACAACCAGAAATCAACAAAGAAACCAGGCTATCGTCCACCTAAAACCTATACAGATTTGCAAGTCCTAATAATCCCACGTACTCCATCCAGGATATCCATCGGAACAAAATAAATTGGGCCAGGGAAATGCAAACAGCACTCGATACCCCGATCTGCACCATATTATCCATGCAACAAAGCAAACGCGGCAGTATGAGGTCTTACAAGAACCCCTTGCTTGTGCTCATCTTCCGCTGAGGAACCTCAATCCCAGATCCGATATATACTCCGCTTCCTCGACGGCTGAACCTGTCGCCCATCTCGCTCACTCCTCCGTATGCTGGCCCTTTCCCGGCTACACTACCTCGCTCCATTCGTAGAGCCTTCCAGCCTTCTAGCTCTCGCTCCAGTCGGAGAGACTTTTCGCGCTCCTCACGCAGTTCACGATCAGCACGACGAGCCTGAAGTTGATTTTCGGAATCGCTGGTTTGAAGTTCTTCAATGGTTTGGAGAAGACGTTCGATCCTGTCGCGAGACTTTCCGATGTCCTCAGTGAGTTGATTGTTCATCTTGTCTCGTCTCTCGATCTGCGTTTGGAGGTCTTTAACAGTTCTATCGACATTACGAACAGACCTCTGCTCAGCATTCCGCTTTGACTCTTGGTCGTCTAGCTGAGTTTCAAGCTAAAATTGGGAAAAAGAAACAGATTAGAAAATGACCATTGTATAGAGAGAGTTAGGATGAATTCGACATACCTCCTGGATTCGTTTATTTAGGAACCTGACATCTTGGCTAGAAGACGAATATCCCTTAGTTTCAAGGTCAACACATCGCAACTGGGCCTCTTTGAACTGTTTCTCCAATGCAACCTTGTCCTTGAACAGTTGGGCAGTCGACTCTCGTTGAGCTACAATTTCCTTTTGAACCTCGGTCGCTAGAGCTTCTGCTCTCCTCATCTTGCCAACCGCAGCGGATGCGAGATCCTCTTGCTGGGCAAGCTGGGCTTTTAGGTCGAGAATCTCACGGTCCATCCCAGCGGCATTCCGCATTGGACTTTCGCCCTTAGCAAGATCCTCTAGGCGGTCTCCCGCTTCAGCAAGCCTGGACTCGAGACCTCGCTTTTCCTTGAGAAGCATATCACGTTCGGCTGAGATGTCATCCACGGAAGTACGAAGGGTGCGGACTTGAGTTAACAAAGTAACAACCTTGCCTTGAGCTTCGTTATGGGCCTTGACAGCGTCGTCTCGGGATGCTGAAATGTCTTGCAGAGTCATCTCTATCCTGGATTTCTCCTTGGACCAGGTCGAGCTATTTAGGACCTCATCATCCCACTTGGATCGTAGCTCTTCAAGCTCCTCCTTGAGGCGAGTGTTTTCTCCTCGAATATGGAGTACATTTTCACGCTCTATTTCAAGCTCGTTTGTAAGTGTTGAGAATTCCATTTGGTATTTCTTCCTGGTTTGCTCCATCGAAGCCTCCTTGTCCTCGATATCCATGGCTCGCTGGCTACGGTAATCCTCGAGCTCGTTTTGAAGGCGCCTCTTTGCCTGTAGCGCCGCATCAAGGTCGGCAGAAAGATCTTCGATCCTTTCTTCTTGGGATTGTGTTTGTCGCTGCAAGTCTTCAATGAGGTTATCTGTTTGTTTCCGTTCAGACATGATATTAGCGCAAGTGTCTTCAGCCTCTTTGGCTTGCGATTTGGCAAATTGTTCGGCGCGGGTAGCTTTCAAAACTGCTATCTCCGCTTGCTCCAATTTGCTGAAATATTCGTTTGCACGGCTCTTGTAGAGACTCAAGCTAGAGGCGACGTCAACAGCCTTGGAGGTTTCGGCATCCAGGCGTATTTGAAGATCAGAGAACTCCTGGAGTAATTGGCTGCGGCTGGCCGCGTCCTGTTCCCGTGCAACCTGCAGCTCTTGAAGCTCAGATCTTGTGTCTCGTAACTCTACCTCCATAGCAGCCCTTGCGTGCCTGAGTTTCTCGAACTCGCCTTTAGCCTCGGTGAGATCTGACAAGGCCGCCTTGTGAACCTGAAGGAGGGACCTTCGCGATTGCTCCTGAGAGCTGAGAAGGTCGTAGAGCTCTTCATGTGATTTTGCCTGGACATCACGAAGGCTTAACTCGCCGGATTGAATATTCTTTTCCAGCGCGGAAACTTTCTTAGCGGAATCATCGAGCTTTTCATGGAGGCGGCCATTTTCACGTTCAAGTATCTGCATCCGCCGGATAGATGGACTTTCATCCTGCCACATATCTCGAACCGGAGTGGACCTACCAACCTGACTCTGAAGGTGGCGGTTATGCATCTCAGAGAGCTGCAACTGATTTTGGAGGCTCTCTATTTCTGCAGCATGATCCATTCGCTTCTGATATGCTACAGTATCGACAGTTCGATCTGATCGGCCTGAATCACCAGCACCATCGATAAGATTGTTGTATCGACGATTGGGTGTTGAAGGATTAGAATAACGCTTGTTGGGCTCTGAATTCTTTCGGAAATGTGAAGGGGATCTAGTGTTGGCCACTTGATTTTGATCAATCTCCTCGAGTAGAGCACGCTTTGACGTAGAGTAACGAGCATCAAGCTCATTCATCTCGTCTGCATGCCGGCGACGCATTTCGTTGAGTTGATTTTCTGCTCGAGAACGCTTTTCCTCGCTGATTCGAAGCTCATTGTGAGCGGCCTCCAACAGAGCAGCCATGTCAACCTTTTTAGACAAATCAGGCTTGACTGTTTCCCATGATTTTGGGGCAGGTGATGGGTCAGAGTCAAATACTTTATGCAGCAGGATTAGCTGTCGATGGCAGTCTTCGAGCTCTGCGTTTGTTTGGTCCATTGAGGCCTGAAGCTTTCTTGTGTTAGCTTGCGCTTGAGCTTTTAGTTGTCGTTCCGTCTCAAGATTCCTGTTTGCTTCAGCTAACTGTAACTGAGCTGCGGCAGCAGACTTCTCTGCATTTCGACTAGCTTTATGCTCGCGTGCCATCTCGTGATTCAAATCCTCAGCACTCAAGGCGAGCTTTTCCTTTTGTTTCTCAAGTGAATTTATTGATAGCTGGGCGTCTCCGAGTTGGCGTGTCAGTAGCTTGTTTGCCTCGTCAAGCCGTGATTTTTCTGTTTGGAGTTGCGCCAACCTGGCCCGTTGAGTATCACCAACCCTTGAGTTAGAGCGTGCGATGTCTAGATTCTTTTGCTGGACCTTATTCAAAAGTGCTCGATTATCGTTTTCAGAAGCCGCAAGACGGCCCTTGACAGTCACCAATTCCCTCTCCAACCGCTCCTTATGCTGGTCATGATGGGTACGGAAATTTTCAGACTCCGCAATCAAATTGCTCAGGTTTTGAACTTGAGAGCTTAAACGGGCGTGTCCAGCTTCGGCGTTGGCGAGGGCCTTGGATTTCTCGTTAAGCTCAGTCTGAAGTTTGGCTAGCCTTTCAGTTGATTGAGCAGTCATTTTATTTGCAAGGGAGGTTTCGGCATTCAGGCGAGCTTCCTCGATCTTTGTTATTCGTTCCCTGAGTTTGATAACTTCTGCTTGAAGTTGCTTTCGGGACTCTTCTGCAGCGGCTCGTGCTTCCTTTGCCCTCCGCAGAGTATCCTGTTGGATATACATTTCCTTCTCGATAGTGATCTTGGAATCATTTAGAGCCTCAAATTCTTCTTTCAGCTGTGCAAACTTGTGTTCTGAAAGCATTTGCACATCGTCTCTTGATTGTTGAACTCGACTGAGCTCCGCCTGTGTTTGATAAAGTTGAGCCTTGAGATCTTGAACTTGTTTGTCTAGCATTTTCCGGCCTTGGGCTGACTCTGCGTCTTCAGATAGCTTTTCTTCAAGGAGCTTTCTGGCATCTGCAGCTTCACGCTCGAAGTTAACCTTTTCAAGCTTCGTGGTGTCTATCTCGGCCTGTAGGTCACGAATTCTTCGCTGCATATCATCGTGTCGATCAGATAGGCCTCTCTTTTCTGTTTCGAGGCTTCGCTTCTCGAACTCATGCTTCTTCAAGTCAGCTTTAAGAACTGCAACTTCGCCTTCTTTGCGTCGTACTAGTTCTTCATAGCCAGTTGACGTTGAGGACAGATCTGTTATCTGCTTCTGGATTTCGCGATTTTGATCCAAAAGTTCTTTGATCTGCTTTTTAGATGAGTGAAGCTCTTTCGTAGTGTTCGCTAACTCAAGGTCAAGCTGTTGGTCAGATGTCAAAAGCTTCGCTTCCAGGTCCTGAAGCTTCCTGTCCTTTAAGCTTAAATGGCTGTTGAGCGTTCTGACCTCCTGGTTCAGATTCTCGATTTTATCATCGTATTTCTCGTGAGCAGCTTCAACTGATTTTAACTGCTTCTCCATGTCTGAAATACGGTCCTGCAGCTCCTTCTTTTCACCCTCAAGCCTCTCCATTATTTGTGCTGCTTGCTCGAGCTGGCCCCTGCGAAGGTCCAGCTCATGCTCTACCTTCTTCTTAGCGGCGATCAGTTCGTCTAATTGATCTTCCAGGCTCTCTTGATCAGCAATTGCTCCAGCTAGCTTCTCGCTGAGTTCAACTTCCCGAAGCTGTAGCCGTTTGAATATTTCCTCTTTGTCTAATGCAAGAGAACGCTCGCTTTCTAAAGTTTTCCTGACTCGCTGCATCTCGGCTTCCACCTTCCGCCGCTCTTCTTCTATCCTCTGCCGATCAGATAGATCTTGCTGAACTTTTGCTTCAAGCTGCTGGATCTTCTCGTCTCGCTTTTTAACCTCGCCTGCAGTACGAGTTTCCCCAAGCAGCGGTTTCATGGTCGCAAAAAGCCTCCACCACGGCGATGACTTGAGGTTGAGATAAAGGTGGAAGTTCCGCTGGATGATCCGTGTAGCTTCCGCACGGTATAATCGCTTGTTGGCAATATGTCTTTGAACAAATCCACGGGCTACAGATTGGAATCGTTTCATGATCTCACGGATGAGGGTATCGCGTTGTTCTTCCAACTCTGCCAATACTCCGGCCCTGAAGAAGATCTTTGATAATCCCACTCTGAAGAGAGACTTGTCTAGGCCTAGCTTTTCCACCATATAAGTGACAGCCATCTGCCCATCCAAATAACCTTTGGGCATGCCACGACAGAGTACTTCGTATCTCTGACGGAATTCGTTGAAAGTTAAGCGATTGGGAAAGCCGGTTCGAGCAATTCGAATGCCTTCCAGGACACCGTTGCATCGTAGCTGGTCCAAGACAAGTGGCCCATTGAAAAGTTTTGGCCGCTTCTTGTTATTTGGCAAAATACAACGGACGAAATGGGGATGGGTTGAATGAAGCTGTGCCATCAGACTTGAAAGTTGTTCTTTATGCCTCTGCGCAACGGTTCGGAACAGACCCTTCTTCACAACACTTCTAGTCCCATTGGATACATCATCGGCATAATCGGTAAATAGGTTGGCAACGTGCGGATCGTTAGAATTGGATAACAGCCGAGTTACGTTGTCATTGAGGGGGTCCTTGTTTTTCTCCAGCCAATTTTCCGTGTTATATTCCACCTCTGCTGCATAATGGGTGAGAATAAAGCCTTGGTTTAGACGCGACGCGTGGTACTTCGGAGATTTGCGATCCCACAACGAATGAAGTTTCTCAGTAAATGTTTTGTCTGTCGCCTTTGGCATCACTGAATCCTCGTCAAGACAAGAAAAGATACCAATAGGGTTGGATAATTCAATGAGGTCGATTGTTGGCTGGAGATCCTTGCCGAAATCAATGAACTGCCATTCGATTTGCTCCCGGGAGTATTCCTCCTGTTCTAAAACGAACATATGGTGGTTGAAGAATTGCTGTAGCTTTTCATTGGTGTAATTGATGCAGAGTTGTTCGAAGCTGTTTGTGCCAAATATTTCGAATCCTGCAATATCAAGGACACCAATGAAGTGACTCTCCTCAGTGACAATTCTGCTACGGTCCAGTTGGTTGTTAATTCTGTTGACCAGGTCTCCGAATCCGCGTTCATAGATACCCTTTGCCAAAGAATCAATTGCGAAGCGGACTTGTTCGGGTGTCTGTACCTTTTCCACCCATTCTCGTCCAGCTTTCACACGGGGGTGTAGTAAACCTTTAACAAAGGGTTCGACAGGTACACCTAAAAGATAACAGGCATGTTTGACGCTTTCGGTATCATCTTGTGTGAGCCTAGCTTGATCCGCGCGTAAGCTCTCCTTTCCAACGGTGATGTTCCCTAAATGTAACACAGCAGCTACTGTTCGCAGTATCGCTAGCTGATCGTCCTCCCCAAACTTCATGGTATCAAAAGCTTCAATAAGGGAGTCCCACTCGTCTCCGTCGGATACACCAGCTATAGTGTCATTCCCGTCTCTTGTGTATGCGAAATCTTGGATATCCAGGTTTGAGAGCCGTAGGCGGTCTCGTAGTGCCTTGCCAGCTCCGTGAAGCAACTGGTAAAAGATGTGGTAACTCCTTTCTTGAGCATTAAGCTTGACAACTCTAGATTTCTCAAGGAGATACCAATCAATGAAAGCTCCACAGATTTGACCTGTCCGAGAGAATTCAATACGAATAAACTTTCCGAATCGCGAGGAGTTGTTGTTTCGTACAGTTTGCGCATTCCCGAACGCCTCAAGGATCGGATTCGCCCTTAATATTTGCTGTGAAAGGTCCCCTAGTTGCTTGGAAGATAGGTTTCCGTGGCTAGCATCACCAGGAGCAACGGCCGCTAAATACTGAATAACCTTCTTGGTGTTTTCCGTCTTTCCAGCACCAGATTCACCACTATAGTTCCAGATATGAGCAACGAAAATAGAGTATTATGAGGGAACAAAGGTCGAACTCACGTCACAAGAATACTCTGGTTCTCTCCTTCGTCCACAAGATTGCGGAAAGCCTCATCTGCCATTGCAAATATGTGCGGCCGTGTTTCCTCTCGGGTTCGGCCTTTGTACAATTTGACATACTCATTTGAATATATAGGCAGCGGGCAGTAAGGATTTACGGTCACCAAGAATAACCCAGAATAGGTCTATATGTCTAGTCAGTAACTCATCCTAGCCCACACTCCAAGGGGGCCAAATGAAGTAAAGCATACGTATATCAAGTCCGATTTGTATCGAGTGTGCAAGTTATGCACTACTGAGCCTTCGTTTAAATGAGTGAGCTCGGCCATATCGTCTGCCTTGTCGAACTTCGGCGGGTTGACCTTGTCGACATTCTCGGGGTTGATTTCCACCTGCTGTAATGCTGATTGTCAGAATACCATTTTCTAAAGAATGGTCGTGCTTGTAAACTCACGCGGCCATCATCGCACTGTACAACCAAGAGGCCATCCTCAGTCTCTCGAACTACAGCTCCACGGATAAACGCTTTCTCGGGGTCCTTCAACCACACGTATCGCTTTCCAGAAAAGTCATTATCACCCTCTTCACCTCTTATCTGATCCGCACCTCTCCGTAACTCTTCCGATTTTATAAACTGCGGAGCAAACGTGTTGGAGGTTTCGGAGGGGTGTCGTGCTGAATTAGATCGTTGCCTATTTACGCCATTTGTAGAGGTAGGATTCAATGGCGTCAGGGACGAGTTCCGTGAGTGTCCCGTAACGTATGTCTGTACAGGGGAGGTAAATGTGACCGACTTGGGCCGGCCTGACACTCTGGCGGAGGAATCTGGAGGCGCTGGAGATGGAGAGGGAGAGCTGCGGGAAAATGGATTGTTTCGTTTCGTGGTGCTATTATATGAGGGATGCATAGTTTCAGGCGGTAAAGAGGAGCGATTAACTAGGATCAGGTCGTGGAATAGGCGTTAATTCATGAGATATAGTCCTGACGGCGAAACGGGAGGAGCCTAGGCATAAGGGTCATGGAGCGGTAACGGAAAAGTGTTAAACGAAAAAACAAATATTTCCAAGGTCGAGAAGGAGTACAGCAGGGGAATTCATCACACGTCAAGGGTGGTCGGCCTTCAATAATAGTAACCTGGTATGGGCGTTCGCGATGAACCAAACGCCGCCTTTATCTCAATTATCACCAACTTTAAGCGTTGTTTGTTTACATCCTTCCTAACCAGGACTAGCTCAAGGACCGTGCTTGGCGCGAGCGCTTATAATCACGTGATGACTATTTTGGGCCAAGAAGATCGATCTTTTTTCCAACTTCAAAATATCAAATTAAACAGAGACAACGGACTGGATATCGAACATTTCGTTCACCCTCAAGACTCAAGACGGCTGATGTTATCTATCTTGATCCTCTGACGCGTATCCGTTTGGTTTCTCTTTTTAATTACCGCGGCGGTTTGATACGGGTGGCACCTCTCCTTTTTTTTACACCGACTTCTTTCACATCCCGTTCACATGCCTCAGTATCAATCCGTGTACAGCATAGACACAGTCGCGTTTATTCCTGACCTGCCAGTGCGCAGCTAAGAATGCTTTCAACCGCTACATCAGGAAATATGTCCGGATATCCGCCAGCTCCATCGTATGGGGGTGCCGACCCCCGTTGGCCTGCTAACCAACAAGCAGGTTACGACCCGAATATGCCCTATCCCCCATATAATATGAATCCACCATATGTTCCTCCTCGAGACCCTCACACCATGTATGGTGCACATGCGGGAGCTCCTTACATGAACCCTGGGGCTCACCCGTTCACCCCGAATAATATTCCGAATGTAGGTTATCTACCTGCAGGAGATGCGCGCTATTTACATCCACAACCTCCATATACATTTCCTCAAAATATACCGGTAGGCCTTGTTTTCATATCCCCTTTATACTCGTAATCTCACACCCAGACCAGAATCCTCCTCCACCAGCTACGTACCACCAACCAATCGAGGAAGCAGAGCAGTTATCAGACGCGATGGACGTCGACGCAAGGGAAGAGGGCGAGTTGAGCAGCTGTGGAGGGGATGTTGAACGACGGAGCTTTAATTCCGATAATCGGTCCTCTCATCGACATGAACGACATGAGCCCCATGCTCAATCCTCGAGCGGCCTGAGACAGGGTGATGCCAGTACGGACCTTGAAGCGAATGGAGCTCAATCTACGGGAACAGGCATTCTCACAGGATCACAGGAGAAACCTGACATCCCAGAAAAGGGCCCTTCCGCAAAAGACGATGTTCACACGAGCTCCCTGGCGGGGAAGTCTCCTTCGCAACTGAAAGTCCTTGCGCAAGGAGCGCTATTAAATCTTGCACCACACAAGATTCGATATAACGAACTCGTTCAAGAAGGCATTGATGCAGCAGTATTGAAGTCCTTGTATGATGAAATCGGGATAAAAATCATGGCGGAGCCCGACAACAAAGCAGTCTTAGCTCACACAACCTCTAATGAAGCTTCACCCGTGGCACAGAAGACCTCGCAGGCCGTAGGTCTAAACACCCCCAACGGCGCATCTTCAGGGCAGGGTAAACCGACAGCACCCGCCAGGGAAGAGCAAGCGGCAACAGCGAAGCAAAATAATGAAGTCACTTCTGCTAACTCTAATAAGCCGATGGAACGCAAAGATGTTATTGCCCGCATGTTGGCAGCGAAGGCTGCAAAAGCTCCAGCTCCCGCAGGAACCCCAAGCCAAAGCGCTAGCTCCCAGCCAACTAAGATGGCAATTCGGCCGCTTAATGAAAGCACTACCCAACCAGCACAAAGTACGCCACTAAGCACGGCGCAAAGCACGGCACAAAACACGCGTGATGAAGTTCGCACAAAAGAAAAGAACAAAGCCCAAACGGAATTGGCTAGGCAGCGAATGGAACAACTTAAGAAAGTTGGACTCGGGAAAACTAATACTCAAATTCCTGGCCTCGTTTCGACTCCTCCAGCAATAGCAAACATGGATAGTTCTGTCCCTACGGCCTCTCAGGAACCATCATCCCTCCCTCATCCCTTACCCGATCGTCCTCCACTGCCAGGCAACGCAGCCTCAACCCGCATTCCAGGACTAATCATGACAAACTCTGAGTCGAGCAAGGTCGATGAGCCCACTACGAACGATCAAACCCAGAATGAGAAAAAGGAAGTCACCGAACCCTCCTCTCGTATGCCTCGGAAACGCCCTAGAGCTTCAGATTTTACCGATGACCTTGACGATACACCGGCAAGAAAATACTCCGGAGTAGGGCACCGTTCGACCAGTGCTGAACAGAGAGTCATTATTGATATCAGTGACGACGAGGCCATGTATGGCCTAGATGACGACGAGGCTGGGGGAATGACCGATGCCACGAATTTGTCGCGCGTTACTAGCTCCTCTACGAAACCAACAATACGAGAACTACCCCCTTTGCCTGATTTTCCGCCCCGGAATTATGGTTCTCATCGGTCCACCCCTGTTACGGTATCAAGTACTCCTCCAAAGCCAACCAATGGTCTACTTCAGAAAAATATGGAGATACTGGCCATGCGGCAAAGGATTGCAGAGTTAGAGGCCCGACGGGGTAAGAAGCAAACAACGGCTCAAAACCGAAATGCCGAATCTTCGAATGAATCGGGTGCCACTCAATCAGACGATGCACAACAAGAAGCTGAGAACTCGTCTTCTGAACTGGAAAATGCCCGGAAGACGTTGAAACAAACCGTTGAGCGAGCCTTGAGCGAAGCTAATGAGCCTACCACGAGTGCCTCGACGGTGTCCATCCCTGTAACAAGCTCATTAATCAATCCCCCCAGTCTATCACCAGCACCATCTTCTCAGGCTATTTCTCACCCTAATTCTCGCCGAGCTGAAGAATTAAGGCTAAAAGCGCTCCGCAGAAAGGAAATTGAGTCTGGGCTTCCACTTCTCGACGCTGAGTTGCTAAAAACCGAACAGAAATTAGCCGAATTCCGTGAACAAGAGAGGAAATTACTTGAACAAATCGCCAAAGGGAGGGAAGGAAAACGCCGGTTGATTGAAGAGCTGGAAAGTTTAGGGATTGAGACTGAGGGGCTGTCTATGGCAGAGCTTAAGGAAATATCGAATGATATTGAGAGCACGGAAGACGGTTCAGGTAAGATATACATACCAACTCTTCCTACCATTCTAAATACTAATATCGTTTTTATTGTAGTAAATGAGCAAGAACCAGCTACAAAAACCACCATCGACCAGAATCAACAACACGAAATTACCCCTCCTAATGATGATAAAGGCAATGCTCCCGATACTAACGTCCCTGATGCAAGCGAGGAGGCTAGCTCCCCTGACCCTCATTCAGCACAGGCCGAAGGCGACGTTCATGATGCAAGCAACTCACAGGATGAGATCATGCAGGGAACATCGTCTGCCGAAACACACGAGCTCCGTGAAGGGTCCTATTCAAGCTCCGCCATGGATGAATCTATGGGAAGTTCTGAGGATGAATCAGAGGATGAACCCGCCTCAGTGGCTAAATCGCTATCACTCGCTAGTACTGGCAACGAAGCAGCAACGACCACCAGGGACCCTTCTCCCCACCACGTAGAAGTCAACGCCTCGCAGAATGACGCCTGTGTAACAGGCACAACTTCTATATTACCAAACCAGGATGATGACGAATATTGCCCTACTCCGCGAGAGGCCTCGGTTTTATCTGACGGATATGAACCGCCGGAGCCAGACGTATCAATGGATGATGGATCGCTAGACAGCCCTCCATTCAGCCCGGCTCCTCCAGACCCAATAGAACAGATATCTATAGCGCCACCCGAAACCCGAGATACCCCGATGCTAACTCCTAGTAACCAAGAAGCAGCCACTACAACGGCACCGGAATCCCCCATGGTACAATATCTTCTCTTTTAACCCCAAAATGGTAGATTGCTAACCTAGAGCTCATAGAATGATGCCAATGCGCCTTCGCATCAACTCACTCATCGTTTCGACCCCTACCATAGTCCATTGAATATATTTAGGGCATACCGCTACCATCCTAATTTCACAGATCATGTAGAGGGTGGTTTCCGCTCCCTGACATACAGCCACAAAATTGACCCACATAAACCACTATGTGATCTTGAAATTACCGGTGGCGTTTGTGACGCCCCTTCCTGTGGCTTCCAACATTTTCGAGACATGAATCTGAGTGGTGCGTTGATGGGATTATCATCTTCAGATTCTGGCCGTTCCCATTTTTCCCCTACCGATACCCCTTTCTCTTCAGGCACTTGACCCTCCCAGATGATACCCTTCTTTCTCTCCACGCGTTTTTTAAATTATTCTTTTGGGGGATTAGAGTGACAGGCTGACAGTTAGGTGGCGTTAACGTTTCATAGATGATAAAATCCTCGTCGAAATGGGCTCATTGCGAGAAGGCAAAACTCCAGCTGAACGTGAAGAGTACGTGACTGGCCTCAGACAAATCATCAATGACATGCGACGTGATAAGGTGAAAGACTTCGCCATAGTTGCGCAGGAAATTGCTGCATATCGCAGACGCTTCCTTCAAGACCCCTCTCGAGTTTTAGCTCTGTAAGCCATTTCCACCCATAACCACACGACCAGACCGTAGGAGCAGAGTCAACAAAGCTATTGAAACCATTCTTCTTAAAGAAAGGTGAGATGCTCGACTAAAGATGCTGCGAGCCTTGGCCCATCCAACATATACCAAGAGATAGGGTTTTGTGTGAAGAATTTGTGACTTGGAAGAAGCAATAATTCCAGCCGCAATTTTTTTACATATCTTAAATCCTCGATTAATTTGGTTATCAAGCTGTTTTTGACAGCCACGTTTCCCTTCGACCTTTTCTTTTCATTACCAATTTTCCCCCATACCCCATTTTTGGTGAGCATAGCATTGCCCGAGAGCCTTGAGCACTTGAGGAGTAATGCGCGTTTGAGCTACGACAAACAATACGTTTATCTTCGGGCTAGCCTAGCACGAATTATATGGTTTCGCCATTTTAGCTTTTACAACATCGATATTTTTGTTTTATACCGAACAGGCAGGGGACTTACATATCGGTTCAGCAACATTCGGCGCCTTCGGATACATTGTTTAGTCTGGCACTCCCATACAATGGGATTCCAGCTGGAAAATGATGCATTTCAGAGGACATAGGTGTATAACAACAGGGAGGTTTTCTTGCTATTTATCATGGTGAAACAAAGAGAAAAAGAAGGGGTAGAAGGGGATATCGAAAGTACTATCTATCCTTTGGATATTTTTTCTTCCACATAGGATGGATGGAAATTTCGAAGGGATGGGACAAATAGGAAGGAGGACGAGCCCAAACGACACGTACCTGGCTACTCCCTGTGCTGCGCTGGTGCTTCGTATGAAGCTGTGGCTCCGTGGCACGATCGAATGACGCTTCTGACTGTAAAGCTTGTTATTCTCGCTGATATATACCCCTTTTATGACTTTGTAATTCTAGCTCCGGTGCGTCAATAATTAAACATTATTACTTTATCTTCTCATATTTAAAGGTGTATCATTCAATAAATTATGCTCTATACATGATCTAATAGCTAGTATTTCTATATATAGGTAGCCCAACTTTTAGAAAGCAAATGAAACGCTTCATAACTTGACGTTAACAGCCTCCGTTAGGAGTTCCCCATAACCTGTATAAGGACAAAAAGCGCTATTCTTCTATTATTCTGCTCGAAAGGTATTGAAAGCCATGTCGGAAATTTGCGGGTGGGACTATCTCTTCTCTGGCGTGTTTTCCTCGTCCTCGACGTATGCGTATCTGGAATGTCGACGAATTGCCTCCCCCTTGAAAAAGAATACAAAAGGAATTACGCAACAGGCCAGAGCAATAAATGCGATGAGTGAGCTAGCCCACTGGTCTCCTAACCTGGAATACATCTGGTTGGTGAAGAGAACTACCGCGGCACCCCACATCGAACGGAGGAATGTCTTAGCGGCCAGGGCAGAAGCAGCCTGGTGTTGGTAGGTATCAACTATTTCAAGAATCATGTTAGCAAGTTTTTGTCTTTTATACAACTCCTCCAATGGAACAACGTACCTAAATAGTTGTTGCAAGCGTTGTAAAGGAAGATGAAACCAAAGCCGACTGGGAAACCGCCTATGGCAGGACCGATCCAATGAACTTCGGAGTACGACGTCCAGGCGAAGATGAATATACCGATTGGGATGAGCCAGCAGGATATCATCATCGGGACAAGACGCATTTCCGCCGGAGGTTTGCCATTATATTTAGCAACAAGCGTTAAATAATGCTTGTTAACACTTGGAGCAAAAATAGCACTGCCTGCTACTCCTATAGCTAGGGGGATAAACATCAACCCCGTAATGCCAGATGAATAGCCCTTTCCTTCCTCATATACAATGGGATATCTAAGGAGTAAACTTGGTTAGCAGCGTTCTGATAGAATGTTTAAGTAGGGTGTACTTACGCAATGAAGAACATATACAAGAGCCCGTAGAGGACCGACATGTAAATCGAAAGAAAAAGGACGATCGGTTCCAGGAATAGAAGCTGGAATGGTCTGATCATGAATATGCGTAGTTTTTCTCCCATGGGCCGCGAGTCCAGGTCGGCTTCAGTAACATATGAAGGGTCGTTTTTCTCCTTTTGAAGTTTCTTGGCTCGTTTGGCGAGTAGGGTGGGTGTGTATGTTTCGGGAAGAGTAAAGGTGATTAGAAGGAATACAACGCTGGATAGAATCAACTGAATCCAGTATAGCCATCTCCAGCCCATAGCATCACTCAAGAAGCCTCCAACCAAGGGTCCGATCGCTGGACCTAGAAATGGAGCTGCACTGAACGCAGCCATTGGGACTCCTCGCTCCTCACTTCGCCATAGATCCGCCAAAGTACCTCCAACAAGTGTCATTGGGGCAGAGAATGCGATGCCGTCGATGGCGCGGCAGACTAGGAGCGTAGCAATGTTTTTTGAAACAGCACACGGTATTATGAATATGACGGCGATAAACAAGGTCGAAACATATACTGGCTTTCGACCAACCAATTCGGATGCCGGTGCAAATGCCATGGGGCCTATAAACGAATACCAAAGTCAACATATGACACTCTACAGAACTTCCAAATATATACGTACCAACACCAAAGCCGACAACAAACAAAGATATTGTTAGGAGGGTCACCTCCAGGGAAACATCAAACTCCTCGATAACACCCCCTAGATCAGCAGTTATGACACTGCTGCAAAAAGCAACCACAAAGCAGGTGAATGCCACCACCATGGTACAATACCATTTGTAGAGCTTGCTCCAGTTCTTCGGGTTCTCGGGGTCTCCGACTGTGAACGTGACGAGCTTATAATCCTCAATCTTCCCCGTCACATTAGATTTGACGGACTTGAGTATCTGTCCATTGGGCGTCTCTTCTGTGAACTCCTCAAAGTTCGCCGTTTCGTCCAGCTGGCGATATGGTAAATCTGTGGGCTCAACACCGGTAGGGACTGCTGCAGGATGATGCGAGTCCGATGACTGCGAACTGAATGACCTATCCATCTTGAAAATATTATCCAATGGATGGTGGAAGGAGTGTTGGAGGAAGGTTGGGTTATACAGTAAGGGGCCCTCGGACCAACCCAGGGGTATGGACACACATATATATAGCCATTGTACATACACCTCACGGCAAGTTTATGCCGATATCTGCATGGTTTTATCGCAAACCCGTGGTAGACTCATGACGGCCAAATGAAACTTTTCATCTAGAACCGTATATCAAATATTTTCAGGAACTCGGCAAACTTTCGGCCCATGCTGAGCTCTAAAATTAAGCTCTTTGGGCTAGATTTATATGGACAGATAACATCCATATAAATGATGCAATCGAGTGGGCCGTCCTGGGAGAAGGAACAATGCCCATTCGCTGAGCTATAAGTCTTCATCGGTGATAACAAACGGCTCCGCAGCTGAGTCGACGATCGTAGGTACACATATATGAAATGAATAACCGTGTATCCGGCTGGGCAAAATCTGGCACACCCCATCGGCTGATGCTATCCTTGTGAAGCATCTTCTCAAATTCAATAGTTTCTGTTTTTGAGCTGTTAGGTCGGGGTCAAGTTGAAGAAGATAGCAATCGCGGTTTGAAGGTACCTCACATATAATCTATTCATTGCTTGGGCGTCCATCCAGTCTCTATTCATCATCCTGTTTCTAGTTTCTATAGCTCGGACTCAACGATATAAGCCGAGATAGCATCCCTTTTGCTTGGTAAGGATTGATAAGGTCATAGAAAGAGCGAGGCCCGAACTATCCCCGGGCAGACCTTTTGGTCAAACTCGGAGAAAACTCGGTGTCTCGGGCCGATAGATTTTCCATATCATGTGACTGTATGCTGACTAATCATGGCACGGACGGGTATTAATATAATGCCGGAGGTCTATTAATCAGCAAGAAAAAGTATATGCAAACAGTACAAACGATCCAAACTAAACAAACATAATAATGAGTCATCCATCTGCCCCGCGCTTAACCCAATTTAGGGCTTATCAGTTCTTTATCATCATGTGACTTTCCCTAGGGCGCTGGAAGAAGTGGAGGAGAAAAAAAAAACTGTGACTACGAGGACGAAGAGAAGGAATTGCTTTCTTGACCCCAAAAGAAGAGGATGGATCCTATGGGGGACTGCTTTGTTATGCTCTGAGTATCGACGAATTGTGCATTCATTTTTGCCTAAGTAGTAATACCTTTAACTACTTTGATATCCATCCCAACTGGCCTACGTGGGGCAAGTATCTGGGGGCAACGCCGTTGATAGACCTAGCTGCAGCCGGAAAATTGTTTGATACATCTCCAAAATGGCTACTTCAGACTCACTATATCTGACCCTACCGGGCTCCGTTGCATTCTCGGATTTCCGATGTCGCGGCATAGCTGCAAGCACCAATGCTAAAGCCGTCCGGGCTCAGTGGGTTCATTACCTACACCTCGCGGAACCATTGCAAGGCAACCAGCCTACGGACTTGAAACAGCTCTTGCAATACGGAGATATATCAGATTCTCCGGGATCTTTTGCGGCCCAGGATGGCCGGTCAATTACCTACTATGTCAGCCCAAGAGTGGGCACCATTTCGCCATGGAGCTCTCAAGCTACCGGAATCGCTCATGTCTGTGGCTTTCAAAAGTGCCTCAAGCGGATAGAACGTGGACTCATGATATCCTGTCTCTTGGACGAAGGGGTTGACAGCCTGGACTCCGCGAGCCTTGATATTTTACACGATAGGATGACGCAAGTCATAAGCACCAGCGAGCCAGACCTTCAGGCTATGTTCGCCGAGAAGGCACCTGCTCCTTTGGAAGTTGTGTCTCTTACTGATGGAGAGAAGTCTCCGCGAGAGATTCTCCAAGAGGCAAACAAACGCCTCGGCTTGGCGTTGGATTCGTCAGAGATCGACTACCTTGTCGATGCTTATGCGGCGGGAGGACCCATCTCAAGAGCTCCTACGGATGTCGAATTGTTCATGTTTGCGCAGGTAAACTCCGAACATTGCCGTCACAAACAATTCAATGCGTCCTGGGTTATAGACGGAGAGGAAAAACCTAACACGCTTTTCGGTATGATTCGCAATACCCACAAACAACACCCCGAATATACAGTCAGTGCGTATAGCGACAACGCTGCAGTTCTAGAAGGAGAGGAAGCAGGTCACTGGGCTCCGGATCTAACTACAGGAGAATGGTTCCAGACAAAGGAGAAGGTCCATTTCGTTGCCAAAGTTGAAACTCATAACCACCCTACCGCCGTCTCGCCCTTCCCCGGCGCCGCCACTGGGTCTGGTGGTGAAATTCGAGACGAAGGATCAGTCGGCCAGGGATCACGACCAAAGGCGGGACTCTCTGGTTTCTGCGTCTCGGACTTGTTGATCCCCGAACACAGACAACCTTGGGAGCTTGACGTCGGAAGACCAAACCATATTGCCAGCAGTCTCGACATCATGCTAGAAGCACCTATTGGAAGTGCATCTTTCAACAACGAATTTGGTAGGCCGTGTACAGGTGGCTATTTCCGAACTCTCCTGACCAAGGTTGACCTTGGCAATGGGGAGTCTGAATTCAGGGGCTACCACAAACCTATTATGATTGCTGGAGGTGTCGGTACCGTCCGCCCTCAGCATGCCCTGAAAAATCCACATGCAGTTAAGCCAGGTTCCTACTTGATAGTACTGGGAGGGCCAGCTATGCTTATTGGGCTTGGAGGTGGTGCAGCTTCAAGTGTCGCCTCAGGGGAAGGCTCTGCGGATTTAGATTTTGCAAGTGTGCAGAGGGGGAATGCAGAGGTTCAGAGAAGAGCCCAGGAGGTTATCAATGCCTGTGTCGCTATGGGAGCAAACAACCCCATCAAGTTCATTCATGACGTTGGTGCTGGAGGGCTATCTAATGCGTTACCCGAGCTTATCCATGATGCAGGCCTAGGGGCTTCTTTCGAGCTTCGGGAAGTTGACAATGCCGATAAGGGAATGAGCCCCATGCAAATATGGTGCTGTGAAGCCCAGGAACGATATGTTTTGGCCGTATCTGAAGAGGGAATGGCCGATTTTGTAACAATCGCAAATCGTGAACGATGTGGATTTTCTGTCGTTGGTCGTGGACTCGGACAGCCGGATGAAAGTAGGAGACTTGTTCTTCTCGACAAAGACTCAAAGGAGTATCCAAAGCCAATCGACCTCCCTCTCTCAGTACTCTTTGGCAAACCGCCCAAATTGACGAGGACGGTTTCCTCAAGGCAACTCAGTCTCCCTGCATTTGATTCTAGTCTGAAGACATATCTTCCTACTCTACCAGATCAAGATTTGATGGGTGAGGCTGTGATGAGAGTTTTGCATCTTCCAGCTGTTGGATCTAAGTCCTTCCTTATCACCATCGGCGATAGGACCGTTGGTGCCCTCACAGCTAGAGATCAAATGGTCGGTCCCTGGCAGACTCCTGTATCGGATGTGTCCGTCACCGCCACCTCGTTACTTCTTGGGATGAAGACTGGGGAGGCTATGGCTATGGGAGAGAAACCCACTCTTGCCCTCATCTCCCCTGCAGCCTCGGCAAGGATGGCAGTTGCTGAATCGTTGATGAACATTGCCGCAGCAGACCTGCCTGAGAGGCTCAGTCGTGTCAGGCTTTCAGCAAACTGGATGTCTGCTACCAACCATCCAGGTGAAGGTGCGGCTATCTACGAAGCTGTTGAAGCCATCGGGTTGGACTTGTGCCCCAAGCTTGGAATAAGTATCCCTGTTGGAAAAGACTCCATGTCTATGAAAATGAAATGGAGCGACCAGGAAACAGGAAAATCTAAGGAGGTGACCGCACCTTTATCCCTTGTCATTTCTGCTTTCGCCCCAGTTCAGGATATTAAGAATACGTGGACTCCCACTTTGCGAAGCTTCGAAGAGGTTGGCGAGACTGTTCTAATGTTCGTTGACCTCTCATTTGGTCGTAAGAGCATGGGGGGCTCAGCCATAGCACAAGTTTTCGGACAGGTTGGAAACGATTGCCCCGATATTCGTGACGTGCAACTCTTCAAGGACTTCTTCGATGCCACCCAGTCACTTCAGGAAGCTGGAATTGTCCTCGCCTATCATGACCGCTCGGACGGTGGACTGTTTACAACCCTTGCAGAAATGATGTTCGCAGGAAGGTGTGGAGTCCAGGTCATGCTTGATGATATCTGTGCCAGCCCTAATGTGAAAGATGCAATTGAGACCCTGTTCAATGAGGAGCTGGGTGCCGTTTTCCAAGTGCGCAAGAGCCACGAAGGAGAATTCAGAAGTTGCTTTGCAACTTGCGGCCCCCCTCCAGGTTTGATCTTCAGAATCGGCCGTGTTGCGGAAAAGAAGAAGCAGAATCTGTCCATTTACCATGGATCCACCTTGATATACCGAGAAAGCCGAGGCCGCTTACAACAAGCTTGGTCCGAGACTTCATACCGCATGCAACGACTCCGAGACAACCCAGCTGCTGCTGACCAGGAGTTTGAAAATATTCTGGAGGATAATAATGCCGGACTATCGTACAACCTATCCTTCGACCCGAAGGATACTGCAATGCCATTGATGACGAGCCTTACGTCTCGCTTCTCGCCCTTTGCAACTCGGCCAAAGGTTGCAATTCTCCGTGAACAGGGAGTTAACAGCCAGGCAGAAATGGCATTTGCTTTCAATATGGCCGGATTCTCTGCTATCGATGTACACATGACCGATATACTTACGGGCAAGGTTTCGCTCTCTTCGTTTGTAGGTCTAGCCGCGTGCGGTGGTTTCTCATATGGAGATGTTCTGGGAGCAGGACGAGGATGGGCCAAATCAGTACTTCTTCACAAGCAGACACGAGAGGAATTCAAAGCATTCTTCGAGCGACCGGATACTTTCGCTCTTGGAGTTTGCAACGGTTGTCAATTCTTCGGCCGTCTTAAGGAACTTATTCCTGGTGCTGGAAAATGGCCTAGCTTCGAGCGGAACGCAAGTGCACAATATGAAGGACGTGTGTGTATGGTCCGTATATCAGAGCCAACTGACATTCCACCAACCGTTTTCTTCCATGATATGAATGGCTCTTCTCTACCCATTGCTGTTGCGCACGGAGAAGGCAGAGTATCGTTTGAAGATACCCCTGGTATGGATGGCAAGCAGCTCGTACAGAGCGGGCTTGTCCCAGCTCGTTATGTTGATAACACAAGCCTCGAGCCGACGATGCGATATCCCTTCAACCCTAACGGTAGCCCTGAAGCTATTGCTGGTGTACGTTCACCAGATGGAAGGGTTCTTGCTATCATGCCCCATCCGGAGCGAACCATTATGACCGGCATAGGAAGTTGGTTCCCTGGAGATAAAGCAATGAGCGAGGAATGGGGCAATGTTGGTCCATGGGGTCGGGTGTTCTTCAGCGCTAGACGATGGGTTGGTTGATCCCGCCTAAGTTATATCTCGAAGACTCGAAATAGAGGGATGAATAAAAACGAAAATTTCAAAACAAAAGATAACCACGCGGTTTTTTTCAACGGACTTTTGGGTCCGTTTTCCCAATAGCATATCCTTGTTTGTCTTGTTGAAAATTATGTACATAAGCTCAAGTTCTAACAAAAGTACTTTTATACAAACAGAGCATAAATGAGAGGATGAACCATTCGGCAAGTATTCTATTGGTCTTAAATTAGCAGCGTAATATCATTAATGTACTCATTAGCCCCATTCGAGGCTATCAGCTAAAATTTCCATACTCTGTGAGTAGTCGCCATGATCGACCCTCAGTCCAGCCTTGATGGACTCGCATAAGTTATCAAACTTCGATTTTACGTGCAAAACACGTCTGCGGTAGGACTCGTCATGGAAAGAAATGTTAGTGGCATTGCCAGCCTCAAACATAGATATTTCCATATCAGATTCGCTGTCACCAGACTCATCTTCAGATGATCTTTTGCCGGCAAGTCTTGCCAGGCGTACTGTGCTCAACGTCTGGTCGTTTTGATCTTGCTGGTACTCCAGGGTGCGGGCAACTTGTGTATCTGAGAAGGATATACATAAGTCCAGTAAAGATATCAACGCGCGGTGAATAGGCGCGAGGCCCTTGCTAAGGAGACACTGTGCCTCCAAGGACTTGATGTACGATTGATGTATCTCGATCATAGTATCGACGTCCGCCGATTCTTTGGCAGCTTTTACCATCTCTCGGGTCGAACGAGCAATGATCACCTCTGTAAAATGATGATAGAGAACATTCAAAAACCACAGCAAGCGATGTCGAACGCAAAAGCTTAGGACATGGTCAGCTCTCTCTTCTTCCTCGCCCAGGGATAGATGTGGCTTTGTAAACCAGCGCTTTTCCAGAATATATTTTCCTCTGCGGATTTGCATGAGTAATAACGAGATACGTTTGTAGATAAGAATAGATTCCTTAGTGACGATGTTTGCAACGGGCCAGGGTAATGTGTAATCAACGGATATAACCTTCAAAATTTGGACAGATCGATTATGCTTTTCAAACACGTCGAATGGTATTTTTGCTGACCGCCCAATCAGCCGTGTGACATCAATGCATGGCAAGGAGCTAAAAGCCTGTCGAAGGAGCTCTGTGACGAGGAACCGATCATTCCAAGACTGGCTGCCCCTATCGATTAAATCGAATAACCTGTAGTCCGTTGCAGAATATCTACCGTAGTCCTTGCCTAGATATAAGTACTCTAGAGCATCCAATGCCTGCCATAAGCCACACTTCTCATCAAGTTCTGATTTCAGCAGGGAAGACGCAAAGTTATGGTTGATATCAACAAGTCGATTGAAAGCTGCCTCCAGCTGACCAGCGAAGGGAAATAATGACAATGACTGGTCTGACGGACAGATATCCTCGTAGTGCAGAGACGGTGCATCGACTAAACTGGAAGTCATGGGGTCAACTCCAAGATGGCGTAGAAAGACTAGACTTTTTCCAGTCGTGAAAATCTTCCTAGATGAAGGGTGAAGGAATTTTGGTGCATAGAGACGCCCGGAGCGCTGATGTAAAATAAACCAGTCATGCCATAGCGTCCGCAGGTCATCGCGCGAGCTAGATGAAGCAGTGACGAAAAAGGCTGAGTTCTGGGTTAAATCCAACTCTCCCGTTACCATCCAACGTCGAATGGGTCTCGTGTAGCTTTCAAAACAAGTGAAAAAGAGCTTCGAGACGTCCCGATATTGACTATCTTCGCCAGTAGCTTGTTTTTCGCACACTAGGTCATATAACAAATCCAGACAACGGAAATTTTCATGACTAGGATTTTCATCTAGCTTTCTGACAAGGCTGGCAAGTTCAAGCAGCACTTGCACGCGTTTCTGGACCTTGAAGAGTAGATGCAGAAGACTGACGGAGAGGGGGGTAGGTTGGTAGAGGTAATGTGACTGTTCTTCGGAGAGGTATTTGTCGAAATCCGAGATCAATGTTTCCACTTCTTTCTGAAACGTTTGCATAAATGGCACTACCTGTGGGCGCTTCAAAAACGTCCTAAGGGCCTGGGTAGAGGAGCCTATACGACTGAATGACTTCGCCAACTCTTGAAATGCATCTCGTGACGTATGGCGCATGGAAGAGCTACGGTTGGCGACAACCTTGTCATTAGTCGTTAAGAATGTAGTCGTCGGTAGGCCGCGCAGCATAGATATGGCATCTTTGATGGTTTGAAGCTCGGTCAAGTATGAAATCTCAGCATCGCCTCTCTCTGTCCGAGCCTGAGATTCGATAATTGAAGCGATTAAAGTGTCGTCCTCCACGTCGATAAATAATTCATCAGGTGGATTAAACTCATCCAAGGGGATTGTTGAGCTATGTGGCACGATTTTTGGAATCGAAACATCGCTTGATGCTAACGATATGTCGTCGTCATCAGAAGACTCGGCGGCGTAATCAATATTATTCCATAGGCCCTCTGGCTCCGTAGTTTCTGGATCATCGAGATCAGCCCATGTTAAGACCTTGGGTGCTTTTGGTTGTAAAAAGCCTTCCGCCTTCTTTGGGTCCGAGAGAGTGGCAGGGTTATCTGAGAGCTGCAGCAGAAGGGAAAGAATGTCAGGGGCCAAATTGAAACGTATTTGGCCCAGTTCTTCTAATCTTTGGTGTAGTGCATCTGCCAACTCATCGTTTCCGACGACCTGAAACTTCTCTACTAGACCATCAAGACTTTTCGTAACTTGAAATTTATCCGTTCTCATAGAAGAGTCATCCTTGATTTTCTTCTCGATGCCCGCTTTCAACGTTTTGTAAGAAGGCAAGTTCTACTATTGAGTTAGAATTGTAAATGTATCATAGTGAACGTATGTAAAAAAAAAGCATGTCACCTTATTTGAGGTCTTTGCGACAGCAGCTATCAACTCATCTATCAAGGCACCCGTTCGCAGTGAGATAGGCATTGTCATAGATATAGAGATCTATTGGACCCAACATTACGGAGAGAATTGAAAGTATAGACACGATCAGTATAAAAGGAAATGGAGATGTAACCCTTTCAGCTACCGACGGATCATCTCCTTGTAACTGACAGCCCCAGCAGGCTTGCTCTCCTCTGTATCTTGTGCTTCACACTTGAGTCGCGATCGTTTCTCAATTATCGCAACAGCGACGCGATTGACCAAATCACGTGATAGATAAGCTCCATGTATATATCACGTGATGATTCGCCGCTGATAGCATCATTTTGATGCCGGCTGGAGGATCAAATTACATTCTTAATTAAAAGCATCGCATATGTTTTGAGTGTCCATTGTCAATATGGCTCTCGCGCGACCGATCAGGCTAATTATCGGAGTCTGTATCGCTTTAATTCTGTTGCTTATCTATCAAAATTCTAGTTCGCCATCCCTACCCCTTTCTCCTATCCGAAAACATAAATTCGACAATGGGCTGAAGCGCGAGCCGCTGAAAGAATGTAGGTCTTTTCATATAATATTTTGTATTAGCGAGTTACTGACCCATTTTATAGTCACAGGGGAGCCAGAGGGGCCACTATGGAGGGCAGAGAAAGACGCGTACAGCCCTAACAATCCAAATTCCGCTCGAATTAAGGCGACACTTATTTCACTGGTGCGGAATGAGGAATTGGAAGATTTGATTCCGACTATGAGGGAGCTGGAGAGGACGTGGAATAAAAAGTTCAACTATCCCTGGACGTTTTTCAACGATAAGCCTTTCTCAGAGGAGTTCAAAAAGAGGACGCAGGCGGAAACGAAAGCAAAGTGCAATTATGGTACGGCACCTAGCGCACCCCTTGGCTATTTTTGCATTGAGTGTTATGTGAATGCTAATACGTCTTGATTTCGCCAATAGAGCTCGTACCGAAAGAACACTGGGATGTTCCCTCGTGGATAGACATGGATAAATACCGCACTAAATCCAAGGCTATGGAGGATAACGGTATCCAATACAGTACTATGCTATCATACCACCAGATGTGTCGTTGGAACAGCGGGATGTTCTACAAACACCCTGCCCTGGCGGATATGCAATACTATTGGCGTGTGGAACCGAAAGTGCGCTTCTTCTGTGACGTGGATTACGATGTTTTCCGGTATATGCAAGACAAGAACAAGACGTACGGTTTTACAATCAACATATACGATAATCCTCAGACTATACCATCGCTATGGCCGGAAACCGTCAAATTCCTAGAAAAGCACCCCGATTACCTCCATGAAAACAACGCTATGGACTGGTTGACGGATTCTAAGCAAAGGCCCGATCATACTAAGAAGGCGAACGGGTACTCTACTTGTCACTTCTGGTCCAACTTTGAAATAGGTGACTTATCCTTCTGGAGGAGCAAGGAATACGAAGATTACTTCAACCACCTTGACAAGGCAGGAGGCTTTTTCTATGAGCGATGGGGTGATGCGCCTGTTCATTCTATAGGGCTCGGTTTATTCGCAGATAAAAGCAAGATACACTGGTTAGTATACCCTCTAGGCGTCTAAGCATCTCATTGCCAGACTTATTACTCATACTTATCTTACCATTTAGGTTCCGAGATATTGGCTATAACCATATCCCTTTCCTGAACTGCCCGAATTCCCCCAAATGCAGGGAATGCGAGGCAGGACAGTTTTACCGTGGAGAGCCATTCCTTCAACTCGAAGATTGCCGGCCGAACTGGTTTAAATATGTTGGAGAGGGCTAATTGCCAACAGCCATATAACCGGCTGATAGCTCCTGGGATAGCTGCGTATAATTGTGTCCACTCGGAGTTGCCTTTCGTGCCTCCTATATACCCCCCGTTCCTTCACTCCTATGACATGATATTCAGATGCCAGTCCCACGATATCACTATCCTCTCCTATTACAGCTAAGATAATGAACGCCGATATCATGCATGCAGGTGGCGTTTTGAGAAAACGTTTCCATGATGGAATATTTAATCGTTATTAACTAAAATCGTTTTGTTTTGGTTGGCGTTTTTTCTCCTTCATATATTTTCCACTCTATTTCAGAAATGTGTAAACGAAACAATGTATTATTCTTTATAATTATTCATCTTATTTTGCATCTTTCGGTAATTCTCATTGATCTATACCAAAACTGCCTGACGTCAAGTTTATTAACCTCTATGTTGGTGTAAAATAATTATATAATTGTTCTAATAGAAGGCTAGGGAATATTGAAAAAAGGTGGTGGTGATGGTGGTGGTGCAAGAATATGCTAAATCAGTTAACATATTTGAACCTACCGCCGGAATATTCGGATATTGGATAATCTCTGCTTGACTTCGAGCCATGCGGACTTGAGTGTCCTCCCAAGCCGTCTCTCGTCCCGCAAGCGGATATATATGAGAAGTATTCCCAGAAGAGCAAGGTCCCAGCATAGTTGCCGTACAGCGACCCAAACCAGCCATTTTAACCATGCCCATATACCGGATTTCTTCTGCTCGAATGCTTTGCGTGATTCTAGCTGCTCTCTTACCGCAGCAACTTCGACGGTCATTTTCGTCAAGGCCTGCTCAACGCGTTTTTGCCATCTTTGGTAATGTCGCTGCCCAACCCTCGCGGGTGGTTGTGGCTGCTGAAGCCGTGGGTCTTCACCAGGTTCTCCATTCTCATAAAAGCTATTCCTAGCTTCTTGGAACTCTTCCTCTTCCTCTTCATCGTCTTGCTCTTCTCCCTCTTCGCCTTCCACGTCTTCCTCCCTGTCCCTATCCCCCGAGCTTTGGTCATGTTCTCTTTCGGACTGGCTGCCGTAGCGTTGTCGCCTCAATCCTCCGTCTGGCTGACTTACAGGGCTCAATACGCGGAGCCTAGAGTCCCTCCCAGCATCATCGAATTCCTGTCGCGCTATTCTACTTCCAATGTTATCGTAGCTAGTGTGCGATTGTAAATGTGCCGGGCCCGACACGCTTATGCCTTGGTCCGGGTTCGAGGATGAGGGTGAAGTATTAGACTTGATCTGGTCCCAAACGAATTCCAGCTCAGATATAAGCTCCTGTGCCTCCGGAGTCGGAGACGCATAGCGATGCATAGTCTCTATAAGTGTCGTTATATACCGTCGTTTCGCTTCCGTTCGAGATATGTTGCGTTGTGCATACCACGAGTCCCTTTGATAGTAAATAGATAGAAATTAACCTATACGTTCAAAGCAAGACGTTTGAGATTGTCTTTACCATTTCTCTTTCTCCGCCTGGACGTCAGCATCACCAACCGGTCGATCCATTACACCTTCCACATCGCCCTCTAAATATTGTCAAATAACCCCAAACGTCAGCCTTGTATCCAAAGATGTGCCCTTAAACTGGTCTCAGAACGGAATAGCCGGCGGTAAATACCCATGCTTTGTTTGTATAATCCATAGAGCTTCAACCGGTCAGACGGAGGCGGCCTGGCCGACCCCGTCCGGGGAATCTTTTTCACAGTATTAAGCGCATGGACAAAGACTCGATCTAATAGACGTTCATCAGCTTAGTGGACCATAGCTTGATAAGAGGCTCTATCTCTTGCGGAGGAGTGGATAATACACCCTTGCAGGGGTTTTCGGCGTAAACAAGAGCAGGAGGATAGCATACCGACTGAGTCTGACATGATTCATGGGCTGTACTGGCTTGGTCCCTACATGAGACTCGGACTCGAGGAAATGCGGAGAATGGGAAGAACCGAAGCTGTGGACGCGGACTCCGGGAGCGTAGGCAACATGGAGGATGTATTTGCCCATGTAACGGTCTGCGAGTCAATTCTTTCTCAGGAGAGTATAACGGGCATCGTACTCTCTCTTAGCAGGCGTTCACTGGATCTGAAGACGTTGACGGCGCGTATCATGGCAACTTGTCGAAAAGGCTCAAGGCAAATGGCCTTTTGTTCGTGATGCAAAGTTGAGCCGCGGCTGTCGGGCGCGCAGTTCACGTGCTACACTGCCAGTTCCTATCAAGGGGCCAAACAAACAAACAACCGCATCTACGATATATCTACATCGGCGTTCTACGGTAGAAGAACACGGGAATATGCAAAGAAGCCGATAGCTGCGTCTTTGATTTTGTTATTTTGTTAGGTGTTTTGTGGTTGCATATGATACAAGCTTGCCCCCTGCGTCCACTGCTAAATTCACGTTGAAAAAGCATCATTATCTAGACAAGGAATCGAAATCAAGAGTAGAAAGGCGTTTCGCAAGATGAAAAGGAAGAAGGGCTCACGATGAAGTCGACCGAGGAATAGAGAGAAATGGACTCATTTTGAAGGAGAAAAAGAGGTGGCAATGCCTGAGCAGAGAGTACATATTATTGGTTTTCTGGGATGAATTGTTGAAATGAAGGGAGCAAAAGAAAAGAGGAAACTGGAGACATATCAACCGGTTAGAGAAAAAACAACGGTATGATCATTTTCAGTGGCATCAGCGGCATCACTCATCGACCTGGCCAACCTTGAATAAAATCCATAAGAGACACCCACCGAATGCGCCATGCAGAAAAAAGAAAAAGAGGTAAAGGTGAGAGAAATGCTCAAGCCCGCACACCGAGTTGCGCATACCAACCTTAAGACCAAACCAAGGGAACGAGGCGTGATATCATTCTTTCGCTACAAAATGAGCAGATTGAAACTTGCAGAGGCATTCAAAGTAGGCGTTGAGAGGGGCCGATTTGAAGAGGATACATCCAGTGAAGACCGGGAAGTGAGGGAAAGACAGCTCATCTCGGCCTGGGTCGTAGTATCGTTTAGGAGCTAGATGGGACTCCCGTGGACTCAGATGCAACTCGTCCGCCACGGAAACCGCCTCTGCCACGTCCACCGCCATAGCCGCGGTTGTAGCCTCTGCCACGGCCGCCGAAGCCTCGTCCACGGCCACGGCCTCTACCACGGTATCCGCTGTCGACACTTCCTTGTCCGAACGTCTCCATGTTCTTCTTTTCTTCCTCTCCACGCCATTCGCGGCCGCTGGTCTTGGACCGAGTATTTTCCTCTCTGTCACGCATCTCGCTGGATAGGTTGTCAAAGAACGATGAGGTTTTATCATATACCCCTATAGCAGAGGCATGACCCGATGCAGCACTTGACGCATCACCGGCATCAGCTCCATTAGCTTCAGAAGGAGTGCTAGCTGGCTTTCCTTCAGCCTCGAGCAATGGCGATCCAGACGCAATGGCCTCCTTCACAAGGTCCTGTTTGTTAAATTTGGCATTTGCAGATGCAAAGTCGTAGTCGGTTGTAGGGACCTCGATTTTCTTCACCTGCTGCTGTTGGTGGTGTCCACGATGAGCACCGCGGCCGCGGGGAGCATGGTGGCCCTGGCCTCGTCCATGACGTTCACCGTCGAATGGTCGCATCTCGCCGACCTTCTTGGTCACTCCGTCTACGGACCCGTTCGTAGGTTGCTGTTGCTGTGACCCAGCGGGCTGCGGTAGCTTTGCCATTGCAGCTGCAACAGCGGCCGTGGCAGCACGAGTAGCTTCCTCCATAGCATTAGGAGCATTTCGATTCGCCTGTTGTCCAGCAGGAGCAGGAGCAGGAGCCTGGGCCGCGGGCGCAGCGGGCTTGAGTGGCACGGCAATAGGAATAGCTGGGATGATTCTATCATTCTTCGGAGCAGTTGCTGGCTCGGGAGCCGGCTTGGCGGGCGCAGTAGTTGGAGCCGGCTTTTGGGTTTGGTTAGTCTGCGTGGTGGAGGGTTCTGGCTTGGCCTGAGATGACTTTTGCTCTGGCTTCTCGGTGGTGGTACCTGGGGCTGGTGTCGCAGGCTTCTTTGGAGCTTTCTCGCCGCCAGGAAGCTCTGAGGTTGGCGCTGGGGCATTCTGAGATGCTGGGGCACCTTCGGCACCAGGCTGCTGCGACTGAGGCTGCTGCTGTTGCTGCTGCTGCGGTGGTTGCTGTTGTTGCCCTGGTGGCCCTCGTGGAGGAGCTATCGGCATCTGGGGTGGTCCGAATGGGCCTGGCTGCTGTGGAAAGCCTTGTCCTGGAGGCGGATACCATCCTTGCTGTCCATAGGGCATGTTAGGAAACCCGGGACCAGGACCAGGAGCGCCCGGGAATCCAGGTGGACCGCCAGGTGGGCCACGGAACTGTTGTCCATAAGGATTGTAGTAATTGGGATAAGGAGGTGGTTGCTGAGGATATCCGGGTGGTGGTTGTTGTTGTCGGGGTGGCTGCTGTGGGAATTGGGTTGGCTGACCACGACCTGCTTGGGCCGGACCAGGAGCCTGACGTGGAGGAGCGGTAGTCTAGTTTAAGCATAACCGTTAGCTGGTAGTCTAATATATATTATTCACACAATGCGGGCGTCGATATCAATCCTAGTCCAGAGAAGCGTGCAGCATGTTTATATGTTCATGCGCTTATAACACATCTATGGTCCACATCCCATGTTTTATAGGACAAAGGCGGGATGCAAGTCTTAAAAAGTGAGATGGAAGTCCACCACTTACTCCAAGTATAGCAGGATCATTGGGCACCTGTGGCTGTTCTGGAGGCTGGTTTTCCTTCTCCTCGTCTGCAAAGTTGATATCCTTCACATCACTGCCTCTAAAAACAATGTATTCGTACACGCAGGTGGCCGGCGGGACTTCCTCTGACGCATTGCCGCGTCTGCCTTCGGTGCCGTGTGATATGACGTTCTCGAGCGCGATGGTGGAGGCCTCTGGGTTGATGTCGTGCAGAGTACCAACATAACTAGCATATGTCAACTAATAACGCCCCCACGAGGAATCCAAAGGTGGCATCTGGGTTTCCTACCGGATGTCGCTCATCGACACGAGGTTGAATCGCCGACTAAATCACATCGTTAGCTCGCGAACGGGTTCCTGGCAGGTAAACGGAGCTGAGGCTGGGGTTTGGGTTCTGCTCTTCACAGGCCGTACCCGATAAAATTGTTCATCTCCATGGTGAAGGTGGTGCGCGGATCCGCGCGGTGAAAACAAGGGGAAACAGAACCGAAACACGAGCGTAAGGAAACGGACGCAGAGAGCAGAGAGCAGAGAGAAGAAGAAGAAGTCGAGATGTCGAGGTGTCGAAGGTGAGAGTTGCGGCGCGAAGGGGCGATGTTTGCAAGTGAGGTTCAAGTTGCTTTTTTAGTGCAAAATCGTTACGGCGCGGGGGTCGGACCGAGAGCGCACTTCATCTACATTTTATATATTACACTTATATCAACACTTACACTTACATCATACATATGATAATAGATACGATGCAGACGTCGAACAGGGACTACTTCTTTCAGACAACGTATGAGCTCTGGCCGAGATTTATAGACGGCGGCTGACTGGTTTAGGGCCCAGCTGGAGAACGCTGAGAGGAAGCGGAAGAAGTCGACAAACTCGAATGGAGAGCCAATTAAGCTGCAGAGCAAGGTCCTCGCCATAGTGGCTGATCCGACTAGAGATGACGCCGTGTTTCTTGCAGAGAGCTCTGGCACTGCTAGGCGGCTTGTGCTAGAAGTAGGTGAGATATACATCCGGCATATCGAGATTCCACGACGGTGGCTAACACGCCAACACAGACGGGTGAATCTGCCGCAGTCTACAAGGGCCCTACTGCCCCGCTGCCCTGTATATGTCTGTCTATGGACGGCAGTACTGTCTATGCTGGCTGCTGGGACAAGTCTATCTGGAGCTGGGACGTCAAGACCCATAAACCTGGCCACAAGTTTACCGGCCACACTGACTTTGTCAAATCAGTCATCTACGTCAAGTCTGGCGGCCGCAACCTGCTCATCTCGGGAGGTGCCGATACAGATGTTATTATATGGGATCCCGCCACCGGGGAAAGACTGCACGTCTTGAAAGGCCATACCCATGGGATCCAGTGTCTGGCAGTGGATCCTGTAGCAACGGCAGAAGGTAACCCGCTTACAGTATTTAGTTCATCCAGCGGCCAGGGAATTCACTCTTTCAGCATCCCTTCAAGTCTCAGTGAGACGGCCCTGTTGGAGCCTTTCAAAGTCCACGAGACTAGTATCTACAAGATATTCTTCGACGAAGATGGGGAACTATGGACTGCCTCGGCTGATAACATAGCTCAATGTCTCAACCGGGAGAGTGGATGGAAATCTGAAACGGCGCTGGAACACCCGGATTATGTCAAAGATATTGTGATCGATGAGGCCCGGGGGTGGGTTATCACTGCTTGTCGAGATGAAGAAGTGCGAGTCTGGGATCGAGCCGTGAGTTCCACTCCTACCATTGAGTGTTACTTTTGCTAACTGAACTATATCAGACCGGTGAGCTCCACCACACGTACACGGGTCACTTTGAAGAAGTAACCGGACTGCTCGTCTTGGGCTCAAAAGTAATCAGTGTCAGTATCGATGCGACGGTTCGACAGTGGCCGCTGGACCCCAAGGAGATACAGCGTGCAAAGGCTGCAGGGGAAACGGGCGCTCAACCTGCCCCCGAGCCCGCCCCCGAGTCGATGCTCACGGAGGAGGAGGAGCGAGAACTCGACGACCTCCTGAACGATAACTAGATACTGATACTTGTATATAGTTGATGCATACTTGAATTGAAGAAAAGCTTCCACTTTCCACTAAGTCACGTGTTGTATGATATCATCTTCCTTTTTACCCCAGCGACGGCCGCATTTCCACCCTGACCAAAGTGCCCGACTGGCGCATTCTATACGATCGCCCTTGACTATCTCCGAGGCGTGTTGTAATTCCATATAGCATTGATGAGTGCGATTGCCAGGGGCCCCTAGACCGAAACCCACCATTCCACCCAATCCCGGCTGCTGCCTATATCTTTAAATCGGGAGTACTCCGCCGTCGTCCCTCCTTTACGCAAGCAGCAGACAACATCCCGCAGCATGGATTCCGCATCGCATAGGAAGCAGACGGAGGGGCCCTCTGGCTCAGCAGCTTCTCCTGAGCTGGTTAACCGGCTTAGTGAAAGCCGTTCTCCATATGTATGTTCTATAGCAATGACGCTCATACCCCGGACTGAGGGCTAACTCCCGACCTGTGCAGGTACGCGGCCACATGCACAACCCGGTTGCATGGCAATTATGGGATGCTACCGCTATAAATCGAGCAAAGGAGCTTAATCGGCTAATTTTCCTAAGTATCGGCTATTCAGCTTGTCACTGTGCGCTTTTACCAGAAGACACCCTTCCCCGGAACCTAGCTTCGCCTCGGGTTATTAATAAGTTTTATAGGGTGCCATGTCATGGAAAAGGAGTCCTTCATGTCTCCTGAGGTCGCCGCGATTCTCAATAAATCGTTTATTCCGATCAAGCTAGACCGAGAAGAGAGGCCGGACATCGACGATGTGTACATGAATTACGTTCAGGCAACTACAGGCTCCGGAGGCTGGCCACTAAACGTTTTCCTGACCCCCGACCTTGAGCCTGTGTTTGGAGGCACGTACTGGCCGGGACCAAACACAATTCCACTCCCCAAGTTTGGAGGCGAAGGACCTGCGGCTTTCGTTGATGTGCTGGAGAAGCTGCGAGATGTCTGGGCCACGCAGCAGCTACGATGCCGAGAGAGCGCAAAGGAGATCACTCGGCAGCTTCGTGAGTTCGCTGAAGAAGGCACCCATTTGGCGCAAGCAAACAAGAACGAACAGCAGGAAGACCTTGAAGTCGAGCTGCTAGAGGAAGCCCTCGGACATTTCGTCACTCGATATGATGCCATCAACGGCGGGTTTTCAACATCTCCTAAATTCCCAACACCTGTTAATCTGTCATTCCTTCTTCGCCTGGCAAGATATCCGGATGAGGTGATGGATATAGTTGGCCGGGAGGAGTGCGCCAGGGCTACTGAGATGGCAGTAAACACGATGGTCAAGGTGGCGCGGGGAGGTATTCGGGATCAGATTGGCTACGGTTTCTCGCGGTACAGTGTCACTCCGGACTGGAGTCTACCGCACTTTGAGAAAATGTTATACGATCAAGCTCAACTACTTGATGTCTATATTGACGGATTCGAGGCGAGTCACGAACCAGAGCTGCTAGGTGCCATCTATGATCTCGTCACCTACATGACGAGCCCCCCGATCCTATCGCCTATGGGATGTTTCTACTCATCTGAAGATGCAGACAGTCAGCCCAGCCCGGAAGATACCGAGAAGCGGGAAGGTGCATACTACGTATGGACATTAAAAGAGCTGAAACAAATATTGGGACACCGCGATGCTGACGTTTGTGCACGCCACTGGGGAGTTTTACCTGACGGAAACGTGGCGCGTGTAAACGACCCCCACGACGAATTTATGAACAGGAACGTTTTAAGGATCGCCACGACACCCGCTCAAGTTGCGAAGGAGTTTGGACTACACGAGGAAGAAACGATAAGGATTCTAAAGGCATCTAGAGCGAAACTGCGAGAGTTTAGAGAGACGAAAAGAGTACGACCGGAATTAGACGATAAGATAATCGTTGCATGGAACGGACTTGCGATCGGTGCGCTGGCAAAATGCGCCATACTGCTCGAGGAAATCGATATTGAAAAGTCAAAACACTGTAAGCTCATGGCTGGAAATGCAGTCAAGTTTATCAAGGAGAATCTCTATGATGCCGAATCCGGCCAGCTGTGGCGAATCTATCGTGCTGATTCTAGGGGTAACACGCCTGGATTCGCTGACGACTATGCCTACCTTATATCGGGGTTGGTCCAACTCTATGAGGCAACATTTGATGACAGCTATTTGCAATTTGCAGATCACTTGCAACGTAAGTAGTTGCGCCCCAACCCAGCGGGCAGAACAAAATCTTGCCCGATTTATTTATTACCAATTAAACAAACCTAGAACGTGGGGATCACAAAGGTCTAACTAACGTGTATAGAATATCTCAATAAATATTTCATATCCGTGTCCGCGGACGACAGCAGCATCTGTACGGGGTTCTACCTGACCCCTTTGGAGGCCGTGACAGATACACCTGGCGCGCTCTTCCGTCTCAAGACAGGAACTGACTCCGCGATGCCTTCTACCAACGGTGTCATCGCTCAGAACCTGCTGCGACTATCCTCGTTACTAGAGGACGAATCCTACAAGACGATGGCTAAGCAAACATGCAACGCCTTCGCGGTGGAGGTGATGCAACATCCCTTCCTCTTCGTTGGCCTGTTGGATGTCGTCGTTGGCCTTGAGGTAGGTACAAAGAGTATAACAGGCGTTTTGGGCAACGATCAATCAACAGGAACAGCGACGGGTGATGGTAGCACGAAAGCGGAAAGCAGCCTGATTCGGAAGATGCGCGCTGAAGCGGGTAGTACAGCCTCGACCAGCGCAGCCGTTCCCTCCATGGTCGACGTTCGTGCTACCGGCGACGGACGGGCAAACACATCGAAATGGCTCCGGGGGCGGAATTCGCTGCTCAAGGACCTCTCGTCGGGGAAAAACTTCTTACTCGTGTGCGAAGCAGGATCATGCCGGACGGTCGATATCCCGCTGGAAGATGCCTAGATCCATTACTCTATTCGGGATTTGATGAGTTAGATATATATGCATATACATGGAGCCCGTCTAGGTCTGGGGTGGTTTAAGATGGTCAACATTTCAATGCTCTTACTCTTATTTTTCCAGCTGAAGATAAACAGCTGTGTGATGCAGTGGAACCAATGATGTCAGATATCTTTCCTCCATTCATGCGAGATTGTTTACGAGCGCTGGCCAGCCTGTGTCATGTCTTGCCGAGCTTTTCTAACACAGACGGTGGAGAGCATTTCAATGCCCAGGTCTCAGTAGCCGACGATGTAATTATAATTAACTAATTGTTGCATAAAAATTCTGGCGGGATCAACGGATATAAGCATTCCTAAAACACAGCCTGGTCCATGTCTCTCCGGATGGATGCCGCACATCCCCGACACCACGGAATCTACTTACCTAGGTATATATGTGAAGACCTATACTCATGCGTGCCAGGGAGAAAGACAGCGGCTATACTTAGGTCCTACACAAGTTCTAATACGTCGCCACAGCACATCGATGTTGGCCATCGCAGACATCGCGCCTTGAGCTTCCGGTGAGGGATCCGATGCTCCCAAACATGAGACAGAGCGTGTTCCGCAAGCGTAATTAACAAAGGGTCAACAGCTCTAGCTAGCTCAAGGACGAACCGGCGAGTAGTGAAATTATCACGCAATGATTAAAATGAGAAGAATAAGAAATGATATCATGTCCTTGGTGACCTAAATTTAACAACTCCAGCATTACAGACCCAGCATTACAACTCGGGATATAACTGCAACGCCGGGATATCACTATGACGGATCGTGCTGAAGTCCATGCAGCAGCAAGGAAGGCGACGGCCAGAATACGGTCGGACAATTCCAGACCATGGCGTGTTGAGTGTCTATCTATCTTAAAATGGAACCCCTGAGGGCGAATATAAGGGAGCCCCTGACATGAGTTCCACCGCAATCCCTGAGCCCGTCGCCACTAAAATGCCCATTGGCGCCCTGTCATCGCCGGGCGAGCTCGATCCAATCGATCTATCGCTGGACGGCCGCGGTCAAACTCCAGCGAAAGCCCCAAAACGGAGTCCAAACACCAAGCGCCAGTTAGCCATATGTATGTCATGGGTGGCTCTTCGCTGTCGCACCACCGAGCTAACACGGAGGCACGCATTGAGAAAGCAACCGGCGCCTCTCTTTTCTTTTCTGACAGCCGTTCATGCTGTCAACGACGCCCCGGGGGACATGAGCAGGCATGCTGTCCGTACTCCACTGGATACGCTAAAGCCGCCAACACGGAGGTAGTCTACATACGTCGAGATGGGATGAACATGACGAGACGATCGGCTGCGCTGTGAGGCTACTGCTGATCAGCATGCCATCACCCCAGATATATATGAATCCTGTGCACGCAGAGGCCCGAATGGCCGGTGATGCATGGTGGCACGAGAGAAAAGAAGAAAAACACCTTTAGACGCTCTTATTCTCGGTGACCAACCTTATTGTTGTTTCCCGCCGTGAGATTGATACTTCGCGCGAGCCCCTGAGCTGTTTCAGCGCAAATTGCGACTCTAATTTCTCTCCCACCTTGCGACGAGCTTGCTGTAGGCGACGGCGACGGCGCGAAGATGATGAGACCGATGCTTAATGTCCGCTTTATTATGCTGGGTCCTGCTAGGGATCTTCGATATCAGGCGATGGGCTAAGCTGGGCTCCGTACTATGTATGGAGACGGCATATCCCCCAGGCTTCCCGTGTCCTGTTCCCTTACTAGACTAATCTTAATCTCAATAATAGCTTCTTTTTTAAGGACTATCCCTCCCCTCTTCAGGGGCGGCTTCTCTTCCCTTTTATTACTTCGTCGTCGCCCAGCTGTCTTCTCCTTCTCTTCTCTTCTCTCTCACCAACTACCGCTTCTTAGCCACTTTCCATTCCTTAAAGTGCCTAAGCAAGCCAGTCACTCTTTTACCCTTTACCCAGAACATCCTGCCTTGGCCAGGATCGTGTCTCCCGCGTTGGAAATCGAAGAAATCTCGCAGTTGATCTGTGACCATCATACCCGGCTTTAGATCGTTGATCAAAGAAAGAAGAAGACCGCAAAGATGAAGACCTCTATGTTGTTCACCGCGCTGTGCGTTGCTGGAACCCTCGCAACCCCGGTCCGCAAGATCTCAACCGTCGTCGATATCAAAATCGTCACCACGACCATGACCACCGTCATTGGCTGCCCGACTTTGCTTCCAGCCCCTACTCCAAAGCCAGAGCCAATTCCAGCTCCAGCTCCTGTCCCATCGCCAAAGACGAAGATTATCACCTCTCTGCCAGAGCCAATTCCAACATATGCTCCCCCACCACCTCCTTCATCGACAAAGGCCCCTAAGCCGACCTATGCTCCTGCTCCTCCACCACCGCCACCACCGCCGCCACCACCAAAGCCAACCCAGGCTCCTCCACCACCTCCACCACCTCCATCCAACCCAGGAACTGACTACAAGTCTATTATCATGCACCACCACAACATCCATCGCTCCAACCACTCCGCCCCTGCCCTCACCTGGGATGCCGGTCTAGAGTCCAGTGCCAGGCAGCTTGCCGAGAGCTGCAGCTACGGACACAACACGTAAGCATATCAATTTATCCCTTAATATCAGATTGTTGCTAACAAGTACCGAAACAGTGAGATTGGTGGTGGTGGATATGGCCAGAACATTGGCTACCAGTCTGGCTACGATGATGTTGCTGCCCTCATCACCAACAACATGTACAACGACGAATTCATGCTATTCGACGGCAACTGGGGCTTGGACAACCCACCAAACTTCCACGAATGGGGCCACTTTACCCAGATCGTCTGGAAGGGCACTGAGCGTATTGGATGTGTCACTGCTGACTGCCCAAGACTCGGAGGTCAAGCCTCTGCCAGCAACGCCAAATACACTGTTTGCAACTATGGCCCAGCAGGTAAGCATCCATTGACCCCTGACTGAAACATATTTTACCTAGGTTATGATTCTAACATGCACACATTAGGAAACGTCGTTGGTCACTACGCTGATAACGTTGCTCGCCCAGCTGGACAGCCTATCGTCGTTGCGTAAGGGATTATCATTTAAGTGCCAATAGCTTAAGAAATGCTAGTGAAGGTGAATGCGATTAGAACATGCTGTGGGCTGTTAGGGCAGCGTTCTCTGCATCCACATGTACGATGCATGCCTTTTTAGGGATTGGAACATATCTGGGAATAATCTCCTTACCATCTGCCCTTTATCTTTTTAAAGATTTGGACAGCATGTCTCGTCGTGATACTTGACTTGACAAAAACTCCGTTCGATGTTTTACCTTTTTACTTTTTTTCACAAAACAAAGAACCATTACCTCTTCTGACTTCTTACGGGCCTCTTTCATTTCACTTCGTTTTGGTCTCCTCGATCAACCCTCTTTTACCTCTACTTTTACAAACCACTTGTCTGAACACATGTCTTTTTTTTGTTGGATTTGTTTCTCCGTAGCCTCTTACGCATCTTGATGAGTAGCTTTATGAACCGTCTTTTTAACATGGAACGAAACTGGGCAAGAGCCCCGTAGATTTATAATATAACAGATAAATCCCCTCAACACAACACAGCGATAGGCAAGACAATATCTAAACATGGATGTAACATGTTGGTCGTTTCGAGCTAATATTTACACGTACACAAGGGGAAAGGAAAGAGTCCGATTTCAAGAAAACCGACTCTAGTATTGTTCGCCTTGGTAGTTTGCATATATCTGTTTCTTTCGAAGGTGGACGGGGACTTGGCCGGCTGGGGTATCGGGAATGGTTTTCTTCAGGCCCTGTATAAATTCAATATATGATCAGCACTCATACTCTCGTCTTGCGATGGGGGATGGGATTCGTCAAACGCACAAGATTCTCAAAGACACAGTTGCTAAGTTGATTCTCATTTTTTCGGCAGTACCACAGCTGGTGGTTGTTCTGTTCTAAGCACTCCCAGTGTGCCTTGAATTGTTGCATGCAGTGCGTGTTGATGTCCTTTATTCTGTAATACCCATCGGCCGGATTAGCAATACTCTCGTAAACCGACAGTTCACCTGGTCTCTAGTCTCGTGCTGCCCATGATTTCGCAGGGATATAAAACGTACACGCTTGCTGCACAGCGGGTGACCTTGCGTCCTTCCTTCAAACATTCGATCTCTCCTCGTCCATTGGCCTCGGCCTTGCACTTCATGTAATCGTCATTGAACGCTCTGCATCGGTCGCCAATGAAATATGCAGCACTCATTAATGGCGCTGAGGTTGCTCCGACTTCATCCACCTTCGGAATGTGATCGGGCATAGGCGTGTGGTCCACGAGGGACGTCTGGTTAAACCTGGACAAACACCGGTGTCAGCAACGAGCAATCAGAATAGTAACACGCGAGGGCTCAAGGACGCACTGGGGTCTCCGTGAGCCGGACATCTTGGCGGCTCAATGGCTCTTTGCGAGGTGAAGCTGGCGGTTTTGAAGCTGGCGTCTTGCGCTGTGGAAGCAGCTCGGTCAAGATGAAGTCGATGGCCAATTTCCTGATTGGTCGTTGTTTGCTTAGTAAGCGGTACTCGTCAAGAGGGCGATGTTGTAGAAAATATTCAATATTCTTGAAACACAAATTTCACGGATAAGACGATAAATATATTAATTTACCGTGGTAGAGTGAAGAGTATAGAAAGCAAACACTCGTGGCATCCGAGCCTAAAAGTGACAGCAGATTAAGCTAGCTACGCGCAGTATAAGGAGTATATACGACATAAGCTGCGACCATGCCAGGAAATATAAAGAAAGACATAGTATCTATAGCTAGGGCTAATATAATATTGTAGATAGGCTGACATAGTATAGTTAACCCAAGGTTGATATATAACATCATCAAGAGTTGATAAGATATAATCCGTGGGCTAAAAAGATATTAATATTCACACGTCACTTTCCCCCGATCCCTCCCTAAACAACCTCAATGCTCCAACCCACCAATATACCATATACCACCACATAACACCGCCAATTAATACTCGCACCTCGACTAGAAATAGAGAAATGGCTGCATCACAGAAATCTGCAGCTCCGGCTCCAGGCACAGGTTTGTGACTATAACCCCGCATTCTGGCTCCCACCAAGATAGATATCCCTACCGAGCAAACAGGACGACGGTATAAGCTGCTCGCATGCTAACATATGGAATACAATTAGTTGATATTGCTACGCTCTCCGTACCCCAGCTCCGCTCTCTCCAATCTCGTCTAAGCTCTGAGCTCGAACACCTCACATCATCGCATACAAAGCTGCGATCAGCGCAGTCCAAATTCCGAGAGTGCATCCGCTCCATAAATGACGGCGTACTTGCCAAACCGCAAAAGGAAGGACAAGCAAACGATATTCTTGTACCGTTGACGAACTCATTATACGTCAGAGGGAAGCTCTCGGATAGAGAAAAAGTGATCGTCGATGTTGGGACTGGGTTCTATGTTGAAAAGGTATTAAGGCCTGATATCCGCCTTTGTTTCTTCTTTTTAATTAAGGTGCTGGAAGGAAATTCGCCGACGCTGATTGCTAATACGCCATTTACTCAGACACCTGTTAAGGCAACAGAATTTTACAATGGGAAAGTGGGAGAACTAGGAGCGAATCTACGTGACCTAGAAAAAGTGGTAGCTGCAAAGAGCACGAATCTAAGAGTCGTTGAAGAAGGTATTATCCCTTTGCGCGCCGGACTATCCTATTTGGCTACTTGGGTGATAACCTGCTAACAATACCCTTACAGTTTTGCGGCAGAAGCTTCTCGCTGGCGAAGGCAACGCGGCGCAGGCTGGGCCTAGCGGAGGCGGACAATCCTGAACGAAGAGGGTGACATTTAATTCTCGCCATCCGGAAAGTGAAAAAAAGGCTATCTATCCTTGGATAGATCACATTTTGCCATCAGTGTTCCGGTAATCGATATGCAACAATTCGGAGAACATCGTATCTTCACGAAGATTTGGCTAGTGTCCTCAAAATGTACGGTAACTACATCGGTGAAAATGCCTTGTAGCAATAGAAGCGACTATTCCCATCTGAAAAGTCTTTAGCAAAGAATAGATCTATTACAAAGATTTTTTATATATAAAGGAAACCTTGAGTTATAGTTTAATATTGACTTGGCTAGTAAAGGATTTTCATAATTCATCTTCTCTTATGGGCTCGAGATACATCTTGAAATCAATTTTTAGACATGCATTGGTATTATCCACCTCGAGATATATGAGATACCACAATGAGGTGGCGATGGGGAGTTCATAGGCGTGAAGTTCTTGTGGCTCTACCGTCTCCTCCCCCATAATATCCTTCTCGTTGCAACAAGTGGCAATTCACCACAAATATTCTCAGAAGCATCAACTTGGAACAGGAGGGTGAAGAGAAATATGTCTTATCCCTCATTTCACTCGATCTTCTGTTTATTCTCTTGAGGCCTGGCTTCCTTAATCCTCCAAACCTGGAATGTCACGCGAAGATGTATCCAGGGTCGAGCTTTTTGAGACTTCCTTCCCCTGTGTCTCAAAAACCTGGGATTCAGGCTCAATGGGCTCTACGACGCCAGATGTGGAAGGATTAGAGCTACCCTCTTCCCCACTCTTCGTTGTTTGTTCCCTTCCCTGTTCCAAGGCCTTATTCTTAAGGTCCTTTTCATGTTCTGGCCCAAGGAGGGATGCAACCTGTTTAACAAGAGGCATAAAGCTGTCGAATCCGCTGCGAAGGTCAGATGGATCTGCATCACCAAGAAGGGGGAAGAAAGTCTTTAGGTTAGGGCACCAATCTGCTTTTTGCCCGACTTGGAGGTTGGCGTGCTTCCCAAGCTCGTTGTCCCATTCCGGATGAAAGATGGATGCCCCCCAAGACGTTACAGGGGTAGTTGGCATGTAGTTCGTGTTTGGCCCTTGGAGCAGAAGTTGAGCGGCCGACAGCTGAACGCGTCTGTATTCATCGTATCGAGCGAGTTCAAAAATGTACTTTGTTCCTTTCAGTCGGTACTGTAGGGCTGATTTTTCAACATGCCTGGCAATTGGGACGCGGTTTGAGAATGATACACGTTTTTTCCCAGGGCCGCTCAGATTGGCAATTTCTTCAGGCTTGAAATGTAGAGAATGCCAGAACTCCTTGAGAGACTGCTCGAAGGTGGACTGCTCCGGGAATTCGAGCGCTTTGATCTCCAATTGCCAGTCAGACCTATCAAAAAGGTAAGTATAATGTGTTTAACAAGGGTTGCACAAGTAAATAGTAATACCTTTCGAAGTCGATGACAGCAACTTGAAGGGGTGGCCTCCTATCCCCCGTCCTATCCTCTCCCTGTGGATGTATCCAGCGCTTGGTACCAAGTCCATACTCGTTTGTAATGGAAGACTTCTTGAATTCAACTTCTAGCCTCAATAGGGTTTCATTGCCCTGGAACTCAAAATTAGCAGAATATAAAGGTTCCGGTTGTTCTAGGGGAGCTTCGTGAGGGCCGTGAAGGTTCGTGAGAATATGGCTGGCCGAAGCGCATTTTGCAACAAGGTTGGTATCACCACAGTTATACTCCAGCCTATATGTACCTTTAGTAAATTGAAGAAGCTCAGTAGTGGAATCTGAACATTACCCTGGTACAAGATGACCCCTGGTTCTAGGATTGAGTAACATAGTTCTGAATTCATCGAATGTGTATCGAGCCCTTGACCCCTTGGGCATCCGGTAATCGTCCAGAATAAAAGTCCCAAAATTGACGCGCATACGGACATGGCCACGTAGGAATTGAATTCCGTAAAGTGATTCCTCAATTGTCTCACATAGGCGACGTTCATTATTCGCGGCGGCATTTTCCTCTTGTTCGTGCCAGAAGTCCAATTTCATTGCAGTCAGGGGTGTCCCATATAGCACCGGTGTTGCATAAGTATGTCCTATTCCTCCAACTGAGTGAGCGACTCGAACTACCGCAACTTCATTCTTCCTAACCTGTGCTGAAGCTGACTGCACCAGGTAGAGCTTAGCCTGAATGTGGATTTTTGCCATAACCTCAACCCATTTAGCACGAAGCCGATTAACAACTGTGATAATCTTTTCATGATCATCGCCATCTACTTTAATAAACGACGGCTGCTCGTCGTAAATGTAGATGCAACAACCTGTCTCACGGCGTATGGGGTCGAGAGCCTCTAACTCTGACCCGAGTGCTAAATCAAGGGGCACCTCGTCGGTCGGCCATAAAAAGAGCAGCTGCACCAAAAAATTTAGTTAGTGAATATAAAGTAGTTAGGGGGGCGAGTGTAACGCACACTTTCTGAGAATTCAAGGGATGGATCTGGTTTTCGACGGAGCTGCTCGATGACGATACTGTGTTTGTCAATCTGATCAAGCCGTGCTTCCTTGCTGGCTGAGTAGCTATAAACTTTTGCAAAGTCTTCTTTCTTCTTCTTCGATGGTCCTTGAGCCAAGCAGCGATCGATTAGTCGAATGAGAGCACTCCGGGCGGTAGCTACTTGAACCGGGTCACCCCAAATCTGAAGCCACTATGACCATGCAAATTAGCAGCGAACAAGTATAGAATGAGACTAAACATACCTGTTCAGAAAATTTCTTTGGCTGTGGAATGAACGCGCCCGTCTCCTGGTTTATCTTTTCAAACAAGAAATCATCAATGCTACCGCCGCCAGCTCCTAGCCCGTTGATATACTCCGCGGCCCTAGATATACATAGTTAGCATATGACCTCAACTCGAGAAAATAATTCATTGACTAACCTCTCCTTAAAGTGCCCAAACGATATCGGGAGACGGAATGTGCCTAGATATTCAGTTAACTAGCAACCAAAATTTATATTTCAGGGGTGCTCGCCTGATGAAGCAGCGCCACAGGCCCACGCGTTTCTGCTCACGGATACTGATTTGTGGTGAGGTCTAATGTAGCGTTCCCCCGGGATAAAGGCATTTGCAACTGGAGAAAGACGCGTTGAAGTCGATATAGGTGCCGATGGGATGGTGACCTTGATCTCGTTCTATATAAGTTAACCAGTCAGCCTCTCTCCGTCTACTGGCGCTACGCTACTTACCCTTTCTGCTCTGGGACCTGTTGGGATTTTAGGGACCACCACTCTATCAGTATCAACAGGCTCGTCATCCTCGTCCTTCCTGACAGCGCTTGTTTGAGGATTAGGCGGTTTTTCCTCCTCTAGGCTCCATTCTATAATCGTAATTAGCTCATATATTTCTTCAGAGAGAAATTAGCCTTGCTAACCTTTGGCACCTGAAATTTCGTGACTGTAGAGCTTGTCAGAACGTGGTTATAGGAAGTATCGGTTGGAAGATGGGTACAGAGATACTCACTCTACCATTGCTTTAAGCGCAGTAAAGCCACTTCTTAAAGATTTATACGTGATATCTGAGAGTAGAGGAGGTTCTTATAGTATCATGGGTAGCTGTAGTTGTGTTCTTGAGAGGAGAAATGGCGTAGGGTAGAGGCAGCAAGTGATAGCTCGGAGTCTTCACTCTTGCCGCAGCAACAAGTGAATGTCTTAGGCCAGCTGGGACTTGGAGCAGAGATTTCACCATAGAATCTAATACTACTAAGCAATGCATTCGGCAAAGGAACATGTTTATTCTGAGAATCAAATGGTATCATTGGGCAACTGCTTCCTATGCTGTGAATGGTATGCGTAAAAATATGCAACTATCCGGATAGATGCATATTTTAGGCCTCTCAATGTTGAAATTTGTTTAGTTAGAACCGCTCTCCTTTGATATAATCAAGGGTCCTAGGGCCCCGTTTAGGATTGATATCAGTGTGTGGTCCTATCACTGGATATTGGCCTGCAGTGAGGATTTCGCCCTGGCTGCCACATCTAGTTACCGCTTAGAACTCCAGAGGGCTAACTATCGAGGGCGCCGACATATGAAAATAGAATATGGTATTCTCTCTCTGCTTCTATCACCACAGTATGGAGTCTTGTTGCTTCTTTGTTTGCCCATCGGTATTCATACCGCCGTCGGGTTTGTTGTCACTGCATTCAGATTTCTCTGTCTTGCATCGCGGTCAGCGTTCTCGCAGTTTCTCCTTTGTCTTCTATCTTGTACTGTGGCAGAGTACTGGCTGCTCACCCTTCAGCCGCTGCACTGCGAAGAGTAGGCTGCTTCCTTTGTCCTTGCCCTGGTCAAGAATCGCTCTTTTTGCATCGTGGCTGAAGCGTAACTAAATAGTTACTAATCACCGTGTCTTGCGCTGAAGCGTCCAGATTTTAGGCAAGGCACTGTCAACATTGAGTCTATAGTACAGGTGTATATGATATCTGCTTAAAACGCCAATCGCTATAGTACAATCGCTATATTACAGGTTTCACAAAGCATAGGCTGCTTGGGACGAGACATGATCCCGCTATAGTTTGCTGAGTAGAGATGAAACGAACTTGGGCAGCTCTTCCAAGGAAACAGTGGTTCGAAGATTATCAAGTCGTCGACATTGAACCTCTACCTGGTTCCCGGAATTCCATGATTTCTTTCCAACGGCCAAAATAATGGGGTATCCCACGAGATCGGCATCTCTCAACTTCCAGATGAAATCTTTGCTTCTATCGTCCAGAATTGCGTCTACGGACTCGCCATTTCGCCCAACAACTGAATCGTAGACGAGTTCCGCTTCTTTTTCGAGTCCCTTGGCAGGTACAACTGCAACCTGGAAAGGAGCTATGGCTTGTGGCCAGTTGAGTCCCTTGTCATCCGCAAGGATATCTGATACCGCAGATATCATTCGAGAAACCCCAATTCCATGGCACCCCATCTGTACAGGGACCATTTCTGTGTGTCCCTTCTTCCCAGCTTCCTCTAAGATTGCAGGGTTGACGGCCACGTTTGCCTGCAACACATCACTATATCGCGTTCCAAGATGGAAAGTGTGAGCGAGTTCTATGGCCTGGTCAGGCTTAAGCGTTGGCTCCCCACAGATAGGACACTGGTCACCTGCTCTGGCCCGAAGTAAGTCAAGACCAGTCTCGGTTCCGGGGAAGCGGTCGAGTAACGAGGAACGGATATTTAGGTCACCACTGGGCACTCCCTCCAAAAGCTCCTTGATTGGTGGCCGGTCATAAACACGGACTCGTGCATCATAAACGTCCACAACTCGTATATTTTGCTCTGTTGTCAGAGGTTGTTTTTGGATCTCACCTTTCCAAGCAGCAAGTGCATCCTTCACGCCGATATCAAGGTCGATTCCATAGGCAGATAGAATCGATTTTAAAGAATGCTGGTTCACCTCCCGTTGAGCGGGTTCTGATTCCCCATCTGTAATAAGGAATTTGGGATAGAAGGCCCTCACTAAGACCTTTCTGTCCTTTGAGATGGATGTCCATTGACCAGTTGAGATCGCCGATGCCTCCTGCCGACCCAACCCGTCGGACGTAGATGCAGATTTAGAGTCAGCTGTAGGTTTATCCTTAGCATGATTATTAGAACACTTCCCGCTCGCCAACTCCTCGTTGAAGACATATTCACAACTGGAGCAGCTGACGATAGTATCCTCTCCCTTTGGACTAGGGAAATGGAATTCGTGGCTTAAGTTGCCTCCCATATTGCCAGAAGCCGCTGAGGCTACGACGTATGGCAGTTTTAGTTCCTCAAAAAGGTGCACATAAGCTTCTTTCACCGTATTATACGTCTTCATTGCTTCAACTTCTGTGGAGTCAAACGTGTAGAGGTCCTTCATGACGAATTCTCGACCACGTAAAAGGCCATGTCGCGGCCTAGGTTCATCACGATATTTCCTCGCTATAAAATAGACTCTTAGTAAGCGTAACCAAATATGCCTCGAAAAGAAGAGTCATACAAATTTGATATACTCGAAGAGGTAGATCTCTGTATGACTTAACAAGATTAGAAACAAGGGCTGTGATTTCTTCTTCGTGAGTGGGAGCAAGAAGGAGCGGTGTCTTCTTTCTGTCTAGAAGCCGGAAGACCTATCCTTGGTAATTAGCACAAATGACCCAGTTCAATTAAGGCTATCAATTCCGATCAATACCTCTGAATCACCATCATTTAGTCTTCCAGACTTCTTCCACAGCGACTGAGAGGACAGGGACGATAGAGATAGCTTTGAGGCACCTTGGTCAAGATATTAGCGGTGAACATGGTAGGGGCAACGCAACGGGCTAATTACTTAATTTGCGCATATGTTTATCGATGAGCCGCTCTAATTTTTCTTGAACTCGAAGTCCTAGAGGAAGAAGATGGAATACCCCTGAATAGGGCTACTCTAATGTGAGCCTGGAACGCGGTTGGGACTCTTCTGGGACTCATGAAAACATACCTGTCTAAGAAATCCGGCTCTAATTAGAAGGTCATTTGAATCTACTACGTAGGTAGTTAGTATTGAAATAGCTCCCCGCGGAAGTGAGTATTGTTCTATTTACCTCCTTTTTTGGATGTCCCAGCTATTCCACCAGATGGTGTCCAAAAGCTAGATGTTCTGTTTCTTGTATCATCCTATATTAAATGAAATGATAAGCATATTGCTCCCCAATGGAAAGTATTTCACTTACATGGTATTTCCGGAGACGCTGATGTGTGTCCGCTCGAAGAATGTTCAACGTGGGTCGCCATTGGCGCAACTCTTGACAATAACTTAGCCGAGACCGAAGAAACATGAGTTAAGGCTAGTATCAGAGATCGGCGGGGGACTAATTGAAGTTCTCAAAGAGAAATTGTAACTGATTCTACTATCATGAGATTGTAAGTCGTTGAAAGCGTTGTCAACTTTTTTACATGCCTTATCTGATCTGATAATATCATCGGATAAACTATCTTCCGACATATGAAAATCACAGTTTATTTTTTTGATGCGAATATCTGAATTCCCGAATTACTTGTTGCAACACCAAACCAAACAAAAACGACATGACAAAGGCACAGGGAAAGGTTGAGAGGTCGCCTAAGGTCAAAGATGGTGTTGCCGCCGAAAATAAACGGCTGAGCGGCGACGCTGACGCCGCGCCTAGCTTCTCTGATGCTATGGTAGCTAATCTCACAAAACGAATTGAGCAAAAGTTGAAAGGGGGAGAAAGTGGGAATGGAGCTCCAAACAAAGTTGACAAGAAACCGAAAGCTGGGAAGAATGAAAAGCGCAAGGACCGGGACTCGATCATTGAAACCAAGCCCGCCGATAAAGCTCCTAAGAAACGGGAGTCAATTCCTGAGAGCAAGCCTGTCGAGAAGACGGCCAAAATAAGGGAACCAATTGCCGATATCAAGTTCGCCGATAAAGCTGGCAAGAAACGGGACCGGAGCGGAAAGATAATTAAACCCCAAGTGACGGAACGACCCCAGTTGGCAGAGAAGGGCCAGTCTGCAGGTGGGAAGTCATTGGAGGAGGAGGTGTATGCGATTGGCGGTACTAAGGAGGATATTGACCTGGTTGCTGGCGTTGAATCCGACTCGGAAATGGAAGATAAAGAAGTATCCAGTGGCGATCTTGAGAAGCTCCGTAAAGATCTCGGAAGACTCATTAACGGCGGCGACGCACTTCCCGATATCGAAGATACGCCGGCAAAAGAGGAGACGAAACCTGCTAAAGCGAAGCAAGAAAAAAAGCAAGACAAAAAGAAGGAGAAAAAGCAGGAAAAAAGGGAAGCTGAGGAAATAATCCCAGAGGAGGCAACCCGAGAGAAATTGGTGCTAGAGAAGGCAGCTCCAGAGTCAGCTCCAGTTAAGCGTGATAGTAAAGAGGCGCAGAAGAAGGATGCCGTGAGCGCAGTAACTGCTGTGACGCATGAAGCTAAAGCGCCAAAGAAGGCACCGCTGTCGTCCTCCAACCTCGTGGGTAAAGCATGCCATTACACTCGAAACCGTTTTACTGATAGATATCTATATATATAGGTTGTCCCTGATCGATCCGACTGGTATGCTACCCCTCTACCCGAAGTTCCATACGATGCCAACCGTCCTGCCAATGTTCCACGACAAGTGCTTGAGCGTGTTCGCGAATACGCAATGACATTGCTGGAAGCAGACAATAAAGCGTACTTGTCGAATAAAGACTCGAAGTCCTCGAGCCACAAGTTTTATTCGACTATTGTCTCTTCAGGTACTTTAAGTGACAAAATATCTGCATTGACCCTCTCTGCACAAGAATCACCTTTACACAATACACAGGCATTGGAGACTTTAGTTGGTTTGGCGAAGAAGCGAAGCAGAGCTCAAGCGGTTGAGGTCTTGCGGTCGCTGAAAGATTTGTTCGCCCAAGGAACCCTGCTACCTAGTGACCGAAGATTGAAACACTTTGTCAATCAGCCGGCCTTGGCTGCTGCTATTGCAGAGTCTGGAGGTAATTGGGATATCGGAGACCGACTCCCAGGACAAATTGAAAAATGCCATTTGGTTATGTGGGCATTTGAAGACTTCGTTAAAGAGCAGTACTTCGAGGTGCTAAAAGTTCTTGAAGTTTGGTGCAATGATGAAATAGAATTCTCTCGATCCAGAGCCCTGAGCTACGTTTACGAACTTTTGAAGGAGAAACCGGAGCAGGAATCTAACCTGCTACGTCTTCTGGTAAACAAATTGGGTGACCCCAGCAAGAAAATTGCTTCGCGCGCATCATACCTCCTCCTTCAACTGGAACAAGCCCATCCGCTCATGAAGGGAACAATTGTTTCTTCAATAGAGTCAGAATCCCTCTTCCGCCCAGGGCAGAGTCAACATGCGAAGTACTATGGCGTCATCACTCTCAACCAAACAATTTTAAGCACAGCCGACGATAAAGTTGCATCCCAGCTTCTTGATATTTACTTTCCCCTTTTTGTGGCTCTCCTGAAACCAAAGAAAGAAACTCATGTCTCTGGGAAACATAAAAAGAAGGATAAATCCTCTAAACAGGGCAAGAAGGGTCACGGTAAAGAGGAAGAAATTATTGCCAAAGGAGAGGCCCAAGACGAGGAGCTGCGGGAAAAGCTCATTTCAGCTGTCTTGGTCGGTGTAAACCGTGCTTATCCTTTTACAACTTCAAGTTTTGAACTGTATGTGTGGCTCATATCCTAACGATATTCAATCGTGATGCTAATACTGCTATGCTCTAGTCTTTCCAAACATCTGGATACCCTATTTCGCATTACCAACTCATCCAATTTCAATACCAGTATCCAAGCTCTTATGCTTATTCAACAGCTTTCATCGTCACACGCAGTTTCGGCAGATCGTTTTTACAAAACGCTCTATGAATCTTTGCTGGACCCTCGCATCGTGACGTCTTCAAAGCAGTCGATGTACCTTAATCTCTTATATAAGGCATTGAATGCGGATATCAACATAAAACGAATTAAGGCCTTTGTTAAGCGACTAGTCCAAGTCCTAGGCTTGCACAATCCGTCGTTCAGTTGTGGTGTGTTGTACCTGATCAGACAGCTGGAATCGACTTTCCCTTCCTTGACAACATTGGTGGACCAGCCGGAAGATCTCGAGAGTGATGATGAGGAAGAAGTCTTCAAAGATGTCCCTGAGGAGGGAGAGGAAGAGGCGGATGCGGTTGACGAGGGAGCTAAGAAACAACCTTTTCTAACGCGCTACGATGCTCGGAAGCGAGATCCAGAACAGAGTAATGCTGATAAAAGCTGTCTTTGGGAATTGGTCAGTAATTTTAATCCGAAAACCTCTCGGTTTATATACTTCGAAGCAACTAACAGTATTTTTTAGCTTCCTTATTTATCTCATTTCCACCCCTCGGTAGCCGTTAGCGCTAAGCAGCTTCTAGCGCACGAGAAAATGTCTGGGAAGCCTGACCTCACGATCCACACTCTCACTCACTTCCTAGATCGTTTTGTTTACAGATCCCCCAAGGCTACGCCTGGCCTTCGTGGATCCTCTATTATGCAGCCTCTTGCAGGTGGGGATTCAAGTGGTCTATTGGTAACATCTGGACGAAGCGCAGCACAACAACCCGTGAACAGCGAGTCATTCTGGAGGAAACGGAGCGACGAAGTATCTGCCGAAGACGTTTTCTTCCACGACTACTTCAATCGCTTGGGTAAGGACAAATTGCGCCAGAAATCCAAGAAGAAGGCCGGTTCCAAGGGCGATGGCGAAGACGAGAGTGACGGAGAGTCCAAAGTTTGGAAAGCTTTGGTACAATCGCAGCCCGAACTTGATGGTGAAGGCATTAGCGACGATGATATGGATATGGACGGCTTTGATTCTGCCATGGAAGGAAGCGGCGATGACTTGGAGGGTATGTCCGATGACATGGATGAGGAAGATCGTGAAATCGACGATGGAGTTATCATTAACGAGGATAGCTCCGCCGGGGAAGAGGAGGAGGAGGAGGAAGAAGAAGAAGTGGCTTCCGAGGCTGAGCCTGAGGTAGACAAATCTATGGACATGGATGACGACATGTTCAATTTCGATCAATCCGATGATGAGGCGTTCTTGGGTAGTGATGAAGAGCTACCTTCTGACCTGGATATGGACGTCGCCGTACCAGAAGATACGTCGTCTACCAACAAATCTCAATCACAGTCAAAGAGGGAGAAGAGACGAAAACTCAAGCACCTACCCACGTTTGCGTCTGCCGAAGATTACGCTGCGCTGCTAGGCAAAGACGACGACGAAGATTTTTGATTTGTTTTCTGCTGTCAATAGCCTGGAAACCATATGTTGAAGTACTAGAGAGACTCTTCTGGTTTGAAGATGTATACCAAAGCTATCATGTAATAGTCCATGATTTTTGCTTTGTAGACCATGTTCGCTAAACAGCTAAAATACCCCCCCAAAAGCAATAACTAGAGCCAGTCCTTTTTGCCCAAATCCCATGTAGATGCTTCCACCTAACCTTTTAACCACCTTAATTATGCACCAAGATTACCACAAATAGAAAGAAGAAACCATTAAATATCAAAACAGGGTTGGGATACATTATATGTATCCTTGAACAGAAAGGCCGGGCATCCCCAATACATGACGGAGATCTCGACGGAACTCTCCATCACTATCAAAAGCGCCGTGACCAATATCTTCGTCGACCGCCATTTTTCGTAGACGAGCTGATATCACCACACAAGCCTCTGACCAGGCAACTAATGTCCCAGAAAGGCCTTCGTAGAGGCTGTAGGGGTGGTCTGGCATACGGTACTGTATACTCTCTTCATAAGTGTGCGTGTTGAATGGCTGTGTCTTTCTGGCATGTAGCAGGAAAGCCAGCGCCCGAGAAAGATATTGGTCAGCAGTAAATTTCTGCGGAAGTGGTGGTGATTTGGTCATTCGTTCATTAAATGCCATTTTATCGGCTCTCGTTCCCTGGGCTCCGTATTCGAATATATTGTGTAGCATTAAAAAGGGCCATGCGTTTCCTGCGATACCGTGACAGAGACCACCGCCTTTGAAAACGAGGCCTTGTTCCCAGACTCGCTGGCTAGCAAGGGAGATCGCTTTGTCCCAGCTTGGATCCCAATGTAGGCTTGATAGTCGTGCATTGTCTCGTGAACGAGCCAGAAGGACTAAGAGCCCTGGGGCGCCGTGGCAGATCTGGACGAGAGGGGAGCGTCGTGCTAGCGGATTATGGGGTAAAGTGGACGGAAGCTGGCCTTCATTTGCGATAGCCAGTTTGGAAAGCTGTGTGATTGTCTTTCCAATGATAGGAAGATGGTCATGATTTGGTTGTCCGTCTCCTAGTTCCTCAAGTTTGCATTCAAGAAGAATACTGAGAACTCCACCTATGATTACCGTATCAGCATATATCAACGACGACTGGAATAGTCATGGGCAGCACTTACATATTCCATGACACCTGATGATTTTTAAAAAAAAATCATATAGTTAGCTCGTAGAAAGGCCAGAGGTTGGATTGGATTTATCAGTGGTAAATAGGAGCGAAGAGAAAATACTTACGCTCCAGCATAGTATTTCCCATGCCACGGCCACATAAGGGGGAGTGCCTCGCTCTCTCCATACTCTTCGACGAATGCCTCCGCCCCAAGCTTACCAGCCTCAACCATACAGTTAACAAGATAAGGTACGTTTTCAAACACTAGCTGGTAGGAAGCAACTGTTTCCTTGTCCAGACGGAACTGACGAAAGGCGAGTATGGCGCGAAGGAGACCAGCACGGCCGGTCAACGCATCGTCGTGCCCAAGGCCATAATCCTCATCGCATGCATGATCAAACGCCTCACATACACATGCAACGTCGCGAGAATGAACCCTGCACACTCCGGTTCGGGAAGACATATTCGCAGCAGCGGCAAAGGTACGAGCGAACGCAGCACCTAGGTGTCCTGATCCGGTGGGCGAAACCATTCCATGCTGCGGGTGTATTTCGACTAGATGTGGACTAAGACGCTCCTTCGCGAGGGCATGGCAGCTGGCAATTAAAGCATCTGTCTCTGCCTTGCTGCCGCCGAGATATTTGGCTTGAATCGCAATGCGAGTAGCCATGACCGCAATGCCTGTTACCGGGAAGTTCGCATCTCAGCTAATTGTCCCCTTTTAAAGCTCTTCCAAAAGCACTAGAGAAGCAGGATATGGGTCTGAGCATACCATTGTCGCCATTGTATAGGGATCCAAACGCCTTGGTATCGTTTATATCTGGCGCAGGACTGTTTGCCTTGATCAATGCGAATCCACAGACAATAGCCGCTCTGAGCTCACTCAGTGTATTCCGGAGCGATACCTTGTCGACGGGGACCAGATAAAGGTCGTTCTTGAAGTATTGGGGCATTATCGCTCTCACAGATGAACCCCTTGCAGTGAACCAACCCCGTATGGACCGTTACTTGGACTGTATGAAGCTCATAGACGGCGATGATCGACTTGGGCATCAGCTATAGCTTCCGTGGCAAGGTTGGTGATGTCATCCCGTTGAATCCTAGAGCTAAAGCTTGACTTGACTCCAGGTAGACATCATGATATTATACATGAATTTGTCTCTCTCGGGTCAAGAGATTCCGATCTACCAGCAGAGTCTCGCCTGGCCCCTGAATGTTGTAGGATCAAATAGAAGCGCCGGTTAGATTCGTCCGTATGATTTGACCGGACTTAAGGTCTTAAAGTCGATCCTGCGCTCAACCAGCTTCCTAACGCCGAGTACATGATCGGTTTTACTGATAGACGTTTGTCCGAGCAGCTTTCCATTTCGTCCGTTAGGCGGATGAACGAGATGTATATAACGACCGTGTGCAAAGTCGAGATGTTAGGCATGGATACCAACAAAGCAAATAAATCGAAGAATCTACCCTTAAAATATCAGGTTAATCGCCATTCAACTTGTCTCAACCATGTCTTCCTTCATTGACCAGGTAATTACTGCGCCAAATTCCAAATATCTGTCAAAACTAGCCAACAACAGAGTGGTCGTATTCGGAGGATCCTCTGGCATCGGTTTCGCCGTGGCAGAGGCTGCAATTGAGCATGGCGCCTATGTGACCATCGTCAGCTCCAACGCGCAGAAGCTAGCAGATGCCCAGTCCAGAATCGTGGCCAGATACCCTGACCGCGGCGAGTATATCAGCAGCGCAGTGTGTGATCTGTCAAAGAAGGATGATGCTGAGACTGAGATCGAGAAAGCCCTTGACCTTGCTGCCAACACCGGCCCCTCGACCCCTGGCCACGTCGACCACATCGTCTTCACGGCCGCTGGTTCAATAGAAACAAAGCCGCTCTCGGAGCTGACGGCTAGCTCCATCGATGAAGCCTTTGCTGTCATGTTTCTGGGCGGCGCGCTGGTCGCAAAGCAAGCATCTAAATACCTTCGAAAGAGCCCATCATCGTCTCTTACGTTTACCGGCGGCGTCAACACCTACAAGCCCGGAGACGGTTGGGAGGTCTTGGCTGGACTCGGTGCCGCGATGGAAGGACTGTCAAGAGGTCTTGCGGTTACCATGAGGCCCGTCAGGGTGAACCTCGTTTCTCCCGGCGCTGTGATAACGGAGAGATGGGAAAGGTTTGGGGAAGCCATGGGGCCTATCGCTGAAAAGTTCAAGGGGGAGACAACCACAGGATCATTGGGGACACCTGAGGATCTTGCAGAGGCCTATCTGTATTTGATGAAGGACAAGTTTGCCACTGGTTCGGTTGTCCATAGCAATGGAGGCCGATTGTTGGTGTGAGAAGTATCTTATTTATGATCTCAGTATAGTTACATAGTACGCATTCAACTCTTCACTCTCTATCAAATGAAGCATCTTATTACGGAAATATCAAGTGGATGTGATTTAACTACCGTTTGATGGGGTTTCTGAGAGATTGATACCTACCACGGGAGATATATTAGCAGAAGATGAGTAGTCTATGAAAATTGTCTGGTAGATATTTGAATTATTTGCGTGTTAATGAAGGGTAATTTCTAGTGGCAAAGGATTTTTTTGAGTCTGTCTTGAGAGGAACAGGTCCTAGGTTTGATCCTTTGACATATATTGCTCAATTTGATACTTTTGGAAAACGCAGGGTATCCAGCATTGCCAGTGGATTTACCATTCTAGGATTTTCGGACACTACAGGTAGGCTTTATCACCTTTACCAATGCTTTGTTTACCCCGGATATATAATTCTAACCAAATTTTTGCTGTAGTCGAACGTCTTTTCAGCCTTAGTTTAACGAGCGTGGCTAACACTGCACCGCCCCTATTAGATCCGGGTGTTGCGAAAGAGCAGCCCTTGATCCAAATATAAATGATATACATATAGAGGACAAATAAAGGATGTTCACTCTTATAACCTAGTTTTACCTTACGGTAACGTATCTCACCAGTCAACGATCACCACCAGTCAACAATCACCACCTCCAAATGCTCCTTACGTCCAAACATGCGTGTAAATATCGAGATATCTCAACACAACGTAAATAACAAATAAAATTGACTATTAAATAACGATAGTAGGGTTCTAGTTTACATACAAATTAGATAGATTAAGAAAAGAAACGAGTGTTGGGCTTGATAACTCGCCCGGAACGGGTTCCCCGCGGTTGGGATAGGAAATTGGGTATTAGAGCAATAGGGTCGATAGGAGCAACCTTAGAAGGTGAAGTCTTCTTCTTTCCTAATCGGGAAGGTGAGATAGGGCTTGAGACGTTGTTTTGAGCCTTTTTGGCCTTCTTAGCCATTCGCTCAGCTTCCAATTCACCAGCTTTACGCTTCTGTTTAATCGCTGCCTCTGCGCGCCGTGCTGCAGTCTCCTCGCGGGCCTTCTTAAGAGCCTCCTTACGTTGCTATTGATCTATAAGCCTTTAAGCCTTCTTCTCTATAGCCTCTTGAGTCTTATTATTGTGGTAAATTGATTGCTAAAGCTTTATTTCCTCTGCCTGAGCTATCTTATCTTGTTTTTTAGTCTCTACCTTAATAGTTCGCTGCCTTGCTGCTTTAACCTTAGATAGAGAGAATATCTGCGCTTGGCCTGCTTTATCCTTTTTAAATAGGCCTAAGCCCTTGCCTTGCTTCCTTTTCTTCTTCTCTTATATAAGTGTAGCTATAAGAGACTTATTTTTATATAATAAGATCTCTTTATTGAAGACTAGCCTCTCACTGGTGCGGATGATCTTTGATATATAAAGGCTGGTTAATGACTGCCAGAGCTGCACTTTCTTAACCGCGCGGCGGAGACCCCGTACAGTAATAGGGGTAGGAGGCTCAATATCGATATTTGGAGGTGTTAGAGGTCTCTTATTGAAGTATTTCATTTGACGTTGAGGCATAATAGGATATATCCCTGTACTTGCAAATCCAGACTTAATATTTGCTGGTGTAAGAGCTCTTTTCCATGTAGTGTAGAAGAGTCTCCAAAAGTCTCGCTTTGACATTGATAGATACCTATATCCGCTGCGTAAGAGATTATCAACTTCCTGGGAATATGCACTGGCTAATGGCCCAAATATCCTAACATCCAATGGCTGCAGACGGTGTGTTGAATGTGGAGGTAAGATAACTAGTAAGATATGGTTTTTATCTGCATATTTGATGAATCCTATATTGATATGAGATGAGTGGCCATCTAGAATAAGAAGCCTTCTTCCCTAGCTAGCCTTTGCCTTTGTATGCTTATTGAATATTTGAAGCTATTCCTTGCCAAAGTTATCATTGCTCCAGCCATTTGGAGATACTATAAAATATGCTATTTCTCTCTGAGGGTTAAATTTGTCCACCCAGGTGTCTTGTAGATCACCTTCTCCCTTATAAATAAGTGTAGGAGGAATCTATTCTCCATCTGTAGAGATAGTAGTAAGTAGAGAGATAAACTCGCGACTTCTATCTTGTATAGCTATTATCCTTCTATTTTTAAGCGTATGAATAGGAACCACCCGTTTAACAGCATGTTCTAGGCCAATAAGGAAGCCTTTCTTATCAAAGTTATAAATATTATCTGGAGTAATATTATACTTATTTATTGCTTCCCTAAGCTAAAGAAGAGGTTAATATCAATATTTAATAGCTAACTACTAATAAACAAGTACTTACAAGCTTATAAAAGTGTTCAAAATGCTTGGAATTATCAGCAACATGCCTGGATTAATCAATGGTGCGGAGATAGAGACTCTTAATGCGATCCTTGTGCCGGCTACAGAACCGAGCCACCCAGTTGATGCCAACAGCCTGTTTAGTGAGCTCGTATACAAGATTTCGCAGTACCTGGGGCGTAGGTAATAGGCCTCTCTCTAATAATCGATTTATATGCTGTAGGAGCACTTCTTCTTATGCATTTGTCAACTTTTTGCGATGGATAGATGTTGCTTCAGCTCTTGAGACTGCAGCACCTTGATACCGCCGCGCCAGCGTTATTCGGTTAATTTTGAACTTTTTAGCGGTTTGTGAGTAATTAGGAGTCTTTTGTGATTTTAAATCTTCAATCACAGCAGCAATTGCTGCCTCATTGACCATTTTGTGGCTGTTGGAAGGTGGTTGTTTTGGTGGATGCAGAGTTTTTGGGGTGTGTTCATTAAGTGGTGATGATCGTTGACTGGTGGAATACGTTAAGGAAAGGATTTAGTATGTTCCAGCCACCACTAGTAATATACAAAGGGGTATATTAAGAGGCACCGCAAGGGTCATCATAACGGCATCTAAAAGTAAAATTTAAGGATAAGTATTAGGGCGATTAGCAGCTACCAGCCATCACAGGCTCAGATTTTACGCCGTCATTAGGTCCGCCAACTGCAGCAACTACAACTTTGTTGCCCGAACTCTGCGCCTGTACTGTCGTCTCAAATCCACTCCTCGGCTCGTCTTTAATCTCTTTCAGCTCTCCTCCATCCAAGGCTTCATATACCTTCCACGACTCCACGTCTGTAACTCCATTCCAGCTCACATAAACTGTTAATTCCTCCTTATTCGTGGTGCTGCGGCATGCTTTGACACTTGGCTTGGTTGTTGGTGTTCCGGTCCAGGCAACTCGATGCACGCGATAAGAAGCGTCGACTATATCATCGCCATAGCGAAGGCTCATGACAAGTGTATCATTTCCATTATATTCCTCAATCACCGGGATTTGTCCGTGATTCATCAATATATGTCCATTAGCCAGACTCTGAAAGCTTCCCAAATCTCGAGAGACGATTGGATGTTTCTTATTCCACAATCTTCGCCTCCGAACAGCTTCCATTTTCTGTAGGTCAAGGTCCAAGACAAGTCCGACTGTTGGCTGTGTTTTTGTGCTGAATTTTGAGTTGGCGTTGTTGTGCATGGTGATAGTGATCTTGTTCTTGTCCGGGTACTCGTTGAGCCGGAGACCATACTGATAGCAAAAATTGGCATCAGGGCCAAGTTTGAAGTCACCGCCGTTTATTCCCTATTGAACGGAAGACATCCATGGTTAGCTATAGGTGATCATGTTTAAAAGGGGCAGTAGAAATGACAATACTTACACTGAGGTTCCAGGCAACTGTTCCGTTGCGGGCAATATGGAGGACGCTGCATCCAAACCCCCATGACACGAGGTAATCGTCCCCGTACCTGACAGTAGACGACGTGCGGAAAAAGTCCCATGGATTTTTCTCAGATGTTCCAGTTCTGTCAAGCGGGCTTTGAGACAGCTTGAACGGGATTTCGTCGATATGTTCTACCGCACTCCAGCGAAATAGCACCTTGTTCGTCGCAATATCAATGTCGTAAATCAGGGAGTCTAAAACCCAGCCGTCCTCAGGCCCACCCACAGACCGAAGGTCGGCCTGAGTAACATTGACAGCGGCTACAAGCAGGGATCCCTTGTCATTCTCAATGATTCCCTCATGCAGGTCTATGTAGGATGGAAACGTCTGCGGCTCGTAAATCGTTTTGAAATATTCATCGGAAAGGGTGATTTTGTGGGCCGGGTGGTAGGAACTGTTGAGCAGATTGACAGCACCGTACCCATAGCCTTCTTTGGTGAAAGGACCTTCCCAGTAAACGAGCATGGGCTCATCATGCAGCGTCTGCGGTCGAAAACCGTAAATGTTTCCCTCCGGGCCTTGCCAGATGAGCTGACCGTCATCCTGGTAGATCGAGGGATGTCCACTGCGACCTCCAACCCAAGGCGTGACGAATATGTATCCTGGCTCCGTCTCGCCGTACTTTGTGGTGTTAAAGGAGCCTGCGCGGATGTCGGTGCTGTGGTACGTCTGTATCGGCCATGTTGAATTGGGGACTGTTGCTGCACCCGCACCTAGAGCGAAAAAGAAAGTAGCTAGGCGAGCAGCCGATGAATGCATCTTGGCAGTAGCCTGGGTCTATCGTTCAATTGATCTGCCCTTTTTTTTTTTTTTTTTTTTTTCTGGAAGTTCTAATGGTGAAGGGGGACTGCAATGTTGAATATATACCCTGATCATACAGGGATTGTTCCAACCATCTGTCGGCCCTCGCCATTGTCGTGGAGAAACAATTGGCACGTAGTGATCTGCTGCCATGCGTATCTAGGATATCCAAACGGTTTCAAACTGGATGGGTTTGATATATCGATCGCCCAATGGTGTTGATCTAATGACCGCTAGATCCTGGAATCGACTCCGCGAGATGTTCGGCCCGGTCGACTAAAGAGCGATCTTGCCAGACAAATACGACAGAACTAAATATACCTGTCCCTGCCGTGGCCCGAGACCAAATCCCGATGGCGAGCTGCAGGGTTGTATATGGAGCAGCGAGCTGGTCGGGAGTCCATCGCTCTGATATCAACTGCCATAGTGGAAGCCGAGATGCAGGAGATCGGCAAGAAGGTCGTTCTGCAGCCGCGGAGATGGATGGCCATGGTGTTTATATAGCTGGGATCCGCTGCAATCATGGGCATGGCCATCGGAAGCTATACAAGGGCAAGGCCTTTCCGTGGCAGAGAGTATCTCCATATCTCGGGCCTCTTCTGGCTCATCCCAAGATCTCGAGCAGTCAACGATGGCATCGCTTTTAAGTCTCGGTCTAGCTCCGAATCGTCAGGGGTAAGCTGCTATGATCGCCTTGCCACATATTATACCAAGCCTTTCTGTCGTTTCAAGCAGACGCCGGCAGTGGAAAGTCTGGAGAAGGCCAAGATATATATATATATATGCTTATGCGGGGCTTGACTTTTCATCGTTAGCATCATTAACTCGGATGCAACATATCGACCTGCGATGGAGGAGAGTTGATACGCCGTTCGCTTACCGGATGGTAGGCCGGAGCATGTACTGGGAGACAGGAATGCATAGTTGATGAATTGGCAAGGGATGGGCATACATTGCTATTTTCGCGGTAATGTTCTTGAATACGTTCGGCAATCCCCTATATAACGTACTTCACCACCCGATGACCACTACCACTAGATGAATAATAAAGTCGGCTCCGGCAACGTTTCTGGTAGATTATTTAGTCAACACTAGAAATTCCCCTTTGCAATGTCCTCTTCAAACCACTCTGGGCTAGCTTCCATTCCTGTATGGGCAGCGAACTCTGCCATTTTCATAGCGAGTGGAAAGTGGAGCAACGCATCATCATGGAGTATATCCTTAGGAACCGGCTCCGGGTTCCCCAGGTTGCTGAAACTATACATACAGAGTGGACAAACGGGGCCGACCGTGGGCTGTATCACGGCCGTTTCAATGCGACGGTACCTATATCTTTCACGGCACCCTTCAAGGCAAGGCTTGCACCCGCAGCATCGTCTACAGTAGAACCCGGATTTCTGTATTTTCCAGCATAGACCGCACACGAACCCGGTATGTCCATTGACCTGAACTGATTGTCCTGACTGGTAGATTCTTTTCTCAACGCCACAACGAAGGCAGAATCGGATAGAGCTTTCAGTATGACCTTTCCCTCGTTTCTTCTTTGTTTGTTTATCGGCAAACGCGTCGCGGGGACGGAGCTTGAGACAACGGCTGCAGGCAAAGCAGTTTTCATATCTATGTTATCGTTAGCTGGAGAGCCGGATTGTCCAGTGTCTGGAACTATGTTATGCTTACTCTGGCCAGGTTTCTGCAGAGATTATGAACGATAATATCTCCTCTGGCTTCGTAGGAGGTTCGCCTTTTTGGACCATCGATCTGAAGAAGCTACTGCTCTGTGACAGCGCGACGCGGGAGGCATAGTCGAGATAGGTGGAAATCTGTAAATGCAGCTCAGTTGGTAGATCTGATAACGCCATAGTAAGTCGTTTTGCCGTAGCGATATTACAGCCTGTTGACTGCTCCGTAGTTTGGTAGAAAATCGAATATCTGTATGAAATATTCATATGAAATGCAAGAGTTGCGAATGGTGGAAGTCTGCTCTTATGATGTCACGCTGAAGTGAACTTGAGGATCTATACCACTTTACATTACAATGCAAACCTCAGTTCACTACCTAGGTATGAATGCCCATGACACATCAACATAATACCTTGTGTTTATCTTCAGTGTACTCCATACTGAACGTCCAGTTGACACTTTGTTCTCTCTATCACGGTATCAACATAACTGCCTATTATTTTCTTCTTCGAGCCTACTCACGATGTCTCGCACGCCGCCCGTCAAGGTGACCAACGAGCTTCCCCAGCCTTGCATCTCGTCTATTAGTTAACTATGCAGGCCTTCATTAGCTCGACAGGGTTCGGACTTTCATCCTTCAAGCCCCGCTGCTAGCACAGCGAGGCTGAACGCGAACGGGCCAAAGCGAACCCTATTCATCCTTCAAAATACTAGCCAGCGACGACGAAAATGCCTTTAAAAGGGAAAAGGCTGGCCCCTGAGGCGGGTTGCAGAGAATCGGCGATTTCGTCTTCCTGTGTCTTCAGCGCGTCGATAGCTCGCCTGGAAAAAAAATTTACTTGCGCTTCACCATATATCGGCGACTGATAAAGGCCCTCCAGCATGGCGGGAGCCGAGCCTGCAGACGATGTTGACATCGAGCAGATGTGGAGGGAGACCGAAATCGAATTCCAGAACCTGAGCGGAGCAAATACAAAGGAGCTGAAGCAGCTTACGGTGGAGGAGGTCCTTGCTAATCTTCAGCAGAAGAAAGAGGCAGACGCAAAGACAAGGGCGAGATACGCCAGAGTGCAGAATGCCGTCGACAAGACACTCATCTGCATTCAGACCTTGGGGTCTTTTGCGGCTTCAGTTGCTTCGAATGTGAGTGTGGTTTGCCATTGGACCATTTTTCGTACTAATATTTTGTTATAGTTCTTTGGACCATCAAATCTTTGCTTCAGCGCGGTTAGCATGTTGATAACAACATCGCAAAAGTACACCAAGATTTTCGATGGTCTTTCGGAGCTCTTCGAGCGTATTTCCACCTTCTTGGACAGATTCGAAATTTATGCAAGAGCGAAAGTTGTTGGTGTCCAAATTGACCCGCATCTGAGGAGAATTATCCATGACCTACTGCGGAGCTTTGTGCGCATTTGTGCGCTTTCTATCAAGATCTCCAAACACTCAAAGGTGCTTTTGGCCCTTGAAGTGTTCAGCTTCGGAAGCGATAAGGGCGTTGCGGCCGAGCTCAGCAAACTGGAGACCCTTGTACAAAATGAGACTAATATGAGCATCGCCCTGATTTTGGAGTCGGCCAAGATCAACGAGGGAAACATCACCGCTGGATTTACTGATGTCAAATCATCGTTGGATACCGTGGACTCAAAGCTAGACACCATTGATGAGCAGATGGATAACGTCTCTTCCCTCTTGGAGAGACACGACCTTGCCGAACGACGCAAAGAATCGGACGGTCTAACAAAACAGCGTCGCGACAAGATCAAGGCGGCCCTGAAAATTGACAAAGAAGTATGGAGATCCCACCAGGAAGACTACGTTAGCAACATAGTGCCGGGTACCGGTCAGTGGCTTCTGAACGATCCTCAGTTCTCCGCCTGGGCAGACGCAGAGGCAAAATCGGCGCCTATCATTGGGCTCAAAGCGAAGGAGGGATATGGAAAGAGTTACCTGTCCTCTGTCGCGATCAGATATCTGTATCGCCTCTACCCACCAGGAAACCAAGACACGCGGATGTCAGTGGCATACTATTTCTTTGAGGGAAATACCTTTAATTCTACGGAGAAATCCGTCAACACCGCGCTAAGGTCGATTATTTGGCAGCTCACACAAAATGACGCGGTTTATCAAAAGAATGTCGCGTCCGCGTGTGACAAACCAGAAGAATTTGGGAACTCCTTGGAGCTTTGGAAGCAGCTCGTGGTCAACTTCTCTCCAAAGACGAATGCCGTTTTTTACATTGTCCTGGACGGTATTGAAGAACTGGATAGCGAAATCGGAAAGCCACTCGTCGAGGTATTTCGCGACATATCACTGATGGCGAACGAAAAAGGTCTGATGACCGTGAGGCTGTTCATCACTGGCAGACCCACCATCTTCGCTGAAGCTGAGACGGCATCTGGCGTTTCCCTCTCCACGATTGAGCTTGGAACCCGAAATAAGGAGGATATTGAGAAGTTCATTGAAATGCGAATGGATAAAATGGAAATCCTGAAAAATAAGGAGAAACCTGAGATAGTCGAGCTAAGAGATCTTGTCAAAACAGGCCTCACAAAGGGCACTCAAGGTGATTACTTCCAGCTAAACTACCTGCTGACTGAAATCAGCAAGAAACGAAGAAAGAAGGAGATCCAAGAGGTTCTGGAGCATGCCGGCGAGGATCGAGAGGCAACCATCGCCCGTGAAATTGACCGGTTGAATCATACCCTTGGATATGAAGATATTCAGGATCTTGTGGAATTGCTCAGCTGGGTAATGAATGGAAAGCGCGCCCCGTTCTTGAAAACTCTCGAGGGAGTCCTTCTGGTTAAGAACGGTGAAAGCTCACTTATGCCGCTAGAAGAACAAATACGGAACAAGTACTCTTCGCTTCTTGAAATAGCAGAGTATGATACGGTCATACTTAGCTCGAAAGCAATCCGCGAATTCTTTACTAAGCAAACAAAACAAGCAACAAACGAAGCAATTGCAAAAACAGAGCTTCATGAAGCCGAAATTTCCATTGTGAAGAGGTTTCTAAGCAGCGTCTGCGATAAAGAATTGTTCGACAAGTTCGGATTCGAGGAATTCTTCAAGTCAAAGCTCGGAGCCAAAGCTGCTTCCATTCGCGTGAATATGGAGACCCTAAAAATCCACGCGCTTCTTGTCGGTATGAAAGCTGTTGCTAGCGATTGGGATAAGGAGCTAGAGTCGCTCAGACATTCGCATTTCTATTTCTTCCAGGACTATTTAGATGAAGTTGACCTTGCACTAACACAGCCGGAGCCTAAAACTGAAATTGGAGCATTACTCATCAGACACTTTACGGATGAGATTTTCATTAAGAAGTGGTGGATTGATGACCGGATGTTCCAGCGCACTTGGTGGGCATATCAAGACAAACACGTCAATACGATGTTGAAATGGTTTAAAGACTCTGCGGTGACAAGGAACCTTACTCCTGAGATGAAGGAATGGGTAAACGGGCTAATCTCGAATACCAACCCGGGTGATGATCTCCTTTGCCATGTTGCAAAATATATTGCAAGGAAGTGGTTGCAAACCGTGAATTGGACGCCAAAGGAAGCCTTCCTATGGCTGCTTGGATACGTTACTAAGGTTAGTATGATCTACACGCTCCCCTACTATGAACATTTTGGTATAGACTAACATTGTTGATATATGTAGATTAAGGAACGTAAAGGGGAAGGCAAGAGAGTTACAGGAGATGTCTCGCCTACATTGGAGCAAATCTACGATGTGGAAAAGTGGGCAAAGTCTGAACTGGAAATAACAACCGGTGATACACTTTGGGAGGTACAGATGGGAATCGTCCTCCAGTGTTTTAGTTTCTTTGACGAATCGATTGAGAGATGCATTATTTCTCGCGAGTTGGATGCGTCGAATTGGCGTGCTCCCTACATCCAAGCACAGTCATTGTGGGAAAGGGATGACACGAAGTTAGCGCTTGAATTGATAGCGCCTGTTATCGAAAGGTTCAGGAACGAAGAAGCACTGAGAATCGAATACGAAGAAAAATTCTACCTTGGAGTTCTTGCATTCTACGGAGTCTGGAATACTGATATTAATGAGTACGACAAAGCGACGACCGCCTTCCAAGAAATTCACGAGCATGATATGGATCAATATGCACCAATTTATTGGACTTTGGACCTGCTTGAGCAGCAAGAGAAGCACTCGGAAATCATCGAGACCCTCCAAGACTTGAAAGGCAAGAAAAATAGCAAGGGCCAAACCCGTCTTGCAGCAATGCATCATCAATACGCAAATAAGGAGGAATACCACAACAGGTTGATTGTTGCTGGGAGAGCTTCCGATAGTATGGACGTTATTCGCGAGGCTCTTCATGAAGCACTAGCACCAGAGAACACTGCTTCAGTGATCCCATATGTTATCCAATGGCTCAATCACTTCCTTGCCCATGTTTTGTACCATGATCCAAGGTCTGATGCGGATAAAGTCGAGGCCATCAAGATTTGGGCGCACATTGTCAACAAAACCGCTCGCAAGATCTATCTTACAACTGAATCCGATGTTCTCGAGGCTACGACTGAGAAATTAGGGGAAGTATATCTTCACCAAGCGATAGATGCCGGATTAGAAACACCAGCTGCACAGGAATATTTGACAAAGTTAATCGATTTACTTCCCAATAACCCAGACACAGCCAACCTATTTTCTTGCCAGAATTTGAAATTCCCCATCGCCCGACTGCAATACCTCTTGAACCAAAAGGAGAAAGCAATGGAAACCTTGAGGGGCCACGTCAAAGTTGCATTGGACTTACTTTGCGATGACGATGAGAGTAATGACTGGGATGCGTTCCTAAAGCTAACGTCTGTGGCATATGTTGGAGATGATGTCAATTCACTCGCAGCTTGGTCTCTGCTCAGCCCATCCAAACCCGAAGAAGAAGCGGAGGAAGCGGAGAAGGAAGTGGAGGAGGCCACCCCTGGGGAACCCACAGTTGAGCAGGAAGATGGAGCTGAGAAGGATGACTCCAAGGAACAAACGGGCTCAGAGCCAAACGAAGAGTCACCGACAACCGATGTGTCAACTAAAGAAGAATCCAAGGAGGAAGAAGTTAAGGAGGCAGAAGTGACGGAAATAGAGATCAAAGAAGTAGAGGCGAAAGAGGAGGCGGAGGTAGTGGAGATAGTGGTAAAGGAGGACGAGGTGAAGGATGAAGCGGAAGACGAAAAGGACGAGAAGGAGGAAGAGGATGGAGCCGCGGAGCCAAAGGAGGGAGGCGAAGAAGACGGCAACGAAGAGCTAAATGAGGGTGAAGCAGAGGATGGACTATCAGGACCTATTGAGCTGTCGTGCGATGGTGCATGTGGAAAGGAGTGGACCTACGCAGATGATTTCTATGCATGCAAAGACTGCTTGGATGTGCAATTCTGCAAGGAATGTCATGACAAACAAAAGGCCGGTACGCTAAAGGAAAGAGTATGTGGCACAAAGCATGAATTCCTGCATATTCCCCCATGGGATGCAGAAGCTGCAAAGGAAGTGCCCAAGGGATCTGTTCGGGTTGGAGAAGAGATCATCCTGATCGCAGACTGGGTGCAGCAAATGCGGGTGCAATGGGGTATTAAGGAGGATGAAGTCAATGCAGGCGTGGAAACACCTACCTGATTTGTTAGTATACTGGTAGCTACTTGATATTTTCTTGGTAACGTCTGAACGATAACAATTAACGGCAAGGATATAATGCCATATCTTTATTCACACTTGGCCCAACGCGCATATTGGATTCAATTGCATTTACTCTCGTCGCCTTTCTTTTTCTTAGTTTTGCCAGCCGTTTTTGAATTTTGCTCTCAACGCCTAGTTTACCGATAATAGTCTCCATAGGCGTATATACCATCACATTGTTTTAGCCAAGCACATACACAATATCTCCTACTGCTTTACAGGAACAGCTGTACATCTAGTGGATATCTTGATCTCTTCAAATGGTGGCGCCACGGCAGACGCATCCTTAATGCATGCCCGAGATTTCTCAATTTATTTACCGTGATAGCCGCCGGCTATCGTCATTATCTTTATGCATAGATAGTTTTGGGCTTAGGCAAGAAGGTATTCCAGGTGCTATATTGCCAATAGCCTTGCTAGTAGAACACTGGGACTTTGGGTCTGAGGCCAGGGTAGAAATGAACTCCTAGGCACAATTGTACTAAGGTTACGTTTGGATAAAGTGAAGGTGGCGTATAAATACCAGGTCTTGGTTTCCAAGAAGTTTTCCAGCAAGAAAGAGAAGGGACATCTCGATGTTATGTTGTGATTTGACAGATATCTCGTAGTAGATCCAAGCCATAGTCAACTTGGCCTCGGCACATCTAGCTGGAATCGCTTTAAATGCTGGTACACGTGCTGACAATGGAGTAAAGGATCAGCTATGTTAGCTGTGTTTGGATATAAAGGCAAAAGCGTAAGTCGGAGCGTTCTATAAAAGCAAGTAACGAGGGAAGCCTACTTCGTGATTATGAAATGAGTCTTTCGAAGAAGGCGAGGTGGAGCAGAAACTTTGGAGACGGGAACCGGGAGGCCCACTTAGTAAGCGGATAGCTTATTAATCAACCTTAATATAGAAACTATAAATAGACTATAAACTTGCATAACGTCGCAGTTTTACTGATTAATGGCAAATTTATATATTATTAAGAAGACTCCCTGATGTAACATCCAAATTCAATTCAGGCTGCCAGAGGGATGTCAATTCCCTTAGTCTATAGCATCTAGAAACTCGTTACGTTGTTATTCAGCCATTCTCATGGTTACTGTTTCTCAAACACATTGCCGTTCCGTTCGATCTGCACGCTACGACGGTGCAAGCTGGGTTGTCGTTTTCGCCGGCTAGGCCAAAAATAATTTGTACCACCAGCCCCAATCTAGCCCATACCTTTTGCCTACGGGGGATCACATTTTCTCATGGCTAGTTTTTTCTATCCCGTATTTGTATTAACCTACGAGAATAATCATGTTGAAAGGCATTATGCAGAAACTATTATTTTCAGGATATTTTTGCTATAGGATATTGTCCGCCTACTTATACGTAGGAAATTTGAGAGATTGAATATCGTCGACCAGCTAAAACCTCTACAACTTTATATGTAGAACGCTAGTGCTAATAATTCCCGGCCTCTGGGATCTACAAAAATTCCGGAAACGTTTTTAGCCCAACCGAATGAGATTACTCCACCTCAGCCCGTTCTTGTTAAATACAACAGCTCAAATTTTCACTAGGGAACGTGGGAAACGATAGGCGGCTCATATATGACGCTGGCTAACCGCCAAGTCGCACAATAATGCTTTGTACTACATATATTTCCCCCTTAAGCTTGTTTCTCACCCGTTCACCAACTCAACTCCAACAAGTAATTCTACTCAATAGTCCGAGTTAAAAGGCATAGGTCACCTTGACCCATCCATGTTGTCGCCACGTCAAATCAAACGTATCTAAATGATATTAGTCAACCATCAAAGCAATATTACTTGCTGGCCTAGAAACGCGAGCCGAGGATGAATATCCCTAATGCAATCAGGGGGCCGTTATAAAGTTGGGATAGTTCAACTTAAAAGCAAACTAGCCTCCCCTCCTTGTTGCCCACTTACGGGTTGGCATGGAATACGATTGTTGTTTTTGTCACACATTAGACCCCTGGTTTTGACTACAAGGCTATCTACTCAAAAGGATTGCGGGATATCTATGGCTCTGAATGTTGAATTATTTAAGGGGATATCCTTCCTCAAGCAAACAACATTCCCTTTTGCTCTAAAATCGTTCTCTATATGCATACCATAATTTAAAAAGCCCGACTCAGCTTGAATTCCTCTTCATATCAAAATAACATCTCCACCAATCGCAATAATGAAGGCAGTTCTGCATATATTTGTGGCCGTCGCGCTACTTTTCGTTACGGCGCTTGCTAGAATTGGCCAGCCTAAGGCTGCTTTCGGCGTTGATTCCCATGCCGACCCGGTGGTGGTTCAAGGGTGCTGCCCCCCTGGCAGAAACAGGGTGAGTAAACTGGAAAACCTTCACTAAGAATTTTTATTATGCCTTCAAAGTCATACTTCAATGCTTATATTGGCCAAATAGAGATGTAGGGATGGCAGCGAGGCAAATCCGGACTGTGGGAGAGGAGGTAAGTAATTTTGCTCCCTCCTCAAGTCATGCTTATGAAACCCTTGTTCAAGGATTAACCAGAAACTTATCAACTATAGCTTGCAATCCATTTGGTTGTCAATGTCGCAGAGGGTGCCGTTAGTGGAGGATTACTCGCAGAGGTAAATTCTGAAAGCATCAGCTCCATTTAGTGAACATATACTGATTGATACCCTTATTTTTAGGACTGACTTGTTGCCCCTGAATTTATCTCGATTCCTGAGCATAGCATTGAAAATATTTATATCTTTCATGTTCCGCCTCACTGTGGTCAAATGAGCTATCAGGGCAGCTTCACAATACTTCTATTTTAATAGCGGTTGAACATGGCTATACTTTCAGAGGATCATTTCAAAAAGATTTTTTTGTGTAATTGAGTGCTATATAATGAACAGCTTCCCAAACTTTCCAGAAGTCCGGCTGGGTATTCATTTGGAAAAGAACATACATATAACTGTGGAGATAAATGGCTAACGGCGAGGGTGGTATGCATTAAGAAAGGCGCATATGTAATGATAGAATATAGCTAGTCGGTCATAAGAATCTGTTGGACAGGAAGTCACCCACCCACTTTAACGCCAGTTACAAAAGAGGGAGGAGAATGGAAAAGAGAAAGATATACACTCCCCCCAGTCCTTGGAAGAGAAAGCGTATATATATGTATATATGTAGAAAATATAACATAGATGATAAAAATGGAAAATGCGTAGGTCCAATCGTTAACTCCGGCCCAACGCAATGAGAGCCAATACCAATACCAATTTCAACCAAACAAGCGGGTTGCTCATTTTGGGTTGTTTTATATATATGCATGTTTCCATCATTTTCAAAATTGGCTTGAGTTCTGCCGGGTGCCGACTAGGCTAGGAGTATAGGCGCTCCCCTCGCTGCTTGGAGTTTGCGGTTCAGCGACAACCTGCTTCCTAATGCAAACCATCCATTCATGTTGTAATAGTTCAGCGGCACTTGGCCGTTTGGCTGGATCTGGTTCGAAACATTGTCTGATGAAGTCAATTCCGAGATCGGATAGTTCACCTTTGCTCGGGAGATGGGGTTGATTGCCTTGTGCGATCTTGTACATTATCGCCCATTCATTATCAACGCCAGCCCAGGGTCGCATTCCCGTTGCCATTTCGAGAATGACACAACCTAAGGACCAAATGTCCATTGACCCATGACGGGAGGAGGTGTGGCTTGTTTCTCCCCTTACGAGTTCGGGAGACATATACATTGGCGTACCGGTGACAGATTTCTGGTTCTTGCGTTGGTCCTTGTTGGCGACTGCAGGATCCTTGTAGTGGTCCATGGCAGCGAGGGTCTTGCCTTGTCTAGCAATGACCATAGCGGCGCCGAAGTCGACGTATTTGATGACTCCGTTATGGTCGAGGAGGATGTTGGCGGGTTTGATATCGCGATGGACGATGCCAGCTTGGTGGAGGTAGGCGAGACCCTCGAGCATTTGGAGGGTGTAGACCATGATGACGGTTTCGTCTTCGATGCGGCCATGCTCGAGGAGGGTGGCAAGAGAACCACCAGAACAGTATTCCATGAAGATGTAGACTTTGTCCCGGTGGACTTCGATGCCGTGATACGAGACAATATTGGGGTGATCGAGGACTTCGAGGACACCCATCTCGTCTCTGATCTGTTGAGCGGCGCCAGGGATGACAGACGGTTCCTGGAGACGAATTTCTTTGACGGCCATCAGGTAGCTGGTATCCAGGTCGATGGCGGCGTAGACGGATCCTGATGTTCCGCCACCAATAAATTGACCTTGCTGCCAGCGTAAGTTGATGTTTGTAGCCGATGAGGAGAGCACTGTAAGCGAGCGGTCGGCTTCGTTGACTCCTTCCAGCACCTTTCCAAGCGGTTGTCGCTTGGAATCTTCCTCTGCCCTAAAAACCTCTATATCGGACAGATGCAGCAGTCGTTGCTCTCGTACCTGTGCTAACGCCACTTCGTCACTTGCAACACCACTGCAATCCAAATTCCTGTAGCTTCCAGTGGCATCCGTGCGTTGCTTTTCAGCCTTTGCAGCCAAAGTGGATCTGGCACCCATAATATCGAAATGGGAAATTAACAACGCCATGCAGCCGGCAACCTTGACACGGAGCAGGTCGTACTCCTCGTCGCTCATGGCAATGACAGAATGGCCATGAGTAATGATCATGGCAAACTCGAGGGCAGACACGGCCCATTTAAAGGTCTTGCGATCTGCAGCATCACAGTCGTCGCAGATGAAGGAGATCCAATCGAGACCTAGCTTGACAAGTTTGCCATGGTTCATCGATCGGTGGTTAGGATCCATGTACATTAATGATCGTTTGCCGAATTCTGTGGCGAATGCGAAACAAGATTGGATGAGCTCGAGGTTTTGTCTATCTGTGCCCTGGCTTCTGATGATCTCTACACTGTCGATAATGGTGTTTGACAATTTAAATGCCGTTTTCTTGATCTTGTTGAGTTCGACGTTGACACGTCCCAAGTTCGCACGTTGTTCGATAGTGACATCGAATTCTAGTCCAGTGGACCTGGAAAGTGCCAGACGAGCATTTTGAAGTCGTTCTTGCGATCCATCAGCGACTAGACGGAGTTTACCCATGCGTACATCAGTCGGATGTTCGAGTAAATCTACCTCTAGTCGTTTCCCTGACCACTGGAAAGGCTTGTCCGGCCGAATGACGAGAATGTAGGGGTATGATAAATTTTCGGGGGCATCTTCGGCGAGGAATGAAGTGCCAAGGATGGATTGGATGTCCTTTGGACGGTCAAACAGAGATGGTGAAGCGAGAAGCGATACACCTTTCTGGCCCACAGAGTCCGTAGACACAACGAGGAAATGGCCTGATGCTAGCAGCGCTTCGGTGAAGGTATCTATACTGTCATTGCGTAGATTGAACTCAGTGGCATTTTCGAAACGTTGGCGAAGGAAGCGAGAGAAGCGGAAGAGTTTTCGCTGTCGAACCCGAACGGAGTCGAGGATATTTTTGTATTGTTTCTCGCTCTCCATGGCGTCCTCTTGGGGCTTAGTAAGGAGCTCACGTTCGAAATGCAGCATGAGTCGCTGCAGAGCCTTAGCGGTCAGGGTACTAAACTGTTCGGCAACCTCGATATCGCCACCGTCAAGCTGTCTCCCGATCTGGTTCGAGAAATCCCACTCCTGCTCTAATATTTCTGCCTCCTTGAAGGTATTCTTGTTCGCGCTGAGTTTCCAATTGAGTAGCTTGAAGTAATACTTCAACGCATCTAAAACGACCATGTCGAAGTTCTCATCCACACATGGAGGAAGGTCCCAGCCCGGCTCAGGGTCTGAGATGATGAGGTATCGGAGCTTGATTTCGGTGGCTACTTTCATAAGGATCTGGAACTGGACGATCATCTGGTCCAGGAGGATAGGAGACTGTTGACCTGGATCTTTCATCTTTTTGGCGTACGAGAGGCGGATGCGGGTGACTTCTTGGATGAGGCGAGAAGGGAAGTTGATCAAGGTGAGTAGTTCCTCGATGTACGGGGGTAAGTGACGCTGGGCAAAGGAATCTGCGTTATCGATGAGAGTGTTTTTGGCCTTTTTGATCACTTTGCCTACCCCATCAAGCATCTGGTCGCCACCTTGTAGTGTCTTGAGGCCGTCTTCTTTCATGATGCGATCGAGGAACGATCCTTCATCAGACAATTCCGAGGCGTATGAGGTGTTGACGATGGGTTTTGTGAAGTCCAGTTCTTCGTTGCCTACCCATTTCTGTAAGATAGAGAGCTGTGTGTTGATAAGCTTGGTGGTATTGTGCCATGAGATGATGGCATCGCAAGATTGATAGAACTCCTCCGAGGCTGCGCGGGAGTTGGCGAGCTTGAGCTGTCGACGCGAGGCGAATAGGCTTTCAACCTTTTCAATCTTCTCAACGATATCCTCGACCTGTTGAAGAGGGGGTTTCCCAATTTCTGCCTGGCCCTTGATCTTGAAGTTGATAATATCTTCTAGCATGGGACCAATGGTTTTTCTCTCCTCCTCGATAATCCTAGTCTGGGTCGCGACGGTGCGTCCGAACGAACGAGCTCTGACGCCCATCCAGATCTCACCGCCCAGTACCTCTTTACTTTTCTGCTCCATGGTACCGATGAGACGTTGCTTTTCCTGTCTCACGACATCGCCCTTGAGTACCGAGGCCAGCATGGAATGCCACTCCAGCCTCTCTCGTACTCTAGGGTCCTGCAGTTCCTCAAACGTGGGTTGTAGGTCTTCCTCTTCCAGAGCCATACGCAGGTCTGGATCAAAGGTATCATTATCGAACTGGGCCTCTGATGATGGCGACTCCTCGCCCACATCAGACTCGAGATCCATGGCTGCCGCGGCCGAAGCCGATGACATCTGAGGAGAAGTATTGAACCACTCGTGCGGGGGGCCCTGCCGTACTCTCTGGACGTAGGCCTTCTCCTGAGCTTGGTACTGCGCGTTGGGGTCTCGGTCACGGTCACGGCGGGGTGTCCGCTTTGAAGAGAGCGGGAGTTGGCTGGTCGAGTGCGCGGTGATAAACTGATTAGGCCGTCGTGGGGGCGCGTAAGTGTTCGAAGGGGTTCTGGCAGGTCCTAGGGGCCTCTGCGGGCGCATAGGAAGATTGCTGTTCTCTCTTTCACCCATTATGCCTGTGCTGCCTGTGATTGCTGTCGTGGCTGCTTCCGTACCACCACTACCACCGCTGCTGCTGCTGCTACCTCCGAGAGAATGGCTGGCGGCAGCACTGCCGGGCCATGAGGGATACGTGGATGGAGAAGCTGCTGGCGAAGGGGAGTAATGTGGTGACGGTCTGATGAGGTTGAGATTGGGACCGACGCCAGGTGTAGTTGGGCCTACTCGGGCAAGGAGGTTGAGGTTTAGCTGTGAATTGTCTTCACGGTTGGAAATGGAGCTTGCCGTTGCAGTTGCACCTTGCCCCGGGCCTGGACTGAGAATGGCCTGGTCGTGGTCGTCAACGGCGGCCGGAGTGGAAGCGGGGAGGGCGAAGCCAGAGGGATGATGGCGCGAGTAGAAGTACTCGCCGTTGGGATCACGGTCTCTATCACGGCCAGGGCTCTCCCTATCCATCCTGAAGAAGTCTCGTCGTCGGGCGTCGCTGGCCGGCGGGCGGGTTGGGCGGCTTGCGGCTTGAGGCTTGAGGTCTGGGGCTTGACCTTGAGCTGTGCTTGTTGGAATAGTCCCCCTGTCCCTTCTTACTAGACCCTGCTTCCTGGTACTAGTGACCTCTCTAGCGAACCTCTAGTAACCCTGCTAGTTCTCCTAGTGGCGGTACCGCTGCGTATTTACACTGGCTAGCTTGCAGTTGGCCTGCCGGGATAGGAGGGATGGGAGATGAAGCTGCAGCAGAGTTGGCGAGTAGCGAGCGGGCGAGTGGAGGGCCCATTGGCCACTTCGAGTTTAGCATCGCACTAGTAGCTGACAGGTCGACATTTGCACCGACACGCACGCCTGGTTCCTCGCGCTGGAGGCGAAGGGGACGGGAGATGTTGACTGATATCGAGGGTTGAAGAAAGGCAGAGAAGAGAGAAGAGGTCAGAATATCCCAATTGGGAAGATACGAGCTGGACGAGAAAGTGCGGGGTAAAGAAAATACGAAAAAATACGAAGAGGACGCACGTGTATTATTTTTAATACGGTATTTACCTTACAACGTGACCTGGCCCTTGGCCTGTGCTCCACTGAACATCCCAAGCTCGATTTTGATATGAAAGAGCGAACACGAAGACACGATCGGCTTGGATACTGCGATTGCGCTGATATTGAGACTTATATTGAGACTGATATCGAGCTCGAGAGTAAGACCACCATGTCAGACACCGAGCTGCCGCCGTCGACGTTCCCCAAGCCAGAAGACTTCGACACGGACCCGCGCGTCTCCTTCTCCAAGCTCGACAACAAATACATCCTGGAGACAGACAACGGCGAGGAATTCACGTATGATGACGCTTTGAAGAGATGGATACCCTCGGTAGGCATGCTCATGGCTTAGTGACATTGAAAGAGGCCACGATGGTGACTCAGTCGGTGGGGCGTCCTAACTCATTGTCTTGACCGGAGATACAGCTGGACGAGTCCTTGATGGAACAGCAGAGAGAGGCATACAAGATAGAGGGCGTCGACGAGGAAGAGCCCGCGAATTTCAAGGCCATGCAGGAGAAGAAGAAGCGGAAACACAACAACGATGTCAGCTCCCTCTCTCATGTTGCCATGTTATCAGTCCAGCCTACTTACGGATCCAGGACTCGCATCCCCCGCATAAACCCAAGAAACCCCGCGTCAACACCGCCGTCTACGTAACCGCGATCCCTCTCGATGCTACCCTGTCCGAAATCAACTCCCTGTTCAGCAAGTGCGGCGTCATCGCGGAGGAAATCGACAGTGGCAAACCACGCATAAAGATGTATACAGACGACCAGGACATGTTCAAAGGTGACGCGCTGGTAGTTTACTTCCGTCCCGAGTCCGTCAACCTCGCCATCCAGATGCTGGATGACACCGATTTTCGATTCGGCGAAAAGGGCGCACAGGGAAACATGCGGGTGCAGCCTGCGGATTTCTCCTTCAAGGCCGTGCAGGATGCCCCAGCAAAGGTCAATATGCGAGATAAGATGAAGATTATGCGAAAGACGCAGAAGCTAAACAGGTAAGGAGCATCGTCGAGCGTAGAGTGTGATGTGGCTAATCCGGGATATAGTAAGCTTACGGATTGGGATGATGACGGCGCTGAGGCCCAGCAGTCGTCCAGGGGAGGGAAGGTCGTGGCGCTGAAGCATATGTTCACGCTAAAGGAGCTCGAGGTAGCTATTTCTCCCGGTATCGGCCGTTATACCGTTAACACGTATATCATGTAGGAGGACCCTGCTGCCATCCTCGACATCAAGGAGGACATTCGAGAAGAGTGCTCCAAGCTAGGCGAGGTGACCAACGTCGTGCTCTACGACAAGGAGGAGTCAGGCGTCGCCACAGTCCGCTTCTCAAACCCAGAATCTGCCCAGGCCTGTGTCCAGGTTTGTTCTCCATACACCGTCTTGTGCGTACATGTCTGACCTGTCTAGATGATGAATGGCCGCTTCTTCGGCGGGACCCAGGTTGAAGCATACATCATTGAGGGTAAAGTGCGGTTTAAAAAGTCCGGTGCCAGTGCGGCTGCGGCCCTGGAGGACGACGGGGCCGGCTGGGAGGCCGAGGTCAAGGACGACGACACGCAGCGTCTGGACAAGTTTGGAGCCTGGCTGGAGCAGGAGAAGGATACTAGACGTTAAGCCGTAGCATGTATCATAATATATCTCTTCTATATCTCTATATCTCTTCTCTCCACGCTGTATATTGTCTGTCTTAGTAAGCAACCCCTGATCCGCGCTAAGGGTAAACAAGACCATGCCCGATCGGGCGCCTCCTTGCACACCGCCCACCACGTCAACTTCCTTCTCCTTCTCCTTCTTCTTCTTCCTCAACCTCAACTCCTCCGACTCTCCCTGAACGCCCATCTCGACACTCTTCACCACCCCAATCACCCCAGAACACCGTCTACCTCGCCAACATGCGTGAAATCGTAAGTCTACCCTCCCTCCCCCTCCATTCGGTGCCCAACACGACACGCTCTGCACAGGCCAAGAAAGGGGGGGCCACCACACGATCATGTCCTCGGGCACGAGCGTGAAGCGACGAGCCTCCAGTTTCAGAATTCAGATCCAGCTAACGTGTTGTTGTCGTATAGGTGCACCTTCAAACCGGCCAATGTGTAAGCTTTGATCGATCCCTGGTTCGTTTTGCAGATTCCCGTTGAATTAACGCTTTTGACCTCAGGGTAACCAAATTGGTGCCGCTTTCTGGTAAGCATCGACAAGGAAACTGATATTGGGTGTTCGTCGTTACTAACAGTCTATAGGCAAACCATTGCTGGCGAGCATGGTCTCGACGGATCCGGACAGTGAGTGATACTACTGATGGTAGAAGGATTCAGTTATTGACAGACTCTAGCTACACTGGATCTTCTGACCTCCAATTGGAGCGCATGAACGTCTATTTCAATGAGGTTGGCACGACCAAGACCCTTTTCTTCGGCAGCATACTAACTCATTGGAGGCAAAGGCCTCTAGCAAAAAATACGTTCCGCGTGCGGTGCTCGTTGATCTCGAGCCCGCCGCGCTTGACGCCGTCCGTGCCGGTCCTTTTGGTCAGCTCTTCCGCCCCGACAACGTCGTCTTCGGTCAGTCCGGTGCCGGAAACAACTGGGCCAAGGGCCACTACACTGAGGGTGCCAACTTGGTCGACCAGGTCATCGATGTCGTCCGCCGTGAGGCCGAAGGCTGTGACTGCCTTCAGGGTTTCCAGATCACCCACTCTCTCGGTGGTGGTACCGGTGCCGGTATGGGTACCCTCTTGATCTCCAAGATCCGTGAAGAATTCCCAGACCGTATGATGGCTACCTTCTCCGTCGTCCCATCCCCCATGGTCTCCGACACCGTTGTCGAGCCATACAACGCCACTCTCTCCATCCACCAGCTCGTTGAGCACTCCGACGAGACCTTCTGTATCGACAACGAGGTAAGCTCGTCATTCTTTTCCTATTTGGGTATATCTTCTAACATGCCTAGGCCTTGTACAACATCTGCATGAAGACCCTCAAGCTCACCAACCCATCCTACGGTGACCTCAACCATCTCGTCTCCGCCGTCATGTCCGGTGTCAGCACCAGTCTGCGTTTCCCAGGCCAGCTCAACTCTGACCTCCGCAAGTTGGCTGTCAACATGGTTCCATTCCCCCGTCTTCACTTCTTCATGGTCGGATTCGCTCCCCTCACCAGCCGCAACGCCTACTCTTTCCGTGCCGTCTCCGTTCCAGAGTTGACCCAGCAGATGTTCGACCCCAAGAACATGATGGCTGCCACTGATTTCCGCAGCGGTCGCTACCTCACCTGCTCTGCCATCTTGTAAGTTACAATCATCTCATCCAAACCGCGTTCCCTATTTTACTAACACGTTCAATAGCCGTGGTAAGGTCTCCATGAAGGAAGTTGAGGACCAGATGCGCAACATCCAGAACAAGAACTCCGCCTACTTCGTTGAATGGATCCCCAACAACGTCCAAACCGCCCTCTGCTCCATCCCCCCACGTGGTCTCCAAATGTCCTCCACCTTCGTCGGAAACTCCACCTCCATCCAAGAACTCTTCAAGCGTATCGGTGACCAGTTCACTGCTATGTTCCGCAAGAAGGCTTTCTTGTTCTGGTACACTGGTGAGGGTATGGACGAGATGGAATTCACTGAGGCCGAGAACAACATGAACGATTTGGTCAGCGAGTATCAACAGTACCAGGACGCCTCCGTCTCTGACGGTGAGGAAGAATACGCTGAGGAGGAACACTTCGAGGGCGAAGAGTAAATGCAAAGCTATCCGTATAACTGAAGCACATAAGCATCACTTATCCGCGCTCCTTGCTTTTCTCTTTTGAAAAATATCCCGTCCCTCTCCCCCCTTTTCTCCCGCACAGCAGATGTACTATCCTTCAAGCGTGCGCCTCGCGTGTGCTAGCTTATGCTTATGCTTACGCTTACGCCTCCGCTTCCCTTGTCTTGTCTGCTTAATAATTCCCCCCAAACCAGCGTGTCCGTTCGAGTCAAGCCAATATTCAATTTCACAATAGTCACTAAGTGATAAAAAAAACATGATCAATTGGTTGTTTGATATCCCCTCTATCCCCAATATTTTTTTTTCTTAATTCCTTTTGTTTCGGAGAATCAAATTACAAAAAAACATTTAATTCAAGGTATCCCATCACCTTACCTTCTCTTTGCCTAGGTAGATACTTGGCATATATGTTATATCCTCATAGAGGAGAAAGAGAAAGAAATCAAAATCCAGCTCCCTGATATCATATCACATCATCGTCACTCTTCATCTTATATATTAACCTCGCCTATATTTAAACATTGAAAGCAAAGCCGTCCATTATATTTTATGACCTGTAGGAGTATAAACGGGGTAAATACTATTTGATTACGCCCTCTAGCCAGTCTGGTAGGGCAACTAACGACTATTTTACCTACCTACCTACTCATTACTCGGATACAGCACGGTATCCGCGGGCACAAACTCCTCCTTGATAGACCTCATACTCACAAACCTACCCATCAACGCCGCACTACCCGCCTTATCATTCGTTCCCGACGCCCTCGCACCTCCAAACGGCTGCTGGCCAACAACCGCTCCCGTACATTTACAGTTGATATAGAAGTTTCCTGCCGTGCCCCTCAACGCATTCTCGGCATAATGCACCGCCTCGCGATCCTGTGCAAACACGGCACCAGTCAATCCATAGCTACCGGTGTTGTCGATGGTGTTGCAGATCTTCTCAAACGCATCAGGAGCATCTTCGCCGTCAGGATAAATGAGGATAACAAGCACGGGCCCAAATAGTTCGGTGTGTAGTAGTGGATGCTCAGGGTTGGTGGTAGAGTATATGGTAGGATGGATGAAGTATCCCTTTGAAGCATCATATTTACCACCAGCGAGGAGAGTGAGGTCTTTATCCGCCTTGGCGTCATCGATGACCTTGGATAGCTTCTTAAACGACGCTTCGTGGATGACGGGTCCGATGAAATTGGTGAAATCTTCAGGTGAGCCGATCTTCAGCTTCTCCGTCTCTTCTACCAGTTTGGTGCGGAAAGCGTCCCATTTCGATTGTGGAACGTACGCGCGTGAACAGGCACTGCATTTCTGGCCCTGGAACTCAAAGGCGCCGCGAACGGTGTGGATGGCAGCGTTATCTGTATCGGCGCTTCGGTGGAGGAGATGGAAGTTTTTACCACCTGTCTCTCCCACGATGCGCGGGTAGCTGCGGTATCTACCGTCTGCTACGCCCTGGGCTATTTTGCCGTAGATGGAGCGGAAGACCGCGGTGCTGCCGGTGAAGTGTAGGGAGGAGAAATGCTTGTTGTCTAGTACGAGGCTGGTGATTTGTTCTGCGTCGCCGGGGACGAATTGGATAACGCCTGGGGGCAGGCCGGCTTCGGCTAGGACGCTGTAGATGAGGAAGTTGGAGGCCATGGCGTAGGGGGAGGGTTTCCAGAGGACGACGTTGCCCATTAGGGCTGGGGCGGCGGGGAGGTTGCCTCCAATGGCGCTGAAGTTGAATGGGGAGATGGCGTAGACGAAGCCTTCTAGTGGTCGGTATTCCACGCGGCTAGAGGTTGATTAGAACAAGCGTCATAATTAGGACACTATATGGGTGCTTACTTCCAGATCCCAGGAGCATTGTGGACGGGCTGCTGAGCATACAGCTCAGATGCATAGTGAACATTGAACCTATATCGTACATTAGCAAGACTACTAGCTGTAATGTAAGAAAATAGACATACCTCAAGAAGTCACACAGCTCAGCAGCAGCATCAATCTCCGCCTGCCACGCATTCTTCCCCTGACCCAACATAGTAGCGGCCATGAGCTCGTACCGGTACTTGGTGCTGACTAGATCGGCAGCCTTCAAGAAGATCGAAGCCCTGTCGGCGAACGGCATGGTCTCCCACATCTTCTTAGCTTCCAATGCGTTGTCAATCGCAGCTTTGATGTCCTCGTCGCTGGCACTGTGATACTTTGCAATGCTGGAAGCGTGGTCGGACGGGTTCTGTTGCGTCTGTATCTTGGAGGTCGTGATCGCCTTTCCTCCGATCATGACAGGAACCTCGATGGGAGCTTTCTTCTTGAACGCTTCTAGGGCGCTGGCAAGCTTCTCTCTGTCCGGAGAGCCCTTAGCATAGTGTTTCTATAGGTACAGTGTCAGTAAGCGTATACATGCAAGCAGGGGGAAGAGACAGACGTTGGGCTCGTTCTGAACCGTTGGAGGCTTGAAGGTAGCTAGCTGTGCCATGGTGACGGTCTATACGGCGGTGGTAGACTGAATTGGAGTCGTATATACTATCTGTATCTGCCTTCTAAAGGAATACAAAGCTGTCTGCCATCGTGAAGCCAGGAGGAGGAGGGGGAACTTATATAGACCCCAACCGGAGCGGGGAAACTCGGCCAAGCGCTTCTTCTCTTCCGCTCAGGGCAGTCTGGTCACTTTTCTCTCTTCCTGGACCAGCATAGTAGGTACCTGCTGTATAGGCCAGTTTTCGCCTGGGCGGGAAGTACCTGCGATGGAAACACTGGGAAAGGGGCGGATAGGGGCGGTCGGAGAACCTGGGGTAGTCACGTGTAGCTGTCACTATAAAAGACCTATATAGATATAGATGATATAGTTGATATAGAAGAGCTATGTATTGATAGTAAGGTCATCACTTGATAAAGGGACACTGGCCCGTCCGCTCGACCTGCAGCCTCTTCTTCGTCTGCTCGTGGTACTCTTTGCCCTTGCCCAGAAACCGCTGCGGTCCCACGTCTGGAGGGTTGAATCCGCCGGGGAAGTACTTGTCGCCGTCGTCGCCAGGAACCGGTCTGCCCAGCATGCGCGAATACATGGTTTCGGGGCCCCAGCGGTTCCAGAGCGTCGGCTTGACATAGTAGGGCGCGTTGTCCCAGACTAGAAGACTATGCGGAGCGGCCTCGTCGAAGGCTTCCGTATGGCGGGTCACCCGTAGACAGTAAGGGCGTGGGAGCATCAGGTGGCGCGCGACAAACTGGCGAGCAACGAGGATATTGGAGAATATGAAGCGATATATCCACTCAGGCCGCTCGTACCTAATAATTGTTAGTGGTCTAGACTCTGTCACTGTTGTCATCAAAAGGGCGTGCGTGGGCGTGGGGCCATTTTACATACATCATCGCAACGCGGAGACGGTCTTCCAGCAGGAAAATAACACCCTTCCACATAATAGGGTGGATAAAGGAGGGTGCGTTGTAAAGCAACAATGCAACAGTTTCGTTGGCCGTCTGGTGGTTGTGCTTATCCGGAACCATGTACTCAATTTCATACTTCCTGCTCCACGCTTCAATCTCTTCCAGCCAATGTAGCCCATCTCTGAACCCCGTTGCAGCAGACGGCAGCTTGTCATACTTGATCTCCATGCAATCACCTATGCTCTTCCAAAACGTCCCCACCGCGCATCTCTCCAGCTCACTAACTTCACGCCAGTCATACCGGTTCACGAAGCGTGTGGGTTCGAGCGCAAACAAGCTTAGTGTATATAGCATGTCGTCATCCAGGACCTTGCCGGCCTTGCGGTAGGTATGGTGCAGGTAGTTCATGCGTGCAATAGCTTCATGTGACCGGTCAGAGGAAGGCGGATTCGACATGAACTCGTCAATCAGCACACTAGTATCCGCGTACCGCTTCGTAGATGTCTCGGGGCTGGACAGTTCAGACGTCTGAACCAGTAGTTTCGAAATAGTAGGGATCCCGTATGTCTATCGTTCCACCGAGTCAGTCTTTCCATTCTCGCTCCAGCTGGCCTTGCCTTGCCTGGCCTGGCATCTAGAATAGACTCGATAGGCATACCTTGAATAACGCAAACTGCAGAGCCTTGAACGTGAAAAATGGGAACTCCAGCATGAACATCGTCCGCTGGATCGCCCACGCTTCATCATCCGTCATCTTCGCAAAGGACTCGCGCGTCTTGTAGCCATACTGCTTCTCCAGGCTGCGTATCCTTTGAAAGCGAAGTAACTGCACCGCAGCAAGATACGCGGCACCCGCACATACCAGTCCTGGCACCGAGAAGAGCGACTCCATCGTCGTCGTGCACAGCGAGGAAATGTGTTCCATGATAGCCAAAACACGTAGATTGTCGTCCTAGGCCAAAGTTCATCCAGCTTTCAGCTTTCCCCAGGGTGGCGGGACGTAAAGATCTAAAGTCTTCACCGATATATTGCAGGGATACCGGGCAGCAAAAGTGGCTGAGTTGTTGTTCCTGTTCCGCATTGTTGTTACCTGTCACCTGTGTTTCGCGGATAAACGTCCAATAATTTGGTCCTTCCTCGGCACAATCCACGATTTCGGCTGAACCCATCTAGCCGCTCACCGTCAACAGAAACACCGACTACCGTGATGGCCTGAAGTCGGATGTTGGCCAGGAAATGGTAGAGAACAGGAGAGAGTCCAAGACGGAAGCATCCGCTGAGGTTCCATCCTACTGGCACTAAGGGAATACTTTAATTCTTCCTCCCATCAAGTCACCCATGTAACCCAACATACGCGGTTACGAGTACTTTAAAGCCCTGGACGTGTGTCTAGTTAAGGGTGACTCGGCTGGCAGAATATAAGGATGAAGCTATAAGAATGGAAGTAATAAGGCTCTCCCTTGTTACGGTGTTTTTTATTCTTGCTAACATTTGGAATCTACACGGTACTAACATTGGTCGAGCGACAACCAGCTATCTACGAAGTGTCTCTGAACAGAGAGATAGAGACCTTGAGACCACATTCCTAGCCTTCTTGTAGATCTTGCATCGAAATATAACATGGACAGTGATTTCACCAGCTTGGTTCCTTATGCATTCTTACGATTCAATTGTACCCAAAATACTTGACCTTCTGGTTACTTGGGGAGGAAATATATATCCTCCAGGTCCCGATGTTTTTCCTGACGATAGTACGCGCGAACCCCATTTTCTTATTCGACTTTCACCGCTGATAACTTATCCGTACAGGGTTTGCCTAGTATCCATGTCCGTTCCAGCTATCTTTGGTCCTCATTCCTACCGTTCGTGAACACGAAGGGGGTCACACCCTCTATTTCATCTCGAAAATGAGAGGGGAAACAGGGCTGAAGTCATGCCATAAGACTCAGTTCGTCATGGTACATTATCCAGTAACCATCCGCGCAGCAAGGTTTGGGCGTGGTATTTATCAATAACCTGGTCTTCGCTTTCCCCGTGTGACTCAATAATGACATCGTATAATAGGTTGATGGTTGCATCAGGAACACGCAATAATGCAAGGGTATCGAGATCGAGGATTGATACTTTAGGTGATCTGTTACCTGGTTAGGGCTGCTAAATCACCAACGGAGATGGCAAAGGCACTCTATTGTACCTCTAACCCGGCCCGAATTAAACTCTAAGTTGAGTAGCAGGATCTGCTAGAGACTTAATTGCTAAAGCACTGCCAATAAAGCATCCTAGAAACTGTGGTAAGCTTTCCGGGATGCATAGCAGGACTCGGCTGATACACGCAAACGTCAAGGTCTAGAAATAGCAATCTAGGGAGGTAAACCATCAGCTGGATAAAGAAGGAGGATCAACATGTTGCACGGTTTGCAAGACTCTAAGAGGAGAAACCCAAAGGCGACAGGGAGAGAGAGAGAGGAAACGATGAGAGGTGACTAGCATAGTCGACATAAATTTCATGGCTGATATATAATTGGAAGTGGAAATTATACAAACCAGAAAGAAAGATACAAACAGGCGATATGCCTTTATTCATATTCGCCTACTGAAGCACCCGTTGTTGTTAGAGCCGGATCTGTCTCTTCTCGCTGTCGTGTAGCACAACAGCTCGTTTTTTCGATGCGCTAGTTTGGTCTCGAGATCCAGGGGTAATCCCGCCGGCAACTAAAGATCATTGGCTAATTACCCGATCCGTCCCTGGACACACTATTGGGTTACCATCTTAGCGCCCGAAACCTAAGTAAGTTTCTAAATACAATTGATGCTAAATCCTAACGTCACGCTGGCCAGCGCTGCCATTCAAGTCTCGCAGTCTCCGGTCAACGCGGAGCCAGTGTTCGCCTGGAGAACGAATATCAGATTGGGCCAGTGCAACGACACAAGCCCTTCTTCTATCAACCTTACTACATGGATGATATTTGAACTAGTATAGGAGGTATGCAATGAACTTATGAAGCCTATAGAGAACTTCTTTTATAAATATAAGTAACTACTCGAGGGTGGAGTGAAATTAGAATGCAAGTCATAAGTATATTAAATGATAGATACTGACCATGTTAGGGTCATCTTTCTCGTATGTATATTACTCGGCGAGCGCAGAGTAATTTATGGAATTGAATGTGGGGATCATTCTGGATTCTGTGATGCGTTTAAGGATATTAATATACTTACTTTTTGGTAACTATCTAGTTCAGTAAATTATGATTAAGCTCAAGGGGTCATCAGGCCTTGTTGGCCTCTTCTTTTTTTTATTTGGATAGCTTGATTTACTAGGGTATTACTATACCTAAATTTAAGGGATTACTATATACGTTTATCATTTCACCTAGGAGTACTGGAGTAGCTAGATGAGGTTATAGCTCGTGTTAGGGTCCATAACCAATAATTATATCCTGCCTATCCTCGCAATGCAAATTTTGTGGTCGACCTAAAGGTGTAGGAAAGGATATCGCTCCGTTTGCTATCGAAAATACAATTGTTGAGCATTAATCAGCTTCGAGCTAGCCCCTAGAGTCACACTGGCTGGCTGGGGGCCTGTGTCTCGCTTCTCAAACTTGAGATACATGATCCGTGAAGGACTTCCCTTATTAAAGCATTCTCACAGATTCCAGGCAATAAATGGCTATTCATACGGCTGTTGAAGGATAGACTAGCAAATGGCTATATACATTTCCTTGCTATAGATACCGTTGTGTTGACTCCTCTCCCCTTCTCCAATCTTGGCGCGGTACAGTTAAAATTCAGGAAACTCCTAGATAACACGCGAACTCATCGGATCAAACCAATATCCTCAGTTATATTACAGCACGCAGCGTTTCCCTGCTTTGTTTCCGAGCTATGCTCACAACCCGCGGCATAGACAGAGCTACGCCAGCCAGTGATTCCTGATAAACTTCCCCAATCAGGTTAAAAATCTTCTCCGAGGCCTGGTGATTGCCTGCAGTCGCCAGGGTAGTTGCAAATTCTTCCATCGTTAACAGGTGTTGGTCTCCATTGGCCTTTGCGAGGTCCGGTCTATCGACGTAGTTGTACTGTCTAGCACTTTCAAATCCCTCGCTGCTTAGAATTTCAGGAAGCTCCAGGACCCAGTCGTGGCGGCCATTGGAGTACACAAATTCTCGCAGAGAGTCGAATGCTGGGGTGGCTGCTGTTCTCTGCGTAGATGACGATACCGATGGTCTCCTAACATATGTGTCGGGATAGTTAAGGTCATCCCATTGAATGTAGCCGCCGGGCTTGAGCATCTTAAAGGCTTTTCGGATAATGGGTCTTGGGTCGCTATTTTCAACCACCAGGATCAACAGCCTTAAATGGACGATGTCATATTTCCCAACAAGGGCATCCGGTACGTCATCGAAGACGTTCCACTCCCGCATCGTGACATTTCGCGGCCACCATTGCTTCTGGGGAGCATTTGCCAGGCTGATATCAAAGCCATCCAGTTGTGCCGATGCAGGCAGCTCGCGTGCCACGTCAAACAGCCATAGCCCGGTCCCCGTGGCAATGTCTGCAATTCGCAAGTCGCTTTCTATTGGTATAGAGATGGAAGGGTGCAAATTAAAACGTAAAGATTCTTTCCAGAGATAAAATTGGAAGTTTAGCCTCGAAGAGGCGAAATAACCACGGTCAAGCATGTACCCTCGCCCATCGGCTAAATGGAATCCGGAGTTGACATCGTTTTGAGGTATATGAGGAGTTTGAGGCATTTGTCTGTATTACCTCGCTCTGGGGAAAGCTTTTTTTTTTCTGAGGGACAAGGGCACCAGAGAAGCAAGTGGAAGAATATGTAAAAGAAAGCTTGGCCGTTCTTTTAACTCAGGGGTCACACTGCAGACACAGTCTTGCCAGGTCAATATAAGAAGAAACGTCTCTCCCAGGCTAAAGGAATAGCCTTTTGGTATACACACACCGCCACCTTGCGAAACCGAGATTGAAAAGAAAAAGGAAGGAGAAGGTTCGACATCTGACTCAATCAAAGCTCCTCCGTAACGGTTCAGAAATAGCAAAAATGTTCCGCCTCCGCGAGGTTTATACATAGTACATCCCGCACAGAAACGGCAAAACCTTAGACTAGCACAAGCTTATCAAGCGTGTGCCGGTTCCGACACACATAATCGGTATGGAGAATTTTATCCCCTCCTTGCCGAGCGGAGAGGCAGGCCGGTCGTTGTGCTCGGGCATCTTCGCTTCCTTTCTCCGTACATGACTCCCTTGACTGTGGGGGGCTGATAATGCAACGCGGTCAGGCATATGCATCATATCAAGAACCACTGTTAAGTAATCCCACCTCCAACGCCTCTTGCTTGTTAGATCAGGTGTGGCTAGCCATGTTAGCCCTGGGGGGTGATTCTCAGGGGAGACCTGGAAAACTTTAATCACCAACCAGTTGGTTTCCGGGAGTGGTTGTCACAAAGGAAGTATATACGAGCGAAGGTCGGTGAGAGTCGGCTTCGTCGTGAGTGATCCAATCGGTCCAGAGTTAGCACCTTCGGGGATGTTCGTATCGAGCAAGTTTCAGTGACGGGAGCAGGGATAATTCGGGGTGAAGGTTGCAGGAATCGAGCGAGTTATTTAGATTTCGTAGACCAGAATTATACGTTTAAAAAAATAAAATGAGAATCACATGGATTGAGAGCCAGACCACGTCATCGTGATAGGAGTTGGAACTTGTCAAGTTCTGCGGGTTTGAGGTGTTCGTTTCCATAATTTTGATTTTTGCCTTGGGAATGCCCCTTGCTTGGGGCGATGAGTGGTTGGAATTGGACCCCATCCCTGTGTGTCTGAAGATATATCGTGGGGTAAATATATCTGCAAAATGCTGACATGGGCCAATACGGAGTACGATGGACTGAACTATATCCGGCCTTTCTCCAATATGACAACGCCGATATTATGGCAAAAAACAAATATGCATGATCCTCGATCAAGGGGATCGCTGGAGAGTGAAGCGTCCATGTCCGTACAGAGTAGGAATCTGCTCTGCTAACGACGCAGATGATGCCCTCAGTCCTGCCATGCAGGATGCTGCCTTAGTCACGTACAGGGGGGTTGATGTCCGCCGCCGGGCTGGAGACCTTCTATTCACGGAATAGTAGGAAGCGGATTTTAATATATATAAAGATCCCTTCTTTGTTATTCCTGGCCATCCTAGGACAGACATTGGATGTGCTAGAAAGTAGACCAACTTTTGGTGGAATGTTAGTGGTCTTTTGTACCCTGATCCAAGCATCGGAGCCAGGGAATAATTTGGAAGGAATAAGAGTGATGGTGGCGCTTCAAGTCAAGAGATGAATACGAGGCAAAGAAGTTTCATGTCGGTTGATTAAGTCTCCACGAATTAGACAGACATAGATCTGGGGCTGTCAGGGAATCAGCATGCTAAAACGCCTTATCAAGTCTCCTCATCTAAGGTCATCGGGATGCAGTATCGAGATCAGATCTGCTCTGGACGCATGGTCAGGCGGAGGAGAATTTATCCATACCAAGAGAGATCGCCACAGTCGTCATTATGGGTACGTAACGTAAACTTCACGATATACGACTGCAGATGGGTGCCAATTGTCTGCCTTTTGAATCGGGAATCCTGCCAAAAAAGCTTAGGTGATTGATTCCGACCGTGCATACAACCAGTAAAAATACATATATGCGAGAAGTACTAAAATAGAATCTCATGTAGCCTAAGGTCTCACCCCTGGAAGACTCAGGAATAAGAAATGAGATGTGAGAAAAGAAAGGAAAGATCGCGGAGGAAGCTTGTCACGCCGTATTAAGACCTCCATACTACTACGTACGGAGTAGGTCTGGCTTATAGAAAATCCATACAAGCTCCAAGTTGGAAGGCAGAACGAGAGGGACAGAGTTAAAATCCCGTAAGAAAAGGGCTAATGTGTTGTTGGGCTCCAGCGCCAATTTAGATAGGGAAATTGTGCATTCGGTTGTCATAGAAGGAAACGATCCATCGAAGTATAAAAAAAAATTGGTGTCTAAAAATGGCGGTAGGAGGGAGGCATCGAAGGTATATAGTAGCTTGCGGCCTTGACCTGGTCAGTAGCAACACGGACCTCGTCCCAAACGTCGCGACTGCTTGTTCCCTTGAAATACTACTGTTTCATTTCTGTCGATTGCAATTTTTTTCAATCTCGTCTCCTGTTTCGTTGACATAGCTTAAATATCAGCTAGCTCTCGAACCGCACTTCAGGAATTGTATATTGTTGGGTTTGGTTGACAAGCGGAGATAAAATCAACCCAAGAACCCCCCAAGAAACAGCGGTCGACAACCCCCCTCCAAACCTTTCTACTCCATAATATTTTTGCCAAGATGCATGGAACGGGTCCATTACGCGTTGGCGTTGCCATTGGACATGGAACGGGTCCAGAGCTCGCAGCAGCATTTGAGCATGTTGCGCAGCAATTGGCATCTCGTTACTCTTTGAGGGTCGAGTTTGTCCGTTCAGACAGAATCTACCATTCCTATAACTCTCTGCCTCTTGCGGAGAATAACCAAAATGCGACGCTTGACACCTGCGACGAAACCGTAAACGACATAACACACTACCAACAATTTTGCGAACAAGAAGCAAGTCGGGGCCTCAAAGTCATATTTCGAACGGCAATAAGTGCGCAGTCGCTGTACACTGTGCGCCAACAACTGGAGGCCGTCAAGGTTGAATGCTTCGACCGCGGAACGTCATCTCTTTTGGTCATCCGCGATCAAGCGCAAGGATTCTATACTGGGACGAATAAACTTGATCAGGATCAGAACTCGGTGTCGAGAACATGCGAGTTCCGCAAAGAAGTTTTTCAGCATATCATAGCGTTTTCTCTCGAGCGAGCAAGGGAAAAATGGGGTGACGATCTCGGAGGGATAAAATCCTTGTTGTTGGTGTACAAATTCCACTTGTTTGACGGATTATTGCTGTCCTGGGCGAAGGAATGGACGAAAGAATTCGGTATCAAGGTGGAGTTTGTACAGCCAGATACGATGAATAGGAACTTGATCGCGTTCGGCGTAGGCCGTTGCCTCATGGTTGCGGGTAATGAATATGCTGATATCATGCAAACAATCTTCCTCGAGAAATTCAACATGCGGGTTCAAGAAACCTCCTGCTCTGAGAACGTTTATTTGCACCCAGTATTGAACCGGCTCAGCGAGTATCAGACCACTCACGGCTCGGCAGATGATATCACAGGAAAGGGAATCGTAAACCCTTCTGCCACAATACGCGCGGCTGCGGCCATTCTTGAACGTTTCGGGGGATGCACTGGCGTTGAAGCAGAGGTCGATGGTGTTTTGAATATACTCCAGCAGAACAAGTCAGTCACACCAGATCAAGGGGGAAATCTCACCACGTCCGCCTTTATCGACATCTTTCTTCAAACTCTCCCCAGCCCTAGTGTCGGCTCGCCCGCTGCGAGTGAATGTTCGCAATCGTCCTCCCTCGTTGTCAATGAGGCTGAAGGGATGTATCAGGCGCCTGATCTCGCTGCAGCTTTTATGGGGAAGCCAACAGCTGTAGTGGTAATAGATTTCCAGAACGACTTCATTGCCCTAGGAAACCCAGCAACTATGAACCGCATCACAGATGCACTTCTTCGAGTCCTCGCTTTCTCCAGATCCCATGCGCAAGAAGTGGTCTTTATCCAGCATCTAGGGGATTCACAATATCAGGGGGCAAGCTGGCGGCATCGAAACTGTGTTCAAAACCGCAAGGACCTCTGTCTGGAGGGAACTTGGGGAGCAGAATTATCCCCTGCCCTTTCACCGGAGCCTGGTGAGCTTATATTCAACAAGAAAGCACAGTTCGATGCATTCCAAAGCCCAGACTTTGAAAAGTATATTTCCGAAAAGGGGATTGAACATGTCGTCCTCATGGGCCTGTATGCGGACATTTGTATAGACGCAACAGCCAAGGCAGCATTCCAAAGAGGCTTATGGACCACTGTTGTCCAGGATTGTACGACGTCACTGCATCTGAAGGAAGAAGATATTTTGGGGTACATGCAGAAGGTTTACGGTGCGAGAGTTGTGGAAAGTGAAAAACTCTTGAGAATGCATGCATAAAAAAAAAAACTTATCCCCATCACCTTTTTTTTGGTCTTCTCAGTCTCAATATTCCCACAATTCAAAGTTATGGATATCATAAACTGTTATAACTCAGGATTGAAGGGATCAGTATTACTATCGTGTGTTGTTGATAGCTGGATATATAGAATTTGTCTATGCCCCTTGAGAGTTATATTTTAGCAATGGTTTCCTTGAATGCGCGCAATGATATGTTATTGATCTATCAACCAGGTATAGATCAATTTGCCAGATCTGTCACGGAAGTCTATACTTGCCAAATGGGTCTGCCACATAGGTATATTCCAAGTTTGCCCCTGTTTTTTCGTATATCCTCTCAATAGAGCACAAATCTAGTAAGTAGACATATATGTATACTCCATATACCATGGAATACGGATATAGGTCTATAGTAGTACTTCTGTACTCCGTACTATACGTACGCTTGTGAAGATCAATATCTCATGATCGGCCACCGAGCAAGACAAGGAATCTCTCGAGTTGTCTAATAACCACCTGGCATATTGCTCACAATCACGGTTGACAGCCGAGTTGCGTTCACAGACGGTTCGGCATCGACAGGCAGTCCTCGGCTGACAAACGAACTGCTGCATATGCAGGTAGCCACCGAACCGTAGTCAATATTGTGGAGATTTCAGATGCAGACTCAGGATGGGTTGTCATGCGAGCCTTGGGCTTCTGTTGCGCCGGTCTTCTGCCAGCTACCCTGTTGATGTTTCTCCTCGCTTATTCCCCTGCTTCGAGCCGTTGGAAGTCAGGTATTTGTTTTTCAGGACGGAAGACAACTTACGTGGGCAGGCTATCGACCTTCCGGATTTTACGGAAGATAGGCGATCAAGCAGGCATCTTCGTTCGTAGAACGCTTTGCTTTTTGTTGCCTCTGTGGACGCCAGGGGCGACGTACCTAGTACAAGGATATAGGAGCACGTGACTTCGTAGGTCCAACTTCGTGTTCGCGACCACCTCTAACCGCAGACCTCGCTTGTTCTCACAACCATCATGATCCCTACCATACAGGCATGCAAGGGATGCCGTATCCCGTGTATTCTATGCAGAGGAACGAATCTTCACGTGTCTTCAGTGATAGAAAGTGATACCCACTCCGTGTCTGTGAAAATTCGCTGAAAAAGCGGACTTCATAGCCTTGTGAAAAAGTGTCCGAATCCCCCTCGGGCTGATCAAAGGAGCCGCCGAACCAGCCTCGTCTTATAATAATTGCTATGGAGACGGAACAAAAGGAAGTTAGGAAGGAATAAAGGAACCGATCATGACCTGATATCCACAATACCCGTGATTCCATAAATTAAGCTCACATTATGCTGCTGCTTGATGTCCAGGGTGTGGACGTACAACCTTATACCAAAGGCTATGTGGCCAAAATGAACAGACTCGAGATGATGGCGCGGTAGCACTGCCGTGCCGAAGGGAGAGTTATGTGGTCAGGGCTCACCAAAGTTATCGGCGGTGAAACAGGACCCTGATGGCAATCACCCAATTTCAGGTCTGAAAGCTAAGGGCTAGAAGCCTTGCAACTGCCTGATATTTACATTTGCATATAATATGGCTAGGGGTTGCCGCCTTGTCAGACTGAACAGAAATAGTCGACAACGATTCTAATTCCACGCACATCAAATTACCTGAAAATGGCTATCGATACTTCTGTATGGTACAAGCCGCTGATCGGGCCGCGGCTAAAGGCCCCTACGAGATATGTTTTCGAAAAATGGAGTGGGGTAACTGGCAGGGAGCTCGTTGCTCACTTACATTCGATCGTGAGATACCTGAATATTCATGAGAGAATGAGGGAATATATATCCTGTACCTAGACTGACAGCTACCTAGCGCGATAAAGCTTGGCCATTGGGCGAGTACCCATGCGTGGGCGAATGGATATTTCTCCTTCCCAGCATATCAGCCTTCAAACAATTTCCCGAGATTGTACATCGCGCAAAGGAGGGTGCAACAATCCTTGATGTCGGCTGTTGCTTTGGACAGGACCTGAGACGTCTTGCTGCATATGGCGCACCTACGGAGTCCATGTACGCTCTTGATATCAACTCCTCATTATGGGACCTGGGCTACGAGCTATTCAAGGACGCAGACCGAATGAAAGCTACGTTTCTTGAGGCAGATTTCCTCCAAGAGAATTCCGCATTGTCCTGTTTAGATGGAAAGACTGATATCATTATTGCCTGTCAATTCCTACATCTGTTCGGCTGGGAAGACCAGATTAAGGCTACAAAGCGAGTAGTGACTCTCTCGAGACCGGGAACGATGCTCATCGGATATCAACAGGCAAGGTTAATGGCAAGGGAATATATTAGGCCTTGGGGAATGATGTTTTATCATAACATTGAGACATTTCGGGAGATGTGGGAAATCGTGCAGCGGGAGACAGGGACGCGCTGGAACGTGACCGCAAACCTCGTTGATTTGCACGAATGGGGCATGGAAGACGAGGATGTAGAGTGGATGCCCCAGGACAGGATGGGAATCAATTTCATTGCTACAAGAGAGAAATAGTTGTATGAACTGATACCGCACGAAACTTCCTATGTACGATTAGGCGCGTTTGAAGGCCTCAATGAATCCTTCCAAATTTTTCACGTTCAGCTCTACGTCGAGCTTGAAAGGTGCACAGTGACTCGTGGGGACCTCCTTGGTCAGCCACTCTTGACCGGTGCCTGCTATCATTCCATACTGGGCCGCCTTCGGGACCGCAAGGTCATTACCAGTTATGATATAGGCGAGTCGACCTTTGAATGCGGGATCTGCCCAGGCCGGGGGAGGCTGAGGAGAATTAAACGCGAGCGAGGAATGCGGTTTCAGTTCTTGTTCTGTCTTCTTGGCGAGTCCTTGATCGAAGTCTGCGGCGAATATCTTGATGGGGTCGTCGGGGACGTTAAGTCCGGGCGAAGGCTAGCGAAGAAAGTTGCATGAGCGAGAGTAAATTTGGACGTGATATAGGCAGGGAGTCAACCTACATTGTCGAGCAAGATCCATGGGGGAAGGCTACCACCCTGGGCACCTGCACAGCTCAACCCTTCGGGCACGAGAAAAGCGGCGATAAAGATCATGCCCAGAATACCTCCTAGTTTCCCTGCCTGGGATCGTTCGGTCTTCGACAGCCCCTTTGCAGCGGCAGAGCCGGGCATGCCCGCATAAGAATGCATCACAAGAACTACATCTTTACCCTCGTCCTCCACGAGAGGCTGCAGAACGTCGCGAATGGCCACCGTATCTGTTGCGCAGTCTGCTTTCGAAGGGTCCGTTGGGGCCAGAGAGGGATACCCGGTGAAGCGAGTCTCGAATCCAGCCTTTTCTAGCGTGTGCAAATACGGGGAGTAGAAATGCTGTGGGATCCAGGCTCCTGGAACGACAGCGATAGTTGGTCTTGACATTATTTCGAATTACAGGCAGATAAGCTGGAACTGGGCAGATGGTTCAAATCGATATTCACCGGCCCCCTCTTATCTCAACGCGTCTTCCGTGCCCGACTATATAGCCTGCTCGATACATAACTAGGTTGCATGCCGAAAACGACACTAATATCACGCCTACGTTATGGACAGGGTTACCGCTGGAATCCGAGCTCGTAACAGATGGCGCTGGCTGTGGCATTAGCGCCCCCACTGGGATGCGGATATTATCCTCCTGCCGTCCCTCGGAGACCTTATCCCAAGGCTGCTAATCCACCAGGGGATCTACCCGTTTCCAGCAGGGGACATCATGTCGCTCATGAGCATCGCTGTTAATAACGCCGCTTTACGAGGCCTTGGATGGCTAGAAAGCCCTTCAGACATACATGGGGCCTTGCGGACCTGAGGCGTCGTCTCATTTAATTGAGGGCTTCCGTCAACCCTCATTTCTCTTCTTTGGTCCTTTGGTCCCGATGATCCCTCTACCTCATTATACGCTGCCTCCCAGAGCACAGATGTCGTTAAACACGGTCTTAAAGGCTTGACGCTCCCCTCGATTCCCTTTGTCAAAACACAATTCGTTCGTCTTCCGACGCCGCCAGTGAACTCTGTTTGCTACTAATTCTGGTCCACCCCCGCCCCAACTCAATAAGGAGCGATGTCGTTGGACTTCAGTCCTCCCCCAGGAATTGATGTGTATGAATCACAGCAGCCTCAGCTCTATGCTGCATACATCTCCACATTCTGCTTGTCTGTGATTGCTGTTGTTCTCCGGATAAAATGCAGGCTTGGTCATTTACGGCCGGGGCTCTGGTGGGATGATTATATGATTATTACTTCCCTGGTAAGAGATGAGAAAGAAAAAATATAGGATAATGAGAGGTTATCCTCCTTGGATTGGCCGTCGGTTCTGATAGCTTCCTAGTTGATGACAGCGGGGAACTTTGTGGCAATGATAATATGTAAGTATTGGCTATTCTGATACGTCCAATTCTCTACTGTCATCGTCCAATTATTGCTAGATCGTAAACTAAACTGGAGCATAGGGATACCTCGAGGACTCGGAATGCATATATACATATTTGGACTCCAAGGTTTTGAAGACTTCTTCCTGAACCTCTTCGTTATCGAGATCCTATACACATTATCTATATGCTTCACGAAATACTCTATCCTACTCTTCTATTGGAGAATATTCAGCGCAACCAGCATCCGTCTCCCGATCTATATCACTACCGGTCTGGTAACCGGATGGGGTATTGGAGTTGTAAGTTCATACTCAAATTTACTGATCAATGGTCAAGTCAAACTAATTAAACAAACACCAGATCGGTACAACCATCTTCCAATGCTGGCCAATTCAGGGATTCTGGGACAAAACCATCGTGTCCGTATGTGGAGTTGATGTGAACAGCTTCTTTATTGGCAATGCGGTCCCAAACATCGTCACCGACTGGGCTTTGCTGCTTCTGCCCTTGCCGTACATCTGGCGTCTGCACAGAAATACCGTACAGAAGCTAGCAATCTATGCAACCTTCATGCTTGGTGGATTGTAAGCATATCCTAACTTACCCTTACACCCTACCACAAAGCTATCAGGTCAGAAACTAATATAGTGGGCTTTCAATCTTATAGCATCTGTATCATATCAATCATTCGGCTTATTATCATGTTGGGAGCTTACAAAGAACCCTCCATCGATGTTACATGGGTGTTCATCGGTCCATCCACGTGGACTGCTGTCGAAACGAACATTGGAGTTGTATCTGGTAATTTTTATCCTCCCTCTATTATTGTAATAATCATTGCATTGCTAACATGTTCAACTTTCTCCCTAAAGCGTGTCTACCTTCGCTCCGCCCGCTACTCAGACGCTTTGGCGGCTCCACAGAGGCTAAGCCTTCCTATAACCAACGCGACGCTGGCTTCAGTGGAGGTAGCGGTTACTCCTACGGCTCCGCCTGGGCAAAGAAGAGTGCATACGTTCGTCAAGGAACAGACAATTCTAACGAGGGGTACGCCTCAGATCATAATCTGACAGAAATAAACGTTCGCACTTCGGTGGATGTTCGAGGAGAGACTGGATATAGTAACGCCTGACCATGAAAATTCGATTTTATTGCATTTGTTTTGATGGTTGAAGGAAGGAAGGATACCCCAGCAGTTGGCGCATGTCGCTGACTTGTTCCCTTGTTGGACACCCTGGTCGATACGATATGGGATTTTTTTATGAAAAAAAAAAAACGATGAATAAAGGGCCATCACTATCTTTCTGTGCAAGCCTACTGTTTGTCTTTATGTTTATTTTTACGCCTCACACCACTGCACATGCAGATTGTTGCCTGTTGCACACCCGCTTTTTACTGTATATATCTCATGTGCATAGCCTCTTGTATACCTTTCGAGGTGGATAGTAATGTATTTATCTTTTAATTCTCTTTATCATGAATATTTTACCCTTTTTAATATATACTGGCGAGGGTTCCCCTGGCTTAGCAGTGATATGGGTGTGTATTATTTAGATGAAGCAATCTCCAAGTATTGAATTGACAGCTTTCTTAATTAAACAGCCTTGCAAAACGCAAGGGTTTATATCTACCGTTGTATGGCACACATAGTACGTGAAGAAAAAAGAACGTAACCATTTCCTATCGAGTATACATTGCGCAAGACGGTTGAAAAGAGTGAAAAGAGGAGAAAAAAGCCGTTATCCGAAGTATGAAGTAGTGGCCGTTTAAGATGGGGAGTTTTAAGGAGCTAGAGGAACGAACTATGTTAGTAGGGGCGTAGGAGACATAGGTGTGAAGGGAAAAATATACAAGTAGCTTACATCGTGATCATGTCAATCGTGTAGTGAGTTATTACGTCGAGCTGCTCATTTCAGCCGCCAATTTGCTCTTGGTGTACTTCTAGGGTATCACCGTCTTGCATATCAAGCTGCCATGAGACATAAGAGTTAGCTATCGGTTCATTGATAGGAGAAGCGAGGAATAGCAAGGCGCGAGGCTTACGGTATCGGGCGAATCGTCAGGGCGTACTCTGGTGCCATCGAACAGGAACCTGACGGTGGAGATTTGTTTCCCTTGACGTTCGCAAAATGCATCCATCAGCTTCTTTAGCTGCGTGCTCCTCTTGATCTTGAAGAAGACCTCGTTGTTGTTGTCCGTCACCTTTATATTAAGATGTTCCACCGCGGGTGGCATGGACTGTGGAGGTAGATCTGCCATATCTGACGTGTTTATAGGGTATGAGTAGAAGAGTCGAGTTGACGAGGCCGTATATCTTGCACACGGGAGGTTGAAGATAGAAGACGAGCAGTCTGGCGCGGTTGACCTGGCTAACAGCGATAAAAGTGAAGTCAGAGCGAAGAAAGTGATATCGCCCCCGCAAGAGGACTGCGCCGGAACATCTATTCTCCGGCTATCCCGGCTTTTGGTGCAAGAGACTAAAGCTTAAGTGAAGCACAACTTTGCACAGCGAAGAGGACAACACAAAGAAGAAGAAGAAGAGAAGAGTCCTTGTACCTGTACTATTATTTTTATCGGCTGAAGAGCAGAGAGAACGGTGGACGCTGTCCTGTCCTTCGTTGTACTTAGTTCCAATGGAAGGTGTTGCTGCTGATCCGCCTTGCCACCCTCAAGCTGTACGTCAATATGGAAAGGCGGTGTTCTTGTCAATTGAGCGATGTGAGATCTATGAACCAACTAACCCGGTCACTTAGTGCGCTATTCAAGGTAACACCTGGCCCTTTCAAATGGGAGAAAGGCGATGAAGTATGTGCTAATATCAACTGTGAAGCCTGCTTGACCAAAAACTCATATAGTGAAGCCAAATGCCGAAACCAGATCATACAGCTATACAAATGCTGTAACGCCTTCTATACGCAGAAGGGAGAGGAAGCAAAGACCCCTAGCTGTCCAAAACCTGCCTTGTTAAAGGTGAAGTTGAAGCAAATCGAGAATGGTGACATTTGACACCATGTACGCTACGGGCCGGGCAGTTGATTCTGGAGATGAGAGGTTTCAGCATCCTGGTATAACGTCAAAGCCCTCTTGAATATAAATGTCTATAAAGTGCGGAGTACTCTGTATATGTATATATCGCGGTTGAAGTAAATACCCCAGGTTAGATGCTGGATGTAACAACCATCATATCTTTGATTCCAGGAAAAGGTCAATCAAGAGGTTAGAGGATTGTCTTTGCTCTAAGACGGTCGTGAGCACGCTAGAGGTTCCAGAGGAACCTGAACAAACATTGAAGCACCCTTTACAAGAGTTGGCTGTTCCGAGACTCTAATGACCACCTATATGACATTTGTTGAAGAAAGAAAAGAAAAATCAGAATTCTCGCGGTGGAAAAAAAGTATTTGTAACAGTTTCGCCCACGTGACGCTAGTACGCTTTGGGCCTGGTCGCGTCGCGCTAGTTCGTCTTTGGCAGCTTGGGATTTTGGGCTCTGCGCAGTAAATATAGCGGACAAAACAACTACCCATCACCATCACTCAACGGCGGACACACGGCGATGCATGATGGCTTCAGCCTCTGATATGTCTACGGACGAGTCGGACTCCATGTTCTCGGATGTGAGATAGCACGCTTTGCCCCCCCTTGTGTCGGGGTTTAAACTGATAGAAATCCAGGTTTCGCCAGCTCCCCCGAGCCGTCTTCACGCTGTCGAGATAATCGAGATCGAGAGCAGTGACGATGACGAGTACAGGAGAAACGACGAGAGGCGCGGTGTAGGCTCGGAGGAAGGGGACTCCGACGAGCGGGACTCGGAGATCGTGACCGATAGCGAGTTTGAGGCTCGGCCTGGCTACGGAAACGACATCTCAATGGAAGAAGATGAAGACGAGGAGGATAATGACGATGATGGCGATGAGGATGAAGAGGATGACGAGGAAGAAGATGGAGAAGACCAAGAAGAGGACGTTTGGAAACCAAATGGGACTCACCACAATGGGCTCAACGGCACAGCGCCAGAACCTGTCCGGATTTCCCATCCATCCAAAAATCAAACAGGTTGGTTAAATCGAGCCTTTAGATGGCGCATTCTTAATAATATAGGGGGGTTCTAACAATTCTGACTGTTTTTAGAAACTATTACCCTCTCCTCTAGCCCCGAGTCACCCCTCCTCCTCCCAACAGAAGTAAAGGACGCCCTCCACCCGCTACAGCACACTGCGGATCGCGTGGTCAAACAGATCGAAACATATGCGCAGAATTTAGACAACTTTAGGCGACAGGGTCTTCGCCCTGGCGACACACAGGCATTCCGTGAGGCCTGTAAGCTAGTAAAGAAGTACCAACAGATAGCCGAAGACACGGCGAAAGAGTTATCCCAACCCACCGGAGCCAGAAAATCGATTAGGTCGTCGACCATACTAAATCTCAGCCAGAGTTATAAGCCGAATCAATCTGCTAACAAGGATGAAGAGAGCGGTATAAGGCGGTGGCAATTGGAGGCAGACACCTGGGGTCTGGTTTTACATCTTCTTACGGTAGGCGATCCGGAATCGCGCATCAAATCACAGGATAATCAGAACTTCGCGTTGCAATCCCTCCATCGATACTCGACGGACCACGATATCTGGCAGGCTTTCTTGAAGTCGGACCATTTCGCGTTGGAAAATGCAGTCATGCTCAAGTGGCTTGAAAACACGGCAAAGGCAGGCATCGAGGTTATGGATTCAACGATTTCAAAATTGGAAATGGATGCAAACAGAGGCGAGGGTCTATGGGCACACGGATGGCTATATACTAAGGAGGCAATCAAAGGTGCCAAAAGGTTGCGCTCATGGCCTCAACCTCTCGAACCGGATGACCCTAGCATTACCGCTTCCCTCCTAAGCTCAACTCATAACGAACCCCTCATCACCCAGCTTGATCCAGATGCGGTTACACGACAAGGCCTTGGTCTACAGAAACAAGATCAATATTTTGAAGAAGCGACATGGCTGGAATGCTGGAAGATGATAAGGACTGGTAAGGACTGGATCTCTATTCGTGAATGGGCCAAGGAACGCCTTGAAAGTTGGCGGGCGATTAGCTTGTGTGGTTCCGCCGGGGACCCGTCTTCGCCCACCGATGACCCATCACGTTCCAGCCTTCTTCGAATGATGAATTACCGATCCCAAGAATCTTGGAGAGCTGCCTGCTCAGTTCTTGCAAATAGCCCAAACTCCAATCGCTATGAGCGAGCCGTTTATGCTCTGATATCCGGTGAAACTGGGCCCGCATACGAAGTTTGTCAAAGCTGGAGTGATTTCATTTATGTCAACTGCAACCATATTCTGCTTTCCCGATACCGAGATTTCTGTAAACAGTTTCAGCGGAAATTAAGCTATGCTCCGACCGGCAAGGTGGACCTACACGTTGACCCACCGCAGTATGAGAGTATACGCAACTTCCTGGACACATTGGTGAAAGATCCACGGACAGCAAAGGAGTCCAAAAACCCATATTGTACCATTCAAGCCGCGATATTGGGTCAGAACTATGACCAATTCTTCAACCGTCAGGCAAATGCCCTGGCTAAAGTGGCCAAAGACAGCGGAGAGCCAACTCTTATCCCTGATGTCGGTTCTATGATCTCGTTTGACCAACCAACTTTGATTGCTGCGAAGGATAACGACGCTCTACGACTTACGGCGCATTTATATCTGATTTTGCGGGCTGTTGGTTTAGTTCGCTCTGATTCACATTACTCTGCTACTGCCTCCATCAATGTGATAAGGTATATCGACTTCCTACGGGAATCAGGAGCTACCCGAGATATCCCACTATATGCCTCGCTTCTCCCCAAGGATATGGGCAATGAAGTCCTTGGGAAGGTTCTAATCAACGTGACTGACTCATCTGAACGAGAATCTCATATTCAAATGATGAAACGCCTGAAAATGGATAGTGCCGCTATGATCCAAAGTCAATGGCGATGGGTTCTTAAGGAGGCAGATGAGATGGAAGATGAGGCGCCAATTAGGCTTATGAGGACGGTTACAACTGGTGGAGACAGTCCAGGAAGGATTGGGCACATCATGAAGAGGTTCATCTCTAGATTTGCCGTCTCACCGGAAGATGAGAAACTGATTCGTTGTATCGACTGGCATCGGTACATTGGTGGTCAATGGTCAAGGATATGCATTCTTGGAAACCACCTTTACAAGCGGTTCATCAGTAAGTTTGCTTATGTATTCAACGTTTATGAGACGCAGCTTTCTAACAGCCGTTTGCCATTTATATAGCTGCTGGCAAAATATCTACTGCCCGAGAACTGTTCAAACGGACAAAGCTACACCAGACCCTGGTCGACATGACTGCCCGGGGACATGGACCGCTCATGGAACCAATCCAGCTGAATGAAAATGGCGTTACCAGCCCTACCATGGACGCCACGCCCGAGCAGCAGAAATCAAAACAACCCGAAAACAAGCTCACCCGTGAGCAGCTTGTGATGCAGGCAGAAACCATGCATGAACTTGAACAGCTCATACAGGTCTTTGATGCCATTGAGAAGTGGGGTGATTTGATGGACGACTACACAAAGTAAGTGCTGCGCCTCGGATGTATGCGTCATGTACTAACCCGGTTTTTGCGTATAGTTGCTCAGAGGCCTCTAAGAAGCCGGCGATAAAGACAAAACTCCATTCCGCCCTGGATGCGATTACCCGTACCATAGAACCACTCTGTACAGAATGGCTCATTCAGCCTATAGATGGTAAGTGACTGATCTCCATAACGGCCAGCTTCACCAGCATATCTAACATACATCTAGCTGCCGAGGCCAAAGAACTAGAATTCATACGATCAACCTACCTCCCTGAAGTCATCCTAGCATACCACACGGCGCTCTATTATGCAGGACATATACTTGGCCGTGAAATCTTAGCTCAATGCATGACCCTTGCAACAGTTGTTTCGTCATCCGCGACCTTAACCGAAAGCTTCATGGCCTCTGGTCGGATGCGCGAGCTGGTCGATGCCCTCACCCTGTCTAGCTTTGCTATGATGGGGACAGGGGAGTCGAAATTGAAGCGGAAGCTACCCAACGGAGGAACCAATGATATCTGGAAGATCAAACCACTGAAGATCGACGAGCATGAAGAGAGCGAGACCCATGACGACAAGAAAGTCAAACTAAATGGCGCCGAGAAGAGTATTGATGTCAACCATGTAATTTCAACCTCAACCGCGGTGCCTGTGGTCTAGAGAGGCCTAAATGGACACTCTCCAGCTGAGATGCCTGATGCTTTCTTCTGTTCGTTCTACACGTCGTGTGTACATCCATCCACTTCTGGTTGATTCCCTTTTCCTTTCCTTTGTTGTTTGTCCCTCTTTTTTTTTACTTAACTGATTAGGCGATGCTCTCTACATTTAAAGGCGCTGCGGTGGAAAGATGATCTGATGTATTATAGTCCCGTAATCACAAAAATTCAGCACACATCATGAGGAATAAATTATCTTCTTTTTTTTGCCCTTGCAGAAACCGTAAATCTCTACGCTCTACGTTGCACTTGTACCTGTACTCCATAGTTATTGTGACTGTGTAAACATTACTCCTGCAACGAGCCATGTCTAGGAGCTGACCGTATTATTGAATATTGAGAAGTTGCTAGACCATCGGCAATTGAGATGAGACTGCTAGTTTTTGTTTCATTTTACTGCTTGACTATACGTTAAAAATGCTGCTAGTACTCGTAGCCGTGGTGTCATTGCGCCGCGGAAAAGCAGCTAAAGGTGAAGATCAACGCCTCAAAAAGACTAGTATACCATAGTAAGGACGCATATCGTGTTCTACTCCATTCTTTTTCTTGCCCAATTCATTTCGATGGTATGAGATCGTAGAACAATTATTGGATTGAGAAAGGCAGAAGACGAAAGAGTCGCCTACCACTCACATCTTACGCCGTTATACTCCGTATGCGTTCCTGAGCAGGCATATATCCAGGGTGGAGACGTGCAATTATTCAGAAGAGCCCGAATCAACCAACCACGCTCTAGGGATGTCGATAAGTAATAACCTCAGGCTCGAAGCTGCTGGGATTTCTAGAAGCTTTTCATGGATCCGGCCGTTGCAGAGAAGTTGATATAGCTCGAGTGTCAGGTTTCGTGCTGGAGATACACAGGGAAGCCGATGTCTCCGTCTGTCTGTGGAAGGCATTTATGCATGCTGTGCCATCTTATGCCTCGTCTTGGGCTCCGGATCCTGTTTCACGAGCTCTTCACCCTCCCCCGTAGCGGCAAGCTAGCACCCCGTAGCCCCTGGCTCTGCCCATCGAAAGGATATGAAACTTGGCAGTGGCAGTGCCTCGCGCCTCCGTTGATTTGTCGAGCTCTGATATCTGGCGTCTCGGGGTGGGCCCATACTATATGACTGCGCCTTCTTGGAGAAACCCAATAGCAATAGTTGAAGCGGTGCTTTGGCGATTCATGGGCCTCCTCCCCCCTTGCGATATTTCGCATCCACGCCGAGTAGCTCGGCCAGCATTCGACCAGATTCGCCCGGTGAGGCGACAGTGTGCCTTCTCGACTGCATATTTGGCTTTTCCCTCATTCCGCTGTCTGGGAGAGAGGGAGGACTATGATATCATCGCCGCTATTCCAGAGCCGACCTTGGCTTGCCTGTTGATAGAGCAACCTGATTCCGCGAGCTGTGGCCTTGGTGCCTTGGCGATTTGGCGATTTGCGAAATTTGACACGGACAGAAGGCGAAAAGACTAGAGCGTCAGGCAGGTTTCGAGGAGTGAAAGCCGCATAGCGTTTGTTGTTGTCGTTGCTGTTGGTAAGTAAGCAAGTTTGGTCAAAGGGGCGGGTTTTTTTATTATTCGCCTTAGGTCTCAAAACATCACCGCTTCATTTACCTGTGTGCATACGGGGTACAGCATTTTGCTTTACCAAGAACCCCTTGTCCTCTTGGTTTCAACTGGTGGAGAGCAACGCCGAATAGATGCTGAGATCCTGTTAGACCTAGCTTCGTCGCCACCAGACGCTGAAGTCGAAGCCTGACTTTCCGCGGAAATTGTGAGCTCGTGAGCATCTTTCCAAGCCGTCTTTGTTGGTGAAAATCTGTTCCATTCTATCTACACCGTAAGTGGGTGTAGTTTACGCTGTGCTTTTCAGGTTTTGCTGACCCCTACGCGTCTTTGGGCAGAGCTCCAACCCAAGATTCCTGATATACACCATTTTGTGGCGGACGAATATTCAACCTCTTGTTGGACATACGGTCATGCTGGCTCCGGTCTATCTCACGCCATACTGTTAGTTAAACGCGCCCAATCGAGGCTGCAATCGATACAAGTTCACCGTCGCCCAGCATATATCACCAGTATCACCGACGATGAACCCATCAAAGGACGACGACGTTCCCACCCCTTCTTCGCCATTACGGCGGGAACGAGCCCCTACAATCACAATCGATACGTCTGCCGTCAGCTCTACGCTGAACATTACGGAACCCGACACAGCAGTGGAAGCACCGCAGCTCGGGAATCAGCCAGTAGGCGCGAGTAACGATGTCGAATCGAGGGAGGTCCAGGGCTCTCCGCCAGGCTCTCACACGGACGGCAATTTGAGCCCTTCGACGGAGAGAGGAGAAAGAGAACCCCGGCCGATATCACCACATAATGTCTCCTCGCCAACTGCACGGTTTGCTGACCCGAATTCACAAAACTTCCTATCCGTTCCAGGGACGAGATCAAGGGGGAATTCTCTCGACTCCGAAGATGCCAACTCACCCCATTCGTTTGGCAGCGAGACCTGTGTCCCTTCGTCTCCATCTACGGGTGAACACCCGGACAAGGGAGCGATGAAAACGGGTGCAGATGTGAGGAATGATCCAGATGCCCTGAAGCCGGACCCAAACACAGAGGATGACTTCGAGGTGGAGAACAACAAATTCGCGTTCTCACCGGGTCAATTGAACAAGCTTCTCAGCCCAAAGAGTCTTTCTGCTTTCTATGCTCTTGGAGGCCTGGCAGGGTTGGAGAAGGGTCTACGAACTAACCGATCAACAGGACTCAGCGTTGATGAAACTGTTCTAGACGGTACTGTGTCTTTCGAAGAGGCAACCAGTGCTGGCACTCCCGAACATACCCCAAAACCATCTGCAAAGGTCATGAGCATGAAGTCTAATGCTGAAGAAGTTTCAAAGACCAGTAATGGATTTGCCGACCGCAAGCGTATTTTCAGTGACAACAGACTCCCTGCGAGGAAAACGAAGTCAATTTGGGAACTTGCCTGGATCGCCTATAACGACAATGTCCTGATTCTTCTATCCGTCGCCGCCGTGGTGTCCTTAGCTTTGGGTATCTATCAATCTATCACTGCCACCGGAAACGAGGCCAGAGTGCAGTGGGTCGAAGGTGTTGCAATCATGGTCGCTATCGTGGTAGTTGTGGTCGTCGGAGCGGCCAACGATTGGCAGAAGGAAAGGCAATTCGTGAAACTGAATGAAAAGAAAGAGGATCGCAACGTCAAGGTCATCCGATCCGGCAAATCAATCGAAATCTCAGTTCACGATATTCTGGCAGGAGACATCATGCATCTTGAGCCTGGAGACATGGTGCCGGTCGACGGTATTTTTCTAGAGGGCCATAACGTCAAGTGTGATGAATCCTCTGCAACCGGTGAATCCGATGTGCTTCGAAAGACTCCCGGAGACGTTGTATATCGTGCCATTGAAAACCAAGAACCTCTCGCGAAACTGGACCCGTTTATCTTGTCTGGTGCTAAGGTGTCAGAGGGTGTGGGCACATTCCTCGTTACGTCCACCGGTGTCAATTCGTCTTATGGTAAAACGATGCTTTCTCTACAGGATGAAGGCCAAACAACTCCCCTCCAGCTAAAGCTGAATCTGCTTGCCGAGTATATCGCTAAGTTGGGTCTTACCGCTGGTCTCGTCCTCTTCGTCGTCCTGTTTATCAAGTTCCTCGTCCACCTGAAAAGTATCCAAGGCGCCACAGCCAAGGGTCAGGCATTCCTACAAATTTTTATCATGGCGGTAACCGTGATTGTCGTTGCCGTGCCCGAAGGATTGCCTCTTGCCGTTACTCTTGCACTTGCATTCGCAACAACTCGAATGTTGAAGGATAACAACCTAGTCAGGCTACTCCGGGCTTGTGAGACTATGGGAAACGCAACTACTATCTGCTCAGATAAAACTGGGACTTTAACACAGAATAAGATGACGGTTGTTGCTGGAACCTTTGGAACCACAACCAACTTCAGCGTAAACAATTCATTAGCTCAACCCGGCGAGAACGATCAAGCGCAATCCACCGAGACAAACGATGTCGCTCCCGCTGACTGTATTGCATCTCTATCGCCCTCTGTGAAGGAACTCCTGCTGAATTCCATTGTTTTGAACTCGACAGCCTTTGAAAGTGATGAAAACGGATCAACTACATTCATTGGCTCCAAGACAGAAACTGCATTGCTCAGCTTCGCACACGACTATCTAGCCCTAGGATCTTTGAACGAGGCAAGGTCCAATGCTGAAATCGTCCAGCTAGTACCATTCGATTCTGGCCGTAAATGTATGGCTGCCGTTGTTAAGCTCCCGAACGGGAAGTTTAGGATGCTCGTCAAGGGTGCTTCGGAAATTCTTATTGGAAAATGCACGAAAATTGTTCCTGACCCGACTCATGACCTGACCGAAACTGCACTCACCGAAGAGGAGCGAGTTGCATTGGGCAGTGTGGTTGAACAATATGCCTCCCGCTCTCTCCGAACTATTGGAATGATCTATCGTGATTTCGAACAGTGGCCGCCACAGGGTGCACCAACCCAGAAGGAAGACCGCCAATTAGTGGTATTTGAAAAAGTTTTCGACCACATGGTGTTTTTAGGTGTTGTTGGTATTCAAGACCCGCTTCGCCCTGGCGTGAGCGAGTCTGTCCTTCAATGCCAGAAGGCCGGTGTTTTCGTCAGGATGGTAACAGGAGACAATCTCATGACTGCAAAGGCCATCGCACAAGATTGCGGTATCTTTACTCCCGGAGGTCTGGCAATCGAAGGACCGGTATTCAGAAAACTAAGCTCCCACCAAATGAATCAGGTTATTCCACGACTACAAGTACTCGCCAGATCAAGCCCAGAAGATAAGAGAGTTCTCGTTGCGCAACTAAGAAAGCTAGGAGAGACAGTGGCTGTGACCGGTGACGGAACCAATGACGCACCAGCCCTCAAAGGCGCAGATGTCGGATTCTCCATGGGTATTGCTGGAACAGAAGTCGCAAAAGAGGCGTCGGCCATCATCTTGATGGACGACAATTTCAACTCGATCGTGAAAGCTATATCCTGGGGTCGGACCGTCAACGATGCCGTCAAGAAATTCTTACAGTTCCAAATTACCGTCAACATCACTGCTGTTGTGCTGACATTTGTCTCTGCCGTGGCCAGTAACGATGAAGAGTCTGTTCTCACTGCCGTCCAGCTGCTCTGGGTGAATTTGATCATGGACACCTTCGCTGCACTTGCACTGGCCACCGATCCTCCCACGGACACTATTCTAGATCGCAAGCCGGAGCCCAAGTCCTCTCCACTAATTACCCTTACGATGTGGAAGATGATAATCGGCCAATTTATTTACCAGCTTATCGTCACTTTCATTCTAAACTTTGCTGGAAGAAGCATCCTAAATGTTGGTCCCACCGAAAAGGACGACAGAGTGTTCAAGGCTCTTATCTTCAATGCCTTCGTTTGGATGCAGATTTTCAACCAATATAACTCTCGCCGAATCGATAACAAGCTAAATATCTTCGAAGGAATTCTTCGAAATAAGTGGTTTGTTGGCATCCAGTTTATTATCGTCGGTGGTCAGGTCCTTATCATATTCATTGGTGGCCAGGCCTTCTCAGTCGAACGTCTTGGCGGAAGAGACTGGGGTATCTCCATTATCCTCGGACTCATCTCTATTCCTGTCGGCGTCCTCGTTCGATTAATTCCAGATAGCTTCATTCGGATGCTCATACCTAGCTACTTTCGGCGGAAACAGGAGAAACCACAAGTATATGTCTCTGATGAGGAGCAGCGATATGAATGGAACCCTGCCTTGGAGGAGATTAGAGACCAACTTACATTCCTCAAGAAGATACGGGGCGGTCGATTGAATACTTTGAAGTATAAGCTGCAACATCCAGAAACTCTCATCCCACGCTCTCGAAGTAACTCCAGATCATCGGTCCCACAAACGCCACAAGGAGATGACCAGGAACAAGGAGGCAATACTCTTCCTCCGACTCCAAGTTCTAGGAACCGTTCACGATCGAACTCTGCCTTCGGTCCTGCTGCAGCCATGGCTGGTGTAGTGGCAGGAAGCATAGCAGGTTGGTCTCCCGTTGGCCGACCAGCAGGCGAACCAGAGTCGGTTAAATTCTCAGGCACCGGACGACATTCTGGTTTAGACCAGCAGGAAGGTATCGAGGTCCATCCTGGCACACGAGAGGACGACCCTATTATCACCGAGTACTCGCACACAAGCAAGGTGCCACCAAGCCAGAATCCTGACCTTACTCCGGAATTCTCTCACACTCTCCCAGAGCCATCTGAGGGAAGAGGAAGGTCAGGTTCTCACCGTTCGAAAATCTCAGCACGCAGCAACGCAAGCCAGAAGTGAATATGCACTCAACACGCAGTGCTTGCCCCATAGCCTCAGATGGCCTAGCTCCGGGCATCCTTGCCCAATCTTCTACCTTCTTACACAGACATGGCATATACCAGCACAGCGGGGCCACATATTAAATCCATCTTAATATTCTTTTCTGGACGGCTACAGCCAAACTTACCACTTTACTACCCCTTTACCTTCATCCCTAGCTCCATCCTAGAGCCTTTTTTTTTTCGCTCAGATTAGAATCCCGTGGTATCTCTTTCCCTTCTTGCCATTCACTCACCACCCTTCATATTACTGAGTGTGCATGAGACTGTGGTTCCCAGCTTTTGGCCCATCAGGCAGAGGAATCAAACCGATCCTTAGCCCCATAAATTCTCATTTCTCGATTTCAACCCCCCCCTTCTTTACGTTCATTTCCTTATCTGTTCTTTTCTAAATAAATTTGCATGGCGTCAGGGACTATTACCGTTCACCATCCTCTTGTTGCAATCTTTTTGTTCAACCTTTCACATGTAAATATTTTTCACAACTTAAAAGAGGTATCCTATATTCCTCCCTTCAGACAATATTCTATCTCGGGGGGGTGGTTTAATACAGTTCGTTATTTCTATCTCTAGGGCCTTATACCGTGGACCTTTTCTTTTGTTCATCTATTGCCATCATTTTCATTTTGAGGGAACCATTGCTAGTCTTCGAGTGTTCGATGATATTTCTTCCTTTTACTGCCTGGCTGATGTACGATAGGTTTACAAATAATAAAAGCCCTTGTATATCAGGGCTTAGGTTGCACAAGTCCTGTTCACTGTAAGTCTTGGAGCTTACTTGGTAAATTAGAAAGTCATCATGGCTGCCTCTTTGCTTCCACATCTTCCACATAGTGGGTTATCATTATCGTTAAAGTACATATCTTTTGGTAGAAGGATGAAAAATGGAGAGCCACTTGAACGCGTATGCCAGTGAAAAACATAGAAACCGAATCTCTGGTACAATAATCCACTCCTGTAGCGTGCCTATTTTCGATTGATGGTTTCCCGTGTATCATATCAGTTCAGAATTGGAAAACGAGGGAGGCTGCAGAACAAACAGAAATGAACCAGCATCATCATGTTGGACTTATGAGTATTTGGTAATGTTTTCCAGCATCAGTGGGTGTGGCAAGCGAATGGCTGTGAAAAGAAACATCATTTGAGCAGTCATAGAAAGCCATATCGCGTCTCATTCATTGTAGAAGCCTCACTGGAGAGCAACTCAGGACTCCCATATGGCCGCTTTAGCCTTCTCAGCATCCGCCTTCCTCTTCTCTTCTGCAATCTTCTCTTGTTCACGGCGCTTCTTTTCATTGGCAAGCATAGTCCTGTCATATGCTTTTTGGGCTTCAGTGCGAGTAGAGCGAATACCCAAAGCACTAGCAATCATGCGGTTGGCCACAGCAGCCTGCTTCTCTGGACGCTTGCCATATGTAGATGAGCTGTGCGAGGCAGTGCTGGTAGTAGAACGGCAGCTAGACTGGCGGGACACATTTGGCGTAGGTGGAGGAGCGCGTATGCCATGATGCGGTGGGACTTGAGATCCAACATAGCTACTTGCTGCGGGAGAAGAGCTAGGCGGAGCAGTGATAGTTGTCTCAGCATCGCTATCTTGCTCCTCTTCAGAAGAGAGGTCTTCATCTTCCCATGACTCTGCGATTTGGTTCAGGCGAACTCCACCACGGGGGACAGTAGTGGGATTTCCAGAGGTGGAAGAACGGCCATTATGGCCAGTAGAAGCTGCGGTTTCTGCTTAGAGAAATGATTATTAGTTACTGTTCTGTATAGCTAGATATATCTCCTTACGCTCTCTAGCTATCTGGTCATCTCGTGAAGGGTATAGACAAGCAGCCTCCAGCCTAGAACGAAACCGCAGCTTATAAGAGAAGAACAAGGACCTACCTGGATGATCTTCCGCCATCTTTAACTGAATCAGCGTCGTGATAGTGGGAAACAAAGCTATAAGCTCTTTGGTGGGTGTTTGATGCGGTCAAAGTTGGAGAAAGAGAATAGCAGGAGAGCCTGTAAATATAAGTGAGACTGCCACCCACTCTCACTTCAGCTGTTTCTTTCTTCTCTGCCTCTTGTCCTGTTCACTGTCCTGCTGTCCTGCTGTCTCCTGTCCTCACTGTCCAGGCAGTGTTGCTCTGCCATCATCGCTTCACATCCCACTAATTGGCGCGATAAGGAACCAAGTTGCAGCATCAATGACATCACGTAAGCTTCACCATCTTCATGGCGCGGGATAAGGGGATCAAGGCAGTTCTGCAGCATCCATGTCGGTGATTGCCGGAGAGCTTCACATTCAACAGCTTCCAGCCAGCTTGGCCTTTAATATCAGGCCAGGATGTCCTCCCACCGCAGACAGCCGTTTGAGACACATGTATCTCTGCCTGTTTAGTACCTTCGATATGCCCCAAGACGGCCCTTCAAAAGCAATTATCGCAGAGACTAGAGCTGCAGCTATCTAGCCGTGTGTTAACCATCTACCTCGGGCGTAGGGACTCGCGACTTGCGCCTCGGAGTCCAGCTTATGACGCCCACTGCCCGTTTCCGAGAGCCGGCGATGTACTCGAGAAGTCATGCTCCAGGTGGATTCTCCCCGGGCATGTTAAAATAGTGGAATAGTGAATGTGGTGGAGCCAGCATGTTTTCTTTTACAGTCATCCTCGTTGGCTTTTTTCTTCTTCCTTATACAGCTGGATATGTATGTTTAGTCGAGAGTAATCGATCTGTACACGCATCCCGCATCGGCCGTGAAGTCCTCTCTCTTCAAACCGTCCGGCGAGATGGCCCTCGGCTGGAGACATATCCCTGGCGCTGTACATCGGACTCTTGCCGGTCGCCGTTTGCCTTGCTCGGCGCTTCTAAGACGGACGATATTGGACTCCGGCTTTTCTACCTCGACGAAATGCCAGTCGTATGAAGATACGCTGCCGAATCTCAAGATAGGATCGCACACGCGGGTTCTCTTCCAAGGGTTTACTGGTAGGGTCTTCCCTGTAACGATTTCGGTAAAATGTGCTAATAGAACCCGAATAAACAGGCAGACAGGTATTTATTGCCTCTATTTACTATCTGACCATGCGACGGCTAATTCCGAACATAGGCAACGGCCAATGTCAAGGAATCGCTGGCATGGGGAACCAAGATCGTAGGAGGCGTAAAGCCCGGGGTTGAGGGTGAACATCTGGGATTGCCCATCTTCCCATCCGTCCGCGTGGTGTGTTGCATGTTCAATCTTTTTACCACTACAAATATATATAGACTAGTGAGTCTAATACTTTAATGTCAGGCGCAAGAGAAGAAAAAACCAGATGCTTCGGCGGTATACGTACCCGGAAGCCAAACAGCCAAAGCCATCGAGGAAGCCCTGGAGGCAGAAATACCCCTTGTTGTCGCTGTTGCGGAACATGTTCCCATCCACGACATGCTAAGGGTGTGTTCCATCTGTGTTATATCTATACTTCATATCCCTTACTAACCATATCATAGATCTATTCCATGCTAAAAACGCAGTCCAAGACACGCCTCGTCGGCCCAAATTGTCCAGGGATCATATCGGCTATTGGGAAATGCAGAATTGGCTTCCAACCTCTTCCTTGCTTTGCGCCAGGGAACGTCGGAATCGTAGCCAAGTCAGGTACGCTGGGCTACGAGACTGTTGCATCGACGACAAGGGCTGGGTTAGGCCAGAGTCTATGTATCGGTATGGGCGGCGATGTCCTTGCTGGAACGGACTTTGTAGATGCGCTGAAGGTTTTTGAGCACGATGATGATACGCATGGCATTATCATCGTTGGGGAAATAGGGGGCGAGGCAGAGATGGAGGCTGCAGAGTGGATTACGAGATATCGTGCCAGGAACGCAAACGCTAAGTATGCATGCATGCATTCTATGGTGTACGTGAGGAACATGGCTAACGGAAAGTGTATAGGCCGATTATGGCACTCGTCGGTGGTATTGAAGCCCCGCAGGGACGAGTAATGGGCCATGCGGGTGCGTGGACAGAGCCTGGAGATCCAGATGCTAGGACGAAGATACGGGCATTACAGTCTGCTGGAGTAGTTACTGTTGACCACCCTGAGAAATTTGGCGAGGGTATGAAGAAGTTACTGGCCAGGACTCCTAGAAGACCTACATTAGTATGTACTTCCCTATATCTGGATAAGTACTCGCCAGCTGACATATAGATACAGACACCATCTGGGACTGTCCAGCAGCGAGCATCCTATCACACCATCACTAGGCGTCCTCAAGGACTAACCTCATTTTATCCTCAACGGAGGACTCTATACATAAAATCATCCGATGCATTCAGCCTACTCAAAGAGAAAAATATTTCTGTCCATGAAACTGAAGAACCCGCCAAATTCACCCTTACCGTCGCCATAGACCGTAAATCTCGCGGCCCATGCATAAAAGTCACCAGATTAGGCCCAGATGCAAACGGCATGACCTACCAGTTTCCATTCAGCTATAACGTCCGCGACTTTGACGAAGCATCTATCGCCAGCACTCTAGACTTGGAAAACTACCATCCATCAGCCACCGAATCGTTTGAGAAGCTACTGCACGCATTAATGGATATCTTCGTGACCACCGAAGCGTTCCTGCTTGAAGTGAAGGTTGGGGTCACAGAAGATACGAAGGGCTTGCACGTTCTCGATGCGCGGTTCGGGTTTGATGATGCCGCGTATTGTAGCTCTGGCAGACAGGGTGATATCCATGCCTTGAGGAATAAGGCAGACGAGGTTCCGTCGGAGGTCGAGGCGGAGAAAGACGGCATCGTTTATATCACGTATGTTCCACCCCCTGACCGAGATATGAGCTACAAATAAAAGGCTGACATTGAGTATAATGAAGTCTCCCTGGAGATGGCCATATCGGAACACTAGGTAAGCAACCCCATCCCTGATGATGTAAAGTATAGCACGTCTAAGCTTTTATAGTAAACGGCGCCGGTTTAGCTATGAACACCGTTGATGCCCTGACCCTGCACGGCGGGAAGTGCGCCAACTTCCTCGACACGGGCGGCAAGGCTACTTCGGAAACAGTAAAGTCCTCGTTCCGCATCATCCTCTCTGACCCACGGGTGAAGAGCATCTTCGTGAACATCTTCGGCGGCCTGACACGATGCGATATGATTGCCGAGGGCATCATCATGGCCTTTCGCGACTTGGGCATGAAAGTACCTGTCGTCGTTAGACTGAGAGGGACGAACGAGGAGCTTGGTCAAAAAATGGTTCGTCATCTTCATCAATAGCTTCATGCTTCATATCGTCGTACTGATGTTTTGTTCATAGATTGCGGAGAGCGGACTGCCGCTGCATGCTTTTGACTCTTTTGAACAGGCGGCAAAGAAGGTCATCACTCTTTCAACGGTAGAATCTAGATAGCTATAGAGTATACTATAAGAATAAAGAATAAAGAATAAATAAAAAGAGCAAAAAACGAGGGACGTGGGACTCGAACCCACAATCTTAGCTTAGCTTACTACCCAGTAAAGAAGTAGGAGAGCTACGCATTACCCTTCTGCCAGCCCCTCTACGCTAAGTAAGGGGGCGCCCTCTTCTGCTTTTTACCCTGGCACTCTCCATCCCACAGCGATACTCATGAAGTACAGTACCTAGTAGTATGTCGATATTATCTAGTACTATGCGTCGGTATACGGAGTAGAGTAAGACAAGTGGTAAAGATATTGTGGTGGCAAGTGCCGAGGCTGGTGTTTACCTCGGCATCTCCAACGGCTTACTAACCAACAAGGCTTTCGCGGTGGACCGAGATAACCACTTTATCGCCGTCTCGTCGAATCAACCGTCCACCAGACTCCCACGTTAAGCTCGTTGCTGCCTGCCGTTGTTGGGGGACGAGTGGATAGACTATATTGCTGCAGCCATGCTGGAATCGCGGCTCTCCCGGCCTTCCGCGCTCAACATGGCTCGCCTGGGGTTCGGACTGAGGCATAACTATTGCATATCGCCATGGCTGCGCCAACACCAGCACCAGCTCCAGCATCAGCTCCAGTGGCGCGTTCCTGCTTCTGCGAGATTCCTCCGGGCTCCAGCTAGGTTTATTTCGCCTGGTTAGTGTTTATACATGCGCCGGGACAATTCTATACCGTTAAAAAACTTTGATGTCATCCGCTATGCTATATATGAATACTTACTCTCGCCTCTCCAGCTCAGAGCCAGTATACTTTCCAGTATCCTCCTCCTCCTCCTCCTCCAACATATAGAAAGCGGTCTCTTTTCCGGCGTATACTAGGATTCTCGGCTATAGCGTTTACTTCATTCGTTGTCGGCATATTTACCAATCCGGACGTCTTCAAGATGCATGCCTCCATTGTCTCTATACCGTCCGACGAGGAAACAAACACCCTCTTCAATCCCCCGGACGACATCTCCAAAGAGATCAATGACTTCATCAACACACATCCTCTCTCTGTTTCACTCCGCGCAGACTTCAAATATAAAGAATCTCGACCACACTTGAAATACCCCGCTGAATTACGCGCCCACAACCTAACGGGAGGCACTCTCGCGGGGCCAGGACGCATCGTCGTACCACCATTCACATGGAACACGGAAGACGGGAAATCATTCGTCTCGATATTCTACCTTGGCTCTGACGTTTCTGGCCATCCGGGTATCGTTCACGGAGGGCTGTTGGCAACAGTGCTCGACGAAGGGCTGGCGAGATGCTGTTTCCCCGTCTTGCCTAACAAAGTCGGTGTCACGGCCAGTTTGAGCATTAACTATTGTAGCCCGGCGCCGACTGGCTCGTTCTTCGTGATGCGAGCAGAGACTATCAAGGCTGAAGGGCGCAAGGCGTGGGTCAAGGGTTGGATTGAGAGTCTGCCGGACGATGGGACTGAGCCTACGAAGTTCGTAGAGGCAGAGGCCTTGTTCATCGAGCCGAAGAGTGCAGCGGTATGTCCGGTCAACTAATCCCTATTCATCCCGGTACCTCTGCTAAAATTTCTACAACAGCTCATTCCACGTCTCTATAAAGTGACCTGATCGATCGGTCACCCATCGTTTTTCGGCATTTATTACCCCTAGATTTACCAGCGACTTGTCCTTTGATGTACCTCCTTTGATACACTGTTATCTACCCGTTTATTTAGACCTGTCAATAGATCTATGCCATTAGATATTTCTTTTAATATAAACATTCATACTCTACGCCGTCAATAATAAATAATCGTATACGGAGTAGCTGTTTAGAAGTCGACCTGATAAGCCGTGGTGGAGCAGTGTGTACAGGCCCGAAGCCTCATTGGTCCCGTGGCCGCAGCTCCAGGTCAAGGCCTAAACATCAACCTTCTAACCATTTACTACAGATACCACCACCACCACCACTGGACCAGCTTCAGACCAGCTTCATCCGGCGAAGGAAGGACAGCTACTGTGAAGCAAGCATCCTTGTGTCTGCAGAGTACCCTGATGAGCGCGCCTGCGGCTCTGTAACCACCACCCCGAACCCACCACTCAAAACGTCACAATGTCCAAACAAACAAGATACATCCTCCTCTCGCTGCCAAACTCCATCACCCCTTCACACCACCGTGACGATGCTCTGGAAGCCATACGCTCGGCAGTCACGGATAACGGCAATGTGGCTCCCTTCGCTGTGCCGGAGTTCAAGATCGGGACGCTAGACGCCTTGGTGCAGCAGGCGGATGAACTGGGTAAAGTCGAGGCTCTTTGTGAGAGCGTTGTCGGTAAAGTGGGAGATGTGCTTTCGAGCGTGCTGGAGGGTGATGAGGAACAGATCTCGAGGATGAAGATGGTTAATGAGAGTATGTTTGTCCCTTCAAGTTTCCAGGGATGGCCGAGTGGGGTATATTCGAGGATTTGCGACTGATGGCGATGGAAACAGGGCCGCTGGATCAATACCTGCAGTCCTTCTCGTGGAATAAGGTCAAATACAGAGCCGATAAGTCATTGGCGGAGTTGATTGATTTACTGCAGAAGGTATATACCGAAGTTCCTTCTCCCGGATTTGAGACGGAAACAAGAGCTAAATATTCCTAGGAAATCAACAGCATTGACAACGACGTGCGAGCAAAATTCACACAGTATAACGGTGTCAAATCGAACCTGGCTGCCCTCCAGCGAAAACAAACGTTTGTCCCTGCCTCCAACGCAACATGTTAGACTTGATACTGACAGCTTCGTAGCGGGAACCTCTCAACCAAGTCCCTCGCCTCGATTGTTGACCCTAGCCTCCTGGTACAAGACTCTGAGTATCTAGAAACCCACCTCATCGCACTTCCCAGCCGTGACACCAAGGATTTCCTACGTGTCTATGAAACTCTCTCGCCCATGGTGGTGCCACGCTCGTCTATACTACTAGCCTCAGACGAAGACTACACTCTCTACGGCGTTACGACCTTCAAGAAACACAGCGCCGAATTTATCCACAAATGCCGTGAGAACCGATGGACGCCGCGCGAATACAAATACGTAGAAGACGGCGGAGAAGAGGAACGCAAAGAGATCGATCAGGTTGCTGGCGACGCTAAGAGGTTGTGGGGAGAAGCTTTGAGGCTCGGTAAGACAGGATGGGGCGAGGCTGTGATGGTGTGGGTGCATATCTTTGCACTGAGGATGTTCGTCGAGACGGTACTGAGGTATGGGTTGCCGTTAGACTTTACATCCGTCTTGATCAAGGTATGTCTACGTCTTTACCCTTGTGGTTTAGAATATATTTGAAACTAACGGCCTTTCACTAGAGCACGGGCAGGAACGCTAAAAAGATCAAGGATGCGCTTGACTCGTCGTATTCTTACTTGGGCGGTAATGCGTTTACTCGGGATAAGAAAGGTCGGGTTCGGAAAGATGATCCGAACGAGATGCAACAAGTTGGTGTTCCCGACACGGCGGCCGAATATACAGCTTTTGTATACTATGAGTTTGAAGTCGAGTAGGCTAGCTACATTGGTTCAGGACGGTATATATTACTTTTTTTTTGGTTTCACATACTTTTTTCCTGGTCGTTACCTTTAGGCTATGCGTGTTCTTTGACTTGGTTTTCTGCTTTTCGTCCGAAGTGCAGAGATACTAGAATTGGATAATAGGTGGTTAATAACCAACAGATTTGCTACTCGGAGCTACTATCACTTTACTTTTGATGGACAAATGCTTGGATTGGAAGAAATACTCCATTTCTGCATAAAATTCAAATCTATATATGTTCGCAGTTCATAACGTTCCGTACCCTATCTAAAGGCCTTGGGGGATATCCCAACAAAGTGACAAAGGAAAGCGGAGGAGCGGGAGGGAGGTTGGTAGGTATCTTGAGAGGATGGTGGCATTGGGTGATGAAGAGAGGTCGAGAGGTCTAGCGGAAATGCCTAATTGGCAGCTGGGGCTTCTGAAACAACTGGGATTTCTGTGGTAGCTGGAACTTCAGTGGCTTCTGGGGCAGCTGGAGCTGGAGCAGCTGGGATATTCTGCGCGATGCTGGTGATCTTCTTGGCAGCGGCCTCGAGAGCCTGTGCGGGAGTTGGGAGGAGTTTTTGCTCGTCAAGGTAGTCCATGATCTGCTTAACAGCGTCCTTGATTTTCAGGTTGTCGTTCTCTAAAAGAATCTCAGGGTTCTTCGGCGCAAAGTAGGGTGCATCGGGGCTGACACCAGTGAAGTGTTGTATTTCCCCAGCCAAGGCCTTCGCGTACAATCCCTTGGGGTCTCTCTCCGCAGCGGTTTCAACATTGACCTTGACATAAACTTCGATGAATCGCAGTTGTTTGTCTGTCTCCTTGCCCTCTGGGCTTAGTGCGTGCACATCACGAACAGCCTGTCTGTCCTCTGCGTACGGGGAGATAAATGAAGCGATGGCAATCATGTTGCTGTCGGCAAAGAGCTTAGCGACATGTCCGATACGGCGAATGTTTTCTGTGCGATCTTCGGCAGTGAAGCCCAGACCCTTGTTGAGGCCCATACGGATGTTGTCTCCGTCAAGGCGGTAGGCGGCGACACCGCGCTTGGTGAGCAGCTCGTGCTCTAACTCGACGGCGATGGTAGACTTGCCGGACGCAGAGAGACCGGTGAGCCAGATGGTGAAACCTTTCTGGCCATGGATTTCTTCCCGGGTCTCGCGGGTGACGAGATGGGAGTCGTGGAAGGTGAGGTTGCTATTCGGAGTTAGCTTCTCTATCATATCTTGCTCAGAGCTGCAGTCTACTTACGTTCCCATTGTGACGGAAGTTAGGAGTGATGAGTTGAGTAGTAGCGGTGGTAGTGGTGATTATGGTGATGGGTTAAGATGGATGCGAATTGAATCTCAATCTGTGCTGGAAATGCGGTGATTTATATCAAGCTGGCTCTCGAGATGTGGAGGATAAACTCGGATACGGGTAGTAAGGGGGGATCCTGGTTCCCGGGGTAAAATTACAGCAAAGATTGGCAGCTGGAGAGACGGTTCAACCCGGGGGCGAATCGTTCGTTCGTTCGCTGAAGATAGGATGCGCAGAAGGTTGCCGAGTTTCGCAGATGAAACGCCCCTCGGAGGGGTTCGGTCTGAGCCATGGAATGCCGTGCGATAAGTTTTCCTCAACCAAATTTAGCTTCTGGGCCTGATATACGGAGTATAGCGCTGGAGTACGTGATACCTGAAGAGTATCATCAATGCTCCTCGCCTTCACCGCCGTCCGTCTTTTCGCCTAGATATGATCGCCTATCTCATCATCTACACCGCCAACGTCGTTGACATCATCTAGATGATCCCGAGTCGGCATACCGCATGGTGACCGTGTAACCATGTTACAGGCTGAAACTGCATCCATCATCGCTCCCCGTATATAAGCAGTCGTATAGGTGGCCACTTTGCTCTAGACGGGAGGAGGGTTTATAATGCGAACGGCCTTCGCCCGATCATTTCTAAGCAACCCGATCCCCAGCCCGAGTTCTGGCTCCGTTTCACGATGGAGCCGACATAATCATGCATTCTAGACCCATGGGTTTGCTAAGCAAGATGGCCATCGTCCGTGGTTGATTGGTGGTGATCTCCCGGCGCTATCGACCGCAGCCATACATGTTTTGCATGAAGATATGCAGTATATATGCAGGTCTCTCAGGGTCAGTTCACGGTCAAACGGCCATGGCCTTGGACTCTCGACGTGAGAGATGTACTCTGTATTGCCGTACTCCCTGTCCGTGATGTCGACCTTTGGCTCGGAGAACAATGGCATAGAAGTACTGAAGATCACCGTGGTATTTGCTAGGCCTTCGAACGAAGCACAGGGGTCGTTTAAATAACATTCAAGAGACAAGGGTGCAACCCGAACCTTCGTTGAATGAACGGTTCATGCATCCGATTCATCTTGATGCCATACTCTCATCTCAAGCTCAACGGACGCTCTGGTAGATGCCTTGATCTGAGGTTAATTATTAAAACCACCAATTGACATGTTGCTTTTGGTGAAGAACATGTACACCCCTCAATAGAAGACCTCTGGGTGGTTTGATAGAACCTGCTAGTGAATGATGATACCAGACGTTGAAAGAAAGTAGGCCAACATTATGCCAGGACGTTGTAATGCTCGGCGCACATCACCTGCCTACTTTCTTTTGACACAACTTCTTCTCACCTTCACTATCTTCTTTACAAAAAGTGATATATTAACCTATAAGTTATTTAGTCACAATAATTTCCTAGTATTTTCAACCACGAGGCATAGGTTTACACCCTCTGACTCCGCTCTATGTATCTAATACTATCTATTCTCTAATGTACTTAACAGTGAGGTTGAATCTCAGTTAGATTACTTGCGTGTTATAACATAGAACAAAAACCTATCAAGGGAAACAGACATCAACCAGGAATATTGGGGTATGCGGGGCAGTATGTCTTCTCTCCAACACGAGCTCGCTTGGTCTTTTGGATTTTACACTTGTAAAAATTATAAAGCGGCAGAAATGGGTTATTTAGCCTCTATAGAACTTGGACTCAATCCATGGCATGGGAGTGACGGTGGCTTTGCGTAGCTTCTTGCGGACAAGGACACCAACTTCGGTTCCTTTCTTGTGAAGGCCCTGCTTAATATATCCCATAGCGATGTTTGTACCACCCAAGGTTGGGCTAGGGAGACCAGAAGTGACGACACCTATCTCTGTCTTGCCATCTGCGAGATCGACGATGGTGGCACCCTCACGGGCAGGTGCACCACCTTCAACGGTAAAGCCTACTCGTCGTCGAGTGAGGGTCTTGGCTGGAGATACAAGCTGGGGTAGGATAGTGGAAGATCCGTTGAACTTGGACAGCGGGGACGATGGGTCTCGTCTGTCTTTGCCAACGACCCAGCCAAGCCCGGCAACTGGTGGGGTCTCGGAAAGAGATATGTCATGGCCATAGAGGCACATTCCGGCCTCCAAGCGAAGAGAGTCACGAGCAGCGAGGCCGGCAAGCTTGACATCTGGGTTGGAGATGAGAAGCTCAGCAATGCGGCGTGGTAGATTGGCGTCCTTCTCGGTCGGGATGGAGATTTCAAATCCGTCTTCGCCAGTATACCCAGTTCTAGATATCAGAAGGCGGGATGGAGTGCTCGATCCATCTGGGAAGGTCAGGTGAAGCTGGCGACATTGTCCGAAATAGAGAGTTGACAGGTCAGTTTCGACAGAAGCTTCCTTCTTGATGAGTGACTGTAGTGCTTTGGCACTTGCGGGCCCTTGGAGGGCGAGTAAAGCTCTGCTATCAAGAATTGACCAGTTTATGATCGATTCACGTTTGGATGGGTCTTGAGAGTTTCTGAATGCCTCGATTTCTTTCGTTAGAAACTCCAAATCTTCCTTGCGGCGGCCGGCGTTTGTCACGAAGTAAAAGGACTCTGGTCCAAGACGAGTGACAATAGTATCGTCAACAATCCCGCCAGTGCTTTCGTCTAGGAGGCAGGAAAGGGTCGAATGGTTGTCCTTGAGTGAGTCAAGAGAGGCCGGCGTAATCTTCATCAACAGATCTCGCGCACCGGGCCCAATGATGTGATGTTGCACCCTATTCAGGAACCATGGCGAATTAGCAATTCAATGCCGGATTACAGTGCCAGATGAATTTTAGGCATAAACTGCAGAACAAACACTTACATATGGCTCACGTCGAACAAACTGGACTTCTCCCTCGTCCACTTATGACTCTCCAAGTGGCTCAGGTCGGCGTATTGCAGAGGCATAGAGTACCCCGCGAACGGGACCATCTTTCCCTTATGTTCGACATGGAAGTCATAGAATTGTGTTTTCTTGATGTCGGCGTCAGCTGCAGAAGAGCTAGAGGCATATCTCACACCTGATGGCTTTCCCGATGCAGTGTTGACAACCAATGGTTGCCGGTACCTGAATATCGGAGCTCCGTGAAGCTGGCGGGAATGGCGGCTCAATTGAGCGCCGAGGGTAGCTCCAGTCCAGCATTTGGAGTTCGCGCTGGCCTGGAGAACCCGACCGCTGACAAACTGTGGTACTCTTGCAATTGGCTTCATGGCGAACACTGACATCCAGCCTCGAGAATCTGTACAAGACGAAGAAGTTCGGCAGCAAGAAGGACGTCGGAGAAGGCTCGGGAAAGAAGTCGGGGAACTTTTGATATCCAGTCACGTGGAGATACTAACGCCAAGGGCTCCTTTCGGCCGATTACCTAATCTTTCGGTTTTTTTTAAAAAGGTCACGGGATATCATTTTTCTGTCTAGAAAGAGACATGAAAAGAAATATAACTCTTGTTGGCCTCCCCTCACAGACGCCAGAACTCCTGTAATCTCCAAGAAGTCTTCTCCAGGTTCTGTCCCAGATGCAGCTATCCGTTATTCGAAAAATAAATCCTCCGTTACATGGTTTTCACAAAGAGAAACAAGATGTCAAATACCCAACTCCACCACCCCCCAGACATGAAAATAGAAAGAAAGAGACTCAGAAACTTTTACAACCCGTTGTCCTTACAGGAAAACGCGCTGCCGACCTTCCCGCTTTGATAGTTAAGTACGACACTGTCGATGGATGCCTGGTTGGCGTGTTAGTGAACGTTACCTTCAGGAGGTAGGGGCATTGGGAATAACTCACATAAGTTCCGGGGCCTAGGAACAACAGCCCGACGCCGATAAGGAATACATTAATACCCCACCCGATCCATCCTTTCATGCTGCGAGCTTTCCCAGGCTTTGCTGCTTCGTCTTCTGATTGCATTCGGAGATAAGCCACTCCCCAGAAGATGAATCCGAAGAACGAGTCGAAGAGGGAGCTCATGATGGAGAGAAGGTCGGTGAAGAATGGAATGACTTCTGCAACGATGAAGGCGAGTATCCAAACCACGGCCAAGATGCCAGCCCATGCAGACCAGCCGGCTAGCGTATGATCCGTCTTGTGACGGGTGTTATCAAATAAGCGGAAAAAGATAAATCGTGCAGAAACCGACGCATAGAGCACCCCGAGGAAGATCAATGTTGGTACCATGAACGAGAATGCAACCTTCTTGTAGACTTCGTTGCTGAGGGAGCCGAATGCTGGTGCTGTCATGTACTGAGTTCCGGTGAAGACATATACCACCGCACCCACAATACTGAACACAATTATCTCAGCGATAGTGACTGCCCAAAGAGCCTTGCTGAAGTCCCTAGGATTCCGCATCTCTGCAATGAAACTTGGAAGCGTGATTTGGCCGATAAATGTGTAGCTGATGTTCAAGAATGCGCTCATTCCTGCAACAAAGGTGGTTCCGGGAAGTGGGAACGCCGTCACAATAGGCTCACCTCCCCTAGGCTTGCCATCGGGCCCTTTATGGTTCGGATCGGGGTTGTATTTGGCTGGATGCGCCTCAAGTCCGGCAAATATCATTGCAAGGAGAACGGAGATGAACGTGAAAAAGGCCGACAGTGTCGCAAGTTTGGAGAGGGTGTTGAAGGTTCTTGGGATTGAGCAGAAGAAAGATATGATGGCTGTGACTGCAACGAATACCACGGTACAGGTGCTGTGGTTCGTCATCGTGTTAAGGTACTGTGCACCCACCAAGCAATGTAGGCCCTGTGACAGACGTTAATGGCACGGAAGTGCAAGGATTGGGCATTGAACAAACCTGGATGAAGGTGTTGTTAAGCAGGAACATGATGGCCGTAAGGTACCAGGCAGCTCTTGAGCCCCAAAAGAGGCGCTGGCCGATGTCACAGATGTCTCGTACATCTGGATGACGAAGACAGTACTTCCTATTAAGCAGTCCAAGGGTTAAAAACGTCAGCCCTTACCGTGTTTTCATGGAGACCACTCACCAAATGATCAGCGAAGTATAGAGAACCATGCCGGCAACCACAACCGTCAGAATCAAGCCGGGGACTAAGCCCAGAACTGAATAGGAATATGGGAACGACATAATAGCCAAGCAGATGTACTCTGAGAAGAGCAATGCTGCAGTCTGATACGTACGCACGCCGTGATTAGCAGTCTGACCGTATGGGGTATCAAAGCACAAGGCCATTTCAGTTTATCATTATCCGCGACAAGGTCAGTGATGAAAGGAGTTCGCAAAAGAACTAACCTTCTGCCAGCTGCAAGTCCTGTACTTAATCGCTTGATCCGCTTCCATCTCAACCTGCTTGCTCACACTGATGCCGGAGCTAGTATCATCCTCGGTGCTGGAGCTTTCATCTCCGATGACACCGCCATAGCCATCTTGGGTTGCCTTTCGAGGGACCCGGCTCCCGTGGGCGGGCAATGGAGAGGTTTCGGTCGTTGACAGGTCTTTGTCAACCCCATTTTCGAGATCTAACGCCATTTGATAAATCTGATTGTACGCTTCCAGCGCACGGGAGCGGGAAGAGCGGTAGCGGCTATTCTTCGATCGACCGATGACATGTACGTCTATTTCCGCCGTTTACGATCAATTGGAATTGAGGGGTGTTTTCCAGGTTTCGGAAGGAAGGTGTGTTGCGGAAATGAGGCTCGACTATCGGTCTTTCCAAATATATATGCACGAAGAAGGCCGATTACGAAAACCCTTATTTTCTACTAAAAATCAATTAATTGGAACTCACCCTAATATATATAAATGGGACCACGACATCCATCGTTCCAACATGACGTCGCATACACCAGTTCGCTGCGGGAAAACAAAAACCTAAAACCTTGTAAACAGCGAGCACGCCTTGCCTCTGTTCCTCGGTATTGTCTCCATAATAAAGTGTATCTCAACAGATCTGCTCAGGCTGCCATATGTTATTGGATATATTGCCGTTAGTCATGCATCCGCCGCATCCTCCGGCTTGCTATCCCTGGATCCCCTGGAGTCTGGAGACCCGTGCGGCGCGTGAGTGGCAGTTTTGGTGTGACTTGGCGGACTTTCCTTGACTGTTAGCTGGTTTCTTCCCTTTGAATTCTTCTTTCGGCAAGATATTTCCTCGTTGCCGTTGTGTTCTGGGCTTCTCTGTACATCGGGAATACTACGTTACTCGAAACTCTCTGAGGTTATATATATTATTTAACGGCCCGTAGGCTGTCGAGCTTCAGAACAGCGCGTTAAATATCATTTTTACTGTCGGACGTCATGTTGCGGTCTTCTCCCGTATTGCAACATGAGCGTGGCGGCACTGGTAGTATGATGTCATTATCCGAACTCGGCTTAGCGCCCAAGCAACAAGTGCCAAGCCAGGGCGAAGCTTGACATCCCGACCTTAAGTAGCTTAATATCACCGCCGTTATATCACCAAAGGCATTGTAGATGGTAGGTCGTCCATATTAACTATATTATAGATAATTCTTTAAAGATGATTAAGCCTGATATCGGATTGTTCTATCTAGCCGCGCCTACCTCCCCTCTGCTCTAGCAGTTCAGCTATCCTACTAGCACCATTCTTCAGAGCGATATCCAATGCCGTCTGCCCTTTATTGTCTTTTGCGTTTATATCAATCTTTGGGATATCCAACAGCCTCTGAGCTATATTTATACTCCCACTACGAGTGATGCTTCTATGTAAGAATGTCTTCCCTTCCTTATTTCTTGCGTTTGGATCCGCCCCCTTTGCGAGCAACAGCTTGACTGCTGTAAGTCTACCCCTTGTCACTGCGGTATATAGCGGCGTCTCTTCACTATCATCCCTTGCATCTATTTCCACTGTGTTCTCGTTCAGAAGTAGCTTGATTGCTCTACAACACCCCATTGCTGCCGCTAAGGAGAGTGGTGTTGCGCCGTGATTGTCTTTCAAATTCAAACCCGCCCTGTACGCGTTCAATAGCAGTTTAACCATGTTATAACTCCCATTATTCGCCGCGTAGTGTAGTGGTATCTTTTTGTAGCGATCCCGTAAACTTGCATCTACCCCTTTCTGGGCCAGTAGCAACTTAGCCACTTTATAATGGCCGAATTGTGCTGCCCAAAAGAGTGGGGTTTGACCCCTCCCATCTTTTAAGCTTGCATTCACTCTTCCTTTAGCCAGTAGTAACCTAACCACTCGAGTCTGCCCCCATTCAGCTGCCCGAGACAGTGCTGTCCTCTGATGTTCATCTTTTGAGTCTGCTTCTACTTCTTTCCTGGCCAACAATAGCTCAACCACTTTCGCATGCCCACTTTCTGCTGCCAAACATAACGGTGTTCTATCAGACGAATTTTTGGAGTGTGCTTCTACCCCTTCTTTCGCAAGTAGTAGCTCAACCGCTTTAGTTTGTCCCTCGAACGCCGCCCAAGATAGTGGGGTATCCCTTTCTCTATCTTTTAAACCTGGCTCAACCCTTCCATCGGCTAGAAGTTCCTTTATAATGGATAGACGTCCAAAGTATGCAGCGTAAAATAGGGGTGTCCACGGTCGATGATCCCTATAATTTGGAAATGCTCCCTTTCCTAGGAGATATTTGAATGTGTTGATATCCCCACTCTGTGCGGCATGTGATAGTGCGGTGCGGCTTTCTGCGTCCTTCCGCTCCAAGGCCGCTCCATTATCTATTAAGGCTTTCACAACCACATACCAGCCTTTTTGTGCGGCTAAGAAAATAGCCTTTCCACCATTTTCGTTGTCATTGGTAATGGATTCTGGATTTAGAGAAAACAACACAGAGTCTAGTGTGTCGTTACAGACGGCCCGAAAGAGGGTGGTTTCATTTTCATCATCCGCTTCTTTTATGCATTGGTTGGTATTTTTGTAGCCGAGAAATTGGCATGGAGTCCCTTTATCGTTTATTCCCGCTAATAGTTTTGTCCTTAGCTTGTTGATTATCTCTGCTTTAGCCTCGGATTGTGCGACTTGAAGGGCGGCTATGCCATAGGACCTGACCGTTTCAGCAAGGGTATATGAATAGACTTTGCCTATATACTTTGTACGCTGCTCTCCCTGTGAATATTCATTTTCACCATCTGAATATCTAATTACGTTTCGAGATTCCTCTATCTCTGCGGCTTCAGGTTCCTCTTCCTCTGGCTCTTCATCTTCTGGTTCCTCTGGTAGCTCTGGGCCATCTGCGGCAACAAGTGGGATGTCTTCTAGGCTTTTGAAAGTAGGGTCATCAAGCATTTTAATGATACCACTCAGGCAAAACTCGATCTGTCCATCTAACAGAGCTTTGCGATAGCATTCGCACAAGGATAATATCAGCAGGCGATGATCGTTGATCAGCTCGGTCTGGCGAGTTTGATCATCTCCCGGATTGAGGGGCATTCTTGACTGTAAGCTGTGTGGAAGCGCCCACAGTAAAAGCTGCTCAGCTTCCTCCCATCTCTTTTCGTCAGTATGCATATCTGCTATTTCTCGAGCATTGGATAGGGTCTTCAGCACCGAGGGGAGCTTTTCTTGGATTGCGAGGGCTGGAAAGATACATGAAAAGGCATCTTCTGACGAGCCTAAGCCACTTTCCGTGAAAGCCTCTTGGATTTTGGAGATGTTAGTATTGGTGAGGCTGAAGTCTCTATTCTTTTGAACCTCTGTTTCCCCACCAATATCCTTGATGGCATGTACTATTGATGTGAAGAATAACGAATAGATCTCCTGGGCACACATCATTGGCAAAGATTTTGTGGCAGCTGGGAGTCCCAACACCGTAATACCTGCAGGACTATTGGCAGGGATATTATGCCTACCAAATAATGGAAGTCCCTGCGGGTTCTTTTGAGCTTCCGTTATCTCAATGCTGGAGCCTCCACCTTCACGCCATAGATCAAAGTCCATGGTGAGATCCCTTCCGGTTGCAGAATCAGATTTCACTGAGAGAATGCGCTTGAGCGGCGTGTGCACTTTTGTGTTGATACTTCTAAGAGACCATAGCCATAGCCCAAGGACCGCTTCTAGTTCGGATTCTTCAGCATGCCATGTTCCTCCAGAGCGTCCGTTTATATCAATTTCGCGTGTGAGAGAGAGGTATACGTTTCCCTTGGTGGTTTCCTCTTTATCCAGTGAACATTGAACTGCCCAGAATAGTGTAAAAGCCGCGTTCCATCCCTTCTCAAAACGGACATTCGTAGTAAGGAAGACGTGCATTGTGGCCTCAATAGCATGTGCTAATACTCGTGCAGTACCTCGCACGCTGACAAGAGCTTCACTCCAGCTATCAGTCAGACGGGCAAGCCGGGTCCTGTACAGAAAAGCTTTTGCAAAGTCATCTTGTACTCCGGTTAGCTTGTCGCCTTTTGGTTTTAACTGCATTTCGGCACGCCATTTTTCTGGGGCGAACTGAATATCGGCTCGCCAGCCTGATGCTAATCGAAAATCCCACCAATCTTCTGGGCACTGGTCATCTTGTCGCTCTTTGGTGTAGCCGCTGTCTAGCCTAAATCCAGTTAATAGGCACTTGCCCGTATGGGACACGGACATTTTTCGAAACTCGGTGTATTTGTTTGGAAAAGGCTGAGTTTGCGAGGAGTCCTTCTTGTCGAGTAATTTCCACCCCTTTTCAGAGATATCTACTGAGTCGGGCCGTCGTGCTGACGAAAGTTCCCATTTTGGACCAGGAGCATGTCCGGATGGTGTAGGCCTGATGTCAGTTCCAATATTTAGTGCAAGCCAGTCCAATTCATGCCCTTGATATAAATCTGGTTGATGCGCTAGGAAAACCTCCTCTTCCTTAATTCGGTTTGCACGGAGCATCGACCGCACCACGCTCATCACGATAGTGACACCTAGTTGGACAACCGCCACGGACGAATGGCAGGCTCTTAGGCCCAGAAATTGCAACAAGAAACCAATTGCCGTACAGCTAATACCGGCCCATACCCAGATTCCGTCGTGCTCACTCTTCTTCGTCTTCCACGATGTGATATACCGAGTGAATTGGTTTTTTGGATGCGTGTATGCAAAGGAGTCGAACGCTTGATCACCAACAAATTGAGTGCCCGGCTGGACCCAGTATACTTGGGATACAGCCTCTCCTTGGGATGCAATATCTTTTTGGGATATAGATTCCTTTATTTTTCTTTCAAACACTCGCTCCTTAGTGCTACCTTCGATTAAGGAAGCGCAAAGCGCCACCCCGACACACAAAAAAAAGGTCCCTATGACAGCTAGTGGGACGGCATATAAGTCTTGCAAATCCTTTCTCACATTCTTAACGGTATACCTAGAGAGGATAGCCCAGACGAGCACGCTAGACTGTAGGATTATCCCAAATATAGCCGCTGCGGTAAACCAATGTACTGTGGCCTGTTTTATCCCGACATTCAAAGATAGGTTTGGATTTTGTGCAAAGTCCCGTTCCTCTTGATCAGCATCAGGTTGCAGAGGCACTTTTTCTTCATCACTGGCACGTTTGTTGATCTCTTTCCACTCTTGCTTGTCTTTTTTCAGGTAGTCCTTAAACAAATAAATTCCAGCACTTGCTGAAGCCGCCGGACCTTTGTGATAAAAATCGTCAATCGTAGCATTCGGGTCATGGACAATTTCTAGAAGTTTCGGGCGCCCGAATACACGGGCAATGCCTCCGTTGTTGTATAGCTCACAGACTTCTCTGCTAGTGGATGAACAAAGTTCGGCTTCGGCGTTGCCTGCTCCCTCTTGGGCGCGGCCGATGAACGCGCGAAGGGATGGAGTTCCGCAAACACGGATCGCTGATACCACTGTAGTAATGATACCCAAAGGTGCCATCGCAAAGATGATGATATCCGTTACGTTCAAACATTCGCTCAGGTATTGTTTCGTAGGCGCTTCTCCAAATAGCGCAATGAGGGGAGATAGATCGGTAGCTAGATTGTTGGAAAAATCGGTCCACCAGTCGTTCATGATTTCGGGTATCCCAGAGTATAAGGTGAATGTTTATGTCGTGTGAGAGATAGCAATGTGGTATATGATAATATAAACAAGGTCAATGATGGATTGTGGAAAATTGCCAGCAGCTCACGAGTTGAACGCCCCTTAAACTGGCATCTTTCTCTGACCCTGTGAGGGAGGGCAGGGCTGTCCATCCCGCAACCGTAGTAATTCATTCTGAAACTAAGATTTAGCCGCCAGGAGGTTGATCTGCGCAGTCGGGTGTGTTTTTTTGCAAGCCTCGTTGAATGCTGATTGGCTCCAGTTGAGTTGGCAAATACCGCCCTTCGATCCCAGTGGAAGATTTTTATGAGACGGAGTATATGCAGCCCAGATAGAAATCGATTCAAGCCTGACAACCAATTATTTTTCAGGAGCGTAGCGGGGGTTCTCAATGAGTTGGCAAGAGGCCTGTTTTCGCCCCCAAGAGCTTTTCCTAGTGCCTTGGCTAGTGGAATCGCGGGCATGGTTTGTTTTATCATTGGCCAAGCCCATCACCAACAAGTGTCCTTAAGCGCCCTGTTATCGGGGGCACCCGAAAGTCAACCTTATTCCACAACCTTTGTTAGTAATTGTTACCTCAAGCCCTCCTAGTTTTATCCATTCCCTAAGGAGAAGCCTAAGGGTCAATATCAGGACAGGACCAAAAATAACCCAAAGGACAGGGTTAAGGGCAGAAACCTCGGGCTTTAAGGCTCTTCGGTTGGGGCCTTCGTACGGATGCCTTAGGCCCACGAGGTGTGCGTTTTTCCATAACGCCAACATACGTATAACTGCCCAAAGTTACTGACCCACATTCTAGGATCTGATTACTCCGAGTGTTCTGTAGTCTCGGTGCGTGAAGCCCGCTAAACGCTGAGTATGGATAGTTCTCACCCCATCCGCGTCGAATAGGAGTCGAAATTGCGCGATTCACGACGGGCTGTCTCCAAAGAACTAGATATCTCCCTCCACATCCAGACAGGGAACCCCAGTACCATATAAAGCACTTGCTTATGTGCCGATAACTTTGGCTAAGATCACTGCAAGTGGAGCAGGCAAAGCTTGTTATACTGCTTATAAGAATTAGCATTAGGTCAGTAGAGAAAAACGACAAGCTCAACATTTCTATCACCACGATAGCTGCATTAAGCCCAAATAACTGTTTTACATACAATATTCTTCCATGGGGCCAGCAGTCCAAGGTTGAGAGTCTTATTTTCAATCATACTAAGTCAAGGCCAGTCGCATTTGTAGCGAGGCGTCAGGGCACATCCAGAAAAAGGGTTCTCCTGGGGGCACGGTCCGACTCAATGCCACAACCGCATTGCGGGATGAGAGGTGCTCTGCTAAATTCGGTATGCAAATAGGATGTATACCCAGTGGGTAACAGGTAAGCACTAAGCAAAGGGAATGCATTTACCAAAATAGCAATAAGACAACCTGAGACCGTAAATAGATATCCTCTCTGGAGCTATGACAAAGGGGAACACAGCACGTCGCCCACCCCGGTGAAACAGAGCTATACACCTCATCTTCGAGAATGGAAAAGATCGCAGGCTAAATACTCGCCAGTGAATTGTTTCCTAGCCGAGATATGAGCGTTAATTAGTGGTAGCGAACCTGAAGTCTTGTTCCTGAGATTCGCAAAAAAGTGAGCTTCCATAATTCATTCTTCTGAGCATATCCCTTATAATCGCGTCCGCTAGATGGCATTCCCATCCTCAGCGCGTCCATGGTACTGCCGGACTCCCCAAATAAAAGGGAGCACAAGGCGTGGCCTCAGGCAAATGGCATCTCTTAAGGCTAAATCGTGCTCACTCAGGGTCTTGCTTTGATATATCAGTCAAGGAAATGAAATAAGTGCAGAGACTTGCTGGTTGTAAAATTTACGCGTAGTTGAAGAAGTGACTTTAACCGCGAGTTTGAAGTTTAAAGCGGAACGGGAGATCTATGATCCGGTGGCCTATAAAACTCCTCAACACCAGAGTGAAAGAACAACCATCTCGGTCTCACCAGGCCTATATATGCTGTATAATATACGTGATGAAAAGGCTGGTGGTGAAGACAGAAGGGGCTGTCCCTGGCATATGGAAATTCCAAATTGACACTTTACTTATCAGCAGGATAATATTCTGTTAAAGGCCCTTGAAGATCCTTATCTTTTACCCCCGTTTCCTATGGATAAAGGACCGTCTTAAGAATAAGCCCCAAGGACAAATTTCGGAATAAATTTAAAGATAATACAGACGAGGTTGAGGAGAAATTTAAAGCTTCAAGATGATCTGAGATATAAGTTTAAGGTTATAAACCAAGGTTAAGGAGAGGGTCGCCTTTAACTCAACTTAAGGATCTTTATAGCTCTCTAAAAGCGGTCTCCAGTGTAGCAGAGTAGATCCCTACTACTTGTTTAAATTCAAGATTCTTTATCAATCATGTTGCGTTTTTGAATATGAGAAGATATTAAGAGATCTATATCCTCACTTAACCAGGTCCTCGACGCTCACTTCAAACTTGGCCATGATTTCCTTCACCCTATCAAGAGGCAGCGCCTCGACCTTTCGTCCCAAGTAACCAGTCATAGTTTCTGCCATACAGAGTGCATTGTATATTGCCTCCTCAGTCACATCAGCAGTTGCATCAAAAAGGTTATCAATTGTCGAGTCATCGATAACCTCAATGGAAACTGTGGTTGGTCCCTTGCGTGGCCCTAAAACATCTATATTCGGGATTGAGTTTCCAGTCGAGAAAGCAAGGAAGATATCCCCAGAGACATTATGGCCGTGGCCTCCAACGCGAGCTAAACCAACCGTTGCACGCTTCGCAATGCGTTGCAGTTGCAATGGGTGTAATGGTGCGTCAGTGGCAAGTATCACAATGATGCTGCCATCCTTATGATCCTTCTCCCTAGCGAGCTCCTCCAGCGCCTCCTTTCTAGCTTCATCCCTCTCAGATTCAGCACATAGTATCCGGCCGATGGGCACTCCCCCGATGCGCAAGTCCTTCATCTTGCCATAATTCGCTTGCACAAGGGCTGCGATAGTGTATCCTTTTTGATTCTCCTTGCCGTCTCCGCGAGGAATGACTCGGCTGCTGCTGCCTGTCCCACCCTTGAACCGATGGCATATCATACCTGTGCCACCTCCGGTATTTCCTTCTCTAACTGTACACGTATTCGCACTCTCTAGGCTTGAAACGACATACTCGGGCTTGACGGAGAATGATGTACAGTCATGCAGATACGCCTCGCACGTTTCTGCCACCACCGGCAGCATTAACCAGTCCACTTTCCCTTTTTTAGAATCTAGAGTTTTGATGGCATACTTGAAGATGCCCTGGTGCGCTGCACCAATCTCCAATGTTCCAGTTAAGACGATAGGGGAGAATAGTAAGCCGGTCTCATTAATCATGTGGGCGCCTGTAAGCTCGCCAGAGCCGTTGAAGCTGAACGTGCCAGCATAACAAGCCTCTTTAGACCAGTTTTCGCGCGGTAGAATGGACGTTATGCCAGTGTTGACCGTTCCATCAGCACTGTCAAGTTCTAGAGTGTTGACTTTGACACCGGGCACATCTGTGAGAGAGTTGAGCGGGCCGGTAGGGAAGTCACCAAGATGGAGGTTAGGGAGAAGTTCTCGGACGCGCATCCGCGGTGTCTGGGAGGACTGTTCGGACATCCTGATAGAAGCTAATAGCGCCGTATTGGTTGTTCACCAGTGTTGAATGAGAAGCCGTGGCAAGGAATATTGAGATGGCTGCCCGGCTCGGGAATGCGGCTGATGCCCAACCAGGATATCAAACATCCTGGTTGCGGGGGACCTGGTCATGAATACCCGCACCCTGAAACTAGTCTTTGGGAATCGCTCAAAACAAGCCGCCGGCGTCTTAAAGGGATGGTGTCGGTAATTACGTCGATATAAAAGCTTGGTAGGCTATTAGATCCATGCGTAGGTCGCTTTCCGTGGAAAGTCTAGTGAATAAATTAAGAAATAAAAACCTCCGTTTGTTAGATATCGGGCGCTTTAGAGATACACTCCTCGGAAAGCTGTGAAGGTGGAAAGAAGAACGTTGTTCAACTGGAGATATTTCTTTACCCTCTTACTCTAGTTGACTAGGTTACTTCCTATCTCCTATCGTTGTATCAAGTTTCCCGTGGGACTTGTCCGATCTTGTTCACCGCGGCCAAGCCGAGGACCTTCTTAGATAGACAGGGAGTAGGCTTTATATTATCCTACAAATGTATGACATACACATTTCTCATTTGAGCGAGATAACGACGGTGAGAAGTGGCGACATGTAACATCTGCAATAAGAAAGGGACAAAAGTTGGGGATAAATACTAGTTCCTCAAACGGCTTTCCCTCCGCTAATGCTTGTTTGTTAAGTCTTTGCCATTCGCTCCATGGTATTACTACTACTAACGGTTTTCCTACCATTTTTAGTAGTTTCATAAGCCAATCCCATACACTCGGTGGTATCGTTATTGCTGTATCTTCGATTGTCTGTCCGCTGAGATTCAATGATTGCCCTTCAACCGCAAGTCCTGCTGCTATCTCTTTTTCTCGTTGTTCGATAGCCTCAATCCCATATACTATTTTCGACCAGAATCTAGGCTCAAGGTTATCCTTAAGCCATTTAGCATCCGCGGAATTTTCGCGGATGTGCTCAAATGCACACCTTGTAAGTGGCCTATTTTGATGAAGTTCTGCCCGGATAAATTCACGGGTTGGTACTTTCTTTCGAGATTCAGGTGGTGAATCCTGAACCCCCAAAAATGGAAAATATTTCTTGAGCGTGCGTTGAACCTTCGAGGTTTGGGCTAGCTCTGGCCTAGGTTCACTGCATGCTAACGTTAGTCACTGGCGATGAATGCCAATTATGCATCAAGGATAGGGGAATACAAACAGGGCGTCTCCAGTCCACTCGTAGGACAGTACCGGTACATCATCGTCATCTGTAGCCTGTCCGTAGTCGATAAGGAAATAACACCGACGGTTGTCAAAGGCAAAGTCGGTACCGTGGTGGTACCACCTATGAATCTTAGGTTGTCATCTGCAGCCCCAATGTTTCTGGCAGATCATATCCTGCATAAATTCGCACCTGTCAAAGTAATCATTGCCGGGAACAAGGTGAGTCAATGTTCGCACCAGGATCCGTAAAGGACCCGGCGTGTTTGGGGTCGCACCCTTATCGGGTTTACTTCCAGCCGATTTCATAATAGAAACGTTACAAAAGTAGACAAAACATTGAAATGAGAGATATAGAAAAAGAGATATGGAGAAAGATAAATGGAAAATAGATGAAGCTGGAGGGACAAAAGAGTGAGATGGAGACATCGGCTTCATGTCGCTCGGGCCGCAGTATTTCCATCGCCGGGATATCCACAGTCGGCGCTTAATTAAAAGTAAAAAACCTGCTATTACCAGCTCCACGGAACTTCTAGTCGGGATGCGCTTTGGAGCTAGAGAAACTATCTATTGGATAAGACTGCTAGATGAGCAAGGCTACAATCCAACGTACATAGAATTCCATATTTATTTTTGAACAAAGACCGAAGTAACGGATCCCAAAGCCCCTTCTCCTGAACGATGCTAGTTGGAGCTGGATCTCAAACCATGCGAGTTTATGATTAACCGGGGTCTTGCTGCCCGGTCAATGCCTTAGGCCCCACGATAAATTAGGGTAGCGCCTAACTTTTATCAGATGATCTAGTGGAGGAATCTCCTACTAGACATCATTATATACCTTTAAACTTATCAGGCGTGTCCTTAAGGCCCTGGGGTTTGTGATTAAAAAAAGTAGTAAGATATAGAACTTGAAGGGCGTAGGACTCTCTGAGGAGGCAGTTGAGGTAGCTTAAAGTATTTCAATTCGGGCTCGCGAACAAACTGAACAGTCCTTGACTCTAAAACTTTGGCGGCTGTTAGGTTTTTAGAGCGCCCCGCTCTCAGAGTTAAAAAAATGGAGAAGACGGGTGCTTATATAATATATCCAAGATTATGTAATTAGATGCTTGGCGTGGTATTACCTAAAATGAACTCGCGGTCAGCGAATCGCTCTTTTCTAGAGCCATTCCTCGGTTGTGACAAATTATCCTAACAACCACGAAGCGTCATAGCCTTAGTCGAACGAAGCAAGGATATTTATGTCACTTTTTAGGCTGTGCTATCAGGCATATTAATTACCAATACAGATGCAAGGAGCCGGCCTTCTTTCCGGCAAGGGGTTCCATCCTAGTCACGGATGACTAGGATTCATCAAGGATCTTCCTAGGACTGTTAGATGCCCGCCCAGTTTACGATGGAAGTAGGCTCAGACTACGACTTCACTCCCATTTATCTCTCCGCTCGTCCGAAGATAGTGGTGAAATTGCCTTGCTCTTAGCATAACGGCCAGCGTCGGTGAAGCTTACTGTAACCCATTTAGCGGATAATCCCTGATTGCTGGAGATCATGTTCATGAAGACAGTTACAAGCGAGATATACATCGCTCTAAGAGTTTCATGAGAGCAAAGACGAAAATTCCGGATCAAGACAATATCCTCAGTAGTGGCAGACAAGAGACTGGACACAGAAAAGCAGGCTATGATCAACGCGATGGAGTCGTGTGCGCCTATCCGCATCGAGCTTTACTCTTCATTGAGCTTTGCCCGATAAATGATGACTGCATACCCCCAGAGCGTATGCTAGTGCCGGGAAACCCGGCGTTCGAGCGGTTAGCCAGTGATCCGCTGAATATCTGCAGTATGGCCCTGTCGTCATACCCTAGCAGATGAACATACCGCGAATATGTGTATGTTAAGATGCCATGAATCCCGGCAGCGTGAAGGGTTCGATCATTGAAGCCATCAACGCTCTATGTTCTCCATGGCATCTAGGATACGACCCTCGACGGATAATCACGCATATTATTCAAATTATTTCGCCTAGGATATCCTCGCCTAGGAGGTTCCAAAGGTCTCGGGGATGAGACCTCTGACGTAATTGTCCGGAGCTATATATATAACATTGGTAACCACCACCAATGCCATATTATTATCGCAACTTAAACCCCTTTGAACTTCTAAACCATGGGCATTTTCAAAGTGATAGTCACGGCGTTTGCTGCTTTGTCAGCTGTCGATGCTGCAAGTCTGATAAACTCTGTGGACGATAAGGACATTGTCCCAGATTCATACCTTGTTGTTATGAAAGACTCTGTCTCGCCCATTGATTTTGATTCCCATGTAGCCTGGGCTACAGATCTCCATCGAGAGAGTATTAGCAAGCGGGGATCCGAAAGCCTTGATGGCTTCAAGCACTCATATAAGATCAATGGATGGCATGCGTATAGTGGCTCGTTCCACCGCGAGACGCTTAATGAAATCCTTCGAAACGACAAGGTGAGTGAAGTACACCACGCACACGAAATTGGGAAGACTATATTAACAAGGTGTGTGACACAGGTCGACTTTGTTGAGCACGATCGCTACGTTCATATAGATGGTTTTATCACTCAACAAAACGCACCATCCTGGGGACTCGGGAGGGTCTCCCACCGCCAGAATGGCACTAGGGATTATGTTTACGATGAAACTGCTGGAAATGGCATCACCTTCTATGGAGTCGACACCGGAATTGATATCCGCCATCCTGACTTTGGTGGTCGTGCTGTCTGGGGTGTCAACGTTGTCAATGGGACCGGAGACAACGATCGTCATGGTCATGGGACCCATACTGCTGCCACCGCGACTGGAACTACCTACGGTCTTGCTAAGAAGGCCAAAGTTGTGGCCGTGAAGGCTCTCAACGACCACGGCGCCGGGCTGTGGAGCAACATCATGAAAGCTCTCGAGTGGTGTGTCAATGATGCCCGGGAGAAAAACATACTTGGAAAGGCAGTGTTGAATTTGTCCATCAGCGGTGGGAAGGTTGTAGCAGCAAACCAGGCTATTACCAACACTGCAAAGGCCGGAATATTTGTTTCTGTGGCTGCCGGAAATGATAACGTACGTCACAACCAACGATTCATACCTCTAGCTGTTTCCAGTGTACTAAGTTTCTACTGCAAGATGCTACAAACAAAAGCCCGGCCTCCGCTGAAGGGGTATGCTGTGCTGCCGCCACCACTATCAGAGACGCAAAGGCCAATTTCTCCAACTATGGATCAGTCGGTAAATTTTCCCTTTGAAATTAGGGTAGCCCCAGAATCTAACAGTTGATACAGTTGATATTTACGCACCCGGTCAAGGGATAACCTCCGCTACACCTAACAACTCGACCGGAGTCATGTCTGGGACGTCTATGGCTGCTCCCCATGTTGGTGGTGTTGGAGCCACTCTCATGGCTTCTAAGGGCATTGCTCCAGCCGCCGTCTGTGCTGAGCTTGTCAAGATGGCATCCGGCCCTGTTCAGAACCCAGGAAGCAACACTACCAACAAGCTTCTCTACAATGGCAGTGGCAAGTAGGGAGTATTTCTCACCATGTTAGATCTTAAGCCAGCCACGCCCGCTATGAATTACTATTGGAAATTGATGAATACACGATGCCAGGTAATTGGCTTATCGAATATTTGTATAAGTCAATAAGAGAGCTTCTTTATCCGTTAAATAGCCATGCTATGCATCCTTCACCAAAAGTGGCTATAAATCCTCCTTTGCAGAAGTTAGCTACAATCGTAGCCATTGAATTTCCGTAGTCATGCAGAATGAAGCACGGAGACATGACCTATAAAAACAGGCAACATTTACTCAAGTCAGGTACTCTTCTGCTCTTCCTTGCTACATTTCTCTTCCACGAGCTACTCATGACCAGATTTCGAAAATATACCAAGCTACCGTTATCAAGGGCGAAGCACAACCGAGCTACAGAAACAACCTGCCTTTTCAGCAAACGCCTTCTCCAAAGAAGCGGCACCCATCTCGCCAAATACCCAACACCCAATAAATAGCGTCTTCTACAGATATGTGCACCGTACTACTAAGAGTCTATAATGGATGCGGTCATTGCCACCCCATGACCCAAGAAGGGTGTGGAAAAGGGAGATGCACGGGGAAGAATTTGAAGACCAGTATAGCAGTCCGCCTTGTTGGTTTATGCCCGCTCTGTAAAACATGGACGAAGTACCACCCGCCAAATCGGTTTTTGAATTAAAGCAGGGGGTCAAGTATCACACAAGACCCGGAATTTAGGAAAGTTCTGGAAACATTATACTCTTCCATGAACCAGTACAAAATCCAACAATAAATGTCTTATTAATTATATTGTAGACCTAAAATTTCTACAGCCTTGCTGCAAAGTCTCTGGGGCGCTGAGTCGACTGCCTCCTTGCCATTTTATCATCAAAGTCGAATGGAGTGAGTCTGGCATTAGTGACTTAACAATATAGGCTGGGTATCGTTGCATTATTAAATTGATATGAAATCTTCAATATAACTACTAGAAGTTAACGTACCCTAACAATTCACTTTAAGTTCGAAAAGCGTTAACATTTTTTAGCAACATGCTGCATTCATACCTCAGTCATGCGCAAAATTATCCCCCTCTTGACTTGGATATCTTTGGCAAACTGTGCAATAAGGGGTATATATCTTAGCCACAATCTTGCCATCCTTGAAGTAAACCTCAAGGGAAGTGGGTAGCCTAAGGCGTAAAACGAATATAGCTACCACTTGTCCAAAATGCGATGTATCTTCTAGAGGTCAAGGAGACGCTTTGAGCGCAAGTTCAGTCAGGATGTTGTGATTTTCCGCTTCGTCTCTCTTGAGATCGTAGGAACCCCCGGTGTTCTCTGTGGGATAGTCCTGTAATGCCTGTCCATGTGGAACTAAGTAATAGAAACGCAGACATGACCCTATGGCAGCAATGCCGTAGAGGGTTTCCTCATCTCCCTGTTCTGTACGAACTAATTCCAAGTACTCCGTAAGCCGTTTAGTGATGTCAGCCCATGTAGCTGCATCGGCCTCGCGTCCATTTTTCTTATCCTCTAGAAGAACTATTTTCGTGGGGAAGGTGTCCCTCGTGCCACTCCTGACGCATAGAATAGTTATACCATCGCGGTTCGTGATGGCTCCTGACAGTGGTCGCTGTTCTAACTCTATTCCGTAGAGTTTATCCTGCGTGAAATATAGAGATAGAGCGTTGGCCCAGAAATGGTTTGCTGCTGATTCAGTCTGCCCAGCCTTCTCGAGCTCTGAAAAGTAAAACTGAAGCACCGGGTTGCTCAAATACTATGAAGAAGTCAGTGAAATGAGTCTAACGTAGTTGGGGTACTCGCTACTAACGTAGGACATCTTGAAGCAAGAGGGGTATTGATAATATTCCTGTTCATTTGCATCAGCTTCAACAAGACGTCCACGATGCACACCCTCTATGGTTTAGTTAAGCAGCATCGTCGATTTTAACGGGGTCTTTCTTCAGAGCCAACAATACAGCATGCCTATACCACCAAGTACTGACATTCAGGCCACTTGTTCTTGATAGAAGCCCTACTTCGAAGATTCATCAAAACCACCTGTACCATCGAATATCGACCTTTGTATTCAATATTCCAGATTGATCGTCATGGTCTTCCAGCGCATATCCTTGCTAGTGTGTCCTCTGTTCCATGAACGCACCCTGGTAGACTATCTTGGAAAAGTCAGATGGCAAGACGAAGAGACAGGATACTTGGAGTCAGACGGCGAAACTTGTGACTAGGGATAAGAAGAGAATAAAAGAGAAGTCACCTTATAGAAATGCGGAAGCTATCATGGAATCAATCTTTCCAGGCATGACAGGTTCTGTAGTAAATAAACGTCTATCCCCGGATACGTATATTCAGTAGACGGCGGTAGATAGAGAAACCGACAGCACTTACATCCGTTTCTTATCCATATACTCCGTACTTCGTAGATATCAATGCTGTCATCGAATTTCTTCTGCAGCTTGCACTTTGCCCTGCTCACGTGCCCACCAAGAGCTGTAGAAGAAGAAAAGAAAGAAAAACACACAAGTGGCCATCCCTTCATCAAAGTTGATAGATCATATATTATTCTCCTTACTTTCTTCCCGGCCAATTGGCAGCGGAAAAGATGCCCAATCTTCAACCTAAAAGCTACACGGTCTCTACGAGGCCTGAGGTCCGAATTTTTGAACCGAGGTTGGCCCGAAGAGCCTCCATCAAAGCCGGGTTAGCTCAATCGGTAGAGCGTGTGGCTCTTATAAGATGGCGAGCAATCAGCTTAACCATCGAGATCACCTCAAGGCTGCGAGTTCGAGCCTCGCATTCGGCTTTCGCTTTTTGTCGTTTTTTTTGGCCATATTGTTCAGTTCAGTGCGTAACTTTGGTGCTAGTTTGCGGGACGACAGGCATAGTCCATGTCCGAGGTGGAGAAGCGATATCCGAAACAAAGTGATAAGAGTAGATAACGTCATTCATTCATTGATTGATTGATTTTTGTTTCGTTGAGAGAAAGAGAATAAAAGGCGAAAGGGAAGATCGATTTTGAATTAAAAGGAAATAGATAAGGAGAAAGAAAAGAAACCGTCCGTACGGAGTATGAAAGTAAAGAATGAAGGAGGAAGAAAAGATGGGAAAAATCGCTGACGTGGATAGGGAGAAGATGACAGCTTCAAAAGGTTAATTTTATCCTATTTTTGGGATAAGGAAGGGGGCGTTCGTTAGCGCCTGGTCTGATCTGGGTGCAAGGAAGAAGCGCAAACAGGGGGCAACCAGCTGGTCGGTCAAATAATAAGGATATATCAAGGTACGAGACGAAAAAAACAAAAGCGCCTAGAACACCAAACAATAAAGAAATCCCAAGCAGGCTAGCCATTGTCAACAAAAAGCAGGAGCAAAAAATAAAAACAATAAAAAAAAAGGTACTCTGGAAATGGGGAGTACACGGGAAGATGCAACGGAAAGGGTCCAATAATGTGAAGGGTACGGAGTAAATGGGACGCATAAGAAAAACTTCATACTTCATGCAGTAGATACGAGCGATTTGGAATGGTTGGGGGATTTGGTGAGAAGGGAGGGGAGTTTGTGAAGTTGGCAGGTAAGCCACAGAGAAGAGGCGAGAGGAACCGCCACAGATAAGGAGATGGACTGTCTCCCATCAGCCATTCTCCATTCAAGCACGGAGTACGTAGTAATCATGCAGTTATATAAGCTTGGACGGAGGGAGCGCAGATCGACGCCCATCTGATGTTTGGGCAACAACGGAACCGGCCCAAATCACAACGGCGGGTGATCGATCGTTTGGTTAAGGTAGGGGCAAGATTATCGAAATTCGACAGCAGCGCAGCATCCGTAATTTTCGACTGGCTTGAGCTCGAGTTGTTGGTACCTAGGTCAAAAAAAGTAAAAAAAGTAAAAAGGTTAGGGCTGGCGTTCTTGATAGAAAGTCGGGCATCACAACATGGCTTGGAACGGCGGTGAGACCTACTTTTCGCTCTTTGCATGGAAGTAAATGCCACTGATGGTTCCTTGCACCTGGTTGAAGCAGATGTAGTAGAATCCCTCGAAGCTAGCTCCGGAAATAGTCTTCACGCGGTGGTCTGGGACGAGGAAAGCTTCCTTCCAGCGCATGAAAATGTTCTCTCGCTGTGCGTAGTCCTTGTAGGTAAAGTCTGGTTTTTTGGCGAGTTTGGCTAGGGGCCGCCAGGCTGGGAATCGAGACCAGTGGTGCATGTCGGTCTTTTCTGTAGCGCCCCAGTCTTCGTGGCGGGTCTGAAAGGTGTGTTTGGTGCCGATTATCTCGCCTTCAAAGAACGTTGTCAGGGTAGGGTGGTCTGGGGTCAGGCCTGTAGTAGGTCCAGTGTTAGATGTGAGCAGACAATGTAGAGTGAAGCAGCTAAAGTTATTGCACCTTTTATTTTAAGGTATCCGCAAAGGTAAGACTCGGACATGTCGACGTTCTTTATCTCCACGTCGACCGTGTAAATCTGCTGGTCAGACTGCTGGGTGCCGGTGAATTTGCTGCCACTTCTGAAATATGACGAGGAATGATCTGGTATCAACTAGTGGTAGAGTAACGAACTATTAGCATATATTAACTTGCAATGATCCATTGAGCACTCACTCTGGCCTCGGAGAACTCATAGCTCATGGACCTCCTATGGGAGACCGGCGTATCGAGGTGAGTGACGGGAGTAGGAGGATCCCGCTGCTCGTCCTTGATCTCAGTGGCAGCCGAAACGCTCGTAGACGGACTCATTGGCTCGTCGGTCTCATCGTACTCGTCGGTAGTGGTCGACTCAGACGCCGGAGACTGAGCTTCCTCGGCAGTGGTCGATGCAGCCGCCATAATCTGAGCTTCACCGGCATTCCCAGCATCCCCAACCGACGTAGAGACAACGTTCTCCCTCTCTAACGCAGCCTGAGCAGCAGAGCTGCCATTATCGACAGCCGAGACGGAGATCGAGTCGGGCACACGAGCCGGCTGCGGAGCTTCTTCCTCGGCGGCATTCTCCCTCCCTAGCGAAGATTGGGCCGCAGAGCTGTCATTATCGGCGGGAGCTGCGATTCGGCCCTCAGCAGACTCGATCCAGGAGGTTATCCTGTCTGGCTCGGGCGGACAGGTCGGTCGTGTGGACGGGGTCGCGTTTGGAGCAGTCGAGGGCAGATGGGGACTGATGTCACTGTGGGTTGGCATGGAGACGACTTCAGCGGCAGCACATTAGACGGAGGAGGATCGATTGAACGGCCGGCGGGTGCAGTCAGGATGCGCAGCGGACGGAGCAGGGCGAGGTATCAGGCGAGGGCGAGGAGTGTAGTGTGTAGTTGTATAGCGATGGAGAGTGTCTTTGAGGGAGCAGAAGTTGTAGGGTACGGGAAGGTTTTGGCAACGCACTTGCAGGGCCAAGGAGGTGACTTCGTGGTCAGAGCAGCGCCACTAGGGCGACAAAGGGGTCATGCGATCGCGGGGAAGCCAGGGTGAATACTGGCGGCAGGGATCGTATTAACGGCTGTCTAGCTACTATATTCAGTGCAGTATACCGAGTATCAGTATATGGAGTATCTACATATACGATCAACAATATGAGTACATAAGATATCCTAGACCCTGCTCCTCTGCTCTAAACCTCAGCTGCTATCCTCTGTCCTCTGCTGTAGCTATCCTGCTGTAGCTCCCTCTGCTGTAGTTAACTCTCGTTAATTCTCTGGTTAAATGGGTTTGATCTAGCGAGCGGTTAATATGCAGAGTTCATGACACCGGAAATGAGGCGAATACCTTGAAATGCAGGGATATTAGAGAAAAGACGAGAGCCTTTAGATCTTGCACCAGATAGTAAAAGACTCGCAGCCCTTCTGGATCCGCAGACTCCGTGACGTCGACGAGAGAGCCAATCTTCGCTGTCTATACAACAGTTAGCCTAGGTAAAGATACACGAAAGAAGCAACCGACCTCGAAGGATATGTGTTCGTTTCCGAGCCGTATCTCCAGCTCCTGTCTCCCGTCCTTGTTCTTCTGTGGCCATTTAGAGTCGTCTTCCCTAGATAGACAAGTTAGACCTGCACGTCAAGAGAACATCCAATGCCGACGTACTTGATGATTTCACTCTCTTTGATGATGCGTTTGATTTCCTGTATCAGCAGCGAGCTGACACACACTGCAATCGCTTAGTCTCTCGTCGTGAGCTGGATATGAAGATATGAGATATGACGTACTCTCTTTGCGGATCAGGGAGTCATTGCGGTAGTTGGAATTGTTAGCATAACGGGCAGACGCGCTGCGGCCGTCCCCGAGTGATCTAAAGTCGAATTCTGGCACCCGGGTAAGCTGATATACGCGCGCATGTAATAGCTAGAGAGTCTCACCTAAAAACTCATGTCCGAACCGCCCAGAGTGTCCCGAGCTGAACGGCCGTCAGCAGCTGAGGAGACCTGGGCAACAGGCAGGGTGTCTTACTAGTATCGCAGGTAGAAGGTCTCGTTATCGCCCGGCATCTTGCTGTCTTCGTCTCGTCCGTCCGCCGTTGTTCGTTCTTCTTCTTCTTCCTCTTCTTCTTCCTGTCGCAAAGTCCAAAAGTCGCGGGCAAAAGTGTCCTGCTTAGTCATCCACACATTTGGCGGGCGTAAGTTGCCAAATACTGGACAGAGTGGAACATTGAATGGACGGAAGACACCATAGACATATCAACTCTCCGCGAGGGCGCTCTCTCTATAGCAACGGCCGACTTGTCCAGGATCCCGCCGCTACGTCGACGACCATCTGCTCTCCGAACGGCCAGGCGAGGCATGCGGACGCCGCTCTGAATCCTGACATCCTGGGCCACTTATCGTAAACCGTCTCCCTCGAACCCCCGTTCCCCTTACATACAGCTCGGAAGACGACCACGACCACGACGCAATGGCTTCCTATATGGATCACTCGTACACCCTGGTGCATCAGGATAACTCTGCCGACCAGCCTACGTTGCAGGAGCTGAAGACGCAGCTGGAGAAGGGCACCGATGAGACTAAGCTGGAGACCATGAGGGTTATCCTCATCATGATGCTGAACGGAGACCCGATGCCACAGCTGCTGATGCACATTATCCGCTTCGTCATGCCGTCTAAATCCAAACCACTCAAGAAACTACTCTACTTCTACTACGAAATCTGTCCCAAACTCGATGCCAATGGCAAGCTGAAGCAGGAGATGATCTTAGTCTGGTATGTTGCATGGAATGCACCGTCCATTTGAAAAAAGATTCACGGGCTAACCAACGGATACTATAGCAACGGCATTCGAAATGACTTGCAACATCCCAACGAGTACATTCGTGGAAACACACTTCGATTCCTCTGCAAACTTAGGGAGCCGGAACTCCTAGAACCCTTGCTCTCGTCAGCACGCCAGTGTCTCCGCTACCGACACGTATACGTACGGAAAAACGCAGTGTGGGCGATTGCCTCGATATTCCAGCACTCTGAATCCTTAATCCCCGACGCCGCAGATCTCCTTTTGGCGTTTTTGGAGACGGAGACTGACCCCACCTGTAAACGCAATGCCTTTGCGGCTCTGCTCACCATCAGCCACGAAAGCGCTTTGGTATATATTAGCTCTACTTTCGACGGAGTAGCCAATGCGGACGAGCTGCTGCAGCTGGTGGAGCTGGAATTTATTAGAAAGGACGCTGTGCAGAATTCCCAAAACAAGGTGGGTTCCATGGATCCAATGCATGGTATAGTTGGCTGACATGTTGGTCTATAGGCGAGATATCTTCGATTGATATTTGATCTTTTGGACGCAAATACGAGCACGGTTGTATATGAGGCAGCAACGTCTCTAACGGCGCTGACGTCAAACCCGGTGGCCGTCAAGGCTGCAGCTGCAAAGCTGATCGAACTATGCATCAAAGAGGCGGACAACAATGTGAAACTCATTGTTCTAGAACGTGTTCACCAGCTAATGAAGCGCAACGAGGGAGTTCTAGCCGACTTGACGATGGAGATCCTTCGTGTTCTCTCGAGTCCCGACATAGATGTGCGGCGCAAGGCGTTATACATTGCTCTTGAGATGGTCTCCAGCAAGAACGTCGAGGAAATCGTTCTCTTACTCAAAAAGGAGCTCGCCAAGACTGTTGACGAACAGTATGAGAAGGTAATACTCCTTCAGAAGACTTTAGCAGCGATAAGTAGCTAATGGTTTGTCACAGAACAACGAATACCGACAATTGCTTATCCAGTCCATCCATCAATGCGCTATTAAATTCTCCGAAATAGCTGCCAGTGTCGTGGATTTGCTCATGGACTTCATTGCTGATTTCAACAACAACTCTGCCGTTGACGTGATAAGCTTCGTAAAGGAAGTTGTTGAAAAGTTCCCCAAACTCAGACCATCTATTGTCGAGCGACTGGTCTCTACCCTCGACGAGGTACGCGCTGGCAAGGTATACCGCGGTGTCCTGTGGGTTGTAGGTGAATACTCTCTCGAAGCAAATGATATCCGAGAGGCCTGGAAGCGCATCCGAGCAAGTTTAGGAGAAATTCCTATCCTCGCATCGGAACAGCGTCTGCTGGACGAAGGCCCCGACGCCGGAACTGGCCAGGACTCTGTCAATGGACACGCCAAGTCGACAACGGGACCCAAGGTTTTGGCCGACGGTACATATGCACAGGAATCCGCGCTGACCAGCGAGTCGGCAGCTGCAGCAAAACTAGCGGCTGTCAAGGCCGCGCAGAAACCACCATTGAGACAACTCATTCTAGATGGAGATTACTATCTCGCAACAGTCCTTTCCTCGACACTCACAAAGCTTGTCATGCGCCATTCCGAGCTCTCGCAAGATGTTGCTCGCACCAATGCCCTACGCGCCGAAGCTATGTTGATCATGATTTCCATTATCCGTGTTGGCCAGTCACATTTTGCCAAGGCCTCCATTGATGAAGATTCAGTTGACAGAATCATGTCGTGTGTACGATCGTTAGCTGAATCCGCTCAACGGAAGGAACTTGAGGCTACGTTCCTCGAAGACACGAGACAGGCGTTCCGCGCTATGGTTCAGGTAGACGAGAGAAAACGAGCTGATAAAGAAGCGGTTGAGAAGGCGAAGACGGCCGTTCAGGTGGACGATGCCATCCCGATTCGGCAGCTGGCGAAGAGATCAGGCGAAGAGGGTGCAGAGGAGATTGAATTGGACCTTGCCAAAGCCACGGGTGGTGATGCAACTCTTGAAGATCTATCCTCCAAGCTTAGCAGGGTTGTCCAGCTTACCGGATATTCTGATTCGGTTTATGCAGAGGCATATGTCAAGGTGCATCAATTCGATATTGTCCTTGATGTCCTGCTCGTCAACCAAACGACCGATACCCTCCAGAACCTCTCCGTCGAATTCGCTACACTAGGTGATCTCAAGGTCGTCGAGCGACCTACCACACAGAACCTTGGACCTCACGACTTCCTAAACGTCCAAGCCACAATCAAGGTCTCTTCTACCGATACCGGGGTCATATTCGGCAACGTCATCTACGACGGGTCAAGCTCGGCAGAGACACACGTGGTGATTCTCAACGATATCAAAGCTGATATCATGGACTACATACAACCAGCTCACTGCACGGAAACACAGTTCAGGGCCATGTGGACCGAGTTTGAGTGGGAGAATAAGGTTAACATCCATTCAAAGGCCAAGAGCCTGAGGGCCTTCCTGCAACAACTCATGGATCGCACCAACATGAGCTGTCTCACCCCGGAAGCTTCACTTGAAGGAGACTGCCAATTCCTTAGCGCTAACTTATATGCAAGGAGCGTGTTCGGTAAGTTACTAAGATCGTGGTTCTTTTCTATATTACTTTACTTGAAGTGCACTACTAACCGCTGCTCTCTAGGCGAGGATGCTCTTGCAAACTTGAGCATTGAGAAAGAAGGCGACGACGGCCCCATCACAGGCTTCATGCGGATAAGAAGCCGGTCTCAAGGATTGGCGCTTAGTTTGGGTTCTCTTAAGGGCATAAAGGCCAACTCCGTTTAATCATGATAATCTGTTATTTGATGTTGATGAAAGGTAGATGTTCTAGTCATGGGAGCTTTCGCTCTCCTTATTCTTTACTCGCCCTACTCCTGTTCTTGACCAGTTTCACTGTGCATGGTAATGAATTTTCTATTCGATCTCATCGCTCTTCCCTGCGGTCTCCTTGTCCTTGCACTGTATGAACCCAGACAATAGGTTTTCTTAGGCTGGCTAAAAGCATGGGATTAAGTAATTATGTAACGCACGATCAATCTTCTTCTTCCATGGATGTCTTCCGTAGCTGGTACACATTAGAGTGCTATGATATATTCTCTTACTTATTCACTTATTGTAGTCGTCTCATGTTGAAATTAATATAACATTTAAATAATCATTATACAGGCACTTTGAGCCTGCTTCCTAGACATGCAATTCTATCCTTGGTAATAATCGGTTTTTATTAACCCCCAGACCCCCTGAAGAGACAGGCATTCTCCAGGTTTCACTTGGTCTTCAGCGAATGTTGCTTCCTCTTGTTCACACTCCCACTTTCTCGGTCGGTTGCTAGAGGTGGCCACTTAGATCCGTCAACGGCGTCCACGAAGTAAGTTCTGTATTCCAAATTCATGATACGCCATTGTCTGCGGCGAAGGGTATTGAAATTCGGATGAAAATCTGCGAGGCTCACGCCGTCATGGAAAAAGTTACTCGTATACTTCTGATATCAAACCCCTCTTCTGATCCTGGCACATTCACTTTTATCTGAATTATACCCTGGTCCTAGACGGCGACCCCGATGGTCTAGATGGCGCCCCTGGCGCTGGACTGTCGATAAGTTTTGAATAAGGGCCTGGGGCGTGTCGGTCGGAAGTAGATGCCATCTCATAACTGACTTCAAATTCCGTCCTGTGTATGATGTCCTCCTTTGAGTCACTGTCGATCAAAGCCCTGTCCTTATGAGCATCGGCTCGGCTGGAAACGACGACTGACGCCGAATGTCCGTGTGCGTGATGGTAGGTGGAGGGCCGTATTCGAGAGGTAAATAGGGATTTGTAGGACGCAAAACATGACACCATCACTGAAATAGTGGCCTCCATTGCACTCCAGAATAAGAGCCAGGATAGAGGCGGTTGTTTCGATTTACCATCAGCTTCGATGGAGCGTAGAATCGATATAATAACAACTGCGAGCCCGAGCATGAAGAGGCCAATAAGACCTAACTTTTGTGGCATGGGAAGAGAAGATCTGAGGACAAAAGCGACAGGGAGGGACATGACTTAACGTTCGAGGTTAGCTCTATCATATATAGTGATATCAGTTGAGAATTGACTTACTCAAAACATCCGTAAGTATGTCAAAAACAGTGCTTACATATATATCAACCGTAGTTAATCTAACACTTTTAGGAGAAAGGCAGGCAACTATCGGGTGTGTGTCAGTCAAGAAGTAGGATAAGAATGCTCGTGAGGGAAGATATTTTTAACGTACTAGAAGTTAGTTCTGGACAGGCGACTGGAGGGAGGATGATTGAGAGTAAGAATCCAATCACTGTAATGCCGATGACAAATCTCCAGGCCTTTCGGAATAAAGGTAGGCTGCGGAACAGCCGCCAAAGCAAGGCAAGCAAACTGACTTTGACCGAATAGATGCAAAATCGGAAGAAGAAGTTACTGGTAAGAACCAGCTTCAACAGATGGTCGGATTTTTCGAGGAGAGTGGGTTCAAATAGGCCTAGGCCGCCGTCGCCATTCTTTTCATACAGACCAAGCAGTAAGTAGACCGTAGGCAGAGCCACGGTGGCTACAACATTATGGCATAGAAGGAATATAAAGGCAAAACCTGCAAGTATATCATCCCAAAATAGTTGTCCATGGAGGCGAAGTCGAATTACAAAGCGGCTAACAAGTAGCAGTGTAGTAACAGCAAATAACATCCAGACAGATATCTACAAAACGAGTTTAGTATTCCGTTTAAATAGCATATTAAAAAAAAAAGAGATATCTCTCCGGGAGTTGGGTGAACCAAACATACCACCAATGCGGGACGGCTGATTTTCCGCGCGAGAACCAACTGGTCCTCAGCAGCCATGACGAAGAGACTCTGATAACTGCGGGAAACTCGCGTGCCAACAATTCTAACAGCGCATTTTGAATTCGGCGACGATGGCTTTCACGAGCCTGGCAAGGTGAAAGAAGTCGAGAGCTATATAGAACGGTGGGGATCGAGATCATGATTGAGATTTCGGGGAACCCGGTCAATATAACCGAGAGTTGAGATGCTACATTGTTGCTGGCGGGCATCGGTCATGCATTCATATCAGGCTAATCAAAGTCCAGCCCTGGCGGACGAACACAGGGATATTGCTTGGAGCGGGTTGCAAGATGCGATTCGAATCTTGAATCTCGATGGCCAGGGGCAGACACATGGGTGGGTATCCACTGCTACAGTTACAGAACGAACTATCCTCTCGCCTCGAAGTGATCTTGAGCGCGCATCCCGGCATCGCCGAAGTCATTGGTCGAATAAGGTATCTCGCCACGAGGTGATATAACGGCCATGTACGTGATATCTGACGGAAGCAGACTAGGCTTTTTGCCCGGTCCTGGAATGTCATCCCCAAACTTGAGACATGACGGGGTCCTCCGTACACAGTTACATCGAGAGTCCATGCTTCGGAGAAACACTGTATGCGGAGCATGATATAACCGAGCTTTCTCCCCCATATCACTACTAGAACGACTTCTAGTACTTCTACAGGAAGATAGGCTGCTTATAACTGCATCGTCGTCGTTATAGCGATATCCAGCTCCCGATGTCGTTTTACGTAAAAAGTCGACGTCGTTTTTCTTTCCTCTGTCGCTTAAACATTAGCCGCATTATGTAATCACGGCCGGTATTACGCATATCCCTGCGAATTATATTAACAACTCCACGACCAACAACAAGACGGAGGAGTGGAAGAACACCGACTGGCTATGCTGGTGGCTGGCAGTCTACTAGCTATACGGAATAGTAGACACGATGCGGCCTCGTTGACAATACCCTACAGACTCTCCTGTAGAGCCCTCGTATGGACCCTGGAGGACCGGCGTTGAGTGAATGCAGAGTGATCGAACCCGGAAAGTGACTGGAAGATATATGTTAATGCATCTTGGAGCACTGCAAGTATGCTACTTCGCCGCTCTATCCGACCTTTATCTTTCTTCATCCCCTGCGTCGGCTCTCCGGGAATCCCCTATCCCTTGCAGGCTCCCATTATCCCCGCCTCAGGGGTCAGCTCAGCCCTATGACGATCACCAATACCTCGGGATTCGATGCCATGCAAGACGAAGGCTAACTCCTCCCGATAACCTCTCGATAACCTCCTCTCAGATGGAGGATATGTTTGTTGTCAGGTTTCCAGCCGGTATAAGGACGATACTGCTGTCTTGAAAGGATGTCTCATCGTGAATATCTGAATATTGACGCTTCCTCCTTAAGCAGTGCATCGAAAAGCGAAAATAACTAGATAATTCTTTACTCTGCTGGCAGGGCTAATCTTTGGTTCGATTCAGAGACGAGAAACCACCCAGCTATCCAGCTCTTAGCACACGTCAGTCTCTAGCTGTTTGATGAAATTGCGATATACTTGATCAAACGATGAGCGACTTCTTCGAAGGCCTCTCGGTCAACCAGGCTTTGGTTGTGAAGCCGGTTTCCACGAACCTACGTCCCAACTTGAACAGAGTATCGAGGACTGGGCTGATGGCCAACCACTAGTTCAAGCGCATGTCCAGTTACGTTCAGCGGATACCTTGAATTTCTCTGGAGTTGGAATTTCAATAATGGGGGCAAGCTAAGGCATACAAATGACGATGACGTCTCAAAATCTCGCCTTTATACAAGATCAGCCTTCGCCAGGCCTTCGGGCTAAGGGCTTGCAGATCCAGAGCAGTAAGTCCAAAAGTTTACGCTAGGAGAGTGGGGAGGAAGTCCTTGCACTGGTGAGAATATATTGTGAGTACAACTACACCTAGCATACAGAGCAGAGGCCGTTGTCAAAAGGCTGGTATTCTATCCCATTTCCAAAGGACGAGCCTAAGGAGAATGCCAGGGGTAGATCCAAGGACAGGCCTTTGGATGGGTTCAAGGGGGATAAAAGAAGGCCAATTAGGATGCCCCTTTACCAGCTCTTTGATTAAATTTAGGGGCTCTAAAGGACATTGGGCAAGGACCTCTATACCTTTCGACCCAACGGTCCCGCCTCTACTAACACGATACTTTGCGCTAGAAGTTCTACGGGTCATTCAAGACCGTTATCCCGCTGCGCGGATTGGAGTTTGGCGCAGCTGAGTTGATCGACGTTTCAGACAAGTCGCAAGTCGCAACGCGAGAAGCTGGATATTGATTGGGGAAATGAAGCGAGTTGGTTAGAGCAGAGCTAGCGTTTGAACGTTAGTTCAGTACGGAGCACTGCGACACCAATAGAAAGCATCTCTCGAAACACATGAAGAGAGAAAGGGTAGGGTGGTCCTTGACGTTTTCAGTGAGAGTTGTATACGTATAGGGTTGTTCAATGCACAACATTGGGCCACTCTGGTGATGTCGGTATAGTCCAACGGAGGTCAACTCTTATGATCCAACAGAGATCAACTCTTATCGTTATAATTATATATAGAAGCGCACATATTATTCTCTTATTTTTCATCCATGGATCGAATAGTAACTATCATGTGACGCCGGGTACCAACTTCTTCATCGTTTCTCCCAGAACAAAACAAACACAGCTTCATTATATACAGTGGTCTAGCTGTATATCCTCCGACTGCGATCGCCAGCTCCGATAGCATGTAACTATCGTGCAAGTTGGACAGATCTAACAGAAGACAGCTTGCATCGTGTCTCATGCGCGTCCCTGTCAACCTCGGCAGATGATCTATAAACATCTGCTGATGATCTATAAACATCTGTTGATGATCGCATCGTGATCCCGCAGACCAACCACTCTTCCTCCATACATACTCCATACATATACAGACTCCACGGAGCTTCGGTCCGCTTTATAGAAGGCTGGAGCAGCCATTGAACCGTCCACGGCGCCTCCCACGCTTCCTACGCTCTGTTCGCGTTCCTCTGCCGGACGCTCGGCATGCGCCAAGTTGAACATCTCAAAGCTTAAGCCATGACGTTCAGCCGCTTCTTCTCGAGCTCTGCCGACGATGGTCGAGGAGAAGACGCAGAGATGCAGGCTCCCAGGGACGGAACCGCGGTTTTGCCCGTCGGGGTGAATGCTTCGTTAACATTGGCGGCCGAATCTCTCATTGTCCAAGGTAAGGGATAACCCGGTCTCTTATGCCGCTTCCCTCCACTGCCATATAATTGCTATATATAAAAATTTTTCCTCTCTTTGAAATTTACCGGTTTAATAACTTATGGCGTGGCTGCTTTGTCCTGTGAAGACGACGGTCATAATAATAAATCTAGTCGAAGTTGCTGCGGTCTGATATCTACTCCACGTATGAACTGAACCTCGCTCCTCCCCCTTCCGCGTCCTCCGTTGGGCGGGAAAAACGCGTCTCCCATGGCGTGCAGACAAGCTATGGCAGACAGGCCGTTTCTCTACATATGTCTGACATCTCGTCCTTATAGGCGTTGCGCGAACCACACGATCCATTCCCTACTTCAACATCCTCTGGGCGGATATATCGGATAACCACCTCAACATCAAGTACGCCAACCCAAAATCCAAGAACGACGTTGGAGTTGCAACGATTTGCTACACTATCGAACGCACACAGCTTTCAAAGGCCGAAACATGGATTTCCTCTCTATTGGATTTGTCGTACGGAGAAGCACAACGGAACAAGCGGATAAAGGTTCTGGTAAACCCTTTTGGGGGCAAGGGTAGTGCTTCCAAGACATTTTACAAGGAAGTTGAACCAATATTCGAAGCAGCTCGGTGCGAAATTGACACGCAAGTGACGGAATATTCTGGTCACGCCGTTGATATTGCAGAAAAGATCGACGTAGATGCATGGGATGTCATTGCTGCTTGCTCCGGTGACGGGGTAATCTTTGAGATATTCAATGGTCTGGGTAAAAAAGAGAATGCGGGCGAGGCTCTAGCGAAGCTGGCCGTCGCTCACGTCCCCTGCGGCTCGGGGAACGCAATGAGCAGGAATCTCAATGGCACTGCGGGCCCTAGCATGGCTGCGCTTTGTATCATCAAAGGCTTGCGCACGCCTCTCGACCTGGTATCGATCACCCATGGGGAACAACGAACGCTTTCTTTCCTGTCCCAAGCTTTCGGTATCATAGCAGACACAGACCTTGGAACAGAGAATCTGCGGTGGATGGGAGCTGCTCGTTTCACATTCGGCTTCTTGGTCAGGTTACTCGGCAGTAACGTCTATCCGTGCGACGTAGCCCTCAAAGTTGAGATCGACGACAAGAATCGCATCAAAGAACACTACAACGCCATAGTGCAGAACAAGTCCAATGTAGAGCCCCGCGGAGAGATACCTGAATCGGGGGGCCTTCCACCTTTGAAATACGGCCTAGCGACAGACCCTATACCCGAAGATTGGATGCGTATCTCGCATGACAAACTCGGCAATTTTTACTCTGGAAACATGGCCTTCATGGCGCAGGATGCCAATTTCTTCCCTGCATCGCTTCCAAACGATGGGTTCTTGGACGTTATTATGATCCGAGGAGATATAAGTCGAATCACTGCGTTACAGATGCTAGGCGCTTTGGATAACGGGGAGCTCTTCGACATGCCTGATGTACATGCGCTGAAGATATCAGGATTTCGAATAACACCCAGGAGCCAGGATGATGGATATATCAGCATCGATGGCGAGAAAATCCCCTACGAGCCATTCCAGGCCGAGGTTCATAAGGGACTTGGAACAGTGATCTCTCGGTCTGGATTCAAATTTGAAACCGGCAAGGGATCCTAGAGCAATGTCTTCTTCTCTTTTGTTTTGGATCCTTACTTTTTTTCCCTTTCCTCTATGCACATTCATCATTATTACTCGGCTGTTTGTTGTATTTTTTATATACTGCTCCTTTACCCCTCCTGTCCTTTTGTTCAAGGCGCCGTACTGGTCTATTCCTCTACTCTGTGATTTCATTTCCTTTCTTGCTAGACCTGGCGTTCATGGTTCTCGACGGTCGGCGCCAGATTGCCATGGCATTATATATATCACCCTAGCATGAAATGTGCTATCCATTATCTATCCAAATTTCATCTTTGGTCTTTTTTGCCTGTATGGTAATCGAGTATATTATAGTTAGTGAATATCTGGAACAACTCGGGGTTGCTCCGGCTGTTTGCTATTTGTTTTATGCGCACGTAGAGCCGAATCATTGATATTGAATTAAAATTATACGATCAACGTGTACTTGAGAGGAGACTATTAACATACGACAGCCGTAACCTTCCAGGATAAGCCATCATGAAGATATATTTATTTACAAGGAACAGTTTATACAGTATTAAATGAAAAAAATTAAAGATCGACCCGCCAAAGAGAAAAAAAGCTATTTACTTGTGAAATTCCAATAAGGCCAGGAACAGGAATGTAATTTACTACCTCGCTCTCAGGGAGAAAAAAAAGGACAAAAGAGAAATGAAAATAATGAGCTTGCTAGCGTAAGATGGACATGCTTTAAGTTGAGCTTGAGAGTCGGAATATAAGGAAAATGTCGGGTCGGTAAATGAATTCATACAATGTTAGAAAAAAAGAAAAATCCATAGCGATGCGTGTACTCCATAAACAAGGACAATTTCAAAAAGATGACATGAGGCATAAACTGATTAGGCAATTAGAATAAGACGACATTATTAAGGCCATTGGAGGCGATGGTGGATGGGTGAGACTAAGAAATGGGGTGAAATCAAGCACAATTAACAAGTATAAACACAATGGTAGGCAAAAAATGGGGGAAGGGAAGGGAGGAGAAAAAGAAAAGTCCACCTTTGAAATATATTCCCATAATATCGAACAAACTTAAAGAAAATAGGGCCGTATGTATGTATGTATGATGGTCACGGATAGAGATGAGAGGATGTTATAGCTTGAGGTTATCTAGGATCTTCTTCGCCATCTCTCGGTACTGCCACATACCTCCGGACACCTTCTTGAATTGGATACCATGTAGAGAGAAGAGGGGCACCTTGACGATAACGATCTCAAAACGGAGGACGAGGTTTGCGCCAGTGTCCGTTTGGACCTTTGTGGTGGTCTCGCCTACCACACGCTCGCCACCGGCAGTGCTGTCACGAGGCGCAACGTATTCGTCCGACCCTTCAGAGTTGGTGACGAAGCTTTGATCAGGAGCTCGCTGGCTACGGCGTGGCGCTTTGGTGGGCGATGGTTTGTGTTCTTGCGTTTCTTCGGCGGTTGCATGGGCGCGGAGGCCGGCGAAACTGATTCGGCGACGATGGCCAGAAACTGGCCCTTGTCTCTCGGGACTTGGAGGGTTGGCATCAACGACGCGGTTGAGGTCTATGCTTGGGGCGTGACGACAGCTGAAACCTCCCTTTATCTCGACATATTCAACACCAAGCTGTTTGAGAACACGTATGATGTCGGAGCGTATAAATTGTAGTGGTTTGCTGCTGGTAGTAGATACGCTGAACAGGCCCTTGAGATAAACTGGTTTTGACAGGTCTTCGCCGGTGCCTGTCACGGCGTTGGGGCCATCGAGGACCTCTGTATCCGTCTCCTCGGGGACTTGGGCTTCCTTTGCTTCCTCTCGACGAGCGCGGCGGGCTTGAATGCTTTCGCGTCTCGCATGTCCCAACGACTTAGTCCTAGCCTGAGGGGGGTAGGTATTCTTTGGCTCATTTGCTTGCTCGTTGGGTTTCGTCTTTTGGACATGTAGATTAGATTGGTCTGATCCGCTGGCTAGTCCTGGTTCATTTGCTGGCGATGAAAGGTAACCTGAAGGTCCTCTCCTGTTACCTCTTCGGATACGGTTTTCTCCAGAGTTCACACTTGTTGATCTTGCGAGGATATTGTTTGCTCGAGAAGGAGACAGGCCAGAATTAGACCCATGCGGGATGTCAGGATACTGAGAGTGGCTGCCACTAGGATGGAGGTTGCCTGGGGCTGCCTCTCCACGTCTAGACCTTCGTACACTAAAGCTCTTCCTAGGCGCGAGGAGGTCTTCGGCGAGGTGTGCATGCGCAGACGCGGGCTGTTGGACTGGCAGTCTATCTCTCTCTGCCTCACGTCCTCTGTCTCGTGTTCTTCTCGTGCTGAAGCGTCTCAACAAGCCAGCAGCGGCACTCTCCTTCTTTGGCGGAGCAGTTTCAACGGGAGGGGCTACTATGGTTGGCGACACCGCCTGCTGGACGGGCGGCTTAGCCACGGCCAGGTTCTTCACTCCTTCAGTCAAGTCATCGTCGCCGTGCGTTCTAGCTCTTGGGCGAGACCTTCCTCCCGAGTCCTTCTCTCCAGGAACTTCGTACGCATTTTGGTTGGTATACGCAGCTTCTGGCATGGGAAGATCCGGTTGCCTCAGTGAGGTGTCTGCGGGCGCAGGGAGGCCACCAGGATGCAATTGGGGATTTTCTCTATCCTGCTTCTCCTTCACGAGATTGTACACTGAGATGAGCGGGTGGAAACCACTCGAAGGGTCACCGAATGAATGCATCGTTTCAAATGACGGAGAAATGGATAGATTGTCTTTGCTCATGGAGTTGCGACGTTTATAAAAATCGAAAACTCCTCGTCGCTTTTCGTTTAAGGGGTTCGGGTTATGATGTTGCTGTTCTTTTGCGCTGCTTCTGACGGCTTCCTGATACTCGTCAGACTCAACGATCTTGGTGAGCTGCGAAGAGATGAATTCTGGTGGACCAAAATCGAATCCAGTCATCTTCTGGATGACTTCCTGGTCCAGGGGTAGCTTCAGTGGCTCGCGCTGTGGGAGGTAATTCTCCGGCACTCCACTGTATCCCTTTGTCATCCAAGGATGCTGCATGATTTCGGCCAGCGAGGCCCGTTGCTTCGGATCAGTGACCAACATGCGGGAAATGATATGGCGGCAATCTGTAGAACGATAAGTATATTAAAGTGGCGTGAAGAATAGAATAACTAACCTGACGAGAGACCAGGCGGGTATTCGACTACTCCCTTTTTGATTTTCGCGTGAAGCTGCGGCATGCTCTGGTCGTCAAATGGGACCTTACCGCAAACGAGAACGTAAAGGACGATACCAAAACTCCACACGTCAACCTCGGGTCCAGTGTACTGGCGAGCTTGTAGTAGCTCAGGGGCAGCAAAATACAGACTTCCACAGAACGTCTTGAGTTGGCCTTTGGGTGAGAACAGATTGCTGAGGCCGAAGTCGATGATTTTGATATCACCCGTCTTGCTGATGAGAATATTCTCGATTTTGAGATCACGGTGTACGATGTTGTTTCTATGACAGTAGTCAAGAGCGCTTGCGATTTGGCGAGCAAACTTCCGGGCTTGCTTTTCCTTTAACTTGCCATGGGAGATGATGTAGTCGAGCATCTGACCGCCATTCACGTACTCAAACAGCATATACCAGTGGTAGTTTGTGCGAACGACATCTCGCATTCCGCAGACATACGGATGGTTCAAGAGGGTTACGATAGCCGCCTCTCTCGCGGTCCGTATCTCTTTTGAACGATCTGCCCTTTCATTCTCGCGAGTGCTGCGCTGTTCGTCGTTGGTGTGGCGAGGAATGATCTTGACGGCAACCTAACGATCGAGCGTATTAGAAATTTGTTTTAAAAGAGTAGAAGTAGATATACAAGGTAAAGAACGTACCTGTTCTCCAGTTTCAAGGTTTTTTGCTAGCTTGACTTTCCCCATGCTTCCAGCGCCGATTGTTTTGCCAAGTGCCCACTGTCCTGAAGGCGTAGTGATCGTAGTACGTCTCTTGGGCTGGGCAGCTAGCGAGGCACCATTGGAGGTATGACTATTGCTTGCAGGGGGATGCGACGCGCCATCGACGGCGGCGGAGTTTGAACGGGCCATGTCGACGCTATCACCGTTTGTGGGCCGAGATGACGCGCGACGATGGGTGCGGGAAGGGTCAGGGCGATAAGACGAGGAAACCTCTCGTGCTCTGTCCTTCGAGGAGCTACGACCAGTGGTGCTTGGTCGAGCGGTGGTGGTGGAAGGCTGTGGCTCGTAGTCCCGTCGAGCATTGCTCGCGGTGCGTGTATGGCCGCTTGGTTCCTGGGAATAGGACCTGGAGCCGGTTCGACTATGAGCTTTCTGGTGCGGACGGCCGCTGGTACTCTGTGTCCTCGACGGAGAGCCAGACTCCAGGGGCGGGCTTCGATATGAGGTTGGATTGCGCACGGCGGTAGGCGTAGAGGGGGCCGCGGTGGACATGGTCGAATTGGCCGGCGGGCGTGAAGAGGGGGGATACGAGCAAAGTTGACTTGCACACCGCCCGTCAGTGACAATAGACAATGTCGACTGAGTATTATTATAGACGGAGTTGTCGTAGATGCTCCTCTCGATGGGCTGGTTTTGGGAGGGTCAAGGGCGTGGCGGAGGCCAGGTCAAGACAACGAGACGACGGATGACATTTAGGGAGAGTCCAGCGGCGGATGGCGAGTACAACGCTGAGACGAGAGCCTTGAATATCAACTCCGGCAGTGTCTACGCCGTGGTCGACGTGGGTTGCGGGCGAGACGGTGATGGAGATGTGAAAGATGAAGTTGGCGGAGGTCGAGATAACTGCTCAAAGGCGTTGCTGGGCAGAAGAAGAGGATAAAATGTTTGTTTGTAACGCGGGATTTCAAACCCGCCCCCAGCAAGCAAATAAGGGCTCGAGTCTGCTACGAACGGTCATCTGCTGGGCCTCGTACAGATACAATATATAAAAATGAAAAAGGAGTTCTTCGAAGCTGCCGGCGTCGCGAGGCGCTCAAAGGGAACGGCGAAATCCAAGGTATGCAGAGATACCTATTTTTGTGAGTGGCTGCGGCGGGTTTATATGTACCAGTTGCATAGTCTTTGTTTTATGACCCTGATTCCACGTGACTGGCCCAGCTGCGCAGGCCGCGTGAAGAGATCATGGAGGAGAGAGATGACAGTTAAAGAGTTGAACAGTTAACAGTTAACATTTAAGTGGAAGAAGTTAGCAGTTAGCTGGAGAAACAGGTGACAGCGCCGGTGACAGGCCGCGATGGACGATTGAACGCATGTCGAGACGTGTAAGTGCTGCCCTGGCGATATCACGGCCGAGCTGACCTGCGGTTATACAGCATCTATATCTACACTGGAGACTGGAGACTTAAAGCTAGAGACGACGGTCTGATCTTCTTTGTCTGCAGACACCCCCTTGCCATGGCGTACAAACGGTCTCGCGCCGCGTTCGAGGACGATCACCCCGGATCTCCTTTCATCGTCTATGGCACCCCGTTGCCTGCGGACGACCCTGATGCGCGCGACGATGGCTCATACGTACCGCTCTGGAAGCAAGAAGTAAGGGACGAGAGGGGACGGAAACGCCTTCATGGCGCTTTCACCGGTGGATTCAGCGCTGGGTGAGCTCCAACACATCATACCAAGAGATATAAATATATACCACCCGCCTTGGTCGTCGAACGAGCACTAAATAACCCCCCCGCGAATAGATATTTCAACACGGTAGGGTCAAAGGAAGGATGGACTCCGTCGACTTTTGTTTCGTCTCGCAAAAACAGGGCTACGAAGGAGGGCAAGGAGCAGCAACGGCCCGAAGACTTTATGGACGAAGAGGACCTGAGAGAGGCAGAGGAGGCGAGGGTGCTGCAGACTTCTACTGAGTTCGATGGGATTGGTTCTACGGCTACGGATGCAATGAGAGAGACGGGGCTGATTGATCTGTTCAGCTCGTCTGGTGAGATGGTTGGTGTTCGGCTACTGAAGAAGATGGGCTGGAGGGAAGGTCAAGGGATTGGGCCCAAAGTGAGAAGACGAGCCAAGTTGGATGAACATGATGAAGATGGCGGTGAAACCTATCTCTTCGCCCCCGAAAACACGCCGATGATCCGGTTTGTGGATAAAAATGACCGCAAAGGCATTGGCTTCGAGGGAGAGAACCGATTGGAGCTGCCGACCAAGTCAGATGCTGGTCAGCGTAACGGCATGGCCGCGACGGCGGCCGCTTCTAAACTCTCTATCAACGGCAAGAAACTACTGCAGAAACCCAAGCAGCGGAAACTAGGCGGGTTTGGCGTCGGTGTCCTGAATGACACTGGATCAGATGACGAGGATCCGTACGAGATCGGCCCCAGCATCTCTTACAACAGAGTGATCGAACCTTCTAAGAAAAGCACCAAGGCTAAACGGCTGGAAGCACCGAAGCCGGCAATCAGATCGTCGAATCCCCTGCTCGACACCAAGCCCGTCTTCATATCGAAGAAGGCCACGACCGCCGGACGGGACAGATCGGGGTTCAGAAAGTGCCATGACGGACGCTTCCCGCTGGACGGCTTCATCCTTAGCACACAGATAGATCTCACGCCGAGGAGCAAGCGATACGATCCGCCCAAGGTACCAGAGGGCTGGGTATCTGCCAAAATCCCGGCAGCCCCAGAAGATGGAACTAACCCTATCTCAATAGCTGAGGCTGCAAAGGCGTCTACGTTGGACCCAAAGGCCAGGGCTGCACTGCTAGGCGAGGCTCAGCTTCCTGGGAAATCTGTATTCGACTACATGACCCCGGAGGCTCGTAATAGGATCGCACTGGCAACCGGGCGAACCGACCTCCCACCGGCACTGGGCGAGAAGGCGCCCAAGGGGTTTGAAACATCAGACAACCAAAAGCGAAAGGAGATATGGGATCTGATCCCTCCGCTGGACAAAGAGGCTGCCCTGCAGGCCCTTAATCGCGGAGTCAGTGGATGGATGCCGTACGCAGAAGACGAGAGTAAGAGGGCTCGCTATCGATCCTTTCTCGAGGTTCGAGCCGGCATCGTCACTGATCGGTTGCCGGAGCGTCCACCGGCAGCCTCGACAGACGAATGGGTGACAGAACTGCGCGAGTTCGCTCGTGCCGCCGAAGTGTTTAAACCCATATCAGGCCTGATGGCATCACGCTTTACATCCTCTACGCAGGCAGGCTCCGACGGTTCTGGCACCCCCTTACTGAAGAAGCGCGAGCCCAAACCCGAAGACCCGACAGAATCAGCAGCCAAACTCGGGATGTACGGCCCAATGACTCGCCTCCACCGGCCGTTCGCTCCAGCTCGACTGCTCTGCAAGCGATTCAATGTTCGGGTCCCCGGCAGCGCGCGAGGCGAGAGTTCGAACACGGGTGGGTTGGCCGATATAGCAGGCCTCGAAGCTCCGGTAGAGCCGCCGCCGGAAATTATCTCCCGAGAAACCATGTATCAACTGATGCTGGAGTCAGGGCGCAAAATAGACTCCGTCTCTGGCTCTGGCTCTGGCTCTGGCCCGACTGCGCCGCCGGGTGAGGAATCACAGATCCAGCCAGGGCTTCAGGCATCGGAGCCGGCCGCGGTTGATCCAGAGCGTAACGAGGCGCTCGAGGGTGAGCGGCCCGGCGAAGCGGTGTTCAGAGCTATCTTCGGCAGCGATGATGAGGACTGACCTTGGCTATTCTATCTTCTGTTCTGTCTTCTGTCTCCTGTCTGCTGTCTGTCGTTCGATGTATACTACGTGTGGAGATAATCCTACCGACACCCTAGCGAAACTCTGGATATAATTAGGTTCCCGCGCCGTGAAGATACAGATATATTAATAAACTATCAACTATTGTAATAATACGCGGGATCACGGCATGCTCTGTGCCACCGGGCCCTTCGCCCGAGATCGATATCATCGTCATGCTGCCGGCAAGGGTTGCTACCTGTCGATGCTGGATGTCTATACTGGATGTCTATACTGGATGTCGCCCTCGCCTCCAAGCACATTAGAAGCCTGTAGATAGTATACGAGAGTTAAGGTAGGTCAGATGCATCTTCACTCGCATGATGGCGTGGTTTTCTTCTTCCTGGCCCCTTGTCGAGCCAGCCAACCAGAATACCAACGACAAGCTTAGCTAACTGGCGACTTTCGAGATAGAGAGAAGCTATATTAGTGCATCGCTTTTGCCGGCTGTCAGGGAATATTCGTCACCGTCACCGTCTCCTCCTCCGTTGACCGTCTTCTATCCTTGCTTCCTCTCTCCTACAGGAACCCGCCCCTGAACCCGTATCAACACACAATGAGCAATGGTGAGTAGAGCAGCCCGTTTCTTCAGCCTGTCTGGGCAGACGTAATACTCGGGCCTCTGTCGCATCTCGCTGTGGGGTAATATTCAGATTATTTCAAGCAGATCTTTCATGTCTCCAGCCGCCTTGGACTTTGCTTTGCCTTTTTCTCTATGTTACGGAGGCATATCTGACTGACGGTCCTAGGGGTGCTGCTTCTCTCGAGACTCCAACAGCTCGCACTACCCAGGCTCCACGGCCGGCCAGCACGGCGACTCCTCTCGCCAGATCAACCAGAATCCAGCTGAGCAGTCGACGATAAACCGCGCCCGTTCGCACTCGCCCTCTGGCACATCGACAGCTACCTCGCGGCCCTCGCAGTCGGCCGGCCGTCGTGTTGCTCTCCCGCTAAGCGAACATTTCAACCGGCCGATCCGCCAGCATGTCTGGAAGAGCAAACGCCGCATATGGACTCGGGCGGCCCTGGATAAACAACGACAGGACTTTTTCGATACCCGAGTCGCCGGTCGACCAGAGATATGGGCCGCCTTGTCTACCGCCCTGGCCCTGCTGAGGGAGGGTGATATTTCTACTGCGCAAGGTATCATCGATGCGGCTGGCATCACCGTTCCTACGGGCGATATATGCGAAGGATGCTACGATGAGAGTGGCGCGCTGTACAAGTTTCCGGAAGCAATTGTATCGGATCCTATAAATGTTGCTGATGAGAGTCCTACTGAAGACAGCTTCAAATGCGATATCGGCACCGATATCGATGGCGGGGACGATGAGATGTCTACTTCAAGGATGGTGTTGGGCGTCGATTCATGTGATGACCTACTGGACAAGGAAAAGGAGAGAAGACGTGAAGAGAAGGGGAAACGGAGTGAGAGGGACTACATCAAGGTCACCGCACGGCTGAGTGACCGTGGCGGGCCTGATGTTGTCGTCAGCGTCGGTAGAGAGCAGACGGTCGGTGCCCTCGTTCGAAAGATTCAGGCTGAAGCAGGGGTATGTTGCGCCTCCTCCATATACTTACATTTATGCTAACCCTCTTCTATAGCTTCCCAGCAACAGCCGGATCCAGATCGTATACCTAGGCAAGCTCTTCAAAGAAAGCAATACACTGCTTGCGCAAGGGTGGAAAGAAGGCAACGTCGTCAACGTCTATGTCAGGAGCCACAAGTGAGATAGTCTTGCATTCATACCTGCGAGGCATCATCTTGCTGTCTCCCACATGTGAGACATAGGCCTTGATATCCCCGTCCTATTCGACAGTTAATCCCAGGCGCTTCGTCATTACAACCTTCGGGCCCATCAACAACCTGCCACAAAACACTTTTAATTTTTCTTGTCAGATTTAACGGCGTTACTCGGTGCCATCGTCATCTTCCTCCTTTCTTATCTGGAATACGAGGACCCTTATTTGTCTATTTGCTCGATCATTTGCAGGCAACGGCGTCCCAGGAGTCGCCTTTGCTTAATCTACTCATATCTGCTTTTCAGTATAGCCTTTGTTTTCTACTTTTGTATATAATTCGTTTACAACTACCATTTAATCGCCATTCTACATAATATCTCGTCACATGTTTGGCCTTGTAGGATACCAAACTTATATAATGTTAACGTTGGCGGGGTGATGCAAACATGACAAACAGTGCAAACATGACAAACTTAGCTACGAAAGCGAAAAAAAGTTGCGACAAGATAAAAAGAATCAAACGCCAGCAAATCTTCGCGCAAACAGCACATACCGATTGAACGAGGTTTTTGAGGTCCTCGTCCTCTCCAGGTAGCCGATTTTAAAGCAATCTATTAGCCCTACTCCCTTGCAGTCTGAGTTTGGCGATCGCCATCGCCTCCACCAGCCATGGATATACAACAGACGCCGTTCGTACGGGAGTTGGCATCAAGTGGTAGGCGCTTTCGTGTTGTATTCTTTCTATCTAAACTCTCACTAACATTGATTAATAGACAAAAAGACTCGTGACAAAGCAGTTGAGTCCCTAACGGCCTTCTTAAGGAGTAAACGAGATTTAAAGCTCTTCGATCTTTTGAAAGTATGGAAAGGGCTATTTTACTGTATGTGACGATTCATCCGATACAGTCATATCTGTGTGGCCTAGATCATATGCTCATTCATGGTTGTATGCTAGGTTTCTACCACTCTGATAAACCTCTCACGCAACAAGCTCTCGCCCGCTCCCTTTCATATACCCTGGTTCCCTCCCTACCAGAGAAGATGGTTCTACCATTCCTTCGAGCATTCTGGATAACGATGTCGCGCGACTTCCACTCCCTAGACCGACTACGCTTGGATAAATATCTACTTCTAATAAGATGCTATGTCGGTGTCTCATTCGAATATTTCTTGAAAAGAGGGAAAAGCAAACGCCAGGATAAGACTGGTAACGACGACAAACAAAAGACGAAAAATAAGAGGAAGAGAGCTGAGGCAGACGAGAAGAACGGTACTTCGAATTCGAGGCGCAAAACATCCAGCACAACAGCGGTACAGGTGCAACAAGAGGGTGAATGGTCTGAACTAGAAGCGTACCTCAATATGCTCGAGGACGGTCCATTGAGTCCACTGATCTTCGACTCGGGGTCATCCAATGAAGCAGGCTCCAGCCATGGCCAGGACGAGAACGGAGCATCGATTAAAATGCCAAAGGGTCCGGATGGAATACGCTATCATCTTATGGATATCTGGCTAGACGAACTGGAGAAATATGCTACCGAGCCGGACGAGTCTAATAATGCAGACGACGGGGAATCATCGACAAAGCTAAAGGATGGAGTTCCGATGCAGTTGCTATTACGGCCAATTGAGAGGTTAGAATCAGAAAGCCCAAATAAAACAGTGAGGACTCGGGCGAAAGATACCCTGGCGGACGAGAGGCTGGTTGCATGGGGTGTCAGGGCGCCAGAGAAGGCAGAAGATGATTCTGATGATGGAGACGATGGCGAAGAATGGAATGGTATAGAAGATTGAGATCGTAGCTTGGATAAGGTGTATAGCTACTAAGTATGATAACAAATTTAATTGGTTTGCTCAAGCAATATATTTAGAGCTTGGCAAAATGATAAGTAGCTCTTTTCCATCTATAAAAGCTAACCAGTGGTAAGCACGATGGAAATAGCCAAATACATGGTATTTTTTCCAGAGGTATGTTATGTTTAAGGGCGCGGTCACTAGAAAAGGTGCCCTCTCAATTTACGTTGCTTAAGCATATGATTAACACTAGGTCGCTATTTTAAATTTACGATTTGAGGGTTATTTGCCGTCATTTATGTACTAGGTAGTAACTATATTTCACCGCTTTTTCCCTTTCTTTTTTTTCTTTTTTATTTCTTTTTTCTTTTTTTTTTCTCTTTATTTTCTCCTTTTTTTTAGAGGAGGGGGGGGAGGGGGGATTCGGTAATGGAGAGGTAGCAGTGCTATCACGAATCCTATAATCGAAACTGAAGCCTTTACTATCATAGAGCTGGCCATGAAACCTCTCCGGCTAATCAACTCTAGTATGGAAAAAACAGTGAACTAAAAATCTTGATAGTCTTGCCAAGGCCAGGTAGCCCACATTCCTGGCGCTTACTAGCTCAGCAATAAGCGCTTAACTTCCCGCACCTGCAGAACTTTATATATAGATTGCACAGCTTGAAAGAATGGAACGCTAGGGGTACTATCTGTTCAATGGAGACACCAGTATCAGAGAGGTGGGGGAATCTAGCCTCATATATATTAGTTGCTCGCATGCTAGACTCATACTCGTTGAAACTGGTCTCGTATCTAATATTCGGCATCATACTAATTTCCCGTGTGGATATTCCCCTATGAGTTGCATAAATTCCCGTTTGGCAGTGTTCTTGTTCTACCCGAGGAAATTTTAGATTACAAATTCTCTATACAAAAAGGGTAATGCTTTGGGTACTGATGTTATGGCAAAAAGGTAATAATACCACTATAAAGTTGACTTGATGGTAGGCGATAACATATTAACTAATATACAGGATATAACGGCATCTTAGGCTTTGTATGGCATATCCCCAGTAACAACTCGGGTATATCCCTCAAAAAAGCCCTTATCAATGCTACAGGGGACTGGGTTCCCTCCTAGGACCGGGAAACGGAGGCCCAAAAGACGGTACACATTTCGCGTCGGAAGGGTTACCTGGAACGGGGTATGCGAGGTGACTTCCGGTCGAATACATTTATAACATTCCAACCGAACGACAGCTTGGGTGCTACAGTTTAACATATCAATTATGGCTCTCTCGGGGTATGATTGTAGTATAGAGGAACTCACATAAAGTCACGGCTGCCATAGTACTTTTCGTTTATATTACGGAAGTAGAAACGATGTAAGTTGTTGTCCGTAAGAATCCTTACCAGTTGGCCGAGTGTAATGCGTTGGAGAAGAGGGATATTCATGGTGCATGCTGAGCGGTTAGAAGGGTCAGCGTATGCGACTGGCTTGACACGCAGATCACCGAGCTTGCTAGATCCGCCTCCTGCCGAATGAATGCTGGCAATCTCATAGTCAATCTTGGTAGAAACACGAGCACCGTCATAACCATGGGATGGAGTTACAAAATCGATTTTAAATGCAGCGTGGTTCTTTAGCTTGGCGGTTTCTTGCTGAGTTAAGCTAGAAGAGTCGAATTTCAAAAATTCAATGGCGATAGTACTGCATTCAGGGCTGTAAATTTCCGGAGGTATTGCTTGGAGCCCATAGGTGCCGACACTGAAGCCCTCTTTTGGAACCGTGAATGGAGCCATGTAGAAGAAGTAGGGGCGTGATAACGAAAGCAAAAGGATATTGGGGTAGCCTCGATTGACGCGTTGGGTAGTTTCAAACTTTGAATTATTGTTTTGATTGTTTGGTTGTTGTTACTTGTTGGTTTATGATAGTCTTGATGAAATCTGGGAATTTGGCGAAGATTTATATTCGACGCTGATGGTATATTCCCATTGAATTACTATGGCAATCCCTTTGGATCTTGCTGTCAGCCCACTCTAGGCGCGTAAATCTCAATGCAAAGAATACTAAGTGAAACCATTTGCAAATCTCCTGCCATTGGCGAGCAAGTGACCTATTCACATATTTATGCGGAGTAATGGTCTCGCACAGGAGGTATATGCAAGGACTGGTTAGATGGGAGAGACCCTTATGTCTAGGTATGCACTGTGGATATAATCCGTCGATAACAGGCCAACAGCTTGAAAATGCGGCATATCGTACTCGATACCAATGATATATCGTTAATATATAGATGTTGTTGGTCCGGCGCTTCGAGCTCGAACTTTAAAGCGCGCTAAAAAAAAGCACTTTAGCGCCAGGAGTTAATGACTAAGAAGTGAACGTAGCGCTGGCCGAAACAGGCGATGGAGGAGCCCTGGTAGCTATTCAAAGAATACCGGCTATAGCTATAGAGCATTCTCTATACTCTACCATCCGTTTCAGGGCCAATAACTCTTAGCTTGCCGTCTATATTTAGCTATATTTCGGCTTTCATGTTCTTAACTAAGAATGGCCTAAACTAGATAACTAATGACTAAGCTCTCTTTTCGACTTGTCCGCACTAAAACGCGGGCGACTTCGGCCTATAGCATCATTGATTTATTATGCTAGCGGGTACTATCTTAAGTCACTTCATCCTCTTGACGTCCTTATTCTTCTAAATTGTCATCAGATTCATTCAGAAGCCTGTTGAACTCTTTGATATATTGATATCGCTCACATGTCCTCCTCTGCGTCAGAACCACCCACCCTAACCATGGAGTATCGAGGCGTGGAACCACCCTCGGGCACCACCCTCGGGCACCCATCTGCCAACAGCCGCTGAGATATTAGAACTCTGCGCCGGACAGAAACGCAATGAGCTAAGAGGTCTACCCTATCCATCTGAAGCGCCAGTACTTTGGATTAAATACGGATGCGGAGTCTACTGGAGCGAAGTGTCTGCTCAGTCTACGGCGCATCGTGAGCTTCAGAAGTTGGGGTCACCCGTCAGAGCCCCTGCAGTCTTCTATGCCTTTCAGGCTAATTACCAGACCTACATTGTCATGGAATATATACCAGGAAAGTCTGGGACCCAATTACTAGAGGCTACCTCGGAGCCGACAGAGAGGGAGGCCGTCTATCGGCAGATGGCCTTGGGCATACAGGAGCTCCTACGGATCCCCATTCCACCAAACCCGCGCCCAACAGCTATTGATGGAGGGTTGATCCGACATATCATTTTTGAGCAACAAGAAGCTCCGCGACCCTACCAGTCGGTTGACCAGCTTGAGCAACATTTCAACTTGGTATGTAACGCGGTGTATAAATTAAACGGATATATCTAATAGACTCTTTATAGTTTTTACAATGGACAAAACGTGAGCCTAAGATACTAGGGTTATCGCGCGAGCCGATGGTCTTCTGCCACTCAGATGCGTGGCCTGGGAACTTTATAATTAATAAACAGGGCCATGTAACCGTCGTCGACTTTTCGGAAGTAAGTATTCTTCCATCCAGCTTCGCCAAATACGCAATCACGCCTTCGGTTAAAGACCACGAGTACAGCTTGTTGCCCTGGATTGATGTACCGAGTACCGATGGGGTCGATAATACTAGGGCACTTTTCGCTGCTACTAACCCAATGATTATGGGCGCAGGTTCATTTGCAAAGGCGGGCAAGCGAATACCAGGCTATGACAGAATTCCGTCCCCGATCCCCCCAGTATCTTAGTTACTTCTTTTTGCTACTCTTTTTTTGTATAATTCGAAGATCCCCATATTTTTTTTTTCCCTTACCCTAGCATCGGTCGTTGGAAAGCGCAAGTTTTCTAGAGGGGGCGGAGATATATACGTCACTCACAATTTAGATGTCACAGATGCATATACTATAAAATCTAAGATACCCAAATGGCGACAGAAATCCAGTTGTTAAAGTGAGAGGTGTAGCGCAATACTTGATGGTGTTTCCAAATTCTTCACCTCTATCTGACTCTTCGGCTATATTTCTTGACACTGTATGGATAATATATAATAAAAATTTTACTTGAACTTTTGATTTTGCTATCTCAGTGACTCAGCCTATCGGGTTACCTATTATTTGTGTCGGTTCCATTATGCCAGCTCATAGCATACTAATACATGATGCGTATTACAACCAACCAGCTGATCCAGCTCTGGCCAGTGAACGCTCTACAACATTCGAGCCTCGAGGCGACTTGACGTCTCTCGTGGCACAAGAGATAGTAATTAGCAAATATTAGTTAATTTAATATTATTTTGTTCAAATATAGCTATTAATTAAAACAGCTAGCAGAGTAACAGAGCGAATATTGAAAATACTAGTAAATAAAATATATATAACCTACTTAATTATTTATTAATTCTTAATCCGAATCTAAATCATTAAATAGTTAGTCATTTAGTCTCTAATTTAATATTTATATACAAAACTAAGTCTTTAATTTCTAGAGTTGAAATAGATATTTTATTACTTAGATACACAATATACCACGATAGACGAGGCGAAAAATTTACGATACATCGGTTCATGGGGCTGCGACGCTACGAGCGCCGGGCACCATAAACGAGGGACGAATTTTGGATAAAAGACCTTGGAGCAAAGGAGTTGATTAAGAGGAGATAGAATAAGCGATTTAAAAGTTTAAGCAAACGGTTAACCGAAATGGAGATTGAGTCTGATCGACTGCTCGACTGCGCGGCCTCAAAGCGTTTGAGAGGCGGGCCGCTCGATAATAACTATCAAGGTGAAGTGCGCAGCGATATAAAAACATAGCGCGATCGAATTCTAGGTTTCAAGCTGTTAACATAAACATATATCCAACTCTATTCGCCTATACCAGAGCCTGTGGTGAAGAGGCCAACCCATGGGCCCATCGTCTTGAAGAGCGCAATTCTGGAGTCTCTGTCATAGTCAAGTCCAAGCCAACATCGCAACCTCTTACCCTAAATGTCACAGCCAAATAGAACGATAGAGTTGTGAAAAGAGCAGCATCTGTATAATTCGAAGAAAAGAGCCAACGAAAGAAAGAAGCGGGAAGAAGTTCAAAGAACAAGGAGCAAGACAAAGACTGATGATAAAGGCGCGCATCAAAGACAACCGAGAACAACAGATACAGTGTCCGTTCTAACAATACAGAATTATATCATATCTTGCACTTTTTCTTCTATTTATTCTCAAGTTAATTTGATTATTTATTCTGTTAATTAATAAATTACTAAAGTATTCAAATATTAATAGAAATTAATTAATTTATTTAACTATTTTATATTTATCGACTTTTGTATTATTCTATAATTTTAGCGATAAATTTCTAAAATTAATTACACTAGTGGAAAATTTAGTATTATATTACTTTTTATTACTTACTAAGCAGTCGCTAGAGTATTTATATTCGCGACTTCGCCTCTTAAGGTCGCTTTGTTTTGCTTTAATCACTCAAGTTTCAGATTCTTAAGCGCTTTGTGGCTATCTTTATTTAAGTCCTAGATTCTTTAAACTCTTAAGAAACAGAGTCTTCTTATTTAGGCCTTTCTTTATAAGAAATCTAAGGTGAATAAAAAGCCTTTACTTTTAAATTTACTTTATTTTAATACTGATTTCTAAAATCTAGGAGTTTTAACTAAATTTTCCTTTTAGAACGATTTAAGGATTTAAGAAGTTACAAGTCTCTGTTAAGAGGAAACTGAATACACCAGATAAAGAGGAAACGGCTGGTAAGTATTAAATAAGAGATCCTGTCTATATTATTCAATCTAATACTCCGTACTGATGGCGAGATCAAGGGCCGTTGATATATCATGGTGGTTGATTTAACAGGGGACTCAGACTCGGAACGCGATGACTTTTCGGTATGTCGTCCAGGCGCGTTTCTGATACCTCGATGCTGCCTTGACACCCAAGAATATATAGGTAGAACCCCACGGGTAATCTTTACTATATATTCTTGAGCTAGTTTGCGCGATTCTATTCTTTTCAAATAGAATCGATATTTGATATTGTTTTTCACTCCCAGACCCTGGATCCACTAACCGTTTTGGGCTATATAACTAGAATGCTGAAGTTGTGTCCAACGACTTGCTCGCAATTTTTATAGGGCCACGGTCAACTACTCCAATAAACCGGTCTCATGAGGTCAACGGCAATGGCAGTTCAAGCACCTGCTGCTCTCGCCCGCAGTCTAAATGCTCGAATGTTTCAGTGGTGATTCCAGTGGGACGGCCACCTGGTTCTACTCCATCCAGCTCTCGATCGACACAAGCGAGCAGGAAGCGTTCACTGTCCCCAACCAACGAAGGTCCACCACAACGGTTGGCTGCTACAGAGATACCAGGTCATCATGGTCTAAGCCAATTTTATGCCGTGGAAGCCTTAGATACCTTAAAGAGTGTTTACCGCAAAGCTAAAGAGTGTGACCGGAGCACCATTAAGATCCCTCATACGACTAAACGTTTCCGTCCCCATCCAGACAGGCAACATGAAGCATCTGCGTCCGATCGGCTTGAAGATCTTTACAACCAGAAGCTCCAGATGATCGAAGGACCACGGATTCGGTTTATATCCAAAAATAAAGCTCGAAACGTCGACTTTAATTTTGACTTTATCAAATCCTACAAGTTTCAGGATGGATTAAAACCGGTTGGCTCTGGGTTTATCTTTGGCTGCAGTTGCAATGGGTGTACAGATGAATGTGAATCTTGCCTCCCTTGTGATAGAGACACTGGCCATCCTATCATGCCATACCAGGAAGCTACTGATCGCCTCGGCCGACCAGGCCGTATGGTCTTACGGCCAGACTTTATAGAAAGGAAAGGGGTAAAGATCAGAGAATGTAGCCCTCGTTGCGACTGTTATCCGACCTGTGGGAGTCATGTCGTATATGCTGGTCGTCAAATCGAGCTAGAGGTCTTCGAGACGCCAAACCGCGGCTTCGGTATTCGGTGCACCAAACCTATCCTGAAAGGGCAGTTTATTGACACCTATGTGGGCGAGCTGATCAAGGAGTCCACATCCGACAAGAGAGAAGACGCATTTGACGCCGACAAGCATGCTAGCTACCTCTTCTCCCTCGACCTCTATAAAGATGATGGCCATGGTCCAAAGAACGAGAAGTTTTATGTCGTTGATGGCCGCAAGTTTGGCTCAATCACCAGATTCATGAATCACTCTTGCAATCCCAACTGTAAGATGTTCCCAGCCGCGCAAAGTGATAGTCGGCAGATCTATGAGATCGCCTTCTTCGCCATTCGAGATATACCAGCTGGCACGGAATTGACGTTTGATTATCTGGGCGGAAAGAAACGGGAGTTAGGATTGAGAAAGGCTGATCCAAGTGCGACTAAGTGTCTTTGTGGCGAGAGGAAATGCCGTGGTCTGCTCTGGACAACTAATCGGAAGACAAAGGTAAAGGATGCCGAGTCTTCTTCTGATGAGTCTGATGAGGAGTAGAGCATATCCATAAATCTTTCTTTGGACCTTTTTACGGACTTCATTGTTAGCTTTGGACTGGATGCATCCTCCGGCGTTCAACGTTTCCGTTCTCCCTGGTTGTTCTTTTCTAATACCCCTTTCTTTACGATTAGCCCTGCATCGACCGCTTTGCGTATTACATGTCCGGTTAAATAATAATACCCTTTTGTTCTTACTGCCTTGAATTTGCGCGTAATTTTATGGAGTTTTATAGCCACTGTGCTTACTTTTCTTACGACATGGGAGTAGGAAGAGCGATAGGTATATCTGATGTTTAAATCTGTATTAATGTGTGTTCGTCCGCTGAAAAATCTCGTTCTATGGAAAAGGCCACTCGAAATTGGACAAAAAGGAACAGAAAGTCAGAGAAAAACAAAGAATATTTCACAATACTTACAATTGAGTAGGAAATGTTATACCTATAAATATTTGGTATCATACAGCGTCTCAAAGGATAAATTAAAAATGGGGACCAAACAAGACGAAGGCAAAGAAAATAGAAAAAAAGAACCCAGGGGAAAACCGGGGAAAGCTGCCGTCACCAATCGGCACCCTTTAATGCCATTAACCCAAGATATAAAAGCGTTTACCGGTGGTGGGTTTTCTCAAAACAGAAAATGTGGTTGTTTATCAGATTCAATAACGTCGTATCTTTGAACGTTGTTGAGCAGTAGTGGCGTGAAACAGTCGTTATATGAGGCTGAGAGTTATGCCGAGCCCTCCATGACCTCGAGAATCCCCCCCATGACGAACCTTGGGGTCTGACGAGCTGATGTTGAGATGGGCGATAGCGTAGACGGCTCCTTTAGATCGAGACCGAAGCTCGATAGGTTGTTCGAATCGTTATGCGTGTCCATCATCATAGGCATTGGGTCCACTGGACGAGGTTCCAGCAAGCCCAGCCCACGTCGTTCTATCACGTCCTCGTTGCACCTGTAACGCTCTTCTGTGAGAGCAAGGTCGACTGTGGACGGACTGCGGCGAAGTAATATCGATCCAAAGCCGAGAGAGGATGTCGAGTAGCATTTCTTGCTTCGGCTGCCAATTCGGCGGAGCGGGGAGGTGAAGCGGTTCATGCGTGGAGAGGCACTTATAGGACTGGATGTTGGAGACGACATCGGGCTAGATGTTGCTGAGGTCAGGAGTGAAGGGCGTTCGGAATCGGCCTCGCTGCCGATGGTTGATTTTGGCGAGAATGGGATGCTCAGGGATGGGGTCATCTCTGCCCATGGTGATGGTAGTAACTGACTTAGATAGCGTGTGTGTTCGTCCATCTTGGACTCGCTGGTTTCTATGGCCTCGTAAAGGTTTATCAGGTCGTGGACAACTGGTTTCGATGCCATTTATGTCTTCAATGGCCCGGGATGAAGGTGATTCTTGGACGAATAGCCGTCCAACCCTCGTTTCTGATGGGGGATTTCCGTATATTATAATAGTAAAACTTCGGGAGTATTCAATGTTTATTAAGAGTGCGGGCGGGACAATTCAAGGCACAGCCTGTCATTCGGGCCTGCCCAATTTCAACCGTCGACACGGATCAGGAGATGCACACGGAGGTTATACTGCGAAGATATTGAGATATCCAAGGGCATCGAGTGTAAAAACCTCCCGCTGGCGCAAGGAAAAGGCAGAGAACGGATCGACCGTGAGAAGGATGCCGGGTAAAAAGAGACGAGAGCCCGGAAGGTGAAGCCCAGGTTGCAACGGCGAAACACGCGGAATCGAGAGGCAGCAGCAGCTCGTATCTCAGCGACCGTCCGGCTGAAGGAAAAGCCCTATCGAAGGGGGAGGGAGGGGAGGAATCGATATATTGTATTCCTGGTTGAGCAAAAAAGCAAAAAGCGCGAACATGAATCAACCAAATAGAGGGAGATCGCTAACCACAGAACGGAAGCTGAAGAACACTCGACCATGTCCCAAGGGAACCCGTCTTTAATGACCGGAAACACGCAGGGAAGAGAGACGCAAGATGATGAAACGAGGGCGCAGGCCGGGGTGCGGTGATCATGATACCGTGTGGAGCGCATCGCATCCCTCCAGCTTTAGCATCTTAACGTGTCCTCTAACGCCGTAAAACCACCCACAATTACGGAGCTGTCCAAGGGGGTTTCTCTGGCTTCAGCGTATCATCGACTTGCCGGCGTCTTCTCTGGGGCTCAGCAGTCTCGTCGGGCCTCCTTTCTGAGCTCTCACCTGCGCTCCAAGTCTGCCAGGTAAGACATCTTCGCTGGCGATGCAGGGAAGCAGGTCTTCGCCTTACACAAGGAACCCTGCCAGCTGGCGCGGAACGGGAGTTTCACTTCATTTTTATGATTTTTATGTGGGATTTTCGACGGATCAATCTGCGATTGGGCGGTGCCTGGATTTATGTGCCCGTCCATTGGTCGCGGCGGTACGACTTTTGGCCTGGGATGTCTATATCAGCCCGAGACCTTAAACCACCCCCTTTTTTCTGATATAGGTCGATATCGCGCTCGTCAGCCACTTTCCCCGAGAATCGTATCGGGGGGGAGTGTGTGTGTTCGAAATCTGGCTGGGTCTTCTAGCCAGCTGCCAGGGTTGCTGAAGGATCTATCGGTATAGAAACGCGGTTCAAGATGACCATGGAACATTTTGGAAAATATCCGTTGCCATGATCTTCGCTTGATCACCCTCCTAGCCAGGGAGTTATATTGCTAGCGGACTCGTCTGTCCGCCCTTGCATGTGCTTTTGTGCGGTTCGGGAGTTCTAATTATCATTAAGATTATGAGAGTTGTGGAAGGGTAACTATATACATAAACAATCTCTAATGAAGTCGAGGTCGCTCATAATAGGCTGGATGACGCTAGGCTGAATAGACGAACAGGTATTTGAGAACTGCAACGGGGAAATATGTGCAATATGTGCAATGACCCCAAATGTCTAGTCACAACTCGGTCCTCGTGATGTAATAGACCGTCTCGATCAATGTCAACAACAATCCAGGGGAAAAATAGCAAGGAAGGGCGGGAAAAAAAAAAGAAAGAAATGAAACAAGTTGGCATAATCAGCACATATACAAGAAAATAATAAAAAGGGAACAAAACTAAAGCATCTCTCATCCATAGCAAAAACTCCCGGTCACGATCCCCTTCGCTGTTTAGAGGGGCGGCTCATAGATGCGCGGTTGCTTCGGATAGTGAAGATAAGAACGGGAAGCGTAATACTTTTGCTTTTTTTTTTTGCTAGTTCCCCTACGAGCTGGAATCATGTCTGTCGTGTCGCGTCTGCAATGTCCGGTGCATATTATACACACAAAGGGGTCGATATATTCACGTCGAAAAGCAATAGGTGATAAAAAGGGTTGGAGAAGAGAAAGTGACTGACAGGCTGAGTATGCAGCTACTCGTTACCTGCGGAGCTATGGGATCGGCGGCGGGTAAAGCTTCGTCTGATACTCTCGCCCCACACGGAATGATCGAACGAATCCAAAACATTCTGTACGCTGACAGAGCTGTCGCCACGCTGATGGCCATGTTCCCGGCCTGTATTTTCGTGGGGGATGATAGTATCATACGGAACGGTTGTAGGACCTTCACTCAGATGCGGGGAGAGAGATGGGTTGAAATTTCCCCAATCAGAGTGTGTAGGCGATGGAAGTCGGTGTGCATCATCTCCATACATGTTCGTTTCGATCCTAGGCAAGACAACGCGAGGGCGTGTACTTGAAGACCCGTCTTGGGAGCCTGAAGTCCTAGTCGACCGGTCATCTGATGTTCGTTCTGGCTGGTCCTCGTCTAGAGGCCCGTCCTCATCCTCAACATATATTTCGGGGACGGAGAATTGTGGTACAGAGACCAGGCGCGAGTCATGGCGAGACTGGATACGTTGTCGGAAACGCCGGGACCAGTATAATGTATTGAAAAAGCCGACCACGACGTTACGACGAACAGCTTCCTCGACCCTCTGTAAGCGAGCACGTCGTCGAAGGAACTCCTCCAACCTAATATCGAATGTTAGCTGCTAGCTCGAACATGGCGGGGAAACTTGAAACCGAGCATGTATATGCTTACCTCAAGCTCTTGCTATCAGTAATGACATTATAATGAGCAAGTATCATAAGGCATGAGGTGAAAGATATTCCTCGTTCAGGGTCAGAAGAGACGAGAACCTCCTCATAAAATGCATTAAGACGCGCGCGCCTTTTACGAGTCTCGGCAATTGGCAGATTAGAGAGGCGAAGCATAAGCTTTTTCAGGTCCAGTTCACCGACAGACCGAGAATGCGATATCTCGGATTCCCGAACGTTGACGCGACAGTCTTCCAAAATACGGCCAACGGTGAAATCACCCTCGTAGATCCGCATCTCAAACACGCCAGATAGTTCCTAAGGAAGTAAGCTTTAGTATGGTGACGATGAGAGCAGATCGCCAAGCGATGAACTTACTCCTAAAAGCCTCGGGAATACCTCCTTAGAGATGAATCCCGTGCCATCGGGGTCAAACGTTGACCAAGCCTGCTTGAAACGGCGGATTTCATCTCTGCTAATCGCGTAGAGACCACTGCTTCGCTGATAAACATAGGAAAAACTCTCGAATATCAGCGAGACGAAAAGTGAGACAAAAATATACATGCTGAGAATGTTCCACGAAATAAGCAAGGTTCGTGCCCATGCAGCACTGCCACAATCGCTTTTATAGAAGTCTCCTCCCATTGTACAGTAAGGAGGCTCCATAGTTGCGAAGTCCTCCATAACCTGGTTCCAACCCTCACCACAGCTCATACGGAATAGGAGGATGAGCGCCTTCGGAACACTTCTGAAATTGATATTCCCCGTCTGGGTGCCCCCAAATTTAGTCAAGCCGAAAATCTGGTTTAATGCGATGGCGTAAACAAGGAAAAGAATAAACCATGTGGCTAATAGATTGCCGATTGACGTTAAACTTGCTGCGGCAGTTTTAAAGAGCTGGTCGAGTTGATTGTTCCGGGGTATTATAAGCAACGCGATAGAAACCAGGAAGAGCTTGTGAAGCTGTGCAAAAACCGTGTTTTTATCGTTGATTAGAGCGAGGAGAGTCGTGATAAAGGTTCCCGACACTGATACAACCGAGTATAAATCCCATGAGCTGCGTCGGAATCGAGCCCAGGTTAGGCCAACCAGACGGATAATAACATTCGCGATGTAAAAGAGAGTTAGGAAGAGGAACAGTGCGTCTCGTGTCCTCTCCCACCATGAAACCTCTGGATAGAATTCCAGAACCAGGAGAATGAGATGGATTAGCAGTAATGCAGTGATAAATCTTGCCCACTTGCCATGCTTCTTGACCGCGATTCGGTAGCAATAAGCCTTGAGTTTATTGTTGTCCTTATTGAGAGATCGCTTAGAAGGAGATATTTGTTTCAGGAGCTTTCGCAATTCTAGCCATGATCGTTGTTCAGCCGTTAAGAAGGCCACACCTGTTTGTTCCGTATAGTTTCGCATAAAAACTGAAACAAACAGCGTAAGGACAAAGACGGCTCCAAGAAGGTTGAATACCACGAAAAAAAGGGCATTTGCTTGTGACGAGAAGGGTCGAGGTTGCTTGCCAATTCCGGTAATACTCATGGCACTCCATAAGACATCAGTCCACCCTTCCTGGGACACAATTTGGAAGAGAATGAAGAGAGAACTTCCAAAGTTATCGAAGCTGTAAAAAGGGTTATGTACTGCTCGAGGCGCAAGCACCTCCCATTGGAACGGGGAGCTTTTATATTCGCCAACGCAGTGAGAGAGATCATCGTATCCGAAATCACCGTCATTACATCTCTTCATTTGGCCATTGAAGATATTCAGACCGTAAATGGCAAATGGAATAAGGAAACTCATCGAGACAAAGGCGGCCTATATATCAATGTTAGTACTCTGCTTGCAATTATGCAGGATGTATCGCATACCGATATGACTTTCCATCCTCCCATTACTATGACTGCGTGGAAGGTTTCTCTTGCGCTATCACTGACGTTTAAGAGCCTTAAAGCTCTGAGTGCCCTGAACGCGCCCACAACTCTGGAAACATCACCTGTCTTGTATAAAGCGGCCACAACATTTACCCAGAGGGTAATGAGCACGATGCCATCGATAAATCCCCATGATCCACGGAAGTAGGCATTCGGGGTCCAAAAGAAGCCGTCTGCGATGACCTTGATAACAGCCTCGACGCTGAAAAGTATCGCAAACCATAGATCTGTCCATACAAACCAATTGTGGATGCCAGGCTCATGGGTCTCGAAGTAGGTCCGCTGGTACAAGGGTGTGCAGATACAAGCAATCAGGACCATTGTAACGATGGCTGCGTAAATAAATGCAGAAAAGAGATACCACACGGGCTTATAGGGGTCCACTCCTTCGATACGTGACTTCCCGCGGCCTGGTCCTACCATACGTTGGCAAAAATGGCGGATGGGGTTAGAGGGTGTGAAGAGGTAAAGGGAAACATTGTATCTGGGATATCTTTGGAGATATTGTCGTTGGGCACGCTTCCTTTGCTCAGCGGCAGAAAGAACCTCTTTCGCCATGGCTGCGGGATCCAGCTCATCATGATCCCTTGAGAATTTAAGCTTTGAGTAAAAGGGGTTCAGCTCCCTGTTCAAGACGCGCTGTGTTAATTTGGAGTAAAGCCTCGCAAAAAATCCTGGCTGGGTTGTCTGTTGCTCTGGAGGGTTCTCTGGTGGCTGGCTTTCCATAGGCCTTAGCGGTGAAGTTTCATCTAAAAAGTCCTGGACAACCGCCTCTTTTAGTAGCATCTCAAGTGCCGCAGGGCCATGATCAAGTGGGTCTCTATATCTTTCACGGTCACGACCAAGTTTGAAAATGCTGGATAACGCGAGGTTCCCATGGGATGATTCGCTCAATTGCTTTTGCTGCAAGAATGCTCTAACCTGGTAGAGTCGTTTCTCGTCCTCGGAAATATCAAAACTCTCTTGGATGACAGCAATAAACATATTTAGGACAACGAAGTTAGCAAGCACAAACCACATGACAAAAAAGGCTGCCGAAATCCAGGCAGTGCCCCGGGAATTATTTGCGCTTGTTGCCGAATATAGAATAGTAGTCCAATTTTCGCTGGAGAGGACCTGATACATCCCCAAGAACGAGTTATATATATTATAAAAAGTTGTCCGAGTAGTTTCACCAGCCGGGGTCTTGAAGGGTATTTGGTCGCGAAACAATTGAACGGCGAAAATGGAGGTTAGAAAGGTGATCAAGAACACGAAGATAATGAGGTTAAGGAGTCCAACGATGTTGCTAAAGACAGTCATGATAAGGGTTCTTGTCAACGAAAACGCAAGTACGATCCGATATACCCTAAGTACTTGGAAAATGGACAATCCTGCGTAGACATCCCCAGAAGCCCGGATGGGAGGGATTTGCATGACCATTGTGGTCACGGCAAGGATAAGATCGACCCAGTTCTGTTTGGATTTGAAAAAGTTTCTCCAATCCACTCCGATACGGAAACAGATTTCAATAAAAAGGACCGCAGTGACGGTGGATTCCGTGTTGTCGATGAGCTCCTTTCGACTCTGGCTCATAGACGAGCTTCTCAGGCATTGGACAATTAGGCCAATCGTTATGATACCAATCCATAGGTAATTTGTCCTGTTGAATAATCGTTTTAATTTGCTGACTCGACGAAACGACGTGTCCTCCGGTCCAATATCATCGATCCTGTCTGTGGTAAACGCGCTTCGCTTACTTTCCTCTCGAATAACTTGAAAGGATGATGTTATGACAGCAACTAACAAGTTGACAAGCCATAAACTGAGGAAAATGAAGCCGGCGATGAAAAAGAGGGAAGCGGCAAGATAGTCGCTGTCGGTAGTATAGTATAACAGATCAGAAAATGTGTTCGAACTCATCAAAACGAAAACAAGCTCGAGCGAGTGGAGTACATCGTCGAAGCTGACGGTGCCTGCGTATGGATTGGTACCCTCAATACAGAGAGAGCCTTGAGGGCATAAGTGGCCTTTAGGGTTCGTTGTCCCGTTTGTCCCATCTGCGTGTATCCAAGGATGGGCTACGCCTGTTTTATTGACCAGGTGCCCTCCACAAAATTGGACTGAGTCTGGGGCTTGGTTTAAGGTGTAATTGCTTATACCCATTGGGTCTATCCAGACACAGGTTCTTCGGAGACTAGATTTAAAGCTCTGGACTCCGATGATGGCAAAAAGGAGCCAGAAAAAGCCTATAAAAACGGCGACGTTTACTAGAAGGGGTGCTGCTTTCTTTAAACTTCGAAGAATAACCTATGTATGGGTTAGCAATAGTATTTTTTTTTAAAAAAAGATCAGTGTTGGGCTATAGTTTTCTTACAGTTGTGCCACTTGTCAATGCAAGGAGGCGGAGAATGCGAAGGCTGCTCAGCATTTTGAAAATGAAGATATGGTGGGTGGAGTCGATGGATAGGACAGACAACGAAAACGCAATCCAGTATGATACGACTGCGAGAAAGTCTAGCCTATTGAAGGAATGTCGAAGGAAAGCACGGCGAGCAAGTCGAATGCGCTGTTGTTGTCGGCTATCTCCAATTTCATCCGCTTGTTGCTGCATTGTTGTAAAGGATCTGATAATGGACATTTGCTGTAGGTCTGCAGGCTTCTTTGTAGATGGCTGCCTTTGCAGGGAGAAGAGTTCTCTTGTTTTCGTCATCACAGCGTTTCGCAGTCCAGCTGACCGGTCCAGAGTGCTATATTCCTCAGGGTTGATTATGAACCCTGAGACTATGGTCCTAGCAATCAATTCCAGGGTATATATTATGAAGATAACTAGAAAGGAGATATCAACACCCGGAGAGCTCCAGCCTTGTCTTCGGCCTGAGTGGACAGAAGATTCGATGGCTAGGAGGATCGTCTGAACAACGATAAGGAGAAGGATTATGGGTTCTGTGACGGGATGGACGAGTACTTCACACAGCCATTTTCTAATTCGGTTGTCAGGTGAGAATATGCCCAACGATTTACCCCTTAACGGACTCAAGGTCGGATGCATATGTTTCCGTCTCACTCTCGAAGGCTGTTTTTCGGGTCCTGTCTCGTTTAAGGTATCTGAGGATGCAACGTCGTGTGCATATTCCATCATGGCAGGTAACGAAGGTGGTGCATCCATGCGGGCATGTTTAAGAACTGATTTCTGTCGCATAACACTCTCGATAACCTCCGGTTCATTACTCAGGTTGACAACACGCTGAGATACCATGCGCATCATGGAGCTTGCTCTCGATAGGGCCGACGAAGGAGAAGGTGAAGCTGACAGTCGTCCTGTGGCAGATCTGTGGGAATTCCGTACACTGCTTCGACCCGTTCGCAGGCCATCTTCCAAATCGTCTCCCAGATGAGACCCGCTGCCCGTAACGCTCCCTGCAAAACGAACGCTACGACCTCCATCGGAGTTTCGATTTACCTGTCCTGTAGCTTCTGGAGCGGTTGCACCGCTAATTGGTTGTAGGTAACGTGGATCCGCGAGCGGCAGGGCATCATTCTCTCTATCATACGATGCTGATAGGTAGCCGCTATGATCGGCTGCTGTATCTTGGACTGTTGAATCCTCAGAGGCACCGAAATAGTTGTTGTTGTCGTCACTTGGTCTCGGCTGGCTCTCGTACGGTGTCGAAGAGTCTGAACGTCTGGATGGCTGGGGCCCGAAGCTCAACCCAACAGTACTCTGGTGGAAGGATGCATGATCGAAGGACGTTCGCCTAGTATCTTGCGACAAATTGACAGACTCAAAGTCATCAAATTCTCCTCTCCTATCCCCCCCGGTTGGCGAGTCTTCCGCTATCCGCTCATATCGTCTCGAGAGGGTTCTACCCATAGAACGGATCCCCCTCACCGATCTCTGTCTCCCAGGAACGTCATCTTCAATAGTGGCCCTTCTCGCCCGGCGCCCGGCGCCATCTGCAATCACCGTGTCCGGGGGCCTCGAGAGGTCTTGGAGGGGTATCGAATGGCTGCCGGGCGGGTTATTCGCATCGTAGCCGGGGTTCTCGGACGGAGCCATTTGTTGCTGGCGATTCTCATGGAATTGTAGGCATCGCAGCTACCTGTCCCTGACGAATACGTATATCGCGATTTGTCCGACGAAGGGCGTTCTGGGCGGGCGACACCACGCGTTCCAACCGGTATTGAACAACAGTTTTGCAAGGACTTGAAACGCTCAACGCACATGCAGAAGTGAAGGAGTGCGAGGAGGAGGGAAACGGTATCGTGTCTGCCTGAATATCTTCCAGCTCAGCGACGGGGAGAACAGCGGCTCGAGGAGCTTTGCCTTTCCCCAGAATCTAAATTCTTTTGCGCAGCTGGCGAGATCGTGGCTGAGGAGTGACGACGTTACGGAGTTGCGTGTTACCAGAAGTTGTATCTGCGTTACAAGAGGATATATTACACACCAAAAGCTAGACTTACACACCGGTATCGCGGTGACGAGGTCGAGAGATACGATGATGTGGCTTGGAAAATCGTTTATTTTGCCTGTCCTTAAAGCAACAGGTAATCGTTTCTAATAATAACTAGCGGCATCGAGGCCAGCTAATCAGAGCATCTCCTCGATGACACAGTGGTTCATATCAGGGGATGCTGTTTGGAGCCAAGCTTACAGCTCGTCCAGGGATAAAGGCATATGATCTTCAGGTCTTTGGGGGCGTAACAAACAAATTAATCCGTCTCCATGTTGTCGGCCTTTTGGCTATCCTCTACCTGCTGTTTTACACCCTCGACAAATGCCTTGACAGCTTCTCCTCCTCCTAACGGGACACCACCACGGCGCATAAAGCCTCCATTCTGAACAGGGACCTTCAGGGCATCGCTGATGCTGGGGAGTCCTCCGTCTCTGATAGCCATCGTCAGACTACCCAGGCTCTGTGCGAACTGTGGAGAGCGAAGAACCCGTCGAAGAGCCTCCCGCTTCTGGTCCACGCCGATATGTTCAACCGGTGCTCCACCGTTTTGTTGTGATAGTAGCTGTAGAGACTCAGGGAGGGAGGTAAGTAGACGGTCGAGGGTGCTCTCATCGGCCGATTCAAGGAAAGGTATAGTAGATGGGGTCGATAGTAGATCTGCGAGAGTGGTGTATGGTGATTCTGACGTTTCTTGCGGGGTGCTGTCCTGGAGGGAGTGAAGGAGGTTTTGTATGACTGAGGATGGATCCGAACCCGCAGCACTATGAGTTCACCAGTTAGTATAGGCTATTAAGTTGAAGGCAATATGTGTATGTGATTCAGGCACGCGGAGACGCTCGTTTATATGGTTGGCAATAACACGATAACATAGCTGGCATAACATCAAAACTATACGCGGTTGCGCTAAGCTCTAGAGAGAGAGAGAGAAAGGAAGATGATGTGCTGTGTTGAGAGTAGTACCTACGCTCTTCCGCCGTCTGCTCCTCCCTCTCTCGACTCCTGGCCTTCTTCTCGTATATCACCACCGGTAGCACCGGGCCCCGCCCCTCCACTCCCGCCATGTCGTTGTCTCTCGGGGTTATGGTCTGTTCCCTCTACATCTTCCATCGTCTCATCATCGTCACCGCCGTCATTGCCACCTTCATCCCTGGGAAGGCTGTCAATGGCGTCTTGCACATCGATATCTTCGCCCTGCAACAGCGTGTTCACGATCTGTCCCAGCTTCAAGTCTCGCGCGCTGAACCACGCGGGGTTGCCCTGCTCGTGCTGACTTCGAGACTGGAGCCAGAAGAGGTGCCTCTGTGAGCTGGAGGCAAACTTTAGCACGTATATCCTGCCGTTCGTGGGTCGTTCGGCGTTAGATGGTGTCTGGGCGCTGGTGGGTTTGTATGGCGTGAAGGTCCCGTCAGAGGGCACCATGACAAGGTCCAGCTCCGGCTCGTCTATGGGAGCAGACCGTGGCCGCCAGCAGAAGTGGACGAGGTCATCTTCGGAGTAGAGATAGATGTAGCCGGGCGTTGGCTGTGGTTTTACAGCGTTGGGCGTAACCGTCGTCTGTCCCGTTAGCAGTTTTCTCCAACCCAGGGCGAGATACGTACATCCAGATCGCAGATGCCACCCTTGAAGGTGATGATCGGTGATATCGACATCTCTCTCTCTCTTCTCCTTTCTTCTTTTCTCTTCTTTTCTCCTGTCTTTTGTTATGTCTTCTCTTGTCTTCTCTTGTTATGTCTATGTCTGTTGTCTAGATGAAGCTAGATGACTAAGCCGGGGTAAATAAAGTCCGAAGTGTCTAGATTCGCACTAGCGCGCTTCGGCTAAGAAATAGGGCATCGCATCCCACAAAATATCACCACAGCGAAAGACGAACTTCGAACTTCGAACTTCCGGCCAGCATCCCAACACCAACAACCACCGACCACCGGGAATCCCGCAGCTTCCAATTCTCTTTTCCCAAGTCTTCGTCACATAGAGCCAACATGTCGGCGCCGGGCCAGACGAAGAAGTTCGGAAAGGGCGAGAGGACCGTCCCGAGCCAGAAGGCTCAGAAGTGGTATCCTACTGACGACGAGCCCCAACAGAAGAAAGTCAGTATACACCCTCTGCGGTGGCTGCAGTCGTTTCGCAGATGCTCGAATATCGGCGGGGAGAGTCGTTGCGTGCGGTCGTCCCGCAGTGATACCCCAACATTTGATATCCTGGATTTGAGAAATCGCGAAACGACTGGAGCACACGAAAGTGATATAATTGACATATATTAACGTGCGTGCTTGATACAGGTTCGCAAGTCCATCAACCCGGCCAAGCCACGAGCCAGCCTCCAGCCAGGCACCATCCTCATCCTCCTCGCTGGTCGTTTCCGTGGCAAGCGTGTCGTCCTCCTCAAGCACCTCCCCCAGGGTGTCCTCCTCGTTACCGGCCCTTACAAACTCAACGGCGTTCCTCTCAGAAGAGTCAATGCCAGATACGTTATCGCCACTAGCGCATCGGTTAAGTTGACTGGCCTCGACGAGAAGACTTTGGAGAAGGTCTCCCAACCCGGATACTTCACCGCTGGCAAGAGCACCGAGAAGAAGGGCGAGGATGCTTTCTTCAAGCAGGGAGAGAAGGTCGAGGTACGTGCAGCAGACGACAGCGGTTGAGGATCACAGGAAGGGAAGGCTAATTATTATTGTTTTGTTATAACAGAAGAAGAAGATCACAAGCGAACGCGCTACCGACCAAAAGGCCGTCGACCAAGCCCTTTTGTCCACCATCAAGAAGGAGGAGTTCCTCGACAGCTATCTCGCCTCCAGCTTCAGCCTACGGAAGGGTGACAGACCCCATGAGATGAAGTGGTAGATGGAGGGTTTCATGGCCGTTAAAATAATGTCTTCTATTCTCTTCTTTTTTACAAGCGGAGATTCCTGTATGTTGCAAGGGAGGGAATATGCAACACAACGCCCTCATTGATGTGTGTATGTTTTGCGTTTAACTATGCTCTCCGTCACACAGATATGACTTGTTTCCCCCGAAATACTCAAACCATTTCAAAGAAATAAAGGGCTTATTGCAACATTCCAAAAACCCTGCAATATAAAAACTACGTCCAAACAAACAACCTCTTCTTTACTTCTGACATGAGCGCAACCATCTTTCCTCCCCGAATAACCCTCCCTTACCCACCCCTTTGTCAAGTATATTCTACTACTTCTTTTTTTTCAAGCCGCGCATACACATGTCACTACAATAAAAATCGCAATGACTGATGGCACTTTGGTTTTTGATTTTCTCCCAGATATCGATAACATGTAGGAATTCGTCCAAATCATAAGTATACGCCACTACTATACATTCGCCCTCGTCCGGCGACTTCTCCCATTATGGCTCCTCCTAGGCCGTTTCTCTACCAGCCTCTCAGCGAGACCATTATTTCCATGGCCATCAGACTCTTCTGACGCCTCGTCGCCCATCGCATCCCCAATTGATGTTCCAAGCATCCAATCCATAACCCCCCAAGGCGCGTAGTTGCCATGTCCTCCGTGTGACATGTGTAGGTCCACCCGTCTTGCTATACCGCCGATGAAGAAGCTCGTCGGCATTGGTTTATAGCCTGAATACGCAAATGTCTCTTCCAGCGAGACTACGCTGAGATATAACATATAGGTGAGGAGGTGGCTCCGGAAAGCTGCTACTGGTAGAAAAGTAGGAACAAAACGCCAAAGTAGGTATGCGACCGGATGGTCATAATGGGCCGTCAAGGGATATGGGGTGTGTAATGAATGGTACCATTCGTTATGCTGGCGCTGAAAGGGCGTCCATGAATGGAGAGCGTTGCGGTGAATTATATATTGCAGCACCTAGATACACCGTCAGTTCCTCAAGTCACGAATATAAAAGGTATACAAGCTACCTCTCGAAGTATCAATGCCCGTCCTATTCCCTTCACAATATCCCATGGCAGAGGGAGCTTCGTCGTCACCTTCAGCGCGCTCTTCACTCCCAGCCCTTGCGTCAAGCAAAATTCAATAAACCCTTGCGTCACTATGCTTAAAAGCAAGTTGAGAATCGACCAGGCTGCAACCTTGAGCTCCGAGCTGCCGTAGTGCTTTTTCTTCCGCTGCGGTAGCCCATCTTTTCCGTATACTTTCAACACGACCGATGCGGAGGGGATCAAAATATCGAAGAGGAAAAATAGGACGGAAGGTATGAAGTAAAATATCAATCGGACCGCTGCTGTTCCGACCAGCTCGACTTTCAATGGCGCGTGGGATAGGACAAGGGTCGTCCAGGTGAGATAGAAGAATATGAGGTTAAGGCTGGTTCCGTAGGAGGACATGGACGGTATTAGCAGAAATGAGAGCACTGGTATCGAGAGGAATGCGCCCATCGCTGTTGTTGCGATAGGGAAGCTAGATGTTGGCCGTCTATCTCTCTATAGCTTGTCTCCGGGTCTGGGTCAATGGTTATACGCATATATATATAGGTTCTCTGTTCACTATTTAAGTGACATCCTCCTGCTAAACCGCATTGTGTGTTTTCATAAATCAACAAGGATCAACAAGTTACGTCATTCTGGTAACAAAAAAGAGCTCGTAAAAATGCTATTCCGTCCCACCACTGCTTAAATATATTCGATATCCGTTAGCGAATAGCCCCTTATGAAGTCATGCAACCATATGGAGTATTGTGGGCCACGTTGTAGCCGCGTTGTCAGTCAAAATGTCGCCAGGTTGGTGAGAGCCACAATTTGACGGCTGCTTTTAACACCGACTCAGGGTTTGCAATTTTGCTGGTGACAGCTGGTTGGGCCTTAGCATGAAATGCTGCCCAGAAATGCTCTAGAATGTTCACGACGGCGTCGAGGTGAACCACAGCGTCCCTCTCGTCGTTATAGAACTCAATTGAGGCGAATCTCCAGGCCATATCTGCCACGAAGCTGCTAGCTTCTGCGTCTGTGACATCGGTCATCCAGTCTATGATTGCCTCCGCCAGCAATGGTATGGCTGGGTTTGTTAACGACGAGGTCCTGATGAAAAGGCGAATCGTTAGCTTTATCACCTACTTATATGAATGCTTGAAACTTTGAAACACGCACATTCTTAATACCCATAGAATTGTACGTCGGTGTATCATCAAACCTCGATATAGTTCTGTGATGCGCAACCATGTCGATTCCTTCTTTGTGGGTGGCCGCAAACCAGGGAACGACTTTGCCATATTCACCCCATACCCGACTGCTGTCTGTTCCGCTGTTGCCCAAGCAAGGTCATGTAACTGTTTATATACCATCCCAGTCAGCAACGCTCAACTTGTGTCAAGATAGCAATTAGCAGGGTAGAGCAATTCTCATTCCTAGCTATTCTTACCGGTCGATCAGTCAGTCTTCCATTTTTGCGTTGATTGAAGAATTGGGCCCATTTGTTAGATGGGGGATTCGAATAGGTAGCGTTCGATAGACCAAGCGAAATGGCTGCTCCTTGTTGCACGGATTCGACCACGGCTGCATTGATAAAGGAAAGCCAGGTTCCACGTCCAGCCAGATCTTTTCTGGTAAAGAAGTCCATGACTCCCTCCACTGCGTGAAACTGGTCGCCGGCAGACAGCACACCGAACTTGGTAGCAGACATATATTTCATGAACTCCAATCGATCTACCATTCCCATTGATTCAATATTGGCGAGAGAACAAGTGAGACTCTCCCAACATACGTCTTTTGGACTAGAATTGAGGAGATATTTGTTGCCAACTACTTGTTGATTTGGCTCATAGGAATTGAAAGCGTCACAACGAGATACCAAGTAGAGCAGCGTGTACCATGAAAGGAGGAGTAGATTCATGGTGAGGAAAAGGACGAGAAGCAGACACTCGTTGCACAAGACTTAAATGCGTACAATGATCTATCGGTTGGTCGCTTCAAGGCAGTGAAAGTTGTGGAAGATGTGGAAGATGTTGAGGAGACGTTGTTGATGTTGACGTTGAGGTCTCTGCCTACGGTTTACGAGGAAACAGCGAAACTCGCAACCGCCATATGGCCACGTCTATATGAAGTGCATAAAATGCATGTGGTAACTGTAACCCGACTTAAGTAGATGATTGATTCTCATTCCTTCCATAGGATAATACTTGGAGTATCTAGACAGAATACCTAGTAATAATATTAAACGCCAGTGCGCTCTAGGTATGTTCGGCATTATTTAGATACACCTTTATAGGGAACATGATGTATGGACAGTATCCAAAGGTAGAAGAAACAACCACTTAAACCCATCTCGGCAAGATTTCTCAATTACCACGGGGGACACCATGAGTACGACCCCAGTTCCAGGCCTTGCCAGTTAAGTCTGGTATAACAAACAGGAACGCAATGGCACTCACCATACTGGTAAGGGTGTCGATGATGATATTGTTTCGAGGACTAGCTCCCATCGTAGCCGCCTTCATCATCGTGGCTATAAACATGGTCGTAATCATATATTCACCCCTCTCAAGGCCCTTGATCGAAATTTCAGCAACCTCCTCCGGAGTCTGGGGCTTATCAGCCTCTTCAAGCAATTTCGTCAAGTCTGGCTTTATGGTTTGTTCGTGGGCAAACCCTGGCGAAAGGATCCCCATGGGGTACACGATGTGTATCTTCACGTCAGCAACCGGGGCAGGTTGTTGCAAGTTCTTCCTCGATCCATTGTAGACTTCAATTTCCTGAACGAGGGTATCCGCCAAGGCTCTCATGGCTGCCTTTGCAGGACTATAGGGCCCGTATCCAGCAAGCGGAACGAACACAGCGGCTGATGATGTGAAAATAATGTGGCGAGGGGAAGTCTTCGCGCTCCTTGAGCTAGGTTCAACCGGAGAGAGCCATCTGTTCAGGGTGGAATGGGCGGTAAACGCGGCAGTCCAGTAAATGGTATCCATTTGGGATTTCAGAGTCTCGGGCGGCGTAGTAACAAAGAAGCCGGGGAGAGACATTCCCGCACAGCACCAGACGATATCAGGAGGCTGACCCCCGTTCCATTTAGAAACCTCTTCAAGGGCGCGTTCAGTCCCCTCATGATCTCTTAGATCTGCGCTGATGTAGTGAAACTTTTGCTTTTCTGGAAATAAAGCAGCCGCCTGTATCAAACATGAGCAAATTGGCCATATTTCCTTTTAGTATAGATACATACTTTGATATCTGCCAACGCTGCCTCAAGCTTGGATACGGTACGAGATACAATAACAATATTTGCTCCCTTTTGAGACAACTCAATGGCAATGCTCCGGCCCATCCCCTCTGAGCCTCCAGTGATAAGAACCGTCTGCCAAACTATTAATTATATGTCAGGTTGAAACTTGTCAGGTCGGTACTCCTTACCTGTCCCTCCACCTGGAACTGATTTTTGCCGCCAAATCCAAACATGGTTGCTGCTAGGTATATAAAGACTGCAAAGAGCAAGGCTGCGACAATTGGTTGAAGGCCCAGATATGCTACTCCTTCCATCCAGGCGACTCTTTTACCAAGGGAATGAATTAGGAAGAGATTATAACTTTAGAGAAGGTCTTTGGTCCTATCTGACCTCCTGTCTAAACGGCGGTAGGTAGCTGTCAGGGATGGCAGAGAGCAAAGGGGCTGGAATGTAGTGGAGGAAAGAAACTATGAGAGTCTATAATTCCTTCTTCGAGCTATCAACAAGCGATAACACGAGCACCAACTAGTCTCATTGCATGCACCATTGATGCTATATGATATGACCAACCGTGCCAAATTGAAAATACTATTAGAAAATATATCCAGTTGAGTCGTGTCTATAGATCTGATAAAATCTTCATTAAAATATTGACTGGTAATAAAATACACGTTCAGTACACGGTTTCCCACCAAATTCTTATCGATAAACCGTAATTGATACCAAACATATCACACTTTTCCTAATACGGTTAGACTTCGACAGATCCACCATATTTTTGGTAATTTTGTATTTTTTTTTATCTCGAAGCTCGCATTTTGATATAGACATTGAACTGGGATAGACGTTGGAATACTTCCCTCCGACACCCATCTCCGTTTCTCACAGCACATCATGGCTAAGAAAAGAAAGGCCAGTGGGGCCGCGTTGGCTCATAGGAGTAAAAATCCAGCACAAAACGAAAATTCCAAGTTTGCGGCAGATGCGAGATTTGAGAACTCCGAAGATGAATTCGAGACTGGACGGGATCGCATCTTGCTTGAAGAGCGCCCCGAGGTGAAGCGAAGGCGCAAACTAGAAGAAGACGGTAAGTACGCTTTTTTGGATGCATAATACAATACCCAATCGGGGTGCTAACCTCGAATCTTCAGAACAATTTTTGCAGGCTTCAGACGAAGAAGTTCACGCCTATCAATCCGCGTCCGAAGATGAAGATGATTACGATTATGGGGATGAAGAGGAGGAGGTCGAGGAGGAAGACACAGCCACACGTCCGAACAAGAAGACTCCCAAATTACGACGCCGCGAAGAACTAAGCCCGGATTTCCTTGATGAGCGCAAAGATGTGGAGGAGGACGAAGAGGAAGGAATTACTGGATGGGGCGCCTCAAAATCGGACTACTACAATGCTGATACGATTGAGACCGAGGGGGACGCACTGGAAGAAGAGGAGGAAGCCAAGAAGATTCAGCAAAAGAAACTGCAGGCCATGACGGATGCTGATTTTGGATTCGATGAGTCGGAATGGCTTGACAGTACTAAAGGGGATGTAGAAGTGTCCAAAGATGCCAATAAGCATGGCAAGGTTATTACAGAGGTTTTGCCGGAATTGCAAATACCAGATGACATGAGCGCGGGCGAGAGGATAGAAATCTTATCCAAACGGTATCCCGAGTTCGGACCTCTATCGAAGGATTACGCAGACCTCCAGCCACAGTATCAAGAATTGTCTTCAGTGGTTAATGAGGTCCAGAAGTCTCGTGAAGGAAGCTCTAGCGACGTCACGCCACTCTCAGTGCTTCAATTCCGTGCCTTATCTGCCTATCTCGGGGTCATTAGCATGTATTTCGTGCTCCTGACTTCACCTGCCCGCGACGGGGCTGGAAACTGTTTGGCTTTACCACCAGCAGAACTGAGGGAACACCCTATTATGGAAGCACTGGTTGCCTGCCGGAAGCAATGGGAAAGGGTTAAGGATCTACAGGAGATAGAACCCGAACTATCGGAGTCTAGTGACTTAGAGGAAGATGAAGTTGTTGTCCCCGTTCTAACGAAAAAACTTATCAAAGAAAAATCTTCCAAGGTATCCAAGGTCATCAAGATATCCAAAAAATCTAGGGCGCAGAAGTTGGCGGAAGATGTACATGCGATCGCCGAATCACAGCGGGCTGCAAGACTTAGCAAGACTGAACTCGGCCTCCAAGAGCTCTCCAGACTCCTTGAGCAGGGAGGCTCAGCGAAGGCCACATCGCAACGAGACTCACGACTTCAAGACGAGGACTCGGACTCGGACTTTGGAGACGAAACAAAACTCACTGCCCATGAAGCCGCTGAAAAGGCAAAGAAAAAGAAATCGTTACGCTTCTATACCTCACAACTTGCACAAAAGGCAAACAAACGCGATGCTGCAGGCAGACACGCTGGTGGTGATACGGATCTCCCGTATAAAGAACGAAACAAGGACCGCCAGGCCCGCCTTAATGAGGAAGCAGAGAGGAGAGGAAGAAGGGAAGCGAACGAGAACGAGCGTCTTGGTGGTGATAGTGATGAAGAAGACCACAGGATTGCCGGAGAAGTCCGAGGTGATCAGAACGACTCCAACAGTGATGATTATTACGATATGATTTCATCACGCAACAAGGAGAAGAAAGCAAACAAAAAGGCACTTTCGGAAGCGCAAGCTATTGCCGCTAAGGAAGGCGGTCATGTTGAAATCCAGGAGCAGATTGGACCTGACGGCAAACGTGCCATCACCTATGCCATTGAGAAAAATAAGGGGCTAGCGCCGAAGAGGAATAAGGATGTACGAAATCCTAGGGTGAAGAAGAGGAAGAAGTTCGAGGCCAAGAAGAAGAAGCTCGGAAGTATGAAACAGGTTTATAAGGGCGGCGAGGGCCGTGGTGGATATGGCGGAGAGCTGACCGGTATCAAGAAGAACCTGGTGAAGAGTGTAAAATTATAAATGGTCTTGTCATTCGTTATATTAAATAGGTAAACGACTAATGACAATATCAAATTTCGACAAGACATACATTTCTCGAATGGACTTCATTATCATTTAAGGTGATAGTAGCGATGGTGAATTTAAATCGAGGGTTTGGCGATGCTCCGTATCTTCCTCCATTCCTGTTGTAGAGCCTTCCTGGTCGAGTATTTTGTCTCCCGTGGCCCCTATTATTCTTTCTAATAGCGATACAACAGGACCTGATGCACTTTGTTCTCCACTCCTTTGTAAAATTCTATGAGAAAAATCTGCCTCAAGGAACCTTCGTGCCAGATGCTCCTAAAGTATTAGTTTCTCGTTAGTTCTGCTAAGCTCCAGCTTGAGGCTAGCATGCATTTTAAAAGAATATAGATTATATCATAGATGGACGAAAACTGGGCTTGTACCGCTTCTTCAAGTTCATCCATTTCCTTTGTAGTCATCCTTGCACAACTGGTTACTAGATCTTCTTTTCGATGCGCTAACGCTTCAATCTCTTGGGCCCGAGAAATAATTTCTGGGTCGATTCCTGCCATTGCTGCGCAGCTATAATAATAACATTAGTAACCGCTCAAATGTTATTACGCAGGACATGTATACTTTGTCCCGAAGCTTGAACTGCTTCTCCCCAGTCGGAAACTAATGCGATGATCAGTCAATAGTTTTTCAAGGGAATGTAGTAGAATCTAACTTGTATAGATATGTGACTTGATCTTCAACACTTCGGGCAGAAGTGTCTACTTGAACTTCCATGTGGCCAAATTCTAGCTCTGGTCTTGGTTGAAGGAACCCATTCTCGAATATTTCGTGAAAATGAGTAGCTGCTATCACCTTTGGACGCTGGTTACCCATACTCAAGGCATACTCGAACAGTCCGCAAGCAAGCCCCGCGCCATCTATATTTCAAATGAGAAATTGGCTGAGAGGGAGTCATAAAGGGGGAATACCAGCTGATTCGGTCCCTTTTCCAAACTCATCGATAATTATCAAACTCCTATTCGTGGCCTGATTTAGAGCAAATGCTACCTGCTGTAGATCGTTTGCGAACGTACTTTGTATCTGCGCGTGTCAATGTAAATATCAAATAGCTTTAAAGGCATGGTACACCGTCACACCTTACCTTTGAGACGGTTTCCCTTGTTGAGACTCGGGTCAGTATCCTATCCGTATAACCAATTGTGGCGCTCTCTGCTGGAACAAAGCTGGAAGAATGGTTAGCACTGGTTTATACTATAGGCTGTTAGTCAGTAGCAACCTTCCGATGTGAGCCATATAAACGATAATAGCAACCTATAGGTACCGTAAGTTGGAAGCTATACTCTTCAACTACATGAAGATTCACCTACCTGGCTGAGGTAAACGCTTTTTCCAGAGAAATTGGGACCAGTCAACAAAAGCATGCTTGGGCCCTGAGTGGCCTCGTCGATAGGATTGGGCTGTTCTGTATTGGACGCGTTGTCGCCAGCTGCCCTAGAACCATTACCCCCGACAATAAACGTATCATTCGGTACAAAGGACGACACTGTAGTTTCGTGGAGGATATGTCTGTAAGTAATTAGCTACTCTGTTTCAATCTTCTGGAGGGATTATCTAAACTTACCGGCCCCCTTTAATGGCAATGGTATTATCATCAGTCATGCGTGGCCGTACAAGTTTTTTCAAACTGGCACCCTGGACAAAAGCCAGAAGACTACACTGGATATTAGAAAATACTCCATACCTTATGTAGTGATAGTCTTCGTGGCATACCTATCAATTTCCCCACATATATCAGAGGCACTAACGAGCATCTTCTCATATGTTAGGATGTCCTGCGCAAGTTTGTACACAATTTCTATTTCTTTCTCTGCCGAAGTTGTAAGTCATAGGCGTGGATAAGCCCAACAACCTGGGAAGCAACATACCGCATATAAGGCCGTATATATCGCCGAGTTTTTCGTCCATCTCACGCATTCTAGAATCTTTGAAATAAGCTCTGTTTTCTGTGTTAAATACCTGAGTCCAGTTCTCATCTTTGCTGCCATATACTGGTATACCCCTTTCATCGAATGGGATGGCGATGTTGAATCCAAGCTGAGGAAAGTAGACAACGTTTATCTCCTTGTTTATTCCTTCAGGGAGGGATGCAGCAATATTGACAGCCACTTGGTTGAGTAAATTGTCCATTCCACTATACGTTTCCTTCAATTTGTCAAGTTCTCTGTCAACTCCTGGCCGCACAACTGTTCGGTGTTCCTCGATTGAGAGTGGAAGATCAACCTGAAGGTTGTTAGATAGTGTGATATAATTTCAATCCTGAGGTACTACTTACAATCTCGTGAATTGCACTACCGACTTGGTGTAGTTGAACTAAATCGAGCTTAATTAGGGCCTATAAAAACGGTAAAAATGTATCCCGGCGAAATTAATTTATCCTTTCTCTCACTTTGATGTAGATGTCCAATGTTTGTGCCCCAGTAACCTCTTTTAATGATTGATTCACATCGATGGCATGAAATGCGAACTACAAGTCATGTTATTAATGCAATTTTCTCATTCAATGGGGCGGACATACATCGAGGAGAGTTGACCACACCACACCCTTGAATCCCCTGAATTTCGCACTTCCAGTGCTAATACCTTTTCGCAAATGGACCATCACTGGCCTTAAATTCTTGATGTTCTTCAGACTCTTGATTATCTTCCCCAGTGGAGGATCGTTTTCTGGCCGTAAGAATGCGCTGATGAAGTCATGTCTCTGGGATATGACATTGGCGTCAATGCTTGGACGGAGAAAGTACTGCTTCAATAAGCGCTTCCCTTGAGGTGTCCTCGCAAAATGATGAAAGAGGCCATAGATAGATAGGCCCTCCTTTGAGCTGGATGAGGTTTTGCCGGGGCCCTGGTTGAATGCGTTTGGATGGGACTCCGACTGTATTATTTGAAGCGATGCTAGAGTGTCCTTGTTAATGAACCTAGAACCAGAGGTGTTAGAATAAATGGGTATGTCGTAAGATAGTGCTAAAGGGTATACTAGCATCGTCTTTTGTAGGCTTAGCATCCCAACGGCATTGATAGCAAGCGTCCCAGTAGCCACGGTGTCACTCTGCAAAGATATAGACGCCCGTTTTCTTTGTAAGTATGTCATAATGGCTCCTGCACACCCGACGGAGATGCGGTTCTCCATGTCAACGAGCCCGCCAATATGTAACAGATCGCCTTGCTCTTCGGTGAAATCGACGGTATCTCCAGTAACATCACCATCATAAGAGAAGCTATTTCCTGGAATAAGAAACTTGACCATCTCGTCTGCTTTTGAATTAATTTTCAACGAAGAGAGTTTTGTCTTTGCATTTTCAAATCCAAATTCCTGTGTCGGACGCACGTCTAGATGGTAGGGTAATTGGAATTGAGAATCTGATAGATGATGGATCAGATAAACGCGCACTATACCCGGAAGATGCAGGTCTCACCTATGTCTGAAGCTGTACGATTTGCATTTCCTGCAGTTGTAGGGTCTTCCAGGCCTTGATCAGCTCTCATTGATAGCAACAGTACCGTTGGCTCAACCTCCAGCTTTACTATTCATCATCCTATTAGCAGACTGTCAAGGCAGTGTATGTCCAGTTTCCACATACAGATATCAATCATATCGAGTTCACCGTAAGTTATATCTTCCATGACGTATAGTTTCTCTTCCTGGGCGGAGTAGTAACTGCAACCGATGGTTCCCCGATCTTTGATATCTACGGCCATGACGACCTTACAAAGATCATCATCGTCATCCTCCAACCGCTCCTCCCGGGTATTATTTTCGCTCTCCGGAATCGCGTTACTGGACACTCTCTCATTCTGAGCGCTTTGGCTAGTAATGACCGAAGTCGCTCTGGAATAAGTCGGCCTTGATGAGATATTGCTGCTCTGGCCACGGGACGCGTTGCCTCGAGATCTTCGGCCATAGAATCCCCTGCCGCGACCCTTGGAGATAGGAGGCCTTCTCTGTCTGCCCGTGAACGACCGCGCCATAGTCCAGGCTGTAGTTGGATTCTTGGGTAGTTGTTAACAGCTGAAGTATTGATGATGTCGTTGTCAGAACCAAGAGAAGAGGGGTAGGCCTTAAGCCAAATCGGGCATTACCCGATTGGGATGAAGGAGTTGGTATCATTAAATTAATTATCATTGGTATAAATATTGAAGGGGATGCTATACAGAGAGGGGTTTCGTCCATTTATACATAATATAAAAAGAAGAGATGCGAGGTATAATGCTATATAATACAAACCAATATCGTAATCATACATAATACAAAAATCACGTCGACTTTTCGGTTGAGATATCCAATCCTGTTTTGTCTGCGTTAAAGATGGCGGTGGCTGTTTGGCCTGAGACAACCTGTCCCCGGATGATTTTATCAGCAAGGTGGTTACCGATTTGCTTAGCGATGAGCCTGTTCAAAGGCCTGGCGCCATATTTAGGGTCATACCCCTTTTCACAAAGCCAGTCTTTGATCTCATCGCTAACACTGAAGGTTATTCGTCGATCATCTAACCTGGCCTGGAGCTCTCTGATTCGGATATCGACAATATCCCGCAAAGCAGAACGGGAAAGCCTCTTGAATACGATGAATTCATCGATCCTGTTCAGGAACTCAGGTGGGTATGACGATTGGACAATCCCCATCACCTCCGATTTCATCTCTGGGGAAATCTCTTCACCTTGAGAAGCATCTGCTGCAACAAGGACCTCAGCGCCGAGATTGGATGTAAGGACAATAAGGGTATTCCGGAAGTCAATTTTATGTCCTTGAGCATCAGTGAGGAAGCCTTCGTCCAGAACCTGAAGCAAAAGGGCAGAGATGTCACGATGGGCCTTTTCAAACTCATCGAACAGAAGAACGGCATAGGGTTTTCTGCGCACAGCCTCAGTAAGTTGGCCGGCATCATCATAACCAACGTAGCCGGCTGGAGATCCGATAAGGCGGCTGACGGTATGCTTCTCTTGGAATTCGCTCATATCGAACCGAACAACGGCGGATTCGGTTGAAAACAGGAACTCTGCCATCTTTTTGCATAGTTCCGTCTTACCAACACCTGTCGGGCCGAGGAACATAAAGGATGCCAGGGGGCGGTTCTCACCGCTGAGGCCGGCTCTTTGCATTCGCACAGCGTTTGCTACCGCCGAAAGTGCTTCATCCTGGCCGCGCACCGATTTTCTGAGTGTATCCTCCATGTGGATTAATTTTTCTACCTCGCCAGACATGAGTTTGCTGACGGGGATGCCTGTGGTACGGGAAACGACACCGGCGATGTCATCCGCAGTGACGGAGTCATGGAGAAGAGTCCGTCCCTCTGCGACTGTGGCTGTAGGGTCGTTTTCCTGCGGGAGCTTCTGTTCTAGGCTCGGGATCGTGGAGTACCTCAGTTCACCGGCCTTAGCAAAGTTCCCTTCAAGCTGGGCCTGTTCGAGCTCGCCCCTGGCACGTTCCAGGTCCTCTTTAGCTTGTTTGATAGCTTCAAGCTCCGCCTTCTCCTTATCCCAGGCTTCAGTCAGTTTCCCAACTTCCTCTTGTTTTGACTTTAGCAGGTCTTCTAGTTTTTCGCGCCGCTCCACGCTAGCAATGTCCTTTTCCTTTCGGAGAGACTCAAGTTCGATTTGGATGGTCATGATCTGCCTGTCGAGCTCTTGGATCGCATCTGGTTTTGATTCCTGTTGTAGTCGTAATGCTGAAGCCGCCTCGTCCACCAGATCAATTGCCTTGTCGGGAAGGAAACGGTCCGTAATGTACCTATTGCTGTACGTGGCTGCCGCAACAAGTGCACCGTCGGTGATTCGGACTCCGTGGTGGACTTCGTATTTGTCCTTGATACCTCTGAGGATCGAGATGGTGTCAGGTACTGTGGGTTCTTCCACCAGGATAGGCTGAAACCTTCGTGCCAGAGCAACGTCCTTTTCAATCTGTCTGTATTCGTTGAGCGTAGTAGCACCGCAGCATTGCAGGTCGCCTCGGGAGAGGGCTGGTTTGATGAGGTTGCTAGCGTCTATGCTTCCTTCTGCCTTTCCAAGGCCCAAGAGCGTATGCAGTTCGTCCACGAACAGAATGACACCACCCTGAGCATCCTCCACCTCTTTCAAAACACGCTTCAACCGTTCCTCGAAATCACCACGGAACTTGGCGCCGGCAATCAGCTGTCCCAGGTCCAGAGCAACGACACGCTTGTTCTTGACGCTCTCCGGGACATCGCCTCTGACAATCCGCTGGGCCAGCCCTTCGAGGATTGCGGTTTTCCCTGTTCCGGCTGCTCCGATCAGCACCGGGTTGTTCTTCGTTCTCCTCGACAATATCTGGATGGTGCGGTGGATTTCAGCGTCTCTGCCAATGACCGGATCGAGCTTCCCATCCCTTGCTCTCGCCGTGAGGTCGACTCCAAACTGTTCCAACGCTGGCTTCTCTGGCTCTCCGCCCAGGTTCATTCGATGCGTTCCGCCGGGAGGATGAGGTCTGCCATTTGCGTAGTGCCGTATGGTCGTGAGTGCAGGTAGACACTGCTTTGATACTATGCTATACAGGCCCGGTCGAGCTATCGTCACAGCTCTGGCAGGCTGCGATCGAAGCAGCTGGCGGCCGCCACGGAGCGCAAGTCGATAAGCCATGTCGGTATCTCACTTGATCAGCATGTCCACTGCCAGGCCGTATCCATGGATGTATATATATCTGCGATCCCTGTTCGAGCTGCTGGTTCTCGAAAGCTCTAGTTGGTTGTCACAGGTAACACTTAGGCAGTCACATGACCACGGGCCACCTCGAAAATTCTTCGCGAACAAAAACTCTGCATCTTCGCCTTCAACTTCCCCTCTCCCTCCCAAGCTCGCTCATCGTTCTCGTTCAATTCCTGCACAATGGGTTTCACCGACTTCTCTTCTGACTCTGGCCTAGCCAGTGAGTGCCTCTCGCCATCCAACTCTACCTTTGGAGGCTAATCATTTTTCCCACAGTCGCCGACTCCTTCTTCTCGCGAAGAACCTATGTTGAGGGGTAAGTTCTCTCTCTCTGCGCAGCCAACCATGCATCTCATCCCACCACGAAACAACAGACTCCCTGTCTCCTCTCCCCTTTTTTTATGATGAAAACAAATTGGTCCGTGTTTATGAGGCGGCTTAAGACCCCGCCGAATGACTAGAAAACAATTGTCCTTGTGGCATTTCTGAAAAAAAAAAAAAGAACCCTTGCTCTTGCTGCGTTGTGTTTACATGACTCGCTCCCTTTTAACTACTTGGTTACATGCGACAGCGAACCAATGCTAACATTGTAAACAGATACGAGCCATCCCAGGCTGATGTTGTCACTTTCAAGGCCTTTAAGAGCGAACCAGACGCCGCCAAATACCCACACGTTGCCCGTTGGTATAGACATGCTGGCTCTTTTGAACAGGAGTTCTCCACCCTTCCTGGAGATGCCTCCAAGGAATATACTGCTTATGGCCCAGATAGCAGCGAGCTCCCAATAAACCCAAAGAGCGCACCTGCTGCCGCAGCTGCTGATGAGGACGACGACGATGAGGATCTCTTCGGCAGTGACGACGAGGACCCAGAGGTCGTTGCTGAGCGAGAGCGTAACCTTGCTGCTTACAAGGCCAAGAAGGCCAACAAGCCTAAGCCAGCTGCTAAGTCTATTGTCACTCTTGACGTTAAGCCATGGGGTATGTCGTACCACTTGTTGACGCGCCGAAATCGTTAATACTAACTTGTACGCTTAGATGATGAGACCAACATGGCTGAACTTGAGGCCGGAGTACGAAAGATCGAGCACGATGGTCTCGTGTGGGCCGGCTCTCAGCTCGTTGCCGTTGGCTTCGGTATCAAGAAGCTCCAGATCAACCTTGTCATCGAGGACGAGAAGATCTCGGTCACCGACTTGCAAGAGGAGATCGAAGAATTGCAGGACTACGTCCAGTCCACCGATGTCGTAAGTTTTGCCATTTCCCCCGGCTCGTAGAAAGAAACGCGTAGACCAACCGACTCTAACAAACATCTCCACAGGCTGCCATGCAAAAACTTTAAATTAAACAAAACCAAAAAAAAGTATCGTCGACCAGACGTCGCCTTTTACATATTACGAAACGAAGATGATGAAAAGCATGCTAGGATTATGAACTTTGGCTTCACAATGCCGAATATTCCCTTTGTCGAAAGCACACGGTAAACAAAACACAAAATGCTAGACACGGCTGCTTATGTTTATTGACGTTAATGAAAATTCAAATGACTCGACCAGTTTAATGTTTATTCTCTGATTATCTTGTACGTGCCGTAGATTCTGTATAGACCTGCCCAACGCCCCTCCTATAGTCAGCCACGTGACGTGGCATTCATGATACAAATATAACGACAGATAGAATAACTGCCGGATACATGATCTGCTGGATCCGGCAAGAGGATATATGTACGGAGTAAGGTAAACAGCTTCGACACCGTTGGGCAGCAACTTCAACCAAAGTCGAGAAGAAGCAAAGCTATCCCTCTACACTTGGCATCAAAAGTGCCAGAGCAAACCAGCCAAACATCAGTTAGCTCTTCCTTCGCCCTTCAAGCTTGACCAACCGCAACAGAAGCTCACTCGCAATATCAATACTGATTCCACCCAGAAACCTGACACGCCAGTGCAGAAGATAACGCCGGTCGCAAACAATGTCCATGACATCTCGCCTGGTAGTAGGCATTGGCTTGCTTCTGCTAGCCCATGCGTGAGTGCATTGAACCACATCCCCATATACCAATACCAAGCTTCCATTCCTGCTCTCCTGATACAGAATAGCTTACCTATGTTTCTTCTCTGGGTGTGTATAGCGGTTATTCCACACATGAACACTCTACGTTATACGGCAGCGTCCTTTCTCTACCCGCAGACATCGCTCTCGAAACCCTCGTGTCGGTAATAATGGTGACGGTGGGGTTGGTTCTGGGATCCGAGAAGCTACAGCCGATTAGCTGGAGTTCTTGGGCGGGCGAAATCGAGAAGCAAGGCGGTTCTGAGAACCCATTTAGGGGGCTGGAAGAGCGGGTTGGATTTCTTGATATCAGGGTTCGTCTGATCTTTGGATGATCTTTTGAACCACGTCCTGGTTTATCTCTTTCTGGTTCCCTGCTGACTGATTTCTTTACTTATAGGCTAAACGGGCGGAGTTTGCGGATTGGGTACGTGGGAAGGACGAAAGTACGAAAAAATAGAATGACCGTTCATCAATGACTATTTTACGATCAGTTAGATATATGCAATCTTACTGCTAATTTCCATTTTACATATATATCTTCGATGACGCGTTCGGGGACCAACTGCTTCACATCCAACTCGGTAAGATATAGGTTGGATGTCTTATGTGCAGGCAGTATACCCCGTCATCCTAGACGTGACCAAATTTCCCCAACCGGTATTATGTGACTTGACGTGGGGCAATATGGACTGCTCTCCTTGCCAGTTTATATCTTTCTACCCATTATCCCTTGATCGACATGCACCCTAGACTAGGAGTAACTGGTATAGTATGGCGTGGTTCGCACTATTCAGTGAATTTCTCTGAAATGAACAGAGAACCCGCTCCTTGAACTAGTAGCTATAGGGCAGACCGAGGTAATTTCGGCACAAGGGAAGCCTTATGGCCGTAATAAGGGGATAATCGTGGGTGGTTCAAACTGTGTGATTGTAGGACCAGTTGTTGTGGCCAAGACACTCGCTCATTCAGAGGTTTGAGTCGATCAAGTCGGTGAGTTTGGTGACTCTGCTGGCGGTCTCAGGATCAGACTATGTTGGTGTTAGCAGTAAGCAACTGCATCCTAGTATATACCTCCTGCATATTACTCTTAACCGATTGTGCCAGGCATGGGTTATATAGGCGCTTGGAGATGTTATTATAATCGGCAGATGGGTGGCAGAAAGAGAGTACAGCATCGACGCTTCGAACGACGTTGCGGCTCCGTTGGTTATCAATATCAATATCAATATCAACATCATCATTATTCATATAAGTTGGTATCACTATGACGCCAGGGCCTAGCAAATACACATTCCGGTGGGTATAGCTTCTATTCACGGGAGAGGGCTATCCCTGAGATACGATACTTCATTGAAGTGAAAGTCTAGGCATATTACCTGTGATGTCCTCTTTGCTCCGTACTCCGTACAGAGTCCAAGTCTTTAGATCGTGATCCTGTTACTCCTTCTCCCTGAACTATTGACCTTTCTTACCGTAGCATGACCTTTTACTAAATTTAGCAAATGGATAAATAATCGCTTCACACCAGCGGCGGACGTTTGTGCGTGGTTATGGTGAAACTCCCGACGCAGCCATGGGGAGAAGGGAGACCGGGGGCGATCATAAGCGTTGGAAGTATCAATAACGACCGGGATAAGGCAGACCGTACTTTCTGTCATGTATCCACGCCGAAGGAGAAATGACGGCCATTCTCCGTTGGTTGCCCGGGCAGAACCAGCATGCGAGATATATTGCGTTACATTTATCACCGAGAGCTGGTGATATATCACTCGGAGAGATGCAGGTACATGACTGAGCTAACACGAAGCCACCAGAAGAAATACGCTGCTCTCCATTGGCTGTGTCTCGCATCCTCAGATAGGACCGCACTCCGTATAAAAAACTCCGTATTGCGTAGCGGACAATCAGGCTCGTTTTCCTCGTTTCCTTGACGATTGGCTAGAAGCTGCTTGGTCGCTTGCGGGTGGGACGTCTCATCTCAGATAAGGAGAGCGTCCCATATTTTCCATTTTAGTCTGCCCACGCCAGGTCTTCAAAGGCTGGGCTGGAAGTTTGACAGCAAGCTCCGTAATTAATTAGTTTGTGTTTTTTTATTTTTTATTTTGGTCGCCGCTTGCAAGGTGAGACTTTTGGTGCTGTTGTGGATTTTTCGTTGGTAAGGGATGCTTGCTGCTATTTTTACCGATTGGAGCTGACGAATGCACCACCCAAGCTTTCTCTGCCCAGCCCATATCAACGGGCTAGTAAGGTCGATTGTCACTCCGGCTGCCGTGACATGACATGACAGGGCGGTTCGGCTGGCCTGGTGCATGACGAGGCGCAGTTGCGCACAAAGGCAAGGGGCCATCCGTACAACAGTCAAGAGCTGCGTCGTCACCACTGCACACACCGTACCCAGCCGTGTGAATTTCGATATTCGAGTGGCAGGAAAAACCCGTCAGAAGGTTAAGCATCGTCAACCGTCAGCGCCAGCGGGAAGCGCGCCGGGTGGCCGGTCAACCCAGCAGAATTGTGGAAAAGAAATGACATCCAGAACATCTGGTGGAGCCGTATATGTTGCCGTGGAGCCCTGCCCCCTGGTCCACTTCATAATATTATCCAGCGCGAGCCGCAGGTGAAACCAAAGGAGGATCGACCCTGAAATGCGCCACTAAGGCAAGGCAAAATTACGAATCGACGGGGATCCCTTTGTGCTTCCGTCTAGCCATCGGTTTTTTTTCCAGGCGTATATATATTTCCCGTCTCTTCCACGCGGTTCTGTTTTCGATTTCTTTCTTTCTTTCTCTCTCATATATATCTCTCACGCACGAAACGATACCAAAAGTCATCAACGCAGACCTACCATCCATACTCTCAGCCTCATAACCTCATAAACCGAGTTCATCTCAACAACACAACACACAATCAAAATGCGTTTCTCTGTCGTCTCCGTCCTTGCCGTGGCCACTCTCGCCATGGCCAAATCTGAGGTAAGTTGCTGCTGAGTTCACTTCGAAGTCATCGAACGAACGACTAACCTGAGATATAGTCCTCTGCCACTGGCTCCATGACCATTCTCCCAGTCACTAGCAGCATGGTCATGACCACTGCCCCATACCCAACTGGCGGCGTCCCAACTGGTGCTCCTGGAACCGGCACTGGTGTCCCAACCGGTACTCACAACTCTACCCGCACCATCCACACCAGCACCCGCACCGGCTCTGGTCCATCTTCCTCTGCCACCCACACTTCCACCTCCACCGGTCTCGCTGCCACCGCTGGCCCAGCTCTCGCCGGTGTCATCGGCGGTGCTGCCGTCATTGCTGCTTTCCTTTAAATGCATAATCCCGAGCACGAGGGGGAGGGGTTTCCCGTTCCGATCTTTGGGCAAACATATATCTTAATTGGTCCGAAGAAACGGGAATAATCAGGAAATTTCTCTTCCCGTAATCCTTGTCATCGTTCTTGTTTTCGCATCCATTATGTAGAACCCTTTTCTGTACTATTTTCTTTAACTTAATATACCACTTGCTTATTCACCTGGCGTTGGGCTTCTCCAGCGGTGGTGGCCTCTGATTTTGGATATTTTGCAACAAAAAATTGGACACGCCCCGTTCCTTTGTCATGGCTTGCTTTGCTTTCTGTTCCAGGCCTTTGACCGCCTTTCATATGTGATTCTAGATAGATATCTTAATGCAGTGTTGATAAACAAACATCCTCTGCTTTGTTCACGTACCTATCCCTATCCTTATCGTCCGGCATAAGCATGCACGGGAGCCAGGGATCCGTCTGGCTCCCCCGGCAACGACCGTCAGACGGACTCTTCCTTGCCAATGACGCTGTTGTTGCTTCTGCAGAGTGAAGTATGGCGTTGCAGGGAAGTCGAACGCGCTAAGTGAGAAAAGTCGCGGCGAGAAAAAAGAAAGAAAGCCCGTTTTCGTGTCAACTTTAGCCTCTTCCGGCCTAGCCCGTCGCCCCAAGCTCGACCAACTCGCATCTCTCTCTGCGGCATCAAAACAAACATCACCACAACAACGACCAGACGATAATGCGCATTGATTTATTGTTTCTTTAAAGGTCCTGAGTTGGGTCTTCCTTTTCTTTTGACTCTGTAGTACTTCTTTTCTCGTATCTACCTACGGAGTATACCTGCTGGAAACTGGGCGCACAGTTGTACCCGCCACCCAAATACTGAACAGGAAGATGGTATGTCCTATGACGCTCTATATCAGTCGAACAATACAGCTAACATGCTTCCTAGGCTTCCAGCTTGAAGCGTCTGGCGAAAGACCACGCTGCCCTTCACCATAGAGGGCTTCCGCCGTACTACTGCTTTCCCAGCTCCAACCCCGCGGGCCCGGATAGCTTGACACAGCTCACAGTCCTACTCACCGGTCCGTCTGGCACACCTTACTCTCAGGGTCTCTGGCGTCTGCAGCTTCGTCTGCCAGAAGACTACCCGGCCAGCCCGCCAAAGGCCTTTTTCAGGACCCGGATATGGCATCCTAATGTTGAGGAGTCGACAGGCGCAGTCTGCGTGGACACACTAAAGAGGGACTGGGATTCGAAACTTACGCTGAAAGATGTCCTTGTTGTGAGTTACCTTTACCGCTTCATAGCCGGAACCAGTGCTGATCTGTGACCAAAGACAATATCGTGTCTCTTGATACATCCTAACCCGGACTCGGCATTGAATTCCACTGCCGGGGCGTTGCTGCAGGATAATTACGAGTCGTTTGCACGACAGGCAAAGTTGATGACATCCATACACGCGCCTATACCAGAAGACATGAGAGACTCTGTGAACGAGGCAAGACGAGGAGCCGATGAAGCTGAGCAGGCGAGTGGCGAACAAAAAGGCTCAGATACGGGCCTATCTAAAGGACTGCCATCATCCACAGTCACCATGAAACGAAAACAGCCAGCTCCAGGACCAGAAGAAGGCTCAAACATGTATCCCACATCAACACAAGAACAATATCCCCTCCCCGCAGACCCAGACTCAGACTCGGATGCAGAATCCGATGCAGAAAATTCCGCATCAAAAGAGAACGATCCCACCCTCTCCAGTTCCCCAGTAATAATACCCGCCCGCAGCCCACGTAGCGTTCTCGGAAAACGCCCCTTATCCGTTCTCTCCGCGCCAGAAGAACCAGACCTAGTCTTGATAAACGACTCCTCTGACGATGAAGACGGAGACCACCACTCTGAATTCAGCGGCATGACAGCTTCAGAAAAGAACGTTGCAGCCAACGTCTCCAGTCCCGCTACGGTCGTGGCCAGAAATAGATCCAATTCAACACACTTCATTCCATCATTGAATGATCAATCATTATTACTGCAGCTGCGACGAAAGGCGCCTAAGTTATCTGATTCGGGAGCTAAGAGGTCATGCATCAATGTAGCTCCCGTCAGCATATTTACTAAGTCGGCGGATAAGAAGAGAGTGCCGGAGGGTATTGTGGTTAAACCACTCAGTCCGATTATGAGTGCAACTACCTCGATGACAGCAACGGCCACGATGAAGGATGAAAGCTCGCTGCTACCGAGTCTGAAGCAGGCGTCTAGCGGAAGCAACAAGATCGCGCCACAGCCGTCCTCGGTAGCGGTAGAGGGAGAGGTGTCTCGATCTATGGCGCCTGCTTTAACGAAGAGGCCTGCCTTGAGCAACCTGACGGTGAGACCAAAGCCTCGAACTGGGCTAAGGCGGCTGTGAGGATCTTTATTTCTTTCTTCCTGGGTGTTATGATAACTACGATGATGATGATGATTGACACGGCGGCATATTAGCATCGTTCGCTTGTATATACTTAATTACACAATACCATTGGCGCGTTTATGCATTTACATCATAACACCACCATCTACGGAGTACATTGCCTTCCCCCCTGTATATGTATACGCAGCTCGCTTGGGATAGCCAATGGCAAATTTCAAAACCGGGGCCTTTTAACGAGTAAACGGCTTTTATTAGAATCGGCTAACTATAAAAACATTAAGTAACAATAATGGTTCAGGAATAATGATAATACTAATAACAATAATGACAATAATAGATGTAAAATAATAGAAAAGAACACAATATTAAATAGACAGCTGGCCAATTTTTCCACCTTGCACCAAGCTGGTCAGACATGCGGGAGGAAATGGGTAATTTTCTTCGGGAAAAGAGTTTTTTTGGGGGGGTGGTCGGAGTGCATGATTCAACGTCTTGGAAAGCGAGGGTCTTCGCTTCGGGCCCTTTTTTTGCTTTTTCTTGCTTTTCCTTTTCTTATTTCTTGCCGGGGGTAATGGGCATTTTTTCATTTTAAAGCCCGGTGGATGTTTGCACCTTTCCAGGTACAGTTATGGTGTGTGTTCTGATGGGATACGATGAACGCCAAAACGTTCGGATAAACGCCAGCAATGAGTATAACAATATAAATGTGATACGTATGAAGGAAATGTAAAGAGCGACATTTGTGATGTGAATCACGAAGAGACGAGAAAAGAAAAGAAATATGTTGAATGCTGCAGTGAGCGGAGTGAAAGTTTTTAAGAATGCATTGCGAGCAGAGCTTTCAGGCAAGTGAATCGATTTGACAGTGAAATAGAATATTAATGTCGCATAAAGACGTCGAGCGATAAAAACAGACGATCCGATCCAATACTTGATAGTAGGCCGTTAATATTCAATTTGGATTTGGGCTCCTACATAGCGTAGGGGTTCATGGATCGGATGGTCAAGCACCTGGAAGAGTTAATGTTAGTTATGAAATTCCAGAAACGTGATAGACGGGGGAAAGAAAACTTACGGTGGGCTCTTGGAGAGGTCAATCTTGAGAATGATTGGCACACGAGTCATTTCTCTGACGTCCTGGATGTATTCACCATCCTCCTCACGCAATTCGAAGAGATGTCCGTATCTCTCCCTGTTCGTCATCTGGCCGTTGGTAGCCTCGCCAGCAGTGGTTGCGATCCTGGGATCAGACTGTGTGCGATGAGGTGGGTGTGCAACACCGTTCCTCGTTGGGGACGGTGGCATGCTCTGAGTAGAGCGGTCGGTATTATTATTATTATTAGAGTTGAGGCTTACTCCAGCAAGGTGATCGGCGACTTCTGACAGGTCGTCGTCGTCATCAAACAAATCTTCAACAGCGTCAGTCGAAATTGTGCTGGTTTCAGTGCCTCTTCGCTGAGCCTCCTCTCGCTCGCGTGCCCTCTGTCGTGCTTCCTCTGCTTCACGAGCGGCGGCTGCATGGTTGGCGGCGCGGGCACTGAGAGCTGGTTTAGGACGCTCGTCCTCGGGGATGTAGGTCGATGATGGCACGCCCTTCTCCCAGTACAATTCCAGAACGCGGTCATTCTTGCGGAATTCGGCCTTCTTGAGAGGCAGCTGATCGCAATGGACACGTTTTTCAAATCCATATTGTGGGATCAGAACATCAAAGGCGGATTCGTAGACGCAAAGGACAATTCCTTCAGCAATCAATTCACTTCCAATCTCCTGTCTTTCCTTGTCCATTGCACGGCAGGCTTCAATGTGCACACTCTGCTCTTGAGCAGTTTGGGCAGAATCCTTCTTGTTGTTACACTGATCAGCCAACTTAGCGAAGGCTTCCATGTCTTCGGGCCAGTCTGTTGCGCCAGATAGAGCTGCTTCCAACTGTCTGTGAACAATGATATCGGCATAGCGGCGAAATGGGTTGGTGAAGTGGGTGTAGATGGGCAGGTTAAGAATGAAGTGTGGCCGGTCTTGCTCGCTAACATTGCCAGAAATATAATACTTTCCGCGTCCCATGGCCTTGAGAAGGAGTGTTTCCATGCCCTGTCATATACATATATTAGCACAATGAACTGAGACGTTGTATGGCTGTGGGGAGACAAACCTTGCGCAAATCATCATCTTCCACCTTGAAGAGACTGTTCTGCACCAAGCCGCTGCTAGATGAGTCGATTTCATACCCAAGATTGTTCATTCTCTCAACGAATGTTTGCATACGCCTAAAGTTTGGCGGAGCCTGTCTGCGAAGGAAGGCCTTCTCAGGGAAGGCAGCAACAATCTTCTTGGCGACGAAGTGGTTGGCCTTGTAGCTTAGCTCCTCGATAGCTTCATGTGCAGGTGTAGAGTTGAAGATGTTACGCTCCACCGGCACATTCTCGTCATCAAGCTGGTACAAGAGACGAAGAGGTTGCAACCTCTCCGAACGATGGCCAAGTCGTGCTTCGCGGAATTTACGGGTGATATCCTAACATCATGTTAACATCTCTTTCTCCTAGTAAGGAAATAAAGAAAGAAAGAAGGGGGAATGGAAAGGGGCTAAACTCACAAACAACATCTTAATATCTCCGACCGTAACACCGCCAAGTTGGACGTCATCAGATCCATGAATTACCTTGTCAACGTCATGGTAGCTCAGTTTGCCTGAGCTCTTGATCAGGCCTTTACCAATCCAGGGCTCACCTTCGACAGCACCAGACTTGGGATCGACCTTGAACACGACACTCATGGTGAGACGTTGTTCGCCTGGCAAGAGAGCCAGGATTTCGTTTGACAATCGCGATGGGAGCATGCTCACAACGCGGTTTATCAGGTAGACGCCGCTGCCACGCTTCTTCGCTTCTCTATCAATAGGGGTATTTGGTTTGATGAAATGAGAGACATCGGCAACATGAATACCGATTTCAACCTTTCCACCATCTACGGATTTAATATGGATAGCATCATCCAATTCTTTGGTCCCGTTGGGATCAATAGTGAAAGTGTTCTCGCTACGGAAATCACGACGGGATTGGAGGGCTTCAGCATCCTCCTGATCAATGGACCAATTTTCAAAGCCAAGCTTGTCAAGGACCGATGCGGGGAACTCATCAGAGGCGAAGTTGTTATCGCGGAGCAAAGCGTCAGTCTCGACCCTGAGATCGCCCATGAGGCCTAGCTGTTCAACAAGAGTTCCGAACGGATGGAGAGAGGTGATGGGCCATCTCTTGATACAAGCAACAAAGATGTCGTTGGCGTAGTTTGCATGCTTCTCGAGGAAGTCACGGGGCGCCTGCTCAGTTGGGATAGCGATAAGGGGAACACGCTTGTCGGTAGGCTTGAACCAAACGATCTTAGGCTTTTCCGCGCGGCGCTCTTCGCGTCCATGGTGTCCGTCTCTGACCCTTTCAAGCTCTTGCTTTTCCTTGGTGGCCTGGCTGCTGGGGCGGAGTAGACCCAAAGATCCGGAGAACATCTGTCCTGGAACACGCTCGATGACGGCAACGACGTGGCCTGAGTACAGGGGCTTGTGGTCATCGCTGATCTCGTCTTCTTCAACAAGAAGCAAGCTCTGGCCTTCGACTTCGACGTCGTCGTTCTTCTTCTGGGTAGGTCGCTGGCGGAGACTGCCTCTGCGTCGGATACTGCCATCGGGGCCTACTTGTTGGTTATCGGCGTTGGCGTTGGAATCAGAACGGCCTCCTCGGTCAAGGCCAGCGGCACTTCCGCTTCTGGTGTCGGTGATGTCCTTGCGCTTCTTCTTTTCTTCCTTTTCGCGCTTCTGGCTCCAGACCTCATCGACATCAAGGAGCTCGATGGCAACCAAGTCGCCTTCGAGGGCTCGGTTTCTGTCCTTGCTACCACAGATGAAGATATCTGCGTCTAGATCGGCACAGCTAACATATGCGTCGGAACGGTTTTTCTTGTTGACACGGAGGATACCGGTAACGAGCTGGCCAGCAGCCAAGAGACCAGGAAGACTAGACTGGGCAAGATACGGGGTAAAGAGTGTCTTCCTCTGTTGCTGCTGTTGCTGTGGGGTCATCTGGACGTTTGCTTGCATGCCGTTGAGTTGACCACTCTGTAGTTGTGCCTGTAGCTGTGCCAACTGCATGGGGTTATACTGTTGTGGTTGACCGGGGAACATCTGCGGCATAACCATTTGGCCTTGAGGCAGCTGGAGAAGCTGTTGCTGGTTAGGGAACTGGAAGTTTCCGACAGACTGGTTGATAGAGCCTCTGGCGCGGTGACCTGGCTGGAAACCACCGCCACCTTGCTGTTGTTGCTGCTGCTGCTGTTGGCCCATGTTGTGGCCGCCCTGGGCACCACCTTGCTGGCGCCAGTTGCTGTCGAAGTTTCTAGAGCCGCTTCGACCGTGGCCAGGTTGGCTTGTTCGTCGTGCACCATCAGCTCCGGCAGGGCCAGCAGTTTCGCCGGCTGGAGAGAACTGGAATCCTGGGGTAGTTCTACCAGTCGCTTGACGGCCATTGCCAACAGCCATAGACTGACTGCGTAGATGGGCACCGCCACCTCGGATGTTTCCTGATCGCTGGACGCCAAGACCTTGAGCTGGTTGCTGCTGGGCCATAGTGGGGCTATTGTCTTCTGGCTTTTCGTCCAAAGCTTCATTTTGGCCTGCGGGGGAAGCACCAGAAGCGCCTGGGATAGGGAATTGGAAGCCCGATGTAGTTCTCTTTTGCTGGGCGAGCTCCGCGGCCCTTCTGGCTTCGGGTAATGCGAGGGAGTGACGGCGCTGGTGGCCACCTCCTGGAGGACCACCACCTCGGCGGGCCTGATTGCTGTTTTCACGGCCATGGTTTCCATTGTTTTGTCCCTGTGCCTGGCCGTTGTCGCCATAGCCTGCGGCGCCGGATGCTCCGGTAGATGGAGCAGGTGGCGGGCCCATTCCAACGTTTGGAAGGGCTGATTGATTGCGGCGATGGCTGCCAGCTTGGTTTGCGTTGCCCATGTGAATTCCGAGCTGCTGTTGTGCCTGCATCGGGGAGAGTTGGAATCCTTGCATTTGGGGATAACCTTGCTGTGGGATAGGCTGCTGGGACTGCATCATGCCCATGTTTCCCATATTGCCCAAATTCATATATTGTTGATGCGCAATTTGCTGTTGCTGCTGCTGCAGGTGTTCAATTTGTTGTTGTAAAGCGAGTTGTTCCACTAGAACCAGTCAATACCCATATCTATATACGGAGGAGCAAGGAGAGCCACGTACTGAGTAACGGGGTGAGGGAGGAAGGGGTACGTCGATGGGCGACATTTATGCGGCGACCGGCCGGTCCCGGGACACTTGACTGCCCCTGGGGGCCTTGAGAGTCCATAATGATGGCTTAGAAAGGCACGAAATGACGGAGTTTGGTAATTACTAGTCAAGTGAGAGTGCTACTCGACAACCAAGGTGTTCTAGTCAAATTAGACGGTCCATCAAAGAGAACTCAACAGATAGAACGGAGCAGAACCAGATGCAGACAATACTAACAAGACCAGAATCAGAGTAAAGAGTATGTGTGTAAAGGGATGTGTGTATGTTTGTGTCTTGTTGACTGCAGCTGGACAGGAAAGAATGGACAGGACAGGCTGTAGGAGCGTATGATGCAGGGAAAGAAGCGAATATACGGAGAAAGCAGCCCTTTCGACCGGGATATCACTGCTTATATCCTTCTCGCTGGCTCGACGTCCGCAGCTCTAGGACGAGCCGCCGGAGCGTGGCAAGCTGCACGGAAACAGACGAAGCTCGACAGGGGACCTCGTCTCTGCGCTCTCCGATGGATATGAGTGTGTGTGTGGCTGCTTTGAATGAGGGTGAAGGTAGAGGTGCGGGCGGCGAACGAGCTCGGCTGAGGAGGCGAAGGAGGGAAAGGAGGCGCTGGAGACAACAAAGAAGGAAAGGGAGTGGACACGGCAAAGGAGGGACGTCTGAGAGAGCGACGCAGTGACAGGACGGTGGAGGAAGAGAAGACGAAGAGAAGAAGAGAAGAAGAGAAGAAGAAGAAGAAGAGAAGTTGAAGTTGAAGATGTGAAGATGGAGGTTGACGCTTTCTGGTCTTTGGGGGGCAAGGCTCTTGGCATACATACGACAACAGACGACATAGACATAGACGAGACAACATACGATATAAACAGAGACGAGATAGAGACGAGATAGACGTACTTTTTTCTATTTTGTCGGAGAGGTAGTCGGTAGATGAGTGAGAGAGGATACAATGAGAGAAATCGCGGTGGGAATGAAATCGACCTGAAAGCAAAGTCGCCTGCACTGGAGTGAAGGAGAGGAGGAAAAAGCAAGGTGACGGCTACGAGGGAAAGGCAGGGAGAGATCCCTTATATACGCTCGCCTACGCTCTGCTCGCCCTTTTCGCACTCGCACAGTGTCTTTCTGGCCAGGAAGCGTCCGGACGGTGATGTAATATGTAGGTATAGAATCCGGGGCACTCATTAGATGAACCAGACGTTCCTCAGCTTAACATTAACAGCTAACGTTTACTACCGATGTAACGTGGCTCTGTTGACTACTGTTGACTGTGACTACTGTTAGATGTGTTGAGACGTTGATGTTGACTGTTAGACGTTGACTGCATGATATCTGCATGAGCTTATCTGATCCGGCGTCTTTTGAAGTCGACCGGGATGCCTCGCTGCTACACCATCCGTACATTCAGTCGACTGCTTTAACGTTTGACGGAGCTTGGAGACTTCGCCATCAACCGAACCACAGAACACGAACACACATATTCACGGCCCAAGATATACACCCTACCGAAAACCGTTGATACGGCCTGCTATTACGTGCTAGACTTCTCGCGCCGGCGCCGGACAGAGCCGTTTTTCGCCGTCAGACCTTTTACCCGAATCAGCCATCCTCGAACATACGGTATACCATTGCCACTCTGCCGTGCCCTGTCTCGCCGTAAACACACGCCATGGTTCGAGTCAACTCGGTTACGCACCGGGCTCCCGACAGTCCCAGCCGGCAGCTCATCCAGGAGCTGACCAAGGACCTCGAGCAGGTCAGGATACACGGGGAAGAGTTAAAGCGCGTCAAGGCTTACGAAAGCCGGACCTTCTACGAAAGACTAGACCAGATAGACCGCCAACGCGAGGAGGTCCACACGACAGCTCTGAATGAAGCTGCTGCCAACAGAGACAGACGGAGACAGCAGGCCGAAGAGACGCTCAGGCAACACCTGCTCGCGGTAGAAGAGGAGAGAAAACGAAAAGAAGAAGGAGAGAGGCAAAGGTTGGAAAAGTTACGTCTAGAAAAGGCGGAGAAAGAAAAGAAAGAAAGAGAGGAAGCCGAACGAGTTCAGGTAGAGAGAAGAGCTAAAGACGCTGAACGAGCGAGGTTAGCCGAAGAAGCTGAAAAGTCAAAGAGAGAGGCAGAGGATAGGGCACGCAAGGAACGGGAAAAGCTTGAGCTGGAAAGGAAGAAAGCTGACGATGAGCTTAAACGGAAGGCAGAGGAAGAGGCCAGACAGAAGCTGGCTGTCGAGAAGGAGAAGAAAGAGGCCGCCACGAAGAAGAGCGGCATATCCGGCTCTAATCATCGGACCGCAAAGGAACTCCAAGAGCATGAACGGTATATAAAGCTTCATGCCCATCTGAAGGAGTTCAGACTGTACATGCGAGCTCAAACCAAGACGAACCCGGTCCTAAAGCAGCATATGGGCGATATGCGCCGGACTATCCGAAAGTGTGTTGGCCAGTTGGTGACGGAAGACAAAACCGCGAACCAGAAACCAGTAAGTTATTCGTACTCTGACTTATGCATGTATACATCGAACTGACCTGTATAATAGACCCGAGAAATTGCTGCAATTCTCAGAAAAGCACAGGACTTGGCCGAACCGAGCGTGGATATCCGGCAGTTCATCGCCTTTCCGCCACCAAATATTGCAAGTCTAGAAAACCCCCAGGTTCCGGCTCTGTGGGTGTACCTTCTTAACATTCTAGCTAAATCTATACTTGCTCAGCTCATGGCCGAGGCTGGAGTTACTACAAAGTGCGCGGAGCCGTTGGGCGTTCTGACCGCCCAGATATTCTCGATGGACGTCTTCTGTTTCCAGGGCCAGTCGATGATCGATATCCTCCTTGCCAAATACCGGTTTCTCTGTCCCGTGCTCTGGGGCTTCTACGGTGACCAGACTACAGACGAAGGCAGGACGGCAATCGGCTGGATACGAGAGGAAGGCAAAGGCGCCTTTGTAAGTGCACAACTTCATGAAGAACGCATGGCTGGTCTCGGGGCCGGTTATGCCGCCATTGCATTACGGAACTTTGCCAAAAGTCCGCGCCAGAACCCTTATCCAAACAGTTACTTCTGGAAGACGTTATCGTATATCGTCAACGTTCCGCCCACAGAGGTGCAGGATACGCATCTCGTCGTTCTAGCTGCCATGCTACGCTATTCGGCACCGCGAATTGTCAATTTCTGGGGCGATATGGGTGTACTGGCGCTACGGCAGGCCATCGTTCAGTTCCCTGCTGGGCTGCCTAAGAAATCGACGCAGCGAGCCATGGTCGAGGATCTCCGCGATGTCCTCGCACGTGAGAAGAGGATAGTTATCTAATCAACGCGAATACATGGGCAGGGCGAATGCACATATATCTATCCATGGTTGCTTGATAGAGCATCATGTGTTGCGCTAACCTGATATGACGGCATGGAATTAACCTTCCAAGATCTGATGCAACTGCACGGAATTGTTTGCCGATTTGATATTGCTGGGTACTGCATCTTACAGGCCTATCAGCCAAGTCAGCTATTCATGTGATGGATGGTCTATGAACTTCTAGGCTCCAATGCCTGATATCTGGCTTGCATAATACACCGATGCACCAGAGAACCTTCATGACCCCTTTTCTCTCCCACTACGCATTGCCACGAATCCCCCTTACTGGCGGATTTGTTTCGTTCTTGGCCATAGACCCTGGAGCAAGGTACAGCCATCCCCGAACGCTCATTTACTAGGTTCTTACCCCTTACAGACTTGGATGTATTAGGAGGCTGAGGGCGGCTCGTGAACAATTTCCTATTTCCTACCTCTTAGGTGAGGCTTTTTTCTACTGCCATCCCTGCTTTTGTCATGTACATATACAACGTATGGAATAGGGAGTATGGTAGACGGAATTCGAAATTTGAGAATTGAAACGTACCCTTTTGTGGCACGAAGCTGGCATGGATGCATGGGCTCTTGGGTGAGGCGGTATTGCCTCCGTGTCCTGCATGAACATTCCTTGAGGTGAAGATTCGCTTTGTCTGGGGGAGAAATCATCCGTCAGCACAGGACGCAGCCTCCCAGCATGTAGCTATGCTATGCCATGCCGCATGAACTGTCAATGCACTTCCGCCTATTTTAAGCTACATGTTGGTCAACGAGCAGGTTTAGGTCGTTACGCCGTCGCATTGATGACCTGTGGCCGTGAGGTCGTCGCAAGTTCGACGGTAGTAGATTAAGCCACGGACTAAGGGACGATTCCCAAGCATTATCATGGCCCATCCGGGGGCATAAAAAGGCACTAAGGCCTTACGATACAATACCGATGCATGGCCCCTGCTTGTAGATTGCTCCCTGGCCCTATCAAAACCCCTGATCCTCAGCCTCTGCTGGGCGACTTTCCCCCAACGCCGGGTTGTTCATGCATGGCTGTCTCCCTTGCGGCTCAACACTGTTATCTGGCGGTGGCAGACCCTGAACTCTCGTCGTCAGCTTCGTCGGCGTGGTCTCGGAGCCCCGGACCTACCGAGATGCTTGCATACCGAGTAGGCTATTGGGGGTTATACATCGGTTTCCATATTGAGAAACTGGTGCAATCGACCAACATGGACGATCCGTACATGTTCTCGACACGCGTCTTTGCTCTCGGCGACGGTGAATAATGCTCGAGGACGGAGTACGCCCATCTCCAAGCCTTACGTACGGAGTACCTCTGTTCGATTGCTAGATCTACTTGACGGCCGTAAGACAAGATGCAAGACAAAATACAAAAGACAGAATGCAAATGACAGGATGCAAATGACAAGATGCAAAAGACAGAATGCAAAGACAAGATGCAAAGACAAGATGCAAAAGACAATATCATCAGACCAGAAGGCCATCAGCAGAGCCCCAATGTTGCATCAGATTATGAATTCATGCAGTGCAAGAAACGGCGTTTCCCCCTTTTCTTGCGCTTAATTGGTCGACCGTTTTCGTCCGCATCCCACGACCAGCTCTACCGCCGTCTAGACTCCGTAGCCCAATAGAGCCCGACTTATAAACGGAATAAACCACTTCCGCGCGGAGTTTAGCGACTTGGCAAGTATGTATACAAGTTTCGGGCCTCAACAACGGCAGCAAGTTTATCGTATTCCTTTTCTTCCAATCCCACCTTGCGGCATCAGTGGCATGCGTGAATACATGCATGGAGACATGGATGGCTCCCGGCCTCCCGTTCTCGTGGGCTATGCTCGGTGGTCGCCGATCATTTGTGTCCAAAAGCTCGATCCCAAGCCCCCCGCAGGGCGCTGGCACTAGAAAATTAATAGGCAACCATCCCTGCATGATAATCAACACTAGCAATAGTGAAAAAATACGCCATGTGTTTGGCCCATGCATACGCTACCGTTCGAGAAGCAGCTTGAGTTCGAGCCTGGTGGGAGATCGATCCGGGGTGAGAGAGCAAATGCGATCACCGTGGGATTCCCCCCTGTCCCCCCCGTACAGCAAATATACTTAGTCACCTGTGCAAAAGTCTCAGAATCGCAATTGGCAAATGTTTCCTATCCATGCTCATATGTGATTGGCGAATACCGCCATATTTTCTCCGTTATATCCATGCTGTGGCAGCCATGGGCTCAGGTCTGCCTGTCTTGCTGTTTGCTAGTCGGTACTGGCACACAGCAGTGAATACCGAGTAGAGGGAGAGAGCAACCAATCTGCACTCTTCTACCTTGCCTATCCCTTGTTCTCTCGTTCTCCAAAACTGGCCCCCATCTTCCTTGTTACATGGTGGAGATAAGAAGGGTCAACGGCATAAATTCCGAGCCTTGAGCCACTCTGTGATGATAGAAAAACATTTGCATAATTATGTGGCTTTTCCCTTTACATGTCACCGCTGGAGCCTTGGATCTCCATCACTACGTCTTTGTCCGGCGCTAATTCTACCCTCTACATATTTATAAATACCAACATATATACCTCAGTCATGGCTTTGGTTATGATGCCGCTTTGCCGGAGTCGTCAGACAGACTATCCTTTAAAGGCATCAAAGACAAACACCCCAAAAATGCCAAACGCAGAAGAGCAGAGCAAGGAGGCCAAGAGGAGGGAATATAATCGCAATGCTCAGCGAATGTTTAGTGAGTCACTGCTTGCCCCCATCCACTTAATCTATGTATGAAATTAGAGACGGTTTTCTGATACGAGATTTAGGGCAACGTCGCAAGGAGCATATTAGGAATCTAGAGCGTGCGGAGCGCGAACGGATCTCAAGCCAGTTAGAGGAGATCGAGCTCCTGCGGCAGGAGAACCTGGAGCTTCGACAGGAGAATGAGACGCTATCGAAATTCGGCTCCAGCTGCAGCTCTCCCTCGTTGCTCTCAGTTGGCCGTCCTTCACATATTGGTCTTCATGAGTCAAGTCCTCTCATGACAACAGCCGAGTCAGTCCCGGGCGTCTACTCCGGGTGTCTCTTCCCAGACGCTGCTGCAGCAACAACAACAAGTGCTGCAATATCCCCCCGTAGCTCATTGGAAGACGCTCCAACCCCAGCAAATAGATTCTGCATCGTGACACCATACGACGTCCGTCGAGTTCGCACTTACCTATACTCACTCTTCCATCCTGTCCTAAACCTCGCCGTGCATGGCGCCTATCCGGATCCACAACTACATTTTTTTACACTCTCAAGGCTAGCACCCTCTCTTCCTCCATCATTAAAACCCACCGCTCTCCAGCTGCAGACACCACACAACCCTCGGATCGATCTGATACCCTCACCGACACTGAGAGATACGTTACTGAGTGTAGACGCTGCCACAGCGTCCACATTCCTAACAGAAGTTTGTACGTTTGCATGTGAGATCGAAGACCATGGACAGGTGATTATCTGGGGAGAAAATTTCCTTAATGAGTTTTCATGGGAGTTCTCGGCAACGGTGTTGGAGCGATGGGGCGGTTGGATTCTTCCCTCTATCTGGCGTGAGCGAGCGGACTTCTGGCGGCGTCAGAGAGGGGACCCAGTGCTTTACAGCACCTGGGAGGACCTTGTATAGATGGTACTGTATAACGACACTTATGAAATATTAGCGTGGATTATTAGCCTCTACCCCTTTTTTTGGACTTTTCTTTTATTCCCTTTTTGTTTATAAAAATATATTCCCCTGTCATACCCATGAAGTTCTATTCACGCGATATCCTGCGCCCCTGATAGAGAGGTAGAATGTACAGAGTACGGAGTCATGATATCGCGATCTCTCGGACCAGCCTTCCCGGTATTAAACCCCCATGCGTTCTCCACATGGGCTATGGAAGCCTGAGGCCGCCAAGGATCCAAACGGTTGTTAATTTCGCTAACTTTGGAGCGTGACAGGGGAGGTGCGGAACGATGTAATCTCGCTGCGCCGTAACTAAGGGTTATGGGCAGCTGGTTGGCTGAGAGGTAATTCATGCGTTGGCAGACAAAATGATAGAACGTAGGCGCTGATGGGATGCGAATGGGCATGACTTGAGTTAACCAGGGATTCTCCCACGCAGGAACGCATCATTACCCTGGAGCCTGCTATATATGTCGATGTATACCTTCCATACTTTGGGTTGTGGTGTGGTGGATCCCTGGTCGCAATTTTTACCTGTTCGGGTTTAGCCTCTGCCGGCCCAGCGGTGCTGCGGCAACTGTATTTTAACATGGGTTAAAAAGTAGCTCCTAAAAGCATGCGAAGTCACGAATCACGGACTAATGCACCGTTGTCTTTCTCTAGAACCATGAGATCTCACTAGGGTTGTCTAGAGTTACATCGCCTGCAGGGTACAAGCTGAATCAATGTGACGGCTGCTCTCGTGAGAATTAACAGCCAGCCTTGCCGTTCTCTGGTCGACCCGTGGTACGGAGTACATCCTCTGGGTGTGCGTAAGGGAAGCGGGCCTCGAATGGTAGAAAATACCCATTGAAGGGTCTCCAGTCGTTGTGAGAGAGGTAAGTAATGCGCCATTTTCACATGGCCTACGTGCTAGCCAGGTTGTCTGCAAGCGGGGCCTCCGGACGATGCAGCCTTCCCGGTATCCTTGGGCCAAGGGCACGCGAAAGCGACAGCCTGATGTTGGGAGGGACATGAAACAACGGAACGTGGCAACTGTAGGGATTGGACCCTTGCTTGAGTCGATGGAGCATGCATATACTGCATATGCAAACGTACTTCATGGTAGACGTCATGGTTGAAAACCAGACTGACTAGAAACTACATTCCTATAAGGGATATTCAAATGACTATACCGATTCACCCTGCCGCGTGGTATGAATAAGAATAGGAGACTAATGTAGATCTTTGAGAGAGTATATTTAAAGTGCCTAGAATAAGGCTAGGAGAATAAAGCCTATATCCAAAAGGCGGGAACTTGGTCTGAGAGATTAGCTTAAATATAAAGTCGAGAGGAGACAACGTAACGGGAGTGGACGGAGGTACTAAGAACCGATGACGTAGGAAAAAAGTATTATATAGAAGGGGAAGCTGAAGGATAGACGTGAATAATTATACAGAAGGAAGAAGGAAAAACAAGGAAAAGGAGTCGGTATCACAAATTCTAAGAAGAGAGCCGTAAAACAAAGATTAAATATATAAGGAAATAATAAGGGGCGAGAAGAAGGGTGAAAGATCGTAATCGCTATGCAAAAAAAATCCAATCCAAGAAGTGTACTATATTGTAGATAGTGGGGAAAGGGAGAAGTAAGAAGTCAAGCAACGGGGTCTTTGGAAACCAGGCAAAAGTATATAATGAGAAATAAAAGTAAGGTTTGGTATATGGTTCATCTGGCTCTTAAATCTCCGGACCAAACGGGCCTTCGATAGGGCGAATACCAGGTTCCCGTCCTAGTAGGCCGCCAATGACGCTATCGTTATCGTTGTCGTCTGCCGGACCACCCGCGCCGTAATGCATCGTTTCAGCATCATGGTCGTAGCTAGAGGTTCGCAGGAGTGGCGGCGTCGTGGGGGCCATGATGTTGTCTAGTTGGCGGCTAGAGAGTCTGTGTATGCCTGCATTCTGTCCTCTCAGGGGGCGACTTTCAGAATAAGTTCGCCTTCCAATCGGCGCAGGCGGCACAACAGGGGTGTCACGTGTATTGGAGCTTGGGGGCGTCATCAGCCCGGAGAGAAAGCCCTGAGATGCTGACATTGGCTTGGACGGTTTGGACGGGGTGAGCTGGTCGCCGCCGCTGCTGCCGCTACTGGACGTTGCGGTGGATGCGGCGGGAGGGTTGTTGTTCCCCTTGCGCCAATTACCCCAGGCTGCGGCCGCAGCCAACGGTAAGGTACGGGGAGAAGATGCCAGACTAGTGAGGGAGGCTAAGCTGGGAAATTGCTGGTTACCCCCTGACATAGCCCTCTCCTTTTCTTGTTGCTGCATTTGCAAATTTGCCCGTAGACGGATGGCAGCGTCTCGAACGGAGTGTTGGTCGAAAGAGGGCTGTGAGAGGGCTCGGATGAGATCCCGGAGGTCGTCGACGCGAACGCTGAGCAATTCACGTAACCAGTTGATTTCGGTTTCCTTCTCCTTGATCTTCATGGGCGCATCCTTATCCATGGTCGAGAGTTCATGCTCAAGTTCTTCAATGCGTCCCTCACGCTGTTGCAACTGATCTTGCAAGACCATGATGGATTCGCGCAAGGCCTGTGGTGAGATTCTGTCTGGGACTTCCGAGCCCTGAGCATAAGTCATAGATGGCGCGGTTGTTTGTGTTGGTGGTTGGGGTACTACCACCGGAGCAGCTTTGGCACTTTGCGCTGCCTCTGCTGCAGCGCGGGCGGCAGATTTGGCAATCTCGAGCTTTTCCTCGATATGGGCGACCTTCTCCTGGAGATGCTCGATCTTTTCGTCTCGTAGCGCAACCACTTCCATGTAATGGGCCTCATCTCGTTGCCTATCTTCGGAAGTATTGTGCATAGCACGAGCGTGTCTTTCACGGAGATCATTCAAGGTTCGTTCGTGGAGGCGGCGCTGGTCTTGAATAGCCGACTCCTTGGACTCGGAGGCATCGTGGAGAGCTGCCAGTTTGGAATCTCTAGCTTCGGCAAGTAGGAGTTCATATCTCGCCTTGGCCGTCTCGGAGTCCATCCTGGCATTATCTAGCTGACTCTGCACATTAGATATTTGAGCTTCGAGCTCAGTGCGAACAAAGTTAACTTGGTGGTTTGCCGCATTGAGATCTGCCTCTAGCAGTACCCTGACACGCTCAGCTTCGAAGTGGCTGTTTTCTACGGCCTCCTTGGCTTCGCGTTCAAATCGAGCAGCTCTGGTCTGGTGATCGTGGCTTTCCTGTCGAACGTTCATCAACAGTTCCTCGAGCTTGTCATTTTCGTTCTGAGATTGGTCTAAGATATATCTTAATTTCGTGGCTTCCATCTCTTTTTGTTCAAGATCGTTAATGTGAAGTTCCAACTTCTGTCGCTGTTTAGATTCGCGAGTAAAGTCGGCCATGAGGGTGTTGTATTTGATGTTGGCCTCGACTTCCTTCTTCCTCCACAGAGCCTGCTCTTGGGCAATATCCTTGGTAAGAGTCGTCACATCACCTTGTAACCTCTCGAACCTCTCTCGAAGTTTCTCCTTGACATCGGCGCCTTCTTCGGTCTGAATCTTGAGGATTTCAAGGGTGCGACGGAGATCTTTGTTTTCGGCCTCAGCCTTCTCCTTATCGGCACGTGCTTGATCAGCGCTCACTCTGTATTCGTCCAAAGTGCCTTGAAGGTCGATATTCTTGTCAGACAGCTCTGAAAGGGTCAGGCGCATGATATCTTGTTGTTCCTTGAGGTCCCTGGAGTGTTGTTGACTCTGTTCCATTTGAGGAAGATGTTGGCTCTTGAGCAACTCCAAGGCCTCCTCGGCAGCCAGTCTTGCCTCTCGCTCGGTTGCAGCCTCCTTCTCAGCAAGTTCCATCTGTCTCTGAGCTATTGCTAAAGAATCCTGAGCAGCTCTTCGTGCATTGTACTCCTGGTCAGCGCGTTCATCCGCTAGACGCAGCATGCTTTGCAGGCCGTCGACTTGCAGTTTGAGCTTCTCCATCTCTGGAGCCAAGTCAGGCTTGTCATCGGTGCTCTGCATCGCTAGGAGAGCTGGATGCTCCGAGATGCTCCGGGAGATCATATCCCGAATATCATCCGACTGACTTTGTTGTTGCGATACCGAAGCAATGGCAGTTTTTATCGCGGCGAGCGTAAATGTGATCTCAGACAAGTCGACATTTGGCGCAACTTCTTGCTGAACAGGCTGATGATGAGCGGCCAGGGCGTCTGTAACAATGCTCTTGATCTTCTCAGCCAGCTTGTCACGTTTGTTCCAAGGCGATCGCGACCTGTGACCACCTTCTTCCTCATCATCTTCATCATCAGCATCGCTGTGTTCCACTCTTGCTGAGAGAGACTTGTGTGGCTGCGGTAGGTTCTGAGTACCCATCAGCGTAATGGACTGTTGAATACCGCTCAAGATTCTTTCTACAGGAGCCAGATGCTCGCCGATAGATGTTTGAACAATGTCTTTAACATGGGTTTCGAAGAAGGGAGCTCTCTGTCGGAGCTCTTCATCTTCGCCAGAGGAAATAGCGTCATCCCAGTCACTGATATGATCTTGAGGTTGAGTGTTCAGTTGACGGATAGGGGATTGGGCATCCAATGCTGGGCTGCGCTGTGCCAAAAGAGCTGATGGTGGTAGCATATGGTCGATTGTCTCCTTCTGAACGAACTCTGGTTGCCATGGCTCGGCTCGCAAGCTAGGGCTAGGGGCATTGCTGCGAGAAGCATAGCTTGGTGCGAGTTGAGGAACTGCATCGTTGAGGTTATCATGGAAGACAGGCTGTGGGGGAGGAGTGCCTAGCCTTTCAACGCCGACGTTAGAATCGCCGTCATTGAGCTGTTTCATGACAGCATCAATCTCTTCCTCATCAGACGAGTTGGGATTTTCTGCAGGAGGTTGCTCTGCCTGACCAGTGGCCTTGAGACCAGCCGTAAGGGCACTCTTCTTTTCTGTGGGTTCGGGGGAAACAGACACGGCGTATCGTGAGGCGTAGAGACCTTGTTTCTTTGGTGGTGGAGATACTGGAGTCTGCACGGGCGACACAACGGGCGATATCGATCTCACTGGTGGCTCACTGGGTACAAATTCGAATGGTTTGGCAGTGGGTTTCAAGACCGATGATTTGTGCTCGATAGTTACTTCCTCGACGGTGCTCTCTTGATCATCCTGATCGCCATCCTCGACAATGGTATCTTGTTCTTCCTGATCAACTGAGCCATCTTCCTCGACCGCAGCTTCAGGGCCCTGAGCTGGCTCTGATTCCACCTTCTCACGGTCATGGATAACTCCGTCATCTCCCAGGACAGAAGGATGAGCATTACTAAAGTCAGCTGCGTCTTGTGAGTTCTTGAACTCGAACGGCTTGGCAACAGTGGTGTTATCCTCACGAATTTCACCTTCCTCTAGTTCCTCTGATTCTTCAGGGGCCGACAATATGGTCTCGATAATCTTGTCTTCCGTCCTCTTGCGATTCTCAGCTATCTCAGTTGGGACATCACTATCTTCAACCACGGCAGCCGTACGCTTGGAATCAGCTGCAGCAGGTGACATAGCAAACATAAGCTCTTGCGCATCACTGTGTTCGCCACCTTGGCTCTCGACGCGGCGGACACGCTTTTCTCGGCCCTGAGCACCAAATCTACCTGAAGCATCACCTTCCATCTGGTCGTTGCTGGGCTCGTTGTTCTCATTCTCTCCTGGCCGCACAATCGGGATGGCTTTAGAAGCCTTAGCCGGTGGTATGATGGCCGATGGATCGAAGTTATCAAATATCTTAGTCCGGGTGCTAGATGGTGATGGTTTCTGAGTAGTTGGAAGATTGAAGCTTGCACCTGGGCTGAAGACAGGCGCAGCGACGTTGAAAGTGGCGGAGGAGAATTTGAAGTTGCTTGGTGTTGAGACTGGTTGTTGGGGTTTCGGTACCGGAGCGAATGCTGGAGCTGCAACGTTGAAACCGCTGGAGTGTGCGCTGTGGGAAATACTTTGAGGTACGCTTGGGGGAAGAGCAGGGCGAGGATCGAAGCCGCCGAAGCTTGGTTGGAAGTTGTTGTTGGGCATGAAAGAGAAGTTATTTGAGGAGAAGGATGCGATTGATGGGTCGAATGCCTTTGCAGCAACATTGAGCTTCGAGATGGAAGATGTGGATTTGTGGCCTGGGATGAATGCAGAGCCGGTGCTGTGTTTCGCCTCGTGGTTGTTACCTTGGTGGTAATCGTTGGCAGGGGAGCGAGAGTCTTTGATACTGGGGTTCGTCTCGAGATCAGAAGCTTCATCATGACGAGCTCCTTTATGGGCCTGCTCTTCGTCGAAGATATGTTGCTGGAGGCGATTCGATTGATTTATGGACTCAGACTGGAAGAAAGAGTGTTGACCCATTGGCTGTTCGCCTGGCGCAGCCCATCGGGAATTCATCAAATCATCCTCTACCCTCTGCCCATTATCGACTCCATGGTTCTCAAGTTGGTATTCTCTTTCAACGCCCTTCTGCAGAGTCTCGCTTACATTGTGTCGATGGCCGCGTGGAGTTGGATGAGCGATTTCAGGCCCAGAGTTATTCGATTGGATGGTATCATCATCGGCTTCCATGTCCATATTAGACTCATCCAAAGGCAAAGGCTGCTGTTGCATGGGATTTTCGAATTCATTTGCCCGTCCCAGCGGAGTGCCGACTGTGTAAGGGTTGTTGAAGTGTGAGTGTCCCATCATACTCGCCATACCGGGGAATTGTTTTGATTCATCAGCTAGCGGAGAAACAGAATGCAGCAATGAGCCAAGGTTTGGCATATTGCCCATGTTTGAAGGTGTCATGCCACCAGGCCGTATGCCATAGAGATTCTGTGGGCTGTGGGTGCCATGTGTCGGAGGAGTAGGCTGGAAAGGCAGGAAGGGGTAGCTTGCTTCATTCCCATATCCGGTTTGAAACTGCTGGAAGGGAGAGTCTGTATGGAACCCAAAGGGCGATGATGGCGAGTTCATGGAACTTATATTCGATGTCGCCTTTGTGGACTGGTTGAATGCTGGCGAGAATGGATTTTGCATCATGCTCAGGTGATTGCTGCCCGCAGAGGAGGTAGGGATAGGCGGAGATATGGTATGGCCTGGATGTATTGGCAGCTGGGAGGAGTTGCGGCTCATGGCGCCAGGGGTTGGCGACATGATCGGGTTCGGTTCAGGGTCGCCTAAACTGACACCCAGCGCACGAAGTTTCTCCTCTTTCAAGAAATCGACATACTCTTCCCAAACTGACTGATCCGGGAAGCTAACGGTGTACTTGCTTTGCTCGAATTCCCGTCGTGATTCGGCTGGGTCTGGATGGGTTTGGCGGTTTTGCAGGTCGACAGCGACAGGCTCGCCTCTGCCGGTTCCTCGAACATCGTATCCTTCATCTTCCCATTTGTCGAGTATCTGCTCCATGTCCGCAGGCGTCAGAAGCTTTACCCCCCCGTTTTCCGATCCACGGGTGTCTACAAGGGGGAGTGCGATCACGCATTGCTTGCCTCGCCATGGGATCTTCTTCTTCGGTCTTACAAAGGCAGCTGCTGTGCGGATGGTTTGTTTCGATGCACCGCCTTGAGGTTGATCCAGGGCATCTTCTACCGGAGTCGGTGGGAGTGGAAGAGGCTTGTCTGTAGGTGAGACGTATGTATATTGCTGTGGTGGTGGGCGCACTTCGGGGATGGTCAATGGCTCAAGGTTCGACATGGTCACTGAACCACTTTCCTCGTCCTGGGATTCGGACTGGGACTGCTGTGACTGGGACTGGGACTGAGACTCGGGTTCAGGTTCGTGACCAAAGTCCCAAAAGTCAGACTGTTTCAGCGTAGCCGTGCTCGCTTTGGGAGCGTGGTTCGCCTTCAGGTGCGCAGGGCGGGATTTCCAGCTATACTCTGGCTTCTTTCCCTTGAATAGCTTTGAAGAGGTCGGCGTTTTCAGGAGGTCTTCCTTGTCGTCGAGATCAAGCCAGCCTTCAGACTCTTCTGCTCGCTGTTGATATGCGGTGAGGAACGAGCCAACGTCACTCTCCCCGGAGTCGTCACTCAGCCAGTTCGTGCGTTCCGAGCGAGGCTTCCCCGTCAGATACTGATTGATCCAATCCTGAGTGAAATCCTTGATCGACTTCCCCCGGTTCCTGCTCACGCTCTCCGTCTGCAGGTCCCGTTCGAATAGGGTGGAGGTTAGTTCAGGAAAGGGCACAGCACCGACTTCGCTCCCTGTCTCTAGCCGTTCCTGTTCCTGGCCAGTCGTCCGTATGGAGAACGGGGACGTCTCCAGCTCAGATTCGAAATCGCCCTGTCTGCTCCTCAGCTGCCAGGACAACCTCCTTGAGCTGGGCGTAGCGTACGGCGACCCCCAGGCGGCGGTGTAGTAGGCACTGGTATCTGTCCGTTTATTGTCAGGCGAGAAAGTCGACGACTGCGCGTCCGAGGTTCCGCGATAGCCTGATGGAACGGCAAGGGATGCAAACGCCGACGGCACGGTTTGGTGCTGCTGGGGCGACGATGTGCCTGCCGCGATGCTCGAGACAGCACCTGGTGTCACGGAACGGCGCAGCGTCAGGGTATGTTCCTGATTCTCACTCTCCTCCTCTTGATGGTGGGATGGTTGAAGGATGATGGGATTGGAAGAATTGACTGCGAGAGTTGAGCCTGCAATCGACGCACACGTGTTAGCTGTACTTCTTATGCCAATCACGGCCATCTGTACGATTGTGACTCCGTATCACCCGGAATATCAATGTATATACACACATATATATGTATATCTGGTAGACACTCACCTTCCGTCTTGTCTGATGCAGCAAGCAGGAGCTCGCCGCGTTTGATATCCCCCTGAATCTTGACGCATAGAACTCAACGGCCTTTTTCCGCCGTTGGTAGAGACTCTCTTGTCGATATCTCGTCTATATGACCGTACGCGGTATCTCACGCTGAGATCGCTATAAACCAAACCAGACCGTCCGTCCGTCGAGCAATGCGAAGAATCCCGTAATAAACAACACGTCGGGCAGGGAAAAGTAAACAGTCGAGTTAGAGAAACCTAGGTTGGGCCAGAGAACGAACCATGGCTCAGAACCGCTGGAAGAGTTTCGGATAGCCTTTTCCCCTCGGGAGTCTCGGTTTCAGCGGCGAACGACGGAGGGAGAGGACGGTGAGGGCGGTCCTGGGGGAGATCGGGCGATGTCGAGCGAGCGGATGGGAGATGGATGGCGTGTCGTGGAGTTGATATCGGGCGACCAGGGGGAAAAAGGCCAAAAATTATTTTTACCCGTGGTCGTGGAGAGCAAAAGCGACGCTAGGAGGAACGTCACCTTAGGTAAGACGCCAAAGAAGAAAAAAAGGGGGAACTATCGCGTCGAAGCCGCGTTCTCTTCACCAGCCACAGAACTTGGATCTACGCACTTGTGACAGTGTGACAAGACTGACAGCAATAAACAAGTCTATACGTTTAAAACCCAAAGATACAAGAATTCACGACGGTACAAAATCAATTACTATGCCCGCTACCTCAATGCTCAAAATCTACCACATCTACTTCTTCTGCTTGCAGGAAACTTCAAACTTGGGGGTGCGGTCGGCGTTGTACATGCCCCAGTGAGTCTCATCGGCGGCCTTGCCGTTATCACCGATGCTCTTGGGCTTCCATGGCTCGTCAAAGGCCTCGAAGTAGAAGACATCACCTCCAAGGCCGAGCATGGCACAGATGGCGTTGTCGTGGAATGCTTGGGCGTTCTTGGTTCCGGCTTTGGCAACTCCGTAGTCGGTTCCCTTGTCTGTACAGAGCATTAGTAGTTATAATATAAAGATCCAGGAGTGGACGTACCGGTGGGCCAGCCAGTCTCGCCAGTGGCAATCTGGATGTCCTTGGCGTTGGGGCCAGCGAGTTTCTGGATGTGCTTGGAGGCTTGGTACATATCATCGAGGAAGGTCTTGGGGGCCTCATCGATAGACTTGCCCTGCCAGAAAGCAAAGGCGTTGATCAAGCTAGGAGGTGTTAGCATGTCCATTTCCAGCGTAAGAAGAAAAGAGCTCCAACGTACAAGTATTTGACGCCACCGGTGATGAGGGCATCAGCGGTGCCATCGGCGTATTTGTTCCAGCTGTCAGCAGTTCCGACCTTGACCTTGGGGAAAAGTTTCTGGACCTCCTGGATCTTGGTCAGGAGCTCTGGGCCGGTGAAGTTGCCACGGTAGAGGGACTCGGAGCCGACGGTGATGGCAGTGATGACATCCTCGTTGCCGGGGACGGCCTTCAAGAGGGCCTTCTTGTCTGCCTCGAAGGACTCTGGGACATCGGGCCTGCAGAAAGATAGTTAGCACTGAATTAGAAACGTCCAGCAGTGAGAGTGGGCATACCAGATTCCGAGAACGAGCTTGAAGCTCTTCTTCTTGGCGGCTGGGACGATGTAGAGGGTGTTATCACAGTCGGCAGCAGCGTATGTTCGAACAATGTTGGTGTGGGCGGAGAGGACGTCGAAATCCTTCTCGAAGTCGGCCTGCTTCTTGCAGGTTCCGTCAGCGTTCTTGACGCCCAGGGCGAATCCGAGCTTTCCGGCAGCAGCAGAGACCGCAATGGGCCCAGCCGCCAGAGCGAGGGTAAGAACCGAGAAACGCATGGTTGTATACGGCGAAGTTGATGGTGTATGAAGGAGATAACTGGGTAGAGACTGTTTCGACGGAAGTTGGAGGTGAGAGGAGAGAAAGAGAAAAAGAGGGTGAAGGAAAGCCGAAGGAGAGACTTTTAAACGACCGGATGGCGTGGAACCTGGATCTGATGGAGAGAAGGAGAGCGAGTTCTTTGGTTAACGGCGAGAAGTTCGACAGGCTCGACCCAGAAGAAGGAGAAGATGTCGGCTTAGTCATGAAACACGCCGGCCCAGGAAGCCTGTTAGCGCTCCCTTTGCCCCTGAGCCACCCGGAGTTTTGTCCATCGTTTATTTATATCTATAGCCATTTTATTGATATTCATGCTGAATAGGAGAATGGAGACGCTGGTCTGGATAGGGGTGCGCGTCGGTCACTGGCAGGTAGCCTGATCCGCACTGTCGTACGTGTGCATCTGAATCAAATGACGTTGAAGGGATGCCCATCGGGTAGATGGCCTGGGAAAACCTGCAGGCCGCCGTCTCCACGTACGCTGTGCTATGGACGATGGACGGTTCCAGGCTATGACGGGCGGACGTGCCGTTTTGCTTCCTCTGGATCTAGCCGCTTGCCGGTCTTGTCGAAAAACTTGGAGCTGATGCGCAGCCACATCTCCTTGTCGTACTTCTCCGCCAGCTTGTTGAGCAGGATGACCTCCTCCAGGCTCAGCGACTCGTCCGTATAATATATTACTTTCTTAGAGCCTTCTTTACTCGGCTGTCGATGTCGAGATGTTAGACAGGGCCTACTCTATGAGTACTGAAAGTATAGGGATCGTACCTTATCCTTCGAAGGCTCTGTGAACGCAACCTTCTGCTTGTTCTTCTCCTTCTTGTTGTCTGCTTTACTTTCTTCCTTATCTGGCTTTGCTTCCTTAGGTGGCTCCGGCGGCTTAATGATACGCCAGCGCTCCTTTAGGTCACTGACAGGCCACTTCATAGTCTCAGCTATCGTCTTCCAGCTCACGTTGTCCTGTTTCAGCTTCGATAGCTGTTCGTCCTCCTTATCAGTCCAGTTCTTAATCTCGCTAGAGGCACCGGGTTCGTTCTTCTGCTGGCTCGCCTCTGGTGGCCGGATAGGGGGTGGAGGAGCCGGTGTGCTGTTCGCTTTTGGCGGCCCCTTGGTGACCTGTGCCATCGCCGCCTGCAGTTCAGCCAGTCTCTTATTCTCGGCTTTCAACTGTTCCCGCTGTGTCTTGCATGTTAGCAATAGCTACTACTTGGCTCGAGCTATGTGATTCACCTTCCTGGCCACTATAGCCCTCTCCGCCTTGAGCATCTTGCTGCTTTTGAAGACATCTGCGAACGACACCTTGATATCCTGTCCTGGGACGTTGCGGAAGTCTGGACGCGGCATTTCTTCCTCTACTGGGCCTGCTGATGTTAGTAGATTGATGCTATGCTGAGTAGAGAAAACGAGGTAGAGATGGCGAGCAGCTTGGTTGTTTTATAGAAGGAAAGTCCCTTGGATAGAGGTGACCTCCGCGACAGTCACTCTGCCCAGAGGAAGACAGCCTGATCAAAGAACTAGACAAATAACCATGGTAAAGAGCTTGATATATACTCCGTACTGTAGAACACATATCATCGGCGTAGTTCTCGAGCTTGTATCTTCGTCGTCTGCAGCTCGTACTGAAGAAATGTAAATGTATGTGATGGGTGGTCCGTGCGCCTTAACACGCTAAAAAGAGAAACCGCTTTCTCAAGGCCAAGTTGCATACATCCAGACAGACAAGAACAATTGCGACGAATCTCCTTTGAAAACAACCTCTCTGCCATCCTTCACAGGCGGATTATATCTCGTTCCTCCCTGTTCTCTTCTCAGTCCTTCCTTTACTCCCTGCACGGCGCCATGAGGTTCAGCTTTTCCTCCCTGGCAGTGTCTGCCCTGCTCTGTATAGGGGCAGCAACAGCACACAACATTCCGCTGAAAGCGCACTCGAGGGAATGTTTCTTTGAAACCCTACACAGCGGCGATACTATGATTATTGGCTTCCAAACTGGTGATACCGAGTTTGGTGGAAGCGGGAACCTCGACATTAATTTCTGGGTATGCCTTTTGACCATTCGCATGAACCCCGGTTATCTTCACAGAAACTTGAGATGAAGATAACAAGGCGAACGGGCTATGATTAATTTGCTAACTATTTCGCGAAATATAGGTCGATGACCCAACTGGCCATAGACTTTATAGCAAGAGCTCAGTATCCGCCGACGACTTCAGTTTCACTGCCAACCGAGATGGAAAGCACATCTACTGCTTTGGAAACGAGGCCTGGTCATCGAACAGCAAGGAGGTTTCCTTCAACATCCACGGAACCGTATACGTACCTGCAGACGGACAGCCCGCTGACCCGCTAGAGGCTGAAGGTTAGCATCCCCATATTGCAATGTCCTGGGTAGACAGACGGTATATCTGACTTACCTGTCTATAGTACGAAAGCTCTCCGAGGAACTCAGCCAGGTCAAAGACGAGCAGTCGTACATTATCATCCGTGAACGTACCCACCGAAATACCGCAGAGAGCACCAACGCGAGAGTAAAGTGGTGGAGTCTCTTCCAGCTGTTCGTGCTCATCGCGAACGGTATCTTCCAGGTTTGGTGGCTGAAGCGGTTCTTCGAGGTAAGCTACATCTCTTTTATACCGTCATTGCTACAGAATACTGATGTTTGTCTGAAATTACAGGTTAAGAGAGTCGTTTAAATTCCTTCTTCGCTTGCAGATATACTTGGCCTTTATCACTGTATTATGATATGAGCAACGGGAGCATATGAAGAGAGATGAGGATAGCCATTGGGCCCCATCGGCCGGCCGATTGGACAGTTATCAAACCATTCGACATATTTTAATATTTTCCTCTTCCAAGGGCTGTTCTCTCGCCTTCTGTGAGATATGTCCGCTAAAATTTTGATGGCTTTCTTTTAGCTTAAATGTCTTGCTTGATGATATGGTATATGGGGTTGCCTTGTCGCTCGGGGCATTCCGTATATCACTCTATTCGATCCATGGCATCATCTTTCATTACGTGATGATATCTACGCTTTTTTTGAACTGTGTTTCCTCCGCATATAACGGCCAATTAATATACAGTGATGGACTTTCTTCTGTCTATGTGTCTACGTATCTTCGCTGTTTAGTTACTATCGCAGTCCGCAGCTCCATGCTTAAACATTATTTACGTACCCAGCTTGTGATGACTAAGATCGGAAACGGCTTTATGATATTCCGGTGGGAGTCACGTGTATATAAAACTCCGAAAGAGGAAAGCCTATCACCTCTCGCTCTGCTTGCTTCTCTCCTTCAGGCTCTATGGCCGTGGTGAGTCCTGGCTGAAATGAACATCTGAAGAAGTAGTTGGAGTGATGTCAATCGCCTTTGTTTAGTTGCCAGAGAATCTGCACGAATTCTACATCATCCAGACCTTCAATCTTTATTGTGCAATGCAGAGCTCGCATCATAGCTCTCAGGTACTGTGCAAGCCGAAAGCTATCTACTTAAGCTTGCTGCACTGTGTGATTCATTGAACCACCTAGCTCCTGCATTTGCCGCTGCTTCGACTATAACAGGAGTTTATAACCACTGGGCCTGGCGGGTGGTGGAAAGCAGCCTCGCTTGATTATGGTATTTCATAACGCGGTGGCATACCACCAAGGGGTGCATACCCGACCTTACTCCATCACAGTACAAGGTTTCAGCTTGTGCGGCGAGACTTGTTTAGCATTCGGGACGAACGCCTCCACTTCTCGGGGGCTGGATGAAGCTTTAAATGAAAGGCATTCTGAATGTGCTACTCACAACCTTTTCTCTAGAAGGTTTCCCTGATTGAACGAAAGCTGAAAATAAGGTATTGCGGAGCCATAAATGTCTCAACTTCTTGCTTAATGCTAGGAATGAGGCTTGACGGCTGACTCTATCACATCAGCTCCTCCAAACACAGCCTATCGATTTATAACTATCTACGGTGATCAAAGTTTCCACGCCTGCTGGCTTGACATGCCTTCCTCTCAATTTCCCTTTCGCTTTGCGGCCTTTGAAAGGATGTTGAGTGTTTGAATACGGACGGCCCTTTTGATAGCGATGGTGATACGAAAGTATACTCCCGCATCGCATGTCGTAAGGGACGATCGAAATGGGAGAATTCATCTTGATTGGATTTGTCAATTCATACTAACGTATCTGGTAATTGGTGTGTCTGAATGTTTTTGATTGGATGCAACGAGATCGTCGTACTGCATGAATTCTTCAGCCTAAAAATGAGGACTTGGCATGCATATTAGCCCAGTTGAGAGTACGTATCAAGGCAAATATCAGACGTCCTTCCTAGAAAGCATGGAGTTGTACGGGGTACAGGTCTTTTTTTCTTCGTCGTCCTGATGATTCTATGACTTCCATTTGATCGCTGCCGAAAGTGAGCGTGTGGTTCATCACCATGGAAAACGACAGCGCGCCCGCCGCTAGAACAGCAGCAGCCATCCAGCGATTCTACGAAGAGCGCAATGCAGATGATCTCCTACAGTTTTGCTGGCGGAACCAGGATTGTGACCGATGTCTTGGTGCGGCTAATTTTTGCAGCTGGTGCCCGTTCGTATGTATCTGGGGTTTCCTACCATCCAGTTCTAGCATTATTTCCCCTTGCGAACTATATGAAGATACACATATACCCCGCATTCGACTAGATAGGGTGTGTCTACAAGGGTATATATATACCTTACTACATGCCCGACTGACCCAGTCCCTTGACATAGTCATCAACCTGCGTCGCCAATGCATCACCTTTCCCTCTCCTAGCGCCCTTGACGAGCGAAAAGATCTGCCCTCTCGGCCCCAAGGAGAGGTGGGAGATACGCACCCGCCCTTTCGGATGCAGGGTGAGCACTGCTTCGTTCTTGACCAGCCTTGTCTCGGTGATGAGTACCATCGCGCTAGTTTTGATCGGATACGCAGCTTATCAAATGTGGGTTGCGAAGAAGAGGGCTGAGGAGGAGCGGCAGGAACAAGAGAGAGAGGAGCAGAATGGTCATCAGTATGGGAATGGCCCATACGGGAGCGTAGGAGGGTATGGTGGTGCACAGTACGGGGAAGGAGGAGGATTTGGCGAAGGAATAGGCGGAATGGTGGTGCCTGGGGTTATGGGGGCTGTTGGTGGTGGTATTTCGAACTGGATGGGCCAAGGGCAGGGGCAAACAGGTCCAGAGACGATCTATGAGGAGGACGAAGCAGACGAGAACTCGCCCTTGCTATGACGCGTCACTCTACCTTGTCAGTTGTACGATGATTTCGGTCTGGTATATAAATGTTGGTTTTATATCTCGAAGATTAAGTCGGATGCAGTAACTGAATGTTATTATGTCGATGACTTGTAAGGTCTTTGAGTCAGCTAGCTATCTACGCCTTGCAGACCTGGCTGACCTTGTAGTCAACTGTAGGCTGCTTGCCCTTCTCATAGATGAAGCGGCCAGCAGCCACAAAGATGCCGTTCTCTAGAGCCGCATGATCGGAGTCTCCGCTCTGAAACATGTAAGTGCGTGTGACATGCATGATGGAAGAGACCATGGAAGAGTAAACGAACCTCGAGCTTGACAGTGATGACTTGAAGGAGGGAGTTAGCGAGGTGTGCCCCAAAGGATCGAAGGAGCAGTCATACATATATCTCCGAACGGTATCGTTTTTGACTCCGACTGGCCCGACAAGATGGCGCTGATATCAGGAGTCAGGTCGACGACCCCAGTGTAGTGAATGTACACATGCTATGCCATGAGTTTAGAGTATGCATCGTATAGACAGTTTAGGGATGCTCACGGCTCCTGTCTCGGTCCTTGAACGCCTTGTCAGCAAGCTCTTCCACTAATATCGCGAGTAGACATACTTCACTACCGCATGCGCGTCGAGTCTCAGACGCTTGCCATCCGGATCGGTGCGGATATAATCATTGCCAGTGCCGGTGAACTCGCCGTTGAAGGCTGGTGAGAAGCCAGGCTCGCTCTTGACGGTGCCGCTGGTCATGGGCTACTCGCTTCAGCATCGTGTCATTCAGCGTAGAGGCATAAGACGCACCACGACGACGAAGCTGCAGTTCTTCGCAGTGCTTCCTATTAGCCGGGGGTTCATTAGTATCCTACACCACCTTTGATGAATAGACTTGAAGCTAATGCATACCAACGTTCACACCTGGGTCAATACTGACCTGCGCGAGGAAGAGGCAGACATAGGTCAGATCTGGCTACGGGACATTGATATCTTGGGAAAATACCTGCATGGTGAATGCCGGCTTCAGCGTAGGGAAGTCCGCCATACTGCGAGACGGTCGATGAGGAGTTGTTAGTACCAAAATTGAGATGTGATAGAGATCAACCCCGCCATGTCTCTATGTTGCTAATGTTGCTAAGTTACTCTGCATAAACGCATCATCCTGTATGGCTGACATGGATGACGGATGCTATATCTCGATGTTATACAGCTGAGCGTGTCCACCGGATCTGCCAGCCCACGGCGGTTCTGAGGCTGCTATTTGTTCGCTCCCGGTGCGATCAGTCATCTGTCACTCAGCCTGAGCTAGCAAGAAAGCCTTGTCCTATCTTTTGCTTTCTTCGCTCTCTTTGCTTATTCTTCTTATTCTTCTTCTTCTTCTTTGGCCAAACGGGAGCCAGGCCGTTGCTTAGCTAAGCCGTACGTCACCTGCGGAACATCCTTGCATGACTTTTTTGACTGAACAAGCTGTATCACATCCCCCAGACACATTTCTCCGATACGCAGATATATATATTGGCCCGTGGTGGGATGTCGGGACGGCGCTGATGGCTAGAGAGATACGCTGCCTCGACTCTGTCTGATCAATCGGCACCATGGCGTCGTATATGCTGCGCTCCTTGCTTCTCCTGGCCGCCGCTGGCGCGTACGCTGGGGCCTTGGGCCAGGATCAAGCACAAGTTCCCCTCGGTGTGCCTGTCGATGATACAGATGATGTCAGTGGAGAAGGACATACTGGTCTGCATGGCCGCTTCTTACATATAACAGGTAACCTTTCTTTTGTTTTGTTCTTCGTCATGATGAGCTCGGTGCTGATATAGATACAGATATCCATGCGGATCTACTCTACAAAGCCCACGCGAAGATAGACAGCGACTGTCACCGTGGCCATGGCAAAGCAGGCTTCTACGGAGCCCCTGGAACCTCGTGCGACACCCCGCGAAGCCTCCTCGACACCACCTTCGACTGGATTCGCGAAAACCTACGAGACAAGGTCGACTTCGTCGTCTGGACCGGCGACGCAGCTCGTCACGATAAAGACCGACGCCGGCCACGCTCTGAGAAGGAGATCGTTGACACGAATCAGATCTGCTTCGACAAATTTGTGGACGCTTTCCGAAAACCAAAGGATAAGCTTGGCAACCGTCTCAAGGTCCCCATTATACCGACCTTTGGAAATAACGATATTATGCCTCACAACATCATGGAAAAGGGACCAAACAGGTGGACGAGAATCTTCGGGGAGATGTGGGATGCCGTCATTCCAGAGGAACAGAGACATTCGTTCGCAGAAGGAGGTTGGTTCTACGTCGAGGTCGTCCCCGGAAAGCTGGCGGTCGTCAGCTTGAATACGATGTACTTCTACAGAGCCAACAGTGCGGTGGACGGATGCAATTCAAAGTATGAACCCGGGTACGAACATATGGAATGGCTCAGGACGCATCTGCAGCTACTTCGCAGCAGAGGCATGAAGGCAATTCTCATCGGACACGTTCCACCCGCCAAGAACAAGAAAAAGAAGAACTGGTCCGGCTCGTGTTGGCAGAAATATGCCCTGTGGATGAGACAGTACCGGGACGTGGTGGTGGGGAGTTTCTACGGACACATGAATATCGACCATTTCATGATTCAGGATTTCGACGATATCAGATATATAACGAAGGATCTACCGGCATGGAAGTCAGGGGAGGTGGAGGCGCCTAGGGATATCTCATCGACGTCGGCGAGTGGCTATCTGCGAAAGTTGAAGAAGCAATGGTCGAAGCTCCCGATGCCGCCGTGGGCGGACGAGGACGCCATCGACAAGCTGGAGCACACCGCTGGGTACAAAAAGGACTTGAGGAAGTATTACGCCGAAGTAGGCGGTCCATGGGCTGAGCGATATGCTGTGTCGATGGTATCCCCGAGCGTGGTACCGAATTACTTCCCAACTCTACGACTGGTGGAGTACAACGTCTCTGGCCTAGGAGATGTAAAGAGATGGCCAGAGCAAGTCACCTTATATCCCGCCCAAGACACCACACTCGATGAACATGAAGATGAAGATGACGATGAAGAGGAAATTCCATACGACGACGCCAGCACGTCGCCGTTCGATATATTCCGAAAACGCAAACATAGAAAACAAAAGAAGAAATACCCTAAATTTACTGTCCCCAAGCCTCCATCCCGAACAGCGCCGCCGGGACCGGCATATTCCAATCAACCATTCACCCTCCTCGCATACCAACAATACTTTGCAAACTTAACCGAACTTAACCAACCCTATGACGACGAGGTCTCGGGCCGTACGGACGTCAATGCCGGCAAAATCAAGACACCGAAGAACTTCTATGAAGTAGAGTACGATACGCGAACAGATCCGTATTACCAGTTACCTGATCTGACTGTACACAGCTACCTTGAGCTTGCTAGACGAATAGCTAGCGAAGAGGAAGTCCCAGTCCACGATGATCAGCTTTCCGTTGATGAAGACCCATCAACTCTCGGGCGGAAGATATCCCTCTGGACCCTTTTCCTTCGAAGAGCGTTCGTGGGATACTACAGTGACGAAGAGCTTTGAGTAAAAGGCTCAAAGAAACATTTTTTAGACTCGGAATTTATAGATAACCTACTTTTCTTGGATACACCTACTTTATTGTTCCATGCGCGACGCCTTTGTTCTTGGGAATATTCCGCCTTTTTGATTTCTTTTGTACTCTGAGATTGTTGGTTTATCCCTTCACGCTACCTGTGCGGTGGTACTATACCCCTTTTTACTCTTTGAACCCCCTATTTTTGGATTTGGAGTGGTCTTCTTTTTAGATATTTGTGATTTTTCGGCTATATACCGTGCTAGAGGTGAAACTCCACCCTAGACGTACATGTGCTAGCATTTAGCGGAGACAATACATAAAATGATTTATCTTTTTGCCGTTCCACCCACTCGCCCCTATGTCTATCTTGTCAAGCTCGTCTAACGCGGTGTCGAATCGCGCCTGCAACCCCGCAGATGGTATCGGAAATGAGGAGAGGCCATAGCCAGCAATTGAGTACGTCTGATTCTCCCAGTTTTCTTGGTGGCTGAACTTGCCTAATGTGTGCCTGTACTAGGTCAATCATGGAGCATGGCCCGTCCAGACGGATTATATTATCGACGGACTCAATGTCTATACCGGTACCAATGCCTGATGTGGCAATGGCCAGCTTAATGGTGTCCGCCTTGAGCCTTCTGTCCTATCTATGGAACTACCGTGCGTTGATTTGAAGGTATATCCCGGTGAGTAGATGTCCTTTCAACAGTAATAGGTATATAAGAAATCAAGGGGGCCGACCTCTAGGAAAGATAGCATACACCAATATTTGCCTATTATCTACCACTGCATTCTGACGATTTCTATTGCAACAACAGCGTTCAGTCATTCTGCTCCTAGTTCTTGCTTCTTCTAGCTCAAGTTGCTTCTCCCTAATCAGTTATAGAGACACTAGCTATATCATTGTGCCTCCAGATGGCTTCATCTGAAAGCAATTCAAACCAGGTAAGGGGCCAGCTCTGGGATGATCAACTCATCTAAAATCTCCCCCCTTTGAATTGAGACTAACAACGAGAAGACACCGTCCTCCAATTCACAATCCCAGGGAGGTCGAGGTATGTAGTCCCTGAGTACCTTATATATCGACCTGAAAATTCCAAATTGCTAAGACCCAAAAAATTAGCCGGAGCAAAATGGAGCGACGAAGAAGAAACATGGCTTGTCATAAATAGCATGAGAGATGTGACTATTGCCTGGCTCACTGAGAACTTCCCAGGCCGAACTAGGGGTAAAAATGGCATTTCTGGCCATCTGAACGACATGCGCCTACGCAGCCACTTGTCGCGCAAATGGCGTAACAAGACCTGGGAAGATGAGCCAGCCTATACCATGCGTGAAGATGTAGAGATCATGCAATGGCATGTCGGAGGTCGCCGCCATGTTGATACAGAGATATTTGTGCCCAACCAGCGTGCGGGAGGGAGTGTAATCGCTAGAGCGGATTACCTCTGTCAAGACGAGGAACTGGTGCGCAGGGTTAAGGAGGCGGAAGAGGCAGCGCAGGCAGCACTGGAGGCGAGGGACGAAGCTAGCTATAATGTTGAGCATCCCACCGACGATGATCCAGCCGATCACGATGCGCTGGGAGAAGCTACTAGGATTCTCCATAGAGAGGAAGATGAAAATATGGTCACGATCTGTGAAGCGATATCTCGCTCACTTGCGGCGAGAGGGGAGCACCACGAGGACGAGGGTCGGGATGTTGACAAGGAGGACAGTGAAGACAATGATAGTTAATGATGAAGGTGACAACGAAGGTGACGAGGATGATTCCTGAGGCTCAGTATATTTGCAAACCCCCTATTCTTGAGTGGCAGCACGGAACCCTAGTAGCACATTGAATATTTCACCTAGTTAACCAGTCTTTCCTGCACTTTTCGTAGACTAAACCTGAGGTTTACTATGTTTCGTCTTTCTATCCGTTTTGTTAAAAATGGCCTGTCAACCTTTCAGGGCCTTCATAGGTATGCATATATGGGAAAGAGTTTGTTATAACATGCCTGCTAGGGTTATGGAACAGCCGTATGAACGGTATAGACGTATGTTTTTGACCAGAGGCCCGCGAACGACGCTTACTTTCTAGTTCAACTCAGTGGCTGCACAAAGCTGCGACCAAGGAATGCAGGATGGCTCCTCATATCTTCTACCAACCGCACCCTTAGGGCACCAAGGAGGATGGTGCTATAATCTTGGTGGTTCGTAGCTCCCGCCTCCTGGACCTCATGGTCGCGTAGTGCCTTGTAGGCAGTCCACACCGAAGGAATGTAAAGCCTTGGGCTTAGCCATGGATAGGGTACATGGAACTGTACATGCTGGGTGGGTGACCTTTCAATTCACGAGAAGCCCTTGAATATATCGTGTAAGAGTCCTGCATCGGAAGCTGCTGAACTATACATGCGGGTCTGCTGCTTCGTTCAGAAAGGGCATGACGGCAATGCCACACCATTTCTAGGTGACATAAACCTCGGTAATGAGCTTCACACTTTGAGAAACGAGTTTGCCAGCCTTAGAGAATATTTGACCGTTTAGGCCTGGTGGCAGGACTGGTGACTGTAGTAGCCCCTGAGTGGTCAATAACGATGGTGGTTAAGTATTAGCCATCCGCCTAAAGTCCCTGCTTCCGTGTGCTTTGCGGCCGTATTGTCAAGTGAACGTGGCCACATTATGAATGATCCTCCATGCACTGTTTAATATTGCGTTTGGTCTAATGCTTTTGAGTTTAGACAGTATCTTCCTACCCCTAACGTGATGTAAGGAGTTCGGTAAGGACTAGGGTAGTCTGAGGGGGGGCCGAATCATTAAAAGGAGATATAAAGCACGTAATAAGCCATACGTCACCAGCCCTAGTTCCTTTGAGGTAGTCTAAGTATCCGGGAGGATATCCATTGTAGGATATCCTCCCTACAAGAGGCAGAGTCCCATTGCTCTTTTATGTTTTTGATAACATCATGTAAAACTCCGGGGTGCTTTAGTGCTATTGCCTGGTCTCTTGACCGCGATTACCAGTTTCCTACTGTAGGTAGTACTGGGTATAACCCAAGTAGAAAACCATCGGATGATTATCATTGGTTGCTAGTTGTTCAACGCAAAGGAACAAGCCAGGCTCGTTTCCATGTGTTTGTGAATTCATACCCGTCGTAACGTTGGAGTCGGCCGGGTGTAGGAGGAACCGAAGGCAACTGGATGTTAGAAGTGGTATTCAACAGAGCTCCCATATTAGCCAATTGCATCGCCAGTGAAACCTAAGGATACCGATGCCAATGATCCAGCTTCGTGTTGCGTTTATTTTAGCTTGCTTGTGAGTGTGGTGGATTTGATGATTTCGTTGAAGAAATAATCTAGATCGTTACTCGAATCCGAATTCAATTATCAAGGGCAGACCCGGGTCTTTGATAGTTATTTGTAAGGGCTTAGCCTCTCTCATAGTACTGTCAATCATTCATCCTCCTGCGTTAGCAGAGACAGTTCCTCTTTGAAAGATAAGGGACTGGATACGCCACATGTCCCCCCGCCTTATCTCCCTCTCAGCCATAAGGATGCTCCATATAAGGACGCTCCTGAGTCTTCGCAACTGACTGGGGGAGATCGGATTAGTGTTCGTAGTTGACATATGGCAATCTGCTACGTAGGGCTGTGAAAGCACACGCAACGAGATGTCACAATCGCTGTCTAACAGGACGCATTCTTCAGGTCAATTCCTAGAAATCGAGCAAGGCTTTTAAAAGTTGGAAGGTCAGGTTCTGCACCGCCATGTTGGGTATCCTTTGCGCGACTATCAACGTCTGCCAGATTACCTCGTTATCTGTGGTTTCGGCCCCTTTTGCCTTTTCAGCCGTCGCTCTCTCAGTCGCGAGCACAAAGTTGGATACGTCGTGATAATGATCGCCTATCGTCACTGGTATTCTACCTGGAGGCAGCCTCGGTAGGCAAACAAATTGCAGAGACGTCTTAGCACAACTGATGTGCCATTGTGCACAGCGTAATTTCCCGAAAATTTGAGTAGATGCTTGCTGTAATGTCTATCTCATAACTCGAAGTTCACATTCGTTAATCCTTCATTTAATAACTTCCCCACATCAGATTCGTCGTTATGCGATGGAAGGCAATGTTCAAAGATTGACTTGACTGATGTTTTCCATGTCGGCCACGAGTAATCCATTACTGGAGATGTTAACTCCACTGCAAAAGAGCATTGAGGGAAAGTGGGATTTAGTATCGCAATAGATAAGAGCAGCTAATAATTTGTGGTAGCAGCCGCTTTTGAGCTCTCCATCAATGCCAAATATGAGACTTGGTTGAGATGCAGTTTGGTTGGTATCCAATTGAATTCTGTCAGGTACGTCATCGCAAGATACGGGATGCCGATATATATCGGTAGCACCGTCTCTGTGAAAGACGTGTGAGATGTGCGTCTTTCTTTTTTATCCCATTTTTTCTCATAGACCTTTGGTGCTTTCGAGAGAGTGTAATAAAACCGTCACTGGTTGACCATTTTTTGGTGGACCCTCACCATGGTGCCAGATTTTATATACTAGCACCGGCAAATATGTCGTCCCAAAGGCTGGACCAGAGCAACGTTATCGACAAACGACCGATCACTACTATCGACATCGGACATATGCATGGCTGGGCGAAAAGTTTTTCTATGGCTGCATGTCGACGGCTTGCATGTTGGCGGTAAGAATGGATTGAGCCGAGGAATGGACATAGCATATATCACCGTCCTGATGACGGTGAGGTCATGGATGCACCTTTCTTTCAGGTTAATTAGGGCTAGGGTGTAATATCGGAATCTCGCGATGTTCACCACCAGCAATACTTAGTAGCAAACAGGAACATCAAAGAACAGGGCATGTGCCGATGTAAGGGATGAGTCCTACTCATCAACATATATTCCCCAAACGAGCACCCAGCATGTCCATTTCTCTTTCTCTTCTTCAGCGTTGTATTTTAGTTCATCGGTGCTCGTTTGGTCTTAGACTCCAAATGATATGACCGTCACACTGCCCAAACGTGAGCGGGTATATCTCTCCGCGTCCGTATTCAGTCATCTAACAGCGGTTGCTCTTCTAGCCACCAATATCGCCTGACATACTCACGTATGTTCTCTGCCGTTTCTGGTGCTTTATTAAATTGATGTCTTAGTTGGTAGTTTGTTAAAAATCCGTATCGGACCTTCCCCTCATACATATATTTCGATATTTGTCCTATTTCCGAGGCGAATTAAATAAAAGGTTGTTTTGAAAGTAGAGGCATATAAATCCACTAGGATGTATCCGTAGACCTGTCCTTATTCTTGCCTTGATCCCAACAACCGACCGAGTTTGGTGGGAGTAGCGCGTTACCGGACGGTATGGTGGGAAATGGTGTTCCCAGCGCCATAACGTTAACTAGTTACTTGTGGCGCCTGCCGGTCGAGTTTGACCGTTATGATGACCCGGCCCAATATTTTCTGTACCTGGTTTTATTCCACAAAGCGATCCAAGGTGCGTTGTCCGAAAAGAATCCACCTGTATTGGCGGATAAGCTGAGATCCTCAGGCTCCGGGGATTGAGCGGCTTCCTCGGCAATAATAGCGGTAGGGCGGAGTGACGATAGAGAGTTATTGGGTTAGGCAAATCAATCGATTGCTCGGGTAGGGAAGGGCTTTCGGTATATAATATTGCAGTTGATATAGTAAGGTCGTGTAAATGCTTTCTCCCCTTCTTGCTGCGATTCTACAAAGTGATCACAGGCTCATCGGCCGAGCTAACCCAGGCAATATAATAACGCCGCGACTCATTAAACATGACACGATGGACGGCTCAAGCTTGGGTATTTAGGAAGTGGGATCAAGTCAAAGAATATTGAACGATGTAGATGGACCCATATGTCTAGATATTTATGAGAATGCGAAGCCGCTTCAGGGTTGATTCGTTAACTAGCATCTTGGGCGTGATTAGAGCATATTGGAACGTGTATGTATAAGAATACGGGGATGCTATGTATAGCGGGAGGCATGAGGGAACTGCCTGGAGGAATGGAAAGGAAAGAGAAAAGGGAGGGGGAAGAAGAGGAATGGCGAGGGGTATATATGTTCAAATCCAGGGGTGAATCGTGGATAGAATCTTGCCTTGGCTATGGGCAGATTCACTATGCATGTATCCTTCACCACCTAAAATGAGTGAGACAAGCATGTAGGAAATAGTGAAGCAGTATTTTGTACTGCCCTTTGGGCCATGTGCATCAAAGAACTGCAGTGAAGATTCCTTTTTATTCGGGTATAATCAAGTGTCATATTTTCCTTCACCGCCAGTCGTAATAAGAATATTCATTGGGATTTCTTGTAGTTCGGAGCTCAAGGTATTCATCGCTCATATATTCATTCCTGTATGCTTAATGGCTTGTGTCACTAGTTTAGTTTTCTAATCAAGTTCAATCAAGGGTCAATGTCTATCTCTCTTCACTTATCCTGTACTTTCGATTCCTGCGGTTTCGGCTCCTTTGGTTTTGTATTTTTGGCCTTCGTCTCCTTCTGCTTCACTGGCCTGGGTATCGGGTGTGGATTGCCATTCCATTCTAATCTCCGGGGAGTCATGAACTGCTTCAGAACCTCGTCCGTCACAGCCTTTCTTCGCTCTTGAAATTCCTTGACGTAATCCTGCAGCAGAGTGATAGCCATCTTCTTTAACTCTCCAGTCAAAAGATCTCCCTTGCGATAATCCTCCGCTACCTTTTTAAGGTTTTCATCGTCATCGTCAAAGTAGGAAATATCTAGGGGTGCGTTAGCAAGTAAGTTTGCGGGGTCGGGAACAAACGGAGATCGGATACAGACATTGATATGAGACGTCTACATCCGGATTTCCACCGAGTTTCCGGTGCTCTTCCACGGTATCCCTGCCTCCGCTAAAGGCATGCTTGTTGATTTTATTCTATATCCATGTCAGACGGGTGGTTACAGCAATTATCCGATTATCAGTAAGACATACCTTAATTTGGTTGGGCGTATCGGACATGAAAATTGCAGAACTACAAGGGTAAGTAAGTTATGCTGTGCTACAGCGGATGGTTGCTTTTCATCTTACTTGGGATCACTCGCGCTCATTTTACCACCAGCTCCTTGTAGTGCAGTAAGGAACTGAGAGTGTATGAGAGCTGGCTTGGGCGATGGGAATCGCATTCTATGGGCATTCTCGCGCACGAGCCTGAAGTAAGGGTCTTGGTCGATGGCCATGGGAATTAAACATTGGATACTTGCCGTGGCTTTTGTTCGCTCCGTAGCTGGCTTTTCAGTCCAGATTTCGGGATATGAGGTTGCGAACGCAGCGGCACTATCATTCAGTCAATAGCCTATTCTCTTGCCCCTGGGGTAAAGAAAGTAACGTACCATTGCACCGCTGGGAACATTATGCGACCGATGTTGGTGCTATATTCTGTCAGTATATGAGATGATAACCACAAGAATAGTGTTATCAATATGGATAGAAGTGGCCGCGCTAACCTCTCATTAAACCCAAAAGCTCCTCTAACCTGGTTGAATGTCAGGAGTTTAGAGAATTCCCAAACATTGGTTAAGAACGGGCCCTTGATATATTCCAAATCGCTATAGATGAACGTCTTCTTCAAGTCGAAGCCGCATGCAATGATATCCTTCGCGTTTTGAAGGGCGAACTTGTACGTGTCCTCGAATGTGAGATTCTCTTTAAAGAGCGCCTTTTCGTCATCTTCTCCTTGTGTTAACATAGTCGTATAATAGGTTAATAACTAGGGGTATAATAGCTCACCAGTAAGCATAATGACTATTCAAACTTGATTAGTCAAATTCAATCAATTTGGAGGGTCTGTCACATCCAACATGAGGGATAGCCTACCTAATGGAACATCAAAAACGTCTTGCAACCATTTTGTAAAAGCGAACGGGATCGTATGTCCCAGATGTAGGGCATCGGTGGATGGTCCTCTGCCGGTATATAAGAAGAAGGGCTCGCCGTATTCATACTTGTCCAAAATCTTGTCAAAGTCCCTATGCGAGAAGAACAGGCCACGCCTTAACCAACGGTGGGGTTTGTGTCCTGTAAGACGCTCGAATCGCTGGAGGATATCGTCGTCTATCAGTTTGGTTGCCCATTTCCTATCCGGGATAGTTAGCACGAGGTCAAGGATGGTAGAAACAGGAACATGCGGCCTACTGTGAGATGGCAACATAATCGAAAGCTAGAGTGTTCCCCTGCGCATCCTTTGCGCCCTTGACATCCCAAGGATTAATGACTTGCTCAGTCGCGGCAGCTGATTCTGCTTCTTCGCGAACGGGGACCACGGTCTCCGCCTTGGGCGCATCCATCTTTCTGGTTCTCAAGCAGTAAATGTTTTTATTTCTTGGTGATTTCTGGCACAGCAGACCCTTTCGTAATCGTTAGAGCAAGAAAATAAGAGGCAGATCCGTGAAAGCGACGCAATTGCAGATATAAAAAAGCACAACCCTGCCCCTCGTACTTTTTCGACTCACCTTGAACAGTCAGAGGGGCATCTCGATATATGACTAAGCTGGGGATGTTTGCTCTATTTATTCTGGTTGCACTGTTTGCATCTACTTTTCTGCTGAGTAATAGGCCTTCGGTATTATATTAATCCTGTTCAATCATATCACGTGAGAATATCATGACATAAGCCATTACATAATCCGATCTTATTTAGGATCTTCCGAATCGGGTAATACCCGACGGCGATTTAGTTTCGTACTCCGGACTTCAAGGATATCAAAAAAAAAACCATCTCCATGCTCCCGACGCTGAGCCCCAAGGACCAAGGACGAACGGCGGTGGCCATGCGGAAGCCTGCGCGGAACCTAGCAACGATGAGGTGGCATTGGCAGGCCTTGGTAGTTAGGTGTCGCCATGAGCGGAGAGACAGCCTGTCGGGCCTTCTAGCGCGGACGACGGAGCGCCTGAGGGACTGACACGTCAAACAGCGGTGGACTCTGGACGCTGGACCCTTGGCTCCGACTGCATCAGCCTGCAGGACCAGCACATCCACCCAGTTGCGAAAAGACGGGACGTCTGGAGGAGCGCCGGGCCTGTGATAGAAGGGAGAAGCGAAGCCTTGATCTCGATGGGGCAGGGAGAACTCTCATATTTTCTTTTTCGCTACTGGCCGGCGCTGGATCCTGCTGGCTCTTTAAATATATTCCTCGCCCCCTGCATATACTTACGAAGTATTATCAACTCGGTATTTAACATCTCGCTCCCTCTGCCTCCATCCAGCTGCTGCTTCACCACCATGGGTTACTCCTGTGCGACGGCACTAGAGGCACAAAATTAAGCTGCGTCGAAATTATGGGGAGTAATTGATCGATCAATCAGCCATTGCAAGCTCCTTCAATTAAACCCGCTTGTCGGTCGTTTGTCGTCTGCCGCCTAGCATACGGGGTACTCTTTACCGACTCTTCGCTCAACCGTCACCGAAAAAAAAAATAAAAAAAATCCAAGTGATGGACAGGTTCAATGGCTGCCTTATTTCTTAACGCATGCATGAACTGACCATTTCCCATCCGCATCCCGTACTCCAGACCTCTCTCGCCTGGTCCCGTTTGCTGTCAGGTTACGACCGCTTCGCAAAACGTCTACAGCTCTAGCAACGGACGATAATGAATCGAATTGAGTCCAACACACGACCAGGATTTCATACTCCAGCCTCTTCAGCGACGTTTACTCGCTTCTCAAATTGTTTGGGCATCGTTGGATATCGGCGCTGGGCTTTGGGCGAACCAGAGATTCGTTTGGAGCTAAGTTGAATTATTGTCTGTCACTGTACGGAGTATGCCATTGGACATTCACTGTCGTCGTCTCTTTCACATAAGGATCTCGCTGACGCCCCAATGCAGGTTCTGCGGTTATCGTCAAATATATTCTTTTTGTTCTTGCGCGGCGTTACCTGTTGTTCTTGTATACTAGACCAGCAATTCGATTTCTACAACCGGGCCCCACGATCGCCTTCAACGACCTAATCAACACCTATAATCGGCTGTCGACATCGATACACCCTGTACAATAGAAATTCGTTATCATTCACTCAAATTCGCGCCACTGCGGAGCATCTAGGTTCCAGATTTCAACCTTGGCAGGCAATCGATACGCCGACAGAGCACTTAGCTTCGGCCTTAGTTTCTAATAACTCGCGCCTCGCCCGACGCCTTGGTGTACATTCCACGCCTCAGAAACGGTGCAAACCCGTCCTTACCGTGCGCCGCCGTCATTGACGAGGGAAGAGCCCAGACGGGGAACTTGTCACTTCCGACATCCAACAGACCTGCCAACACCATAATAAGGGTTACACGGGCGAAAAAAAGTACCTTAAAGAATTGAACGAAGGTGTTCAATTTGCTGGTTGGTCCTATTTTGAGAGGTAAGCGCCCAGTCTCGCGATCATTCCGTTTGGTTTTCCTTTAGCCGCCAGTCAAAACCCCGAAAAAAACAAAGCATAAAAAACCAGTTTCCTTTCCCTATAAACCAGTTATTAAGTACTCAGTCATGTTCGACATTTTGGTTCCCCCCACCTGGCTCTCATTTCTCTTAGGGTTGCTCATATTCTAATTGCCTGACAACCACTTTATGCTGTACCCACGGCCTTATTTCATGGTATCATGTCAACCACGAAGCATATTGAGCCTCCCAGCCACGGCCTCATGAACCAAGGCTATGCTTATATCAGAGAGCTAATCTGTGCTTCCCGATTATGGCAGGATTTTACCGAACCCATAGAGTTCGCTATATGGATGGCATCCTCAGAAGTAGACCAAAAGTTTCTTTGTCACTTTGCTACGCGCACCGGCGAAACCAACCCGTTCCTCTCGGGTATGCTATATAAGATACTGGGGCTTTCAGTAATATTATCCAAAAAGTTGCTTCGCGCTCGCAAGCTACGGCGGCTAGACCCAACCCGGGAAACGAAATCGTTCCAATTATACCACCATATCCTCTGGCTTTCGCGGGAAGGGCTAATTATTGTGGAGCAGTATGTGCATCCCATGGTGACGGATTATGTCGAACTGCGAGTTCTGGCATACAAACTGCAAGCATCGTTTTATCACATATTTGTGCTCTTCCACAACCAGCCCCGAGTTTACCACCGGGGTATCCAGACTCTGCCCGGTTCAGCGTCTTACGTTGACATTGTCAATGCAACTACACCCGCCAACAGACAGAATGGGGGAAATGTACCGGACTCCTCCACAAAGCCGGCCCCAATGCCTTCCCCTCCACCCGAAGGTGGGCCGGTCGGATCTGGAAGTCAAATGCAGCCACCAGGCCTCGAGTGTCCAGTACTGCCGAAATTCGCGGCCTCCTTCATTCTCCCAGCGATAGATTATACGCCACGGGCAACCGAGTGCTTTACTTACGTGGCTGCGTTATCCGACCAGCTACTCCCCGGATCTCATCCCATACGCCTGTCTGTCAAGCTGGAATACGCTGCATATCTCTATGATTGCCTCAATGATTCGACGGCGTGCAGACGCGTTGCCAAGCAAGCCATCGCGGATGTATACAATGCCCAAGAAGGGATGGACGACGAAAGTTTTGAAGATGCGGCAGAGCTAGTGAGTGTACTGGGGAAGATGGTCAAACGAGGAGGTAAAACTACCAGCAGTGCCGGCGGAAGCAGTACTGGTGGAGCAGGAGACAAGTCGTTCAGTGACGCCAGCCAAGGCACGCCTTCCCGTGATGCTGGTGCAGTAGACCTCAGCGGCACTCCGAAACATCGCAAGCCACAGCCTAAACAGCAGCAACCAACGACACCACAGCGGCCAATACCCACCTCCAGAGGAACACCCTCAAATATCCCAGCTGACGCAGGGCTTGGCCTAGCCATTCCCCCGCCTACCGTAACTAACCCATATGAGGCATCTCACGCTGGGCAAACGGAACCATTATGAAATCACGGACTGACAACAAGAGAGAAGATGCCCCTTTTGCATACTTGGAGATAGCTCATGGTTTTTCTTTTTTTTGTCTTTTTTTTTTTTTTTTTGCTTCGGTTTGGAGGCTTTTGTTTACTTTGCGTGTTTTGGTTTACTTTTAGGTGTTGTATGTATATGGAGTCTGATTATCCTGCCCATTTTATTTTGATGTCCGCGACTGCAGCAAGCGTCCGATTGATATCAAGTTATCTCTTTCAAGCTGCCCGTGAAGTCGCTTATTACGCATCAGTCGCTGGTCTCTTTGGTTCCAGATATCTAATCCATCTTGAAATAACACGTGATTGTGCCTCGGCCCGGGGAAGCTTCCAAAGTTGCTCGGCTTTATCTAAGCTTCGGCTGTTGACCTAAACCTCGATGCCTCCTTTCCTCCTTATCCTGAAGATATGCAGGCTGATGCAGTTATACATAACTAATTCTCGTATATATAATAAGAAGGATATATTCCTGATCTTAACCCAACTTAAACATACATGCAACCAGGCTCCTAAGCGGTGACTTTAGCAGGCAGCATCTCAAAAGCAACAGGATGGCGACGAATTCACCCAATCCAATCCCCTTCTCAGAGCCACCATATCTATGTGGCCTGCCCTCGCCATATTATACTGATGCTCATCGCCGCTTTCAAAAAGCATGCCGTGCCTTCGTATGGGAACATTTACATTCCCACGCGATGGAATGGGAGCGAGAAGGCACTGTGCCACCACATGTGTTTGAAACCTTTGGAAAACACAACATGTTACTCCCTAATCTACCTTCTCCCTTGCCAGTTGAATGGCTGAAAAAACTGAACATCCACGATATCCTGGGAGTGAAGGTTGAAGATTGGGATCTCATATATACTGGTATATATTTGGACGAGGTTAGTGGCCGTTTAGATATAGGGTACATAATTAGGTCTAATTCATACTAATATTGTTGAATTTAGATGTCAAGATGTGGGTTGAGCGGTCCACCTAGCTCTTTGACAGCCGGCTTTGCATTCGGAATTCCGCCAATGCTCAAGTTTGGCAGCGCGGCTTTGCAGGAGAAATTTCTTCCTGATATGTTAACATGCAAGACCAGATCGTGTATTGCTATTACTGAGCCTGATGCGGGTAGTGATGTCGCAAATATCACTACTACCGCCGAGAAGAGCGCAGACGGCAAGCATTATATCATCAACGGCGAGAAGAAGTGGTACGTTAAACCACACATCTATGTTTAGGTATGAAGATAATATTGGCATGATGTTAGCTCATACTTGCCTTAGGATCACAAATGGAATCTGGTCAGATTACACCACCATGGCTGTACGTACTGGTGGCCCAGGTCCCACTGGATTGTCGATGATAGTCGTCCCGTTGAAGGGCTACCCTGGCGTAACAATGCGTCGGCTCCCGGTCTCTGGCCAGGTCTGCGGTGGCACTACCTTCATTGAATTGGATAATGTTAAGGTGCCGGTCGAGAACCTGATAGGTCGAGAGGGTTATGGTATGAGATATATAATGACGAATTTCAACCACGAGCGTCTCACTATTGCAGTGGGAGTAACTCGTCAGGCGCGTGTTGCTCTCAGCGCTGCATTCGAATATTGCATGAAACGCGAGGCATTTGGCAAGACGCTGATGGATCAGCCGGTTGTGAGACATAGGTTGTCCAAGGCTGGCGCGGAACTCGAGTCTATGTGGGCCTGGGCAGAACAATTCTTATACCAAATGAATAATATGTCCAAGGATGAAGGAGACAGAAGATTGGGTGGTTTGACTGCTTTGGCCAAAGCTAGGGCCGGAATTGTGCTCAACGAATGTGCCCAGGTGGCAGTTCTACTGTTTGGCGGGCTAGGATTCACGAAATCCGGTCAGGGAGAGCTGGTTGAAAGTGAGTTACATACCATGCCATTCCATTCCATTCGCTTCTGCCCTATTATTCCTTAAAAGGCTAGGAATGCTAATTAACCTAGAAATCTTACGTGATGTTCCCGGAGCTCGAATTCCAGGTGGCTCGGAGGACGTCCTGCTTGACCTCGCGGTTCGGCAGCTTGTTAAGAATTTCAAGGCAGAGACCAAGAAATTGGGCGAGCCTGCTAAGCTTTAACTAATTAATGGGATGGGGACTTGCCGATCCTTAGCCTATGATTTTATTCTTGAATTTGCCATGTTATGTGTTCCCCACTGAAAGGAGGAAGGTGTGATATCTACTATCACCATGTATGCATTGATTCATGTAGTGATAATATTGGAATATGCAAATTAGTATTAATTGATTAATTTAAGCCTCTGTGGTATTCCGTTCCATTTATAGACAAAACTGTATAAAAGGTATTGATCGCTCTGTGGCTCAAGTACCATCTGTTACATCTAACCAACCCGGTGGGGGTTTCGCGATTCCAGAGGTTCCAAGGGGCAGTCTTGCGCCGGTCGTTATTCCTACAATTCAGAAGACAAGCCAGTTTAGACTCATGCTAAGCATGGTAAATCCCCAGGCAGGGTTTCCAGCCAAGTAACATCATTAACCTGCTGAGGACTTGCCTCGTCCTCACTGCCAGTTCCGCCTATATTAGCACTGGCTATCTCAGCTACATTCGTAGCTAGTGACTCTATAGCAACCAAGTATGTTCCAGCCTTGGAGTTAAAGCTTCGGTATTCGCTGAGTAGTTCGATGCACCCTTTCCAGGCGTCTTCAATAGATTTGCTACCTCCCGGTAACTGTTTGTGGAGATCGCCAGGGCAAAGTCGTGCGGCAAGCAAAACTAGAGCGCATGTGAAGACGAATCCAATATTTTCCCACCAAGCTGGTAGGGGGGCTAGGTGGTCGATTTTACCGTCAGGTTGCCGGTTGGTTATTAAAATGTTTATGATTTCCCAGGCAGACATGATGCATTTGCATGCACCTTTGTAGACGATGCTATATATTAGAGGTGATTCGACGGTGTCATGTATATTGTGTGGCTTGTTAGAAAATTGAGAGGTTTCGGAGGTTATAAGATCTGGAGATGCGGCAACAAGGGCCAGAAGTGGCCTCCAGAGGAGGAGTCGGATGTTAAGATATCTGATGCGCAGGATGTTATGCTGTCGTTTGGCAACTGGGTTGTCAAGGGAGTCGTGGGTACTCCCTGGTACAAGGAATGGAGGTAGTGCTGCTAGCCAGTTACACAACCGCCTATCAGCGTTTAGAAGATTCTGGCATTCAAACGTTTCCATAAGTTTTCGAGGATGGCGTAGAATAGGGCGGAGTTCCTCTTGAACAGCAACAATGTCTTCATACCTCTCCATCAGGCGGGTCGAGACTGTGAAAAATTCTATGATTGACGGCCGTTCGGAGGCTACGAGTGGCTTCCCTCCAAAAATTACATCCACGTACTCATTTTCAAGAGGTGTTGGAAGTGGTGCTTGGAATGATCGTGGAGTCACAATCATATTTGTGCCTAGGTTTAAAGCAATTGTCCTATTCAACAGTTAGCTGTAATTCAAATGCTAATACATATATCCAACATAACCTACCTTTCCAGAAGAATGCAACTATGCCAAAGTCTCCTCGCGAGCTCTCTATCCACTCTGTCTTCAAAATGCTGGCTTCCAGAGCCAAGGTGAAGCCGAAGAGTTTCGGCAACGCGGATTGCGACACCAATGGATTTCCATGCAGATTGGAAGTTGTTGATTGCTATTAGGTATTGGCTGGCGATGATATATGCCTGAATAGTTGTTAGACTATCTCCTTCCAGTGAGCCTAGTCGAATAAGACGTTGAGCCCTGATAAAATACATAGAGGCATCGACGTGGCTATTAGGATCTGTCACGAGACAGCCCAATGCAAACATAACGTTCAATATACCGTGGAAAATACCCGTATCATCCGAAAAGCCTTCATTTGCCCATAGCCCGGTATACTTGGTGTGAAATGCAGGAAGGTGAAATATTGGTAGGTTGACATATTCACGGGTGAGATAAGCGGCTAGTAGACGATCTGTAACCTGTCGAGAAGGTAGTGATAAATCCTTTGCGTCAGGTCGCACTTTTACAAGCCCGGGGTTATCCTTCCGTATCTGTGCTAGTCTGGCAAGCTCGCGTTTAGCCTGGTTGCTATAACCAGGTTTTGATACATCTGTCCGGTGCGAGATAGCTTCGTTGAGCTCATCCAACCACGCAGATGGATCTAACCCGCCGCCGTTCAGCTCTCCGTGGCCGACGATATCCATAAACTCAACGGAATCACTCCGGTTCTCTTCCTGATCCTCCTGCTCTTCCTTGTGTGTCTCGGCCGGTGGTCCTAAGCTCGGTAACACGCCCGCGTCTGCTGTAGGCTCGGAAACCTCCTGCGCTTCGACTCCCGCTTCACTTTCCGAAATATCATCTGACATATGAGATGGTGCCTTGCGAAGGTTTGCGCGTGGAAGGGGGGGAATAGCAACCATAACAAGCTGTTCCTGGCCGGTGCGACGGTTTGGCATGGATAATCTTGGAAATTTTGAGGGACGTTCAGAGCTATCGGGAGAGGGCCGATAAACTACTTGTAGCCTGTAGGGGTAAGTATACAGTTAGCCATCTTGCTTTTGGAGTAGGATGCGTTTCAACGTACGTTTGTCTGCGTGGTTGAGGGGTGGTATAGTCATATTGGCAATCGAGATTCCGTTTGACACATGGGTTGCATGCTATTGTTATGGCCGTTAGCTGTGCAAATCGTAGCTACAGAAGTCTCTCGCGCACTACATACCTGGTGTGACGCCGTCACATTTCTTCTTCCTGGTTCTACATATCAAGCATGCCTTATGTGCCCGACTGGGAACCAATTGTCGACCTCCAGTGTAAACACATTTTCGTTTTCGCTTTGTGCAAGTACTGCAAGCTACAAAAGACAGGCAGGCAGCGTTAGCTTGAGCTCTTACATGTTGGAAGAGAATAGGAACTCACCGGGCTCCTGGCCATCGCATTTGGCGTGTCCAGTACGGCAGGCCTGGCAGCTGATGACTTTATAAGATGAGTCTGGCGCATCGGCCTGGGAGTTTGTTGGTCGCTGGAGGGGCGGAGGTGAGCTGTCGACCTCCATTGTCGCCTTGCGCTGCGCCAACTAGCTCGGGTTCTCCGAGGTAGCGCAGATACCCAGTTTATATATGTATATTAGTAAGTATTTCATCTCAATCCGCGCAATCTGCAGACCCTCAGCGACGGTAAAATGGACATGAGCGCATCAATCGCCGTAAATGCTCTTTTGTCTTCGTTTGGACGTTGCGGTTTTATATACTTGCTTAGTCATTATATCCACTTAAAGGTGGACGCTAAAAATAGCCAAATATTTTAACAGCTATAAAAACTTCATCACCTTCTCTATAACCAAACCTCAACCCGGTCCATCATTTTCAAACGCACTTTATAAAGTGACACATCGACTGATTAGCACAGTCTTATTCTTCAAACCCAGTGGTCCTTGGGTATCCAGAAATTCTCCATAGAGCTGGAAAATGAAAGACCTCAGCATGTTGTCAAGGATCTTCGGAAACATAAGAAGGAGGCTCGTCCTTCCTTCTATTCGCAAACTCAGACGTTCCCATGAAGTCCCTATGCTATACTGCCGCCCTGTGATCCCTTGGGATATATGGTAACGTGCAGCAATATGCTCTTGGGTGTTGGCAAATTGCACAGACCGAGCATCCATCGATGAGCATTGGGCCATCACCACATCGACAACAGGTCCAGTGAATAATCTTTTGCTCGGCCTCCTCGACGCCGAGGCTAAACCTTTTCACTTTACCCCTGACTATCTTAAGTTAGGAATATGCTTTCTATATTCGACGAGAGTGAACTAACCTGCGGAAGATTCTTCATCAGCCCTCCTCTCCACCTTCGCTTGGCCAGAGGGAAGCAAGCAAATTAGGTCTCTGGCGTATACTGCTGCCGCCATGGCCGCATACCCTTGCCATCTTTCGTTTCGATGAGAGTCTGAATAGTCGCATATACCTTGAATAACTACACATGGGAGGATACCTGTCAAAGTGTCTTCTCCCATCATGTAACTCAAGGCATTGGATTTTGCTGCAAGCTGTTCACGAAGGAAAGCATCTTTTATCGGCTCATTTATCACAATGATATCGCCGTAGTGTACTGCTGATTTATAGTCCTTTCTAGTTCGCTCGCGCCGGTTTACCAACTTTGAAGGATCGTCGCCACAGGCTTCCGCGCAGCTTAGCCCACCGATCGGATGACGCACAGTCGCTTTATAGAGCCTGTCGCTGGCTGGACCCGGCCGGTGCTGAAGATGTTGGAACCATGGAGTCCTCCTCAGCAATGGACGAATCTTCTCCTCAATCTGAGGGCCTTCCGCCGCGTACTTGCCCCGGATCTTATCAAGAGCTGTTCGTAAAAGCGATTTGGGTTCAGAAAAGATGTCATAGGAGTAAATATCTGGGTTCGGTGCACTCTCGCCATAGTATGAAGCCATATCACTGACTACAACGTCGCCCAGTCGAATGTCGTGTCTCGGAGAAGGCATACCACCGCCGATGCCCACCACCAGCCTAATACTGATATTTGGGAAGGCTCGCAGCATATTTTCTACATCACGCAATGTAGGGATCACATCATGTTCTCCACCATACCTACCATATTCTCCAAAACCCGAAGGAGCAATAACAACGTTATGGGTATGAATTCTGCCCATTTTGTAACCATTGCTGCCGTAGTCTGGTATACCTTCTGGGTTCATATGTTCCTCGTCTAGTGCAATCAAAGCGGTATACTCTACGCCAAAAGAACAAATCCAGCCTACCGTGTAGGCCTCACGAGGGAATTTAGGCTTACTTCGTATAGATTGAGAGCCAGACTGCCCTCCACCAATATCGGAGGACCTGGTAATGAAATCGTCTTGGGTTTGGTGCGGTGGCTCTGGTACAGGCATATGGGACTTTTCGGCTTCCATTAACTCTTCAAACGGATCCTTGTTGGGTTTGTCCAGAGTGGCGCTGCTACCTTGCGGCCTTTCGTTCCTTTTGTTTCCATATAAGCCACGAGATTCTGCAACTGCTAGGTCATGAGGTTGAGGTTTGCTGCGTATCTTTGCATTTTTAGAGAGGTGACGGGATCGGCCTTGGCCAACTATCGTCATCTCACCCTCCTTTGCGGATAATGGGCTTGGGACACGTCTTCTCTTTGGAGTTTCTGGGGTCCTTGTATAATTACCCCTTTTTTTGATACTTTTAGCCGACTCATTTATAAGTGGCTTTTGCCTAAGAGATTTGGAGGTTGAAAGTTCATCTCTATCTTGATGAGGTTTCCAATTGCGCAGTGGCTCTGACCCTTTCGTGGACGTCCGCAGGATGTTCCTATTACTCTCCAAGATATCTAGCATGTCGTTCTTTGAGGAGCTACTAGCGGATACATCATATGAATCAACAATAGGGGCCTTGGCGGTCTCATAGGCTACTGGCACTATATTTTGTAGAGCCAAAAGAGCAATATCTTCCAGGTGAGTTTTAATATGTTTTCGTAAGGAATAATATGCGATGATATCATCAAACCAGGCACGGCCCGAGGAATTAAACCCATCTTGGAAGGGACACTTAAAAAGTGCCTTTCTTGTTGATTGAGAAGCGCCAGCACTTATGATAGCGGCATCCTCCTGTGAGATGTCATGTATCCCCTGGAGATGTTCCTGGTACCCACTTTCGGTATCAAACCTCTGGAGGGAATGAGATGGTGCCCGACACTCCCAGAAATGACCCTGACAGGATTCCATATGGCAAATCCAGCTGTCCGAGGTGCAAAAGGTCATTACGGTGGAGAACTCGGCCGTGGAACTGGAGCAATAATTGCTGAGACAGATATAAGGCTCAAGATCCTGTACAACATGATTTCTGGAGAGAAAGATGAATGCAAGAGTCAGATAATTTCACGCCTTAGAGCTTTTGTTATTCTTACCTCCAGCAGTTTTGCTTATCTTTCTCAAACGAGATATCCCAAGGCTCTCGGCAATATGGGCATATGCGTGACTTCGGGGTCAGGGGGAAAGGTGGACGTGCATTCGCTATGGCTAAGTCTCCAATCCACTCCTCTATCGGCGACTCACTGGCAGTTGAAGTATGCGGCGCACTCCCCATAGCTGATTGTGGAACTTTCACCTGCTCCTCTGTCTGTGTTTGTAGAGGTTCGGGATCAGCCCTTGGGGCTCCAGTTAGTGTGGGACTTTGAGCCGGCTCAGGGCTATTACGTTGCGGTGGAGGTCCTTTTTTGCTTTGTAGAATGGAATATAGACGCCTGAACCGCATCACGTTTGCCTCAGCCAATGCTTCTTGCAATTCCTTCGGAGAATTGGGGAAATGTAAGCGAAGATAGCCATAGGTATCTTCTCGGGTCTCCTCGGCCAGCCGGTTGGCCTCATCATTGTTCGTGCTTCCTAATATCCCCGGCCATCGGGCGACATAACTTGCTTCTTCTCTCCGCTGTTCAGCGACACAGTCTGCTTCTTCACTCTGCTGTCGGGCGACAGCAGAAGCTTGAACCGCATTTGATAACCTGAAGAGACGTGTGATAGTCCCGCTAAGAATTGTGTTCGTGGCTAATGTCTTTGACTTGCTGCTACAATCCCCGGCACTGAGCGAAACAGCTGGTGTTGATCTGTCTTCTATCCCAGGGTTAAAGGGCCTCCAGCTCTTCGTAGAGTGACTTTCAGACCTCTTGGCGACATTATTCGATATCACTGCACACAACCGGTCAAAACAGGAATATTTGAGGCTTCGGCGACATAAGGAATTGGCGCAGGTTTCACATACAGTGATCCAATGTGTCTCGAACCACATTTAGTAACTGATGGATTATATTCGCATCGAGGGATCTGTATTCCAAACCATATCTAAACGGCTTATTAGAAGACTTAAAGGTGGTTATTCTTGATATCCATAATCTAAAACGATCCCGCTGATCATCGAGGCCGGAGGGTTTATCCACGGCGTCAATAGCCTGGTTAAATCGGATACTGCAGTCTTCAGCTTGCTTCATCATAGCCCGATGAGCCCTACCGTAGTCTAGAAATGAAAATTTATTAATATCGATACCTCCTTGGGTGTCCATTCTGATGGGTTGATGGAATCCGTGACCGCCTGGTTAACATAGACAAACGCAACAGGCTGCCTTTATATGGCTGAAAGATGCTGCATCTCTCTTGGCATAACTATCCAATAACCAATTACCCTAGGTATCCAACTACTCTAAGTAGTTGATTTCCCCGCCATGTAAACTGTAACTTGAAGTCTCTCCTTTTTAGCATCTTTATCCTTCGCAGAATGGCCTTCGTTCCCACATATTTCCTGTGTCCTGTAGCAGATGTTGTTCCACCACCCCCTAGAGGCGCATTAGCCCTGGGGAGCATTTTACGAAGCCTGGCTACCCCTCTTGCTCCCGTGAACAAGGATGAGGTCCTCACAGCGCCAAACGTTGACTCTGCGACGGAGACTGACTGGCAGAAAACTACGTCTGACAGTACATCTCTGAGCGTTGGAGTATTCACTACTTTTCTTGAGCTATTGCTTGGGCTTAGGGCAGATGTGAGCATCGACCATTCGCGACAGGACCATAGCAGCTTCGAAGTCGAAAAACTGACTACGGTCTCGTTCCAACCCACCGTGGAGTATGTTAGGGAAGCCCTCCGGATTCCTAGTGTGCAGCAGTACCGGAATGCGAAAGGCCTGGCACGCTGTAGGGCGCTTTATCTTGTCACCGGGCTGAAGGTGGCGTCGGGAGCAGCCATCCGCCACGGATTCCATCGCGGGCCAGGCGTCTCTGCGGAGGTTGGAGTTGATGGGACTACGCCCATTACCATAGGCCCCACCTGCGGGTGGTCCCGCGAGCGGGCCGAGGAAACAAGCTTTTACCGTAGAGACGAGTTTATCTTTGCCTACCGGCTTCACAAGATCTCCTTCTTCCTAAAGTCCGATCCCACCGTTAGCCCATACATCAAGGGTGCATTTTTGAATTCAGGGGAAATTGAGGAAAGTGAAGCGGAAGACGAAACACAATTTATGCTAGAAGAAGTCGAGGGAGTCAATCTCCCTGGGTCTGCCCTTCTTTTCGCCAACGCTGAGAATCCGTTGGTGTATGTGGTTCGACCTGTGGCGTGAAACCTGCCACCATGTGCCTCCTATATCTGGTATATTGATTCTGACTAGTTAAGTACATGTTAGATTATATTTAAGGATCTATCTTATATTATAAATGTTTTCTTTTAGCTGCCTTATTTTCTCATAAACCGATTCCTTGTTAACGGGATGGCAGAAAAATTTCCATGGGGAAAGCATGTCGTAGTTATCTTTTCGCACAACCAATTCTTTCAGGAGCTCCTCCATACCATGGGGCCTTTTTAACCAGGATAATATTGAAGGTTTTCCCAATAGGCTGGTCTCCTGCTGTTGCACAAATGCGAGCACACTTGCAACAAACCCGGCAATAATTGGGGTGGCGATGGAACTCCCTGACCGAGCTCTAGCAACCCCAGAGGGCCAATCGGAAACTACGTCTTCGCCAAGAGAAGTCAAATTGAACGCTGTTCTGTATGGCTTCGGGTTGAATTTAGACGAGACTCCATTGCTGTCCATTGAGTGAATACCGAACACCTCCTTGTAATTCGCGGCGGGGAATGTCCGCTTGTGGAATAAACCATCGTTAGAAGCAGCTGCAAACAATAATATGTCTTTCTTTGCTGCTTCCGAAATGGCATTTTCCATATCGGCGTCATTCTCTCGAATACCAAATGACATCGTGATAATGTCCACTTTCCACTCCGCCGCAGCGTATCGAATTGCCTGGCACATCAGTTAGGTTATTGAACAGTGGAGAAATGGATTAGGATGGGTTAGCCTGTAGGTACCTCAGTAATTGGCTTATACCCTTCGCGGTTGATCGTTGAGTTGTCATCATCGGCAATTTTTCCCACAAATATATCAGCGCAGATAGCGGTCCTAAGGAGCAAGCCCAATGTATGAGTTCCATGGCCAATCTTGTCTTGCATCAACGATGGACCATCTGTCCCAAGTACGAAATTCCGTGTTGCCCTTATCCGTGGATCAGGACGGCCGATTTCGTCAGTAACAAGATTCGGAGTATAGCCGGTGTCAAGGATCGCAATGCGTATTGGAGCGCGGGAGCAAGGGGGGAGGGATGCGTTGACATAACTGTGGATGAGCGTATCCAGTTTTTTCAGCCACATAGATGACCCGGCACTAGTCCTATCCGTGTCAATCGGGATATCACGATTGAAGGAAGGGTTGGGTCTTACTTTGAATATTGGAGAATATTATCCTGGACATCAAACAGGCTACCCTGGGGAACGGGTGCTTGAACAACACAAGAGGTGCGGGTACAATAGGCCGTTGCAGTTTCTTCGATTTGCCTTTGATATGTATTCCCAATTTGAGCTGCAGTCAAGCCAGTTGAGTTTTCTGCTAGAGAATTAGCGATAGGCGGGTGAGTAGATACTGCTCTTTTGGTCTCTACAACCGATGCCTGGAAAGTATTTTTGCCTAGCTGAGTATGCCTATCTTGGGCGTAAATACTCCATAAATTCTTTTTCTCTGCGTGATCTTGGTTGAGGATTTGGAGATGACCCATATCTTTAATCCATTTATTGGAACATTTCAGTAAACGCGAAATCACATTTTCACAAAATTTCGTTTGTATTATTGCCGAGTCGAAGGCAAAGTGTTGCCCAGGAGGGAAATAACGAGCGTTTAGACAAGCCGACAATGCTTCGCAGTAGTCGTCCCCTTCTTCATTGGATATCTCTTTTTGCAAAATTTCAAGCGCCATGCACTGCTCTCGGTTTAGAGATCTCTCCTGATTGGGACCATGATCCTCACGGGTAAGAGGCCTGCATCGGTATATTTCAAGAAGGAGAATCCCCAACGCCAAGACAGTCGGGTGAGGGTGCAATATATTTTGGTGAGAATTATGGGAATTAGTTTGTTTGGCGAGGGTATCCAAACGTGTGAAAATGAAGGGGTTTGTGAGATCCGGCAAGGCTCCAAGTTCCTTAAGAAAATAAACATCATGGTAACTAAAATCTGACAGAAGCCAGGGAGTCTCGAGAAGCGGTTGTATCATCGCCGCTAGCAACAGAGACAGCGTAAGCCTCCCGCGTCTTGAAAATACAGAATATTCGCCAATTTCCTGCTGGAAGTCAAATATCGACTTGAGAGAAATTGCTGCCGGGGCGTCTATGTGCATCTTGCTTCCCATGCGCAATTCTCGTAACGAGTCGTCCTCAAGCAAAATGTGAAGAGAGGTCGAGTCTGTGTGACAGGTTTTGATAGACAGACAGATATCTTTATGGCTCAGTGGAGCTGTGCAATTATCTGCCATGGGATCTGTCTCACCTGCGATACGGCCCGCACGACGGGTTCGCCCACTATGAAATCGAAGTTAGTAATGTATTGTGTAGAGTTCAAGTCTACCCCTATTACATACCCGATGAAAATTTTGCCCTCCTGCCACTCGACCTTATCCTGACAACCCAAGGCGAAATAGGCATCAAACTGGGTGTTGATACTATGAGACAAAGGCAGCCGAAGACTTATCCCATGGCATTGTTCGCATGTACAAGACCAATGTTGCTTGAGTTCTCTGTGAAGGGACAACGATTCTGCTTTCAGCATTAAGATAGGATGCTCGTTGTCTGCGCTTTCGTCTTCAGCAGGCTGACGATAACCCTGGCCTGGAACGCCGGAAACATTGCTCCCAATGTTGTCGTGGTGACTTCTATAGCGTTTCCTGGGACGATTCGATTGCTGCGCGAGCTGTTCGATCAACTCTTTACGTATTCTGGTTCGAGAGGCGGTTTCCCTCTGATACGTCTGGCTGCTCGTTTGTCGATTGCGATCTAAACGTGGGGACTGTACATCGGCACACTAGGTTTAGTTATGTTAGTGTCGAATCTTTTTTCTGTTTCTAGTCAGGTCTTTTAACTATGTAGTTACAATCGAAGGAGGGGTTTCTTCCTCATTATCCTCATCTTCCAGTGACCTCTTCAGCGTATTGAAAGTCTCATTGGCTTGGATTTCCTCGTCTTGGGTCGCCGAGAGATAATATGAAGCCGCCAATGCATCGGCCCTCAACCAGGGCTGGGTGGGATCCGGGATGCTGTCTCTCGGAGACTGCTCCGATGTCTCTAATGGAGCTCCTGACCTGGCTACACTGAATAAATAATCATGCACCTTCAGAGCATAATATGCCATTATGGCCGCCTGTATGGAAGGGAAAGGGAAGAGAGGAGGGACGGGACACCGCAGACTGGACCTCGTAGATGGACAAAAGATCACATGATTGAGGCTATCCCAGAGGATCAGTGAAACAACTGGTTGGTTAAATAGTTAGCTCTCCCCCAGTCAATCATCTAACGTGTCAAAAACATGTTGCAAAAGAGATGGATTGCGGCTTGGAAATGGATTGCGACTTGGAAATGGATCGCGACTTGGAAATGGATTGTGGCTCCGAAAATGCATCCCAGCGCTCAGAAACGGATTTTATACCCCTGCTGGCTCAAAACTGGATTATAGGATTATAGGATTGTTGCCTGACTTGAGAAAGATATAAAATCAAGCCCTTCTCTCACCTAAAACAGGCCAAATCACTTAAGAAAAGCCATTGCAATATCAGTTATATATACGTGCAAGCCATCATAGAAGACTTATTTCACTCGAGCAACCTCTTCATTTATGCCCGTAAGTTCAATGATCCCGTTGAAGATGATTGTAGCTAAGCTTTCTTTCAACAAGACCATGCAATACATCAACCGTTTCGCCACAGTAATGACATACAGGGAGTCAGTATCAGAGCTGTCTATCTCTATCCACTCCTCCCTCAGCACTCCATGCGAAAATGGAGGTTCGCTGAATATCTGGTCGAAGCCTGCCAAGGAACACAGATCTTGCGGAGGCAGCAGAGTCGATGGAGCCTCAGCCCTCACAATAAAAAGAAATACGCCTGGATTGGGGAATAGACGCTTCTATATCCTGATGGCACTTTTGATCGCTCAACGAATCATCTGGGTGTGTGATGTATGAAGAGAGTCCTGTGTCAAATATCTCACTCACTAGTCTTCCTTGCATATTAACAGAGTCTGCATGGCAGTGATAAGGCTTGCTGAGCCAAGTGTGTTCCATATTTGACATGAAAGATATTGATCTTTGGATATGATGGCTTATGGGAAACTTGATCGAGAAAAGGGAAAAGAAGAGAAATAAATGCCAAGCATATATAGTATCTTACGTAATACGGCGTTTCTCCCGAGCACAAAAGAGGATATAGATCTATAAACAGAACAGAAACAGCTACATTTAACCTATAAATCTGGTGTATATCTACATAATAGTGATAAATTATGTCCTTATTAGTCACTAGAGCCCGGTGTTTGCTGACTCCGTAATTACAAAGTGAACTGCTTCTGGTTTCGTGATACCGGCGACTTCGGCGTAAGCTCCATGTCCCTTGCCTGGCGCTCTTGTTCGCCGGGAAGAGCGGTTCTGACAGCGGGGAAAACGCAGCTAACTTACATTATAGCATCGGTTAGCCGGGATGAGCTTGCATCTCGACATTCCTTTCCTTCTCCTTCAAGACTTTAGGCTAAGATACAGATAACGTTCATCTATATCTTCAAAGATGGCTTCTACCATGCAGTCTGCGAATCGCATTCAGTCCGTTCTTAAAGCCGGAAAGACGGCGTATGGTGTATGGCAGATGTTCCCAGGAGCTAATCTTTCTCGGATAATGGCAAGATGCGGATTTGACTGGATTCTCGTTGATACTGAACATGGAAATATCGACGGTACTATCCTGCATGCATTCTTCGTTGTGGTTTTATCTATTCCCAGAAAACGACGTGCTAACGTTGAATGCTAATTTGTATCCTGTTCTAGATGCTCAGATGCACGAAGCCGTAGGAGCAATTGCGGCAGCAGGTGTCAGTCCTATTGTTAGAATTGCGGCTAACGAGGGATGGATGGTTAAACGTATGCGTAATCTATCTTTAATGGTGTATTACCTGCTAAAACATTTTATAGGTGCCCTCGACGCTGGCGCTCATGGTATTCTCGTACCACTCCTTGAGACGGCCGACGATGCCAGGAAGCTGGTCCAATCAGCTAAATTCCCCCCAGTCGGAAAGAGAGGTTTCGGATGTCCCTTTGCAATGGGGTCAGTCGGCAATGTAACGCCGACTGAATATCTACAGCAGGCAAATGAAGCTCTGATTACAGCTGTGCAGATAGAGACAAAATCTGCCCTTGATAATGCAAGTCTACCATCCTCGTCCAGAGAACGGGAACATCGAGCTAAACATGTCGATAGGTTGAAGGAATTGCCCAAGTACCGGGGATCGATGTATTGTTAGTCGGGCCATGGGATCTTGGAATTAACATCGGCCGGCCGGTAGTCACTGATGAATTTCACCCTGATCTCGAAGTAGCCATTGAGCGCGTCCGTAAAGCGGCAGTAGATAGCGGGAAGAAGGCTGGAATCTACTGCCCGTCTGGAGAATTTGCAAAGAAGTATATTGATCAGGGATTCCACATGGTAAGGCTGACCCCTTCCCACCTTTCCATCTCTTATCTTCCGGCCGTCAAGTTACTCATTCCATTTCGTGTGTGATAGGTTTCAGTTATATCTGACGTGACTGCGCTCCCTATCTTCCTTGGCCAGAACTTGAAGGTTGCGAGGGGAGAATAGACGTCGACATAGCACTCTAAATCTTCCACAACACGGATGTATGCAATATGAAGATTAAAGACATGTATATGATGCATAATAAACCCCAATTAAAACCACCTAACATTCATTGATTGCCTTTTGAACTTCTGCTTCTGTAAATCGATGAAACAGCTTTTTGGGGTCGCTCAGCTTGCCATCGGGCAGGGTCTTTTCAACATGCAGAACCGGAACATCGAATTCATATACGTCCTTCCATTGTTTATTCCCAGGAGCCATGACATCGACCTCGGCGTATTCAACGGGCTTTCGGTGTCGGAAGTTGCTTAGGGTGTGTTTGGCCGTGTCGCAAAGGCCGCAGTTCAGGCGGGAGTAGAGCGTCAATCGAACATTCTGTAGGAGGGTAAGAGTAGAACGCATCTTGTAGAGAGAAGTCGTTCGCTTGACCGGATTCTCTTTGCTCTTGGGCTTCGTTTCTCCGTGAAGCAAAAGTTTGCGGTTGCTGGGTAAGTTTTTTTGTCCAGAATCTTCGATAAGGGCAAGCAACCCTGCCACCAAGGGCGATAAAGAAAAAGAAAACACAGCCATTTAAGCTGTACCATATGGAAGAGCTGCTCCCACCGCCTCGTTGATTACTTTCCCCTCCTCTTAAGGGAATACCAATTGCGTCTCTTTCGTTTATTCATACAAAATGGCCTCGAAGTGTGTTCATAAAGGGTGTGGCAAGGTGTTTACTGACGCTGATGAGTCGTGTGTCTACCATCCTGGCCCGCCGATATTCCACGAGGGACAGAAAGGTTGGTTATTGCCATGGTTTAAAAGAGATACTTGCTGTCTTTTACTTATCTAAAGTGCTGACATATGTGTTCCTTGTTGCGATATAGGCTGGAAATGCTGCAAACCTCGAGTTCTTACCTTTGATGAATTCCTCGTCATCCCGCCATGTACGACCGGAAAACACTCTACGGTTGACGATACACCTGTTGAACCAAAGAAGGAGGCTGTTGATGTACCAGAGCCAACCCCTGCTGCGCCTGGCACCACCAAGCCAATCGCCGTATCAGCTGCGCTGCCTCCCTCTCTCAGTGCAACCGGAGCCCATACCCCTACGCCTACAGGTACTCCCGCACCACCAGAATCCGAGTCGGACGACCCTTCTTTGGAAATACAGCAGGGCGCAACATGCCGTCGGAAGGGATGCGGTAAGACGTATAGCGGGTCTGGATCTAGGGAGGGCGAGGAGTGTGTACATCACCCTGGATACCCGGTCTTCCATGAGGGGAGTAAAGGATGGAGTTGCTGCAAGAGGAGGGTGCTGGAGTTCGACGAGTTCTTGAAGCTGCCTGGCTGTACAACCAAGAATCGCCATTTGTTTATTGGGAAGGGGAAGAAGTCTGCCGAAGAGAAGGTTAATGACGTGCGGTAAGTGGGAAGAACCATATATTCTATATGAGACACTTCACGACTAACGGGGACATTTTCATGTAGGACCGACTTCTACCAGACCCCGGCGACGGTGATAGCATCGGTATACCTGAAGAAGATAGACAAGGATACCGCAAAGGTCGACTTTTCGTCTCCAACCACAATCGATCTGGACCTACCCACGTCGGACAACAAACGCTTCACACAAGTCTTTTCCCTCTTCGCCCCAATCGACACAGAGAAATCGAGCTATAAGATCATGGGAACGAAGCTTGAATTCACGCTGGTGAAGGCGAATCATGAGAGCTGGGCGACACTGAGAAGCACAGATCCGAGGACAGGCGAAATCATCCAGACCGGACGGCCGACGAGGGCGTAAACATAGCCAGACTAGCTGCACATAACGGATTTAAAGGTGGTATACGAATAATGAGCCAAAAATAAATAAAAAAAAAAAAAAGAAGTATGTAACTTATATTGATTGCCATTCTTAAAAATATCTAGTGTGGAAGCGCATAGAAACGTAAAATATTCGTATCCGAAATTTCACTTTAGTCAAGAGCTGAAAACTCAGGCTTGACACACTCATAGCGCCCTCACGGACCCCCAATTGGATGTCTCCTCGAGACTCCAAGTAACCAACATGATGGGAGGGGGAATGGATGTAACGTGTCCTCCACGACTAAGCCAACCGAAGAAATGTGAACGCTCAGTCATAAAAGTATGGGAAAAGGACAACGCAGTCTCCTCTCCGAAGCCGGGAACGGAAAGAAGCCCATGGTGAAATGGAGCAACCTTCAGCAGGCCGCCGTAGCGGTGCCTCGGGATTGAAATTTACATGTAGTAAACCTCTACTGATGTGAAGAAAGAAAGAAGAAGAAGAGGAAGGGAAAATTTCAGCGTGCATTTTTGTACCTCTGGCTGGTCACGTGTGGCTTACATAAAGTTTATGTCACATGATATATCAGTAATATCTCACGTGAGTTATATGCCAAGAGACGCGGTCAGGTGATATCACATGCCTCGGCTAAACTTTCCACTTTGGTTCAAATCCCGTGACTTCCGGCCGTGCACAACAAGGTTCCGGCTGCTCCAAAAGCGGACTAGCGGCGCTCAGGGCGGCAGGTGGGCACGAGACCTCTAACCTTCTCCTTCTCCTTTATTATTTTTGTTCCTCTGTTGATACTTCTTGTTCCGACATCCTCGCGCCGCCTCGCTCCCCGCTGATATCGCTGCCATCCTGGCTCCGTCGCATCCTCTACTACTCCGTATACCACCGGCTCTACCTGCAGATCTCCAGCTCGCCCTCCAGCAAGGGTCACCTGCGGGGACCGCAAAACACGAACGTCATCGCACATAAAGTTGTGGCCGCCCACCCCCCTCAAGGCGCACCCTCATCCTGTCCCCGTTCCAAAAAGAAACGATAGGCGAGTCGTTTTCCGGAGAGAGAAGCAGTCTGCCTGGTGAAATACCTATTTATTCGTACCTCTCTCTCTCTGCAGCCCGACATTTCACATCACACAAGTATTTCTTCTAGAGCCAGAGCTTCCCCCCACAACCAGACCAAAGAAAAATAAAAAAGAAATAAAAAAAAAATATGCCCTCTGCGTGTACACAGCCGGTTGGCTGCCATGAAGTCAGATACATCCCGCTATCGTACAACCATGCTGACTCGCAGGCTTCGGCTTTGAGACTCGTCTTGACTGTCAACCCCCACTGGAAGGATGCCGAAGGAAGAATTGAGTTTGTTCGCTTCACAGATGGCATTACGAATACGGTATGTATATGAAGGGGCGTCGGGAGGATGGTTCTTGTTGGTTTCTGGGTCTGACATTTTGATGGTAGCTGTTGAAAATCACGCTGCGGGCGCCTGGCCTGTCTGATGAGGAGATTGATAAGGAGGCCGTATTGATGAGAGCTTATGGAAATAATTCTGAAATCATCATAGACAGAGAACGTGCGTTGATCCATAGACTCCTACTATAAAGATGATTAGTTCTGCGGCTAACCCTAGTGTATCGAATAGGAGAAGCAAGATCTCATGCGCTCCTTGCTTCGCGTGGTCTTGCGCCACCACTGCTTGCTCGGTTCTCCAATGGTCTTCTATATCGGTTCATCCGCGGACAGGTAGCATCTCCTGATGATCTTACTAAACCCGCAGTCTGGCGTGGAGTTGCGCGTAGGCTTGGACAATGGCATGCTGCTTTGCCCATCAGCGAGGCGACCTCCGATGCAGCCGCCGCAGATTCCCGAGACGGCGATTCCCTTTCCCTGGGTTCGGCTGATTCAGACTCGAAACTGGGTCAGGAATCGACTGCTGTTGCAGATGATATAACACCAATTGTCACGAGACTCGATGGACCAAACCTTTGGTCTACGCTGCAGAAATGGATCCTTGCTCTACCCCAGACGACCGAGCAGGAACGCGTTCGACGGAAAAACCTCCAGAAGGAGTATGAAGGAATAGTCGCGGAGTTTGATGACGGGTCAGGCCTAGGCGAAGAAGGGGTAATATTACCTTGAATGTCTTACCAATGGTTTTAAATCAGGTTGCTAACATTTTTCACGTTCAGATGGTCTTTGCTCATTGCGATCTGCTAAGCGCAAACGTTATCATCCAACCACGACCAAAGCAATCACCTCTCCCAGAAGGTTTTGCAGAGACTGTTGATTTCATCGACTACGAGTACTCCACTCCATCACCAGCAGCGTTCGACCTGGCAAACCATTTCGCCGAATGGGCTGGTTATGATTGTGATTTTACGAGGCTGCCCACACGATCCGTTCGTCGAGGCTTCCTTGAAGAATACGTCGATAGCTTTAGCCAGCATGACGCTCTCCCCGAGTCCAAGCAGAAAGCGGTTGACGAGCTGTTCGCTGATGTTGATCGCTATCGAGGACTCCCCGGGTTTTACTGGTAAGGCACTTGTAATCATAATCTAACAGCTGATATAAAATTGCTAACTGGTAATTGGCGATAGGGGCGTATGGGCTTTGATCCAAGCAACCATCTCTAGGATCGATTTCGACTATGCTTCCTACGCGGAAGAGCGTCTTGGGGAGTACTGGGCCTGGAGACGGGAACAGGACGGTTCTCGTGCAAAGGCCGGCGAGAAGATACCTCTACGTGAGCAGCGATGGGCTCAAGAGGTCTAAGCCAGCATTTACTACCTACCATCTTTACCCCTCCAGCTTCTGGGCAACCTTTATCAGGAACAGACTACCGTTTCATACCTGACTCGATCTCCTTGTTTGCATTAGTGTGATTCAAACCTTCTGCGGTACGTTTTACTAACGCCCCTACATATCCTGCATACCCATCGGCGTCATATGTTTCTGGCATATATATATTTATAATCTTCTTAATTTACGGGAACTGGAACTACAATCTCTATATACTTTATCGGGTCTAACCTGTTACGGGCCGAGATCAAACTCCTAGCGAGCGTTTCAACAACATGGTTTGCACTTTTCTTTTCACTGTTTTGACCTACCCCCCCATCTAGACGGCGGAGTTGTATGAACAGGCAACGATGACGTTATAGACAGACGGACGGACAGATATACAGGATACTTCCTCGGAGAGAACAGCAGGGGAAAGGAGAAAACGGGTTTACTTCTTTTCTGGTGTGCTGAACAGCCGAGTTCTACGTTTATTTATGGTAGACAGATATTTACAATCAATCGAGTCTTAGCCAACTGTTCTTCTCTAAATATATTTCCTCTCTACATAGAAGCCAAAAACAGCAAATGAATGCTATCACACGAGATTCATTTTCGCCCACTCTTCAGCAGTCAAGGCAGGGATGCCAGCTTTGAAGTTCCAGGTCTCTCCCACATCCCATGCTACACCACGACCTTGCCCAAACACGACGTTATATTTATGTAGCGAGTTAGTAGGATCCCGGGCCAGCGCCTCCTCCACGTCTTCAACCGTTAGAACCGTCTTCTGAAACGGCTTCCCCGTCAGATCTTCCACTATCCGCGCCACCTTCGCGTAACTAACAGTATCACCAGCGATAAAGATGGGTTTGTTCGCAAACACTTCCTCCCCCGCCTGCCTTTCTCCGAGGACAATCTCAGCCGTGATTTTACCTATATCCGTCGGCGCCGTGACGGTGACTTTGTTCTCCCACCCTCCTAACGCCCGCACCGTAGCCCGCTGCACATCAACTATGCCCACCCCGCCCTCGAAGAGGAAACTAGTAAACATCCCCGTCGAAACGATGAGCCATGCCGTCTCACTCTGAGAGCGCAACAGACGTCTAACGTCGAGCTGTTCATCGAATAGATCCTGCGCTGACCCGGGTCCAATAACGTCATAATCAACGCCGAATTGCCAGGGTATGAATCGGGGTATTTTGGCAGATAGGACTGCATGGGCGATTTTCAGCTGCGTTCCTTTACCGGCGATAAAGCCTGTGCAGCTTATTACTAGATCATAGGGCTTGAATAGAGAGGATAAGGTGTGTTGGGCATCATTGACGATGTCGCCTGTTACGAAGGAGATGTTGAGACTTCGTAGGGCGTCGAGTTGGTGGATTTTACTTTGTTCTGTTGATGATATTGTAGATGCGCGGAGGAGAACGGCGATGGAGATGTTGTGCTCGTTTCGGGCAGGGTGGTTGGCGAGGGAGTGTAGGATCTCAGTGCCTAGTTCGCCGGCGCCTAGGACTAGGATGTTCTTGACAAGGTTCATGGCAGGGATGGTGTAGATCTATCAATTGATGGCGCAAGTCTATGAGTGTATCATGATCTGAGTAAGGGTGGTAGAATTAGACATGGCTTTATAGAGCTATCGATGCCCACTAGATATTTATCAGCATCCCGGACTTTAAGCTGTATATCGGACTTAGCTGGAGGTAACGGACGAACGTATACAACGACGAATCAAGTGTAGAGAGTTGCATGATGAACCTGGATTTCCATTGATGAGACACCTATCTACCTAAAACGTAACAAAAGCAAAAAACAAAGCAAAACAAGACTCCGTTGTCGCTGAGAATTCGCCGCCTCTAATTACTTGGAAAGGGAAGCTATTAGTCTAGTATGGAGAGGGCAGAGACAAAGGAAAAAGAGAGAAAAGGGATAAGAACTAGGGGTATACAGGATAGAATAATGAAAGGATGCATGATTTTTGGTGGTCCGTGGACGCCAATGACAAGGAAATAAAGCCCAGGCTGTGTTTGTTGGATACAATCCATAAAGAACTGAAGAAGAGGAAAGGAATGCCCGCCTTTACAAAGCAAAGGGAACGATAGCAGCGACGAGGGCGCCGAGAGAGAACCCGACGAGACGTCCGGATCCGTTCGAAAATACTGGCAGCGAGGCAGTGGCGGATGGCGGATTGTAAGTAGCAGTATTAGAGGGAATGATACCAGTGCCAGTTGCAGCTCCAGCTCCAGCTACACCAGTTCCAGAGGGCGCACGAGAGGAGATGGTTCCAGTTGGCATGGAGCCGCTGGAACACGATTCGTCTTCATGGTGGACGAGCTTGAAGTTGCCGCAGTTCATGCGCTTACCGTCCTTGTTGTGGACGACGAAAGAGCGGTTTCCGAAAAAGGTGCCGACGCCTGGCCGGGTAGAGGTGTAGAGGTCATGGTATCTGGCCATGAAGTGCTGGTTGCCGTAGACGCTGATTTTACCGTGTTTGCCGCTGAGGTCGCCTGGCTCGCAGGTCTCTGGGTGTGGGGTATCGCATGGTGGTTTCTGGCCACGGCCGAAGGGATCGATGTGGTCGAGAGTCTTGCTGCAGTTACCGTCTTCTGGGACGGGGTCGACGTGCAGGTGGTAGGCTGGTGACGTTAGTATGCTGTTACTTGTTTATGTTTGATGTTGTTATGTTGTGGTAGTTGAGGGAGCTCACCATATGGACCGTCATCCTTCTCGAAGCCGCTGAGGTCGACCTCGAAGACAACACCTCTGCCGTCCTTGTACGCAGTCGCAGAGATGGATCCTCGGATCTCGGTGCTGTCCTTGTCGAGCAGGGTGGCCTTGTAGACTGGGCCGATTGGGTTGTCGACAGTCTCAGGCGCGTCCTGGGTCCCTGTAGCGGTGGCCAAGCCGAAGCTCAAGACTGAGCATGCGAGGAAGAGAGAAGCCTTCATTTTGTATTAGATATCGTGTATGGTATATGATATCGAGGTATTAATCGAGAGGTGTGATATCGGTATATTAATCGAGTGGTGTGTATGTTGAGGAAGTGTTTGTTATGGAAGAGAGGAAGTAGAAGTAGAAGTAGAAGTGAGATGCGGCTTCTTTAAGTGCGGTAAATACGCAAACAGTGAAGGAGATATTGTGTGTAACTGAGGGAATGAACAAAGAACCAGTTGAGGCGGGATATATCGATCTCTTATATACTACATGAAACAAGCAAGCCCCAGCTACAAGCTACAGGCGAGTCATTTACACGATGTACATGCTGCCCAGCCTCCGTGGAGATCTCCCAGCTGTGGCATCTAGTTCCTGTTTCTGGAGCGAGGTGAAGCAAGCTGCCCGGCGCCTGCAATAGGGCGAGCTGTATAAATAGCTGGGTGGCTAACGCAGCGCTCTCACTGGACCAACCCCTGCCCTCTGCCTTGACTGGCCTGAACCGTGATCTCCAGCTGTACAAAGTCACCACCAATGGGAGCAACGTCGAGGCTGGCGCTGGGGTTGCTCGTTTCAAGGGGGAACATGGAGAGTGTTGGCGGCGCTAAGCTGCAGGGCGGGTAGAGCCCAATCCCGGTGAATATAGATCTTATCACGCTGTTATTGCCTATTAATATGTTATTGTCTATTAATATAGGTTGTACGTACGTTCGACAGCGGTATTTTTAGGCCTGTAGTTTTGTTTATGCATTGAGTATTAATAGATTAGCCATCATTGTGGATAATATGCAAGTACTTCGTAGCTCAGCTTGGATAGCTTCCTTAATGGTCTATCCGTCGCTCGACTGATTTCATCGTCTGTCTCCGTTGTGTATGTTTCTTGCTGGATGTACGCCGTAGACATGAAGCCATCTCTCTCATACTCTTCTCTCCCTTTCACACACTTCATACTCCCTTCCCTCGTCACTCTCTTCCTTTTCTTCTTCTCTTCCTCTTCCTCTTCCGTACCTCCAAGTAGCTTCTCTCTTCCATATCTCCATGTCTCCAAGTATCTTCTCTTTCTTCCATATATCCATGTATCTTTCTTTCTTTTCTCTTTCTCCTTCATCCTGTATCACATGACATCACATGATGCTATATAGTATCACATGACGTCACATGACGGAACGTGTTTTATCCTTCCTATTTTGGACTAGCGTTCGAGTTGCCATGGAAATGATGACTAACCACACTCTCTCATATGATTGGCTAGAACAACGCCAGAAACAGCCATGGACCCACACACTGTAAACAGACTTCATGCTTAACTAAGAAGGCCGAAAGAAGTATGAGATCACTTTCCCGTCGAACGCGCAACTTCTCCGTCCCATCAGCTTTTCTTTTCTCTGCACATCTTTCCATCTCGAGTCTCTGTCTCTCCTGACATTGTGTCTCCTGTCCAACGGCCCCTTTACACTGCGCGGCTCGGGCCTTCTATTGTCCTTCCATTGCCCCTTATTTCGCCACTACTTTCATCCCCTGAGATAGCCGTTTTCACTCCCAGATGGACAATTGAGGCCTCTTATCACCATAACTCAGAGCCGTCGACATAGACACCGAGATGACACACAGATCGGTCTCTGACCCCGTAAGGGAGACGGCTACTCCCCGGCTGGCCGTTGAAACCGAAAAGTACTCTCCCTACGACCACGATGAAGAGTCTGGCTCCCACTCGGATTTCTCCTACTCCACTCCCGCCTCCGAATCCTCCAGACCCTTTCTCGCGCAAGCCAAATACAGGCGGAAACCGAGAGTGCAGCTCTACAGAGTCCCCAATTCCATCATGAGATGGGTCTGTCTGGGCGTGTTTGCGGGGTTGCTACTGTTCGTCTTCACCTTGTTCAGGGTCACTCTCTCCCAGGCCATATTTAAGATTCCAGCCACCCCGCCGCCAAACATATTCAAGCCAACGCCGCCGGAGTGGGAGAATTTCTCGTTCCTGGAACGCTATTATGGCGGACTCAGAACTCTGATGCCTCGGAACGAGACTGTTCCTGAATACCCGGGAGAGAGTCGCGGGGAGCCTACGTCCACCGCGGACGAGCCCGTTGACCCGGAGAGAGTTGTTCAGAGTTCACCGTTCAACCCTTATCCGGAGTATACGTCCAAAGCGTATGTCGACAAGTATGGGAAGAAAGTGGACTGCTTTGTGGATGCCAATAGGAAAGTCTCCATCCCTCAGCTTCGTCGACATGATGGAGTTCCCAGGGGGTTTCCGGATAGCGTCATGGGGTCTAATGAGATGATTGGACTCGATACGAGTGTATGCTATGATAGATTTGGTAGACTCGGCCCCTACGGATTGGGGTACGGGGTTAGAACTGGTGGTAGCGGAGCGGGGCTGGAGGGTGACCGATCTGGGGTAGACCAGATGTGGGAACACGCCTCCCCTGTTGACTATCGAAAAGTCAACTGGGCCAAGGCGCAGGATCAGTGTCGATTTGATAACCGCCATCGATTCCCGGCTCCCCGACCTCCCAAGTCAGACAGATTCCAGGGTTTGCCGGTTGGGGCTCAAGCTCCTCGAGCTGCAGAGAATGATGCACCGCAGAACACTACACCTGCTCCTACCGAGAAACTCCCTCGGACTGCCGTTATAATTCGAACCTGGTCGAGCTTCCGTTACGATACAGAGGCTATCTTATACTTGCGCTCACTCATCTCCGAACTCTCGCTGTTCTCAGGAGGAGAGTATGATGTGCGATTCTTAATTCACGTCAAGGACGACAACTTGCAAATTTGGTCAGATGAAGAAACCTATAACCGTGTCCTGCGAGAGTCACTTCCCGAGGAGTTCCATGGCATGGGCACCTTGTGGTCTGAACGACAGATGGGGCTCATATACGGTGGTCTTGAAGAGACGTTTGCCAGAGATCTTCCTGTCCACGGTGTATACCGTAGTACTTTCATGCCTATTCAATATTTTGCGCATCAACATCCCGAATATGACTATCTCTGGAACTGGGAGATGGACGCTCGCTACACCGGACACTGGTATGACCTGTTTAACAAGATGGGATTATGGGCGAAGAAACAGCCTAGAAAGGGCCTGTGGGAACGGAACAGTCGTTTCTACGTTCCTTCTGTTCATGGATCTTGGGAAGATTTTAGGCATACCGTTCGAGTGCAGACTGAGCACGGAACGGCTAGTCCGAATAACATGTTTAGCCCTCCATCCAAGGACAGGCCAAACGGTCACCGTCCAGCAACGATGCAGGGTGATAGACCTATTTGGGGGCCCGAGCGACCGCCCGCGCAAGACGATATACTAGAGTTAGAAGGCGACGGTATCCCACCGACTACATACGAAAAGGATAAATTTCAATGGGGCGTTGGTGAAGAGGCTGATCTTATTGTTTTGAACCCTCTATACGATCCCGAAGGCACTACATGGTTACTAAAGGATGATATAACGGGCTATAACAAGACGGAAGAAGCACCACCCCGACGAGCAGCTATCATCGCTGCATCACGTCTATCTCGCAAACTCCTAATGACAATGCACAAAGAAACAAGCCTAAAACGGCACCACATGTTTTCTGAAATGTGGCCTCCTACCGTCGCCCTTCACCACGGCTACAAGGCCGTTTACGTTCCTCATTCAGTTTACATTGATCGCCGATGGCCAACCACCTATCTCGAATCGGTGTTCAATGCGGGCCGAAACGGCGCAACGGGCGGCGCTAGAACGTCAGTTTTTGGTAGTCGCGAACACAACTTCCGAGGTACGACGTGGTTTTACTCCGCGGGTCATCCAGAGAATCTCTGGCGACGGTGGTTGGGCTATCGATCTAATAATGATGGAGGGGAAGAATATGAGCTTGCTAATGAAGGGAGGATGTGTTTGCCGCCTATGCTCTTACATCCTATCAAGGATATTAATATGGTGATTGATAGCGCGGGGAGATCATGATCTTTCTCCCTTACACTCTACAAAACACCCCTTACATATATCCCTTTTCTTATTCTATCCCATCAGGAATGGGCTGGTAGATGATTTATTTCCCTTCCCATGGCGATGGCGTTTATTCACCTGGTCCTCTTTATGAATATACACGGGCCCCTTTCTCACGACATTTCCCCCGTTTGATACGTGTTACCCATTATACATATATGAACTTATCTAAGACTTCTTACTTACATGGCTGGGTGATTATGATACGGGACACTAGTTAAATTCTATGCCTTTGGAAACCTATTCCAACTGGTAATGATATGTATTTCTGATACCTTTATTTTTCGAAATGAAACTCGAGCTTGCTCTATGACATGATTAGTTTTTCTGTGCATTTGAAAAATAGCAGAATGGACAGTAACAATGTTAGGTTGCCCTGAGCTGGCGTTTACTGAAGCCGCAATGTGACGGCCCGATACTCCTGTCGATACTCCCGTTGAGATAACTAACTCTCAAGCTGGATTTACTATATGACACCTGAATGGTGTAGGCCATCGCATGGTCGATACTGGAATATGTATTGGTACGGAGTCTACCAAACCTCTACTCGGGCACAAACACTATGTAGGAAACAATAACCTGATTAAAGATGGGTGGTATTTATCATATAATCGTAGAATGTCGTTAAGATCCTGATCACACCGTGGTAGTTGTTGAGCTTTCAAGATTCTCTAAAGTCTATGGTAAAGACAAACTAAATATTAACTTAAAGCTAAATATATAACTTTTGTCTAGGCGAAAGCTAATCGACGCCTCATCCATTGAGATAATTATCCAAGGCTAGCTGAGTAAACGAATTAAATAGACAAATTAGAGCTCATAGGCCAAAATGAGGCATATATTCAGCAAGCCAGGGGGTATTTGCAACTCAAGATATGAGTTATTATCATCGCTGGAACGCGTTGGAAGAAGCTAAAGTGCGTTCTACTGGCAGTCGTTAAGGCTAGATTGAGATGGTGAGAAATTCGTGTGTTTTTGAACATACCAATCATGACTGGCCTCTGGTCAGTGCGGATAGAGCATGTAGCCAATCTGTCAGACCTTTTCTTTTGCTTTCGCCAGCAGATAAACGACGTTTCGGTGAAAATATAGGCCTGCTCATCAAGGTATCGGTGGTGGTGAGCCAGTCAACTCCGCCATTCGAGGGTCTCGAGCCATGCCCATCTCTGGCTGCCTCTCTCCATCAGGGCCTTGGGAGTACATGCCCTGTCCATCCCAGCTCATGTGTCTAGGGTCCGGGGGCTTTGAGGGGTGACTAAATAGCCCGTCGCCAGCGCCCAGGGTCCATCGTCGCGTGCGTTCGCTAGTGCTGTCTTCCGACTCCAGCCACCTACGATAGACGCGATTGCGACCAAGTATGAAGAGTAGCGCGCCAATAAGGGCGACAACGGCGACGCATCCGACTACGATGCCAGCGATAGCCCCGTCACTTAGCTCCGGTGACGGTGGTGGTGGGTGTGAGGTCGAGGTTGAAGTGGAAGTGGATGTTGTCGTCGATGTCGTAGATGAAGAGGAAGTCGGTACCGGACTGCCATCACTTTCAGCAGGCGGTGCTTGGCCTGGAACTAGCATATATGGATACTCCTTGGCCTTTGATTGCTGGGCTGCCCAGCTCATAGTCTTGTTCTGTGAAAGACATAAGGGTTAGTGATCTGGAGCATGAACCTGGAAATAATATGGGTCTATACAGGATTGATTGCCCCGACCATGCCATACTTGATACAAGAACCAAGAGCAGTGCAATAGAAAAATTGCGGCTGACAGTCCTGTGTTAGCATGCGCTAGTATTGAGGACGGTTAGAGCAATTTTTGATACCTGAGTGTCATTCACTGTCAACTTCCACGATGGTGGCTGTGGCAGTTCACGGTTAGTTATGTAACAACATGATAGGAGACTTCTGCGAGGAGCGCTGAACTAAACAGATAACTCACCTCCCCAACCAAAACGCCATCATACTCGTTGAAGGAGTTGAAGGTCCCTGAATAGAAGTAACGTGTCTTCGACGAGGGCGCGCATGGCGCAAGGAAATCCGCCTGGACTACGGAGTGGTTGCGCGGGTAAAACTCGAAGATGATCACGTCGCCAATATTTGCGTAGACGATAGCGGGTGAGTAGCCGTGCGGAGATTCTTTTGAGCCTACCTTTACGGTATAGGTGGCTTGCGGAAAATTTGAACTCGTACTGGAGATAGCGCTTTTTTGAGCGTAGCACGGACTCTCTCTAACGACTATATTGAGGGCTAGTAGGACCAGCGATAGCGCCTGGGTTGGGTATCTCGCCATCTTGGGCCTCTCTCCTAGGCTCAACGGACAGAACATAGAGCTTCTGAATAGGGTATATAGTGAAGAGCGGGGTTAACGGGAGACTGAAGCGACTTTATAAAACCAAGGCTGGAGCGAGAAACGGCCCACGAGAGCTAGGACGCGTGGAGCGGCGTTCGAAGGCTCTTGAAGCATAATTGAGCAAGCTGCATATTCCGCTACAACGACTCGTCTTAAGAAATCTCTATCTGTAATAGATCCAGCTCAAAGACACGATAGAGGGCAAGTTTGGGCCCAAGATGCTCTAGCCATTGTCGACTAGCGTTACGTTGTAACTTTGAGGTCGGCCAATATGTTAGAGCCTTGTTGGAGACTCGTCATTGCGGCAGACTATAAATCTTGCCCAATTATGCCATTTGTCCGTTGCTTGAGGTTGCAGCTATCAACTCCAACCTTAGTGGTGATACAGTGGCAAACAGTAGTAGCCGTCTTCCTCTTAACGGGCATAAAGTTTCCCTTGAACGTATATTATTATTGCCCCATCAATGACACATGGCTCAACCCGGGGTGTAATTAAGGTCTTGGGGTATTAGCTGAAGGTTCGCCGAACTCGTTCCGTCAATCTGGAGCCGCGCTCACTGGGACTCTGCTCGGCTAGGTCAAATGGTTAATCGAATGATATTGGCTCGCTTCTTTTTTCCTTAGGAGCTCACAGTGGCAAAATTGTGTTCAGGCGCAATGATGCAGGAAGCCTCCTAGAACTGGTTGGGTTACAATATAATAAATCGTAGAATAAACCGACAGGGAGAAGTTGATACATCGTCGAAGTCGCGATATCTATATATCACGTGTTTATCTAGTTAACTATACGGATCAATATTAATCCAGTATTTTTCTATCCGTCCTCTTTTATCTCCCTTTCAATCTTCACTAACAGATATTGTCGAGTTATAATATACTTTATAAGCAGGAGTTGATTTTGACAAGGCTGTTCCGGATTTGTGAACCGGATGCAACTAAACTTGCCTGGTTTCCTTGAAACAGAGGACCTAAGATGATTCCCTACCCAAATCTATAAGGGAAATCAAAGCTGACACGAGCCCCAACCTTTGGACACCTAAATGCGATTGATTGAGAGAGTTCAGTGCACCATACTGGCGGTGTCTACGATTATTACTACAAATCTCATATCTCTCGAAAAAATATATATACCCATTATATATATGAAACCTAGCAAAAACATCATTCCACAGAATGCAGCTCCTATTGTCAACCACACGGGATCAACAGCAATCTGCAAAATAAAAGGAAGTCTATCGAACTCCAGTTCGACGGCCCAAAGGGTCAATATCTAACCAAATATACCAAGGCTTTTAACGAATACGCCTCTCTCAAGCAGAGGCTAAATTTCACCACCACATTCTCTCTTCGAAGCCTTATGGAAGTAGCGGAGGGCATATGAATATAGAGTGCCAGCTCTGATACTTACATTAAGTTTCCCTTCATCCATCCCATTGTTGCCAGCTAAACAAGGCCTAGCCCTCAATAATCTACGTCTTCTGCTTGGCTTTATAACAATATTGCTCTACAGATTCTCCTACAAGTTAGCTGGCAAGCATATTGGAAAAGTTGGTACAGTACGCCATTCGATCGTAATGGCTATAATGGCATTCCTTCTGGCAATCTCCATGGGAACTCAAACAGCTCTCGAAGTTCAAAAAAACAAGCGAAACTGGGGCCTTGGATCGGGTATTAAGGGGCCTTTGTGCGGCAAACAGTATATCGATGTGCGCTACAATGGCTTCAGTGATGATTAGAATATTCTTCACCGCCATCGAGGCTCTCAAATGTGGAATTGAGTGCGTTTTTATTGTTCCAACTGCTCGGAGGGTTTGTCGACATCGACTAACACACACAACTGCACTCGCGCTCCTGGATAATCAATTGATGGCTCGAAATTTTCTGAATGTTCAAACTAGTGCGGTCAACTACATATCTTTTGATTATTATTACTCCATTTACCCCTTACACCACCTAGCCGTGGAAAGAGTCATAACATACATACGCCTTTAGCCTACAGGTCACAGGTGTCTCTATCACGCATGATCCAACTCTCTAAACAAGGAGGTAAGTAATAGAGGGTATACTGCCCAACTTTCTCATTAGCAGTTAAGGGGGAAAACTTCAGCATTGATTTATTCTAAATTCGTCCCAGTTTCTTCTTAAAGTTGCGCAAGATCGACCGTTAAAATCTGCGGCGCGTCCTATCACACATTTCAGCAATTAGGCAGATTAAAATGTGGCATACTGACTACTTCTGCCTTCCCATGTCAAAAGGAACCTAAATTTTACCAAATTTTACTGCTTCTTACACCGATCCTATGCCTAGAGTAGCAGGGGAAGCAGCTACTAGGATGTTGGATGAGCAAAATAAATAACCGCAAAGTCTGCTAGTCTAGCCTCAATACCACAGCCTAATCTACCGCCCCCAAGCCAATTCTATGATCTCCAGTCAAAAAATCATTCTACTACTGGTAGCTTGCCGTGTGACTATGATCCCCAGCTCGCCTACTCCAATGGCCCCTTTGGAGGGTATATGCATACGAGGACTGGTTATAAATCGCGGCCTGCCAAATCTGAGGGAGCTGAGTGGCCGAGATCAAAGAAACTGTTCTGGGATTAGCCCCTGAAGTGCATGAGGCTGTTGTATCAAACAGACCCCTTCGCATCTCGACCGGGGAATGAATGGTCCGTACCGGCATTTTTCTGAATCGGTATGGAGGTTACATTCAGCAATTGGAGAGGAGGGAGTGACATAATATTGAATATACAATGCATACAAAGCCATGCACGATCGCCCCGGAAGTTCTGACGGGTTTAAGAAAATTTTCCAAACGCCTAATTGTCGCCTCAGCCATCTCTTGGGGACAGGCAATACATCAAGAGAGCGATGTACGAAGTCGCTACCGTCAAGGCTGGCTTCAAGCTACAGGCAGTTGAACAGCAGACAACTGACCTACTTACGACGGTCAATCATATCCTTAACGAAGTGCGGGAGGCCTGCCGACTCCACCAACTCAAAAACCTGAGCCTTGACACTGGAGAACGCGAGTGGATGGATCGTATCATCACCGAAACTGACACTGCCGCACACGCAGTCGCTGATGTTCTTGAGTCCAGTCGTGTCGACCGCGAGACGTTGCAAGGGAAAGTTCGTATCCGTACCCGCCTCCTCTGGGTGCTCAGGGACTCGCACAAAGCAGCTGACAAGTACGCTCGTCTCATGGTCTGCCACCAAAGCCTCGTCTCTGCCATCACCATCCTCCATAACCGCCCTGGCCCTCGTAGCCCCTTGTCGTCAGGTGGTCTCCTCCTGCAGCAGGAACTGGAGGGTTCGCCTAGCTGGTCAGCGGAACTCGAGAACAACATGGACAGGAGGGTTGAACTCGAGGGCAACAGGGGCATGGGGGTTGGCCCCTCGATGAGCCGTGATCTGAAAGAAATGCTGGCTCGCCGGAGTAAACTCGATTCCGACGGTGAGGTGAAGACGGGCCCGATATCTACTACCGCAGACACAGCAGAACTACCAGGTTCTGATATTATGTGATTATTATCTTCCATGCGGTATCGAAATATTCCTTCTTTGTCCTTCACATATTTCTTAAGCTTTTGAAATTTCTTATTTCTCTTTTCTTTTTTGCATTCTTAACTAAATATGTATTGGTTAATGAGAACTATAAGGCTTTAGAATTCTGCTTTGTGCATATTCGCCTACAAGTATCTAGTCTATCGTCAGCTATTAGTCCTTCTCTATATCATTGATAAGGGAGTTTGCATTGAATCTTGTTACCATATGTCTGTTCCCTCTCCGTTCCCTTTGGTTTGCTTCTTGTGTGATAGTGCCTCACAGAATGGTGAATAGATAGGGGTTGAAAGGAGCCAGAAATATCTATAACCATCACGTGGTGATGTCTGGTCAGTTCAAATCTGCTGCAGTTTCAGCTTCAATTTCCTCCCATGTCTTATTCGATCTTAAATAAACCACGGGCTACCTCTGCAAATGAGGCAGCCCTATCACCATTCCGCCTTTAGGCTTAAACGTGGACTTCTTCCTTGTTTTCGCATGGCATGCAAGCCAATATGACGTGGTTAAGCCAGAACCATAACGCCCATTAGCTCTGCGAGAAAGTCTCGAAGGCCTATTGCCCACGTATCATGGCAGCGAACACTCTTGATCCTCCGTCTAGGGTGCCGTGATCCCGAGACTGGAAACTTACAAGGCCAGGAACTGTACGGTTGATAGGATACGGCAAGCTAGAAGTCTAACTGGGTTGCTGAACGAGATAAAACTAGTCTCGATATACCAAGTTCGGCTTCATGAAGCGCATCCTCGCGCTTTAACGTCTCTGGAGTCGCGAGTATACCATTTTGTGGCGTCAGACTGCGTACAGTTGCCGGCCTCTCTCCGGCTTGCGCCTTGTCGATTGCTCTCTCAACGGTAGTACGAATAATCTAGCGACTGCTGGATGTTCAGCCCGAGCTAGTGTAACGCCTCACCTGGCTAAGGGCGATCAAATGATAGCCAGCCAGCGCTGCGAAGCTGATGACCTGTCGAGCTTTCCTGCATTTGGTGCTTTCGGCGATTGGACTGTCGACTTCCCTTTTGGGCACCGCCATCGCCAGATCTCGTGAAGACGGGATATATTTTAATTCAACGACCGCTTGTTTTCATACTCTCGCTTCCATCTTTTACCACTGTCGCTACCTCGATACCCTAGACAGCTCTTATTCTCAATTCCTAAGACGCTTGCCAGCTCTGCCTTGCTCACTCGCATGTCTCCAAAGAGAAGTTGGTTTGTCGAATACCAGTTGACAGACTCCGATCTCGTGGCAATACTCAATGGTAAGCATGATATATACCGAGTCATATTTACATTGACTCAAGGTAACATCGAATCACTATGTATAGGTGCAGTGGAGCTTTGATTGCCCTCCAATCGACTTCAGAGTCGATATAGAAATAAACAACATGCAGGAAAACAACAATACCCATACACCATTCTACAGCATGATGTTTATCATTATGACAATACCACTCTTGTTCCTCCTCTTCCGCAGGATCAGAGCTGGATATCTTGAATTCCTCTCCCTGGGACCAGGAGGGACACCCTCTACTCCCATGGGATACCTCCGGATATGCGTCTTAAGCATTTTCACACTCAGAAACGCTTTAAAACCACCCCGTGTACCAGAGACATTGAACCCACAAACTGGAATCATGAAATACCTTCCCACTCGCTTTGGACCTCGTCCACAGGTTGCCGGAATTATTCCTCACAGACAGGTATCCCAACAAGCGACGCCGTTCATGTACGCTGCTCTGCGAGAGGAGATTAAAAAGATAGCTCTTAGCAATCCGGACCGGCTCTACGAGGGTACGTCATGTTTCGAAAAACATAGCACCGGCCTGTTCACGCCCCTCGACTTGCCCAACAGGGTAACCTGCAATGGAGAAGTTTGTCACGCCCACCCCATTGATGGGAGCATTCATATGACTCTCCACCCGGCGGATGTGAAATTTGTCATTGAACGAGGTTGGGGCGAGCGTCATCCACTTGCCCGAGATAGCTGGTGGTGGATATTTCGACTAGTACCGACGGGGTTCGTTATGATATATGCTCCCCGGACGCTAGAGGAGTTGGACAGCGTGGTTAAGATTATCCATGCTGCCTCTTGGTGGGTGAACGGGATAGAGCCTCGCTGGTTGACTCCTAAAAAACCCGCCAAATGTGGAATTGATGGGGGAGCGAGCTTTGTCAATACTCAAGTAACTGTCATGAATTGAGAGTCTGTAGCGAAAAGAGTGAGGTTCTTGTGATTTAAACGAGTTCAATGATCATGCGATGGGCAAGGCGGTGCTGGCAGGGTAATCATACGTTCCTTTGGCCATGATCCTTAGTTCCACGACATTTTTATTTTATGAAAGCTATTGTTACATATGGAGGGAGACAATGTGATGAATGAACAGTGAAAATATCATTAACTTCCGCTTCTAATTATCCTCGAGCGTCAGCTGTATCCTGCTACGTTAACTATCTAAAGAACATGACTTCGACCTCTATCTATCCTGAGAAACAAGATGACCAATTTAAATGCAACCAAAGGCCTGGTAGGGACTAACTAGTCAAGAGAGGAAGCCAGTAATAAAGAGTAAAATTGTAAAAACCACGTCCCCGCCTCTCAGATGACCGAAACTGATTTGATAATGGCACGATATGTAACCGAGGGCCAATAGAAAGGGGCTAACATTATTCACTATGGGCTTGGGCTTTCGATCTATTCAAGTCATGGCCATTTAGCGGCTTGTTAGCATGCACTTCCTCAATAGATATAACGTATGTAGATGTGAGGGGAAATAAAGGGGTGATGCTAGCTGAAAGTGGAAGAGAAGTGAGAGGGAACTCGACTCACCTTTGGACGTTTGGTATTACCGTTCACAGCGTAGAATGGAGCATCACGCTTCACCATTCGGTGATGGAGATAGAAGAACTGATGGTTAACGGGCTTGTTGGTACGACGAGGGCTATCGTAGCTGGTGCTGGTGATTGACATAGAACCATCAGAATCTTCCTCATTATTGGAGTCAGAGAGTGTTTCATCGGAGTCTTTCGCTTGCTGGACAGCTGGACGCTCGGTTTCGTAGTCGAACTCGATGCTGGGAAGAATAGATTCAGATTCATTAGAGTCAGAGTCGACTTCCATTTCCTTGACCTCGGTAGGGGAAGAGACAGATCCAACTGAGTCCGAGTCGGAGTCAGTGTCCATGCCCCCGAGGTGTGCTGGAGGGGAGACGGATTCAACCGATTCTGATAACAAGTCTGATTCGCACTCCATGCCCTCGACGCTTGCCTGAGGCGAGCTGGATACCGATACAGAGCCAAATTCCTTCATCTCTCGATCTGCTGGAGGAGAGACGGATGAAACGGAGGAGTTGGAGCCGTACTCTCTTGCCTTCTTGTTGCCGTAGTCAGGGACCCAGCCTGGAAAGCCGGTAGCCATGCGCAGGACGGATTCAGAAATGTTATACATATTGTATTTCTCTGATGCAGTCGTAGAATCAGAGGCAATGCTCTCGTTGTCGTCATCTGGCCTATTCTTGCGCGCATAGCGAGGCATCAATTTGCAGTCATCTTCCATATCCTCGTCAGTATCCTCAGTATGTTTCTCATATTCGTCTTCATTCGTACCGGCAATAGAATTCTCGTCGTCAAAAAGATGACCGTACAGATCAGTAAAGTCCTGATAAGCATCACGATACTTCTGAGGCGTATGGCCGGGCGATCCAAGGTCAGACTCCGTGACGCCGAGACAGGAATACTTGTCCGCACGCAGCTCCTCGTGCATCTGCTGAAGCTTAGACAGCGTCCCGAGTCGTTTGGTCAAGTCTTCAAAAGACTCGGCTTCCAGTTTTCTTGCTTTTCTCCTATCGTCTCGCTGCTCGCTCTTTGATTTTTTGGGTTTCCAGTCAGGAGATGCGCGACTCATCTTGTCGAGTCAAGGGAGGCAATAATAGAAAAAGGAAAGAAAGTAGCTGCGATATCTAGAGCAAGCTAGATGAAGGCAGAGGGCTCCAGGGAGATAAAGAGAGTGCAGGAATGATGGCTCATTCCTCCTGAAAGGGCATAAAAAGTTGAGAAAAGTAGGTATGTTATGACAGGACGATGTAAACAACACTGCTGTCTCTGGGCAACAGTTAATAGACAGGCTATTAACTGAAGGACAGGAAAACAGTCCTTTATAGGCATAGCCATGGGTGCGTCGACGAGATGAAGAACATTATAGTCTTCATAGAACAGGATGGTGGGTGGACTACAGTGGTGATTGGAACAGAGTAGAAAAGGGGCGGCAGTGGTAGTAGTAGTAGGAGAAGAAAGAGAAGATGACGTCTAAACCACAACAAATTTGATATTTCTTTACATTTGGACCAACTCACCTAGCAGAGTGTCTATAGAATGCAAGAGCAAGGTGGGAGGGATGTGTTTTAACTTGGGGGAATAAGGTGTCAATAGCAAAAAGGGGGGGAAGGATATTCTTATAGGTATGGCGTGAACCAACCAGAGAAGTGCATTGATAGAAATATAGGAGATGCAGTAGAAACCTTTTTTGAAAACAGGAGGGGAAAAAACCAGTTCATAAAAAAGGATTCGATATGAAATAAAAACATAAGAGGTAACTCCTGCATGACTATAAAGCACTGGACTGGATAGGAAGGGCATTGCAGTTCGTGAAGGGGAAAAGGGGAAAAGAAGAAAAAGAAAGTAAAAGTGACGTGACCACTGATAAATGTATAATGCATGGGAAAGCACAGAGTCCTTGCACCTAGACACCTTTCTTGTCGGCCAGGAGTTGCAGTTATCAAATATGTGTGAGTGGCAAGGGGAGTATAGGTAGGGAGGAAGCATCAGGCAGACAGCTGATGATAGAGCCAAGGACAAAAATGTAAAAGAGTCTGTTTCACACAGGGCATAAGGAAAGATAGCAACAAGACCTATGAAAAAACATGTCCCGTGTCCCAGCCCCATCTTCTGCATCATCATAATACACATAATGTCTGCAGATATGAGGATTCACATTAACCATTAAATAAGAGGCATTTACTCGTGACCAGCCTTCTTCAGGGCACCGGCAAGCCATTCGAGACCCTCGTAGAGACCGTCTCCGGTGGTGGCGCAGGTGGATTGGATGTACTACACTGGGTTAGCTACGAAAACAAGTTGAGCGTAGGCAAGGACTTACCCAGGCACGTCTGTTCAAGGACTGTAGGCCAAGTTGCTGGGTGATCTCGGCTGGGCTCATGGCGTTCTAACGACAAAGTGAGTACGTTTTCTAGCGTTCACAGTGAGAGAGCAGTGCTTACGGGCAAATCCTGTTTGTTGGCGAAGACAAGGAGCAGGGCGTCCCGTAGCTCGTCCTCGTTGAGCATCTTCTGTAACTCTTCCCTGGCCTCGACGACACGATCACGATCGTTGCTGTCAACGACGAAAATGATACCCTGGGTGTTCTGGAAGTAATGTCTCCACAATGGACGGATCTTGTCCTGACCACCGACATCCCACACGGTAAACTGAATGTTCTTGTATTCGACAGTCTCAACGTTGAATCCTGATACCCCGTCAGCCTCCTGTGCACTGTACTGGGGACGACCGGAGCGACCTACCGATGGTGGGGATGGTTGTGACAATCTCGCCAAGTTTCAGTTTGTACAGGATGGTGGTCTTTCCGGCGGCATCGAGACCGACCATGAGAATTCGCATCTCCTTCTTGCCGAACCATAACTTGTCCAACAGTTTCGAAAATGACATACCCATCTTGGCGGTGTTTTGGGGGAGAACGTCGCGGTGGGGTTATAGGAAAAAAAAAGGAGACGCTGTGAATACCGTCAGTCCACGAACGCGTTAAGCTTAAAAAGGCCAGCAGAGATAGGCCAGTCGTCTCGTCTGCGGAGAGAGCGTAGAAGAGAGAGATAGAGGCAGAGACGGCGAGCTTGGTGGTGAGGCTCGCTGGTGCGGTGTTATGCGGTGTGGTGTGGTGGGATGTGAGGCCGGCCGTTTGAGAACACCTTTGCACAGGGGGTTGGCTGGACGAGCGTGGGACGACTTACCGGCGGGCGAGACGGACGGTGCAGGGCGTCCGAACAGAGCTGGGAGTGTGAAGCTGGCGAGCGCTGCTGTATTGACGGCGCTGGATGTTTTGTTTCTCTGACGGTCGTTGGAGTTGGGAATTTCGAAGGGTTAGAGGTAGGATTGAGGAGTTCGGTGGCAAGCGTAGCCTCCGTCACTAACTAGGAATGGCGTAGGAAAAAAAATTCCCCAGCGAAAACGTGACTTCACAACACAGATATAGAATACGGAGTAGATGAGAGTATATCTATAGTGAGGATAGATAGAGTAGATATAATAGATAGAGATGAGATGAGATGGCGCTTTTATGTCTGCTATGGTGGTGTGCCTGGACGCAAAGAGGACACATCGACCAAACCTCGACCTAGGCACCAGAATTCTTGATGCTTCATAGAGGCGAATAGAGCCGCGGATGTTGCTTTTCCTTACGCTAGGCCGATAGTATGGATATCTATCCCGAGACTATGACTACAGGGATGGTTTACTTATAGCATTCATATAAAGATGGTTGTGGCCGTCTGTGGCTCTGGGGTTGTATAGATAAGGCTACGTGCCAGATATCATACGAATCTTCCTGGCTGCGTTTCCTAGAGTCGATCTTGTCTGGGGTCGATGGTCCCACAGCGCAGGTGGAATAGCTGCTCCATCAAGTCAGATCTCATCCTTGCCCTCAGTGAGTCAGACGATACGATCAGAGCGAGAGGTCCTACTTAAAGGTAGCTGAAGCCCGGAACTGGCAGAGAAATGACTACAATCGGCGTCTCTTCAGGTCCGTCACACTCTGCTCAACATGGATAGGGATCAAATCATCCAGGTTCCACAGGGAACACTTGCCCCCTCGAACCTGGCAGAGATATGTAACCGTTATCGAACTGCACGGCTGAGAGCACTGCAGACATACCCCGAGGCGTTCTCATCCAAATATGACCGTGAGAGAGCCTTCACCGACCTCGAATGGGCCCAACGTCTAGAAAACCCAATGTCAAGAACCTTCGTAGCGGTCAGCGTTGAAAACGAGAATGCAGCCGATGACGACGTTGAAAAGCTAAAGAACAACGACTGGATGGGCATGGTCGTCCTACTCGGACCGAAGGTGTACGAAACAGATGCAAAGACGAAATACCCCTGGGATCCCTTCTTGTCTATGGCTTGGATGCAGCCGGAGGCAGCGGGTGCGTTGAAGGATGCTGAATCTACGAGCTTTGCGGTCTCGATGTTTGTCCTACCGGAGGCAACGAAGCGCGGTATCGGGCAGAAGCTGATCTCTGCGATGATCGAGTACGCACGGGAGAATGCAAGGCGGGAGTCGGTGAGGAGATTGCACGTCAGTCTGATTGTTGAACATGACAATGTGGCTGCTATACGATTGTATGAGAGGTGCGGGTTCTGTCATGTCGAGACAGGGCCGGACCTCGAAGGTATAGGGGCCAGGCCGGTTGCGCCCTTGGGTATGGCATGGAGTGAGACTTTGAGAGAAGTAAAGTGAAGTTAACATGAGTATGGCCGAGATGTTGAATCAGGGAAGAAACTCTTCATCGACGTTTACTACTATAGATATGTTGAAAATGAGAGAAAAGAAGAAAGATATCTCTGTTTCCCTTTTAGGAAAGAGCCTCGGATATATGATTATGTAACATCAAATACACGTGACATACTTAGCCCTAATCTAGATACGGCTAGCGCGTTAGGGCATCCCACAATTCGAGATAAGCCAGAAAAGGAAATTTCAACATCGAAACTTGCAACGAGAACGCGCAAATCCTCACCATAAGAATCTCTTTTCAAGGTATTCTTCTGGAAGACTGTACTCGCCATGTCTAAAATCACAGTCGGTATGTTCCCAGCCACCCGTCAACGAGTCGCGGTGAGCGATCGAGCTCAAGAAGAATGTTGCTAACCAGCTTATGATGAACAGCCGGAGTGCGTACCAACGTCCAGCAGCTCTTGGACTACTCTCACAACGAGAAGAAGAGAAACTTCGTTGAGACCGTCGAGCTCCAGATCGGCTTGAAGAACTATGACCCTCAACGTGACAAGCGTTTCTCCGGCACTATCAAGCTGCCTACCCTTCCTCGCCCAAGAATGAGCATCTGGTACGCTTCGAGAGATATATCAGGAGAGAGAAAAAGAATACGGTTGGGGGTGGTCTGCTGACGGATGGTTTTAATTCGTATAGCGTTCTCGGTGACCAGCACGATATCGATCGTGCTAAGCATCTCGGCGTCGATGCCATGTCCTCTGACGACTTGAAGAAGCTCAACAAGAACAAGAAGCTCATCAAGAAGCTCGCCCGCAAGTACGATGCTTTCCTCGCTTCCGACTCCTTGGTCCGACAGATTCCTCGTCTCTTGGGTCCCGGTCTCTCCAAAGGTTAGTAATTGCCGTCCTAAGAATCATCTTGTCGGCAATATAACTAACTTGTCGATTAGCCGGTAAATTCCCTACCCCCGTCTCCCACAACGAGGATCTCAACAACAAGATGAACGACGTCAAGTCCACCATCAAGTTCCAGCTTAAGAAGGAACTTTGCCTTGGTGTTGCTATTGGCAACGTCGGAATGACTGAGGATGAGCTCATTGCCAACATCATGTTGGCCATCAACTACCTCGTCTCCCTGTTGAAGAAGGGTTGGCAGAACGTTGGAAGTCTTACCATCAAGGCTTCCATGTCCCCACCAAAGAGAGTGTACTAGGCTTTCAGTAGCTAGGTTCTGATCTTTGAAAATTAAAAAAAAAAAATGCCAAAATATTAACTCGATCAATGAGAACTTATGACATAACTTCTTCCTAGTAAAGTGTGATTTCTTATTGCGCTGTAATTTGGTTGCGTAGAAATACAGTGGATATATAAATACAGGAACATGGTAAGAAGATAGGCAAGGTCTATTCCATACCCTCCATATGATCAGTCTTATCCAAGATCATACCTCTCATGCCGATGAATTCACGTATGGCTTCCCACTCTTCACCTACCTCCTCACCTCGCATCAACGGGTCTTTGAAGCCCCATGTTTGCGCAACCCTATCCAACGCCTGTCTCTCCTCCTCTCGTAACCAGCGATGCCGTAGCGCCGTACCTGGAATCCAGACTACTCGGCGCATGTGATCATTGGCAGTGACAGCCGCCACTACTCCCACGGCTGAAGTAAACGTTACATACGCAAGGATGGCTGCAAACGAGATCCCTCTAGCAGTGGAAGGGTCCATGGTGTTCTGAAGCGTGGAAAGGTATGTTGATATCGCCCAGGCTGCAGGCGGTGTTGCCAGCATTCCGGCCACGGGGAGAGAAGCTTTCCGGAGTATTTTAGAACGGTAGAAGGCGGGTGTGCAGTATGCGCTGTCGATGATGGCTAGGGCCAGAGGAAGGTTAAGCTGCTCCATCGCCACCTCTAGAGCCTGGTCAGCAATGGTTGAAGGGATTGCATTCTTCGGGCTCTTGGGGTTCGCAGGATGGTATGATATCGTGTCGCCGCTGGATCGCGGGGAGGGTTTATTGGCGTATAGGGTGAAGATTGTGGGTATATGGTCTGCCTTCTTGAGCTGGCATTGGATCGAAGTATAGAGTCTCAGTATCTCGGGTGATATGAACACTTTGGGATCCTGCAGTAAGTTGTTCAACATGTCCGACAATGCTGATGTAGCTATGCTTGGGTCTTCCTTTTGCGATTGTGGTGCCTGAGTTCGTTCTCCCTCGTCGTCAAGCTCCAGGAGGGACGAGATTGCGTCCTTTTTCTTGGGTTTGACATCAGACCGGGCTTCTGACAGTGCAGCGTCTGTTTGAGCAGCATCGACAACGGCCTGGCTCCGCTTGAGAATGTTTATAACCGACTCCTCTGACGGGATGCTTGTGCCTGATATTATCGAATCACTGTGGGAGATTATCTCTCGAACGCCGTAGTCACTGTGAGACGCGCGCTGGCTCTTAGCCACGGTCGACGAATACCGATATGCAACCTCATTCCGCCGTAGAGAAGGTAGAGCAGCAGCTCTGCTGGTGGTATAGAGACTGTTCCTGTTGATAGCTCGCGGCGAAAAGGGCGTAAACCTCCGTGAGATCGAGGACGTTGAAAAGGCGCAAAGCTGGCAGACCGAGCCTTGGGCCCTTCTCTGCGCCTGGAGGCCGATTCGCTTCATAATCAGGCCTGTCCGTTTGACAATTGCGTCTCTCTCTTCGTCAGTTCTCGCGGTGGTTGCTGATCAGATTTATCTCCAACCGCGCTTAGGTAAGTTGTTCGCCTGCACCGCCACAGCTTCTGCATCATCTTCGAGATCAACTCCAACTCCCGTACAACCAACGTCGTCATCCGGCATCACAGACGCCTGGAGGGAGAATGATATCTGCCTAGCAGGCTTCACCGGGACAGGCAGACGATATAAAGCGTCGACGCAGAGAGACCGGCTGGCGTTCATCTCCTATACATATAACTACCGCTTTATGATTGCACCACATCCTCCCCGGCGTCATATCTCGCCCTTCTCCAGCTGAACAAGTTAGCTCTCGTCTTCTCACGCAAAGATGCCTCCTCCTCCGCCTCCTCCTCCGCCGCCGCCGCCTATGCCAGGGCGGTCTGCCGGCGGTGGACCTCCCAGAGCCGCTCCGGTAGGCAATCAGGCCTCCTTTGCATAGATAACTAGATAAGATATTAACATCATATAGGCTTCTCTCCTTACAGACATCTCCAAGGGCACTCGACTCAAGAAGACCGTTACAAATGACAGATCAGCACCTATCGTTGGAAAGCCGTCCGGAGGCTCTGGAGGCCCTCCCCTCGCCGGTGCCCCTCCCGTTCCTGGCATGGCACCCAAACCTCCAGGCGGCCTAGCTCCTCCAGTCCCTGGCGGTGCTGCAAACAGGCTTAGAAGCAATAGTGAAGGCAAGGAACATGCCGGAGGAGACGACGGTGTTTCCTCGGCTCCACAGCTAGGCGGACTCTTTGCTGGCGGGATGCCGAAGCTGAAGAAGCGCGGTGGAATCGATACTGGCGCAACTTCGAACGCAACTTACCTGTCAGACTCGGAAGCGCAGAACAGTTCCAGGATATCACCCCCCACAGGATCTGCTCCCAAACCTCCAACTCCATCCAACAAGGCTCCTAGCTTTAGACCACCTCCTCCACCATCTACAGATGCTCCAACGCAGCCTCCTGTGAACCCGCTAGTAGCGAATCTCCGCAAACCACCACCCCGGCCAGCTCAAAGGCCATCATCTTCAATATCACTACAGTCGTCGAAAGCTGCACCAGACGTACCACCGCCTCGCGCACCGCCTCCGGTTCCAGGTGCCAGCAGGCTCCCACCACCCCCGCCTGCTCCTCCAGCGTCGAGAAAGGTCTCAGCACCTCCCGCTCCTCCGCCCCCGCCACCGTCGTCCACAGCTTCTACTCATCCACCACCCTCAGTACCGCCTCCTCCAACATCTACGGCCCCAAGACCGCCGCCACTACCTCCATCTGCATCTCCCGGCGCAAATGGAACTCAAGCATCGTCGATAGCAATGCAGGCTGCGCGCAATGCATACGGATCTCCTCACGCACCTCCTCCACCACCACCATCTGCCCCAGCATCCCAACCACCCCTTCCACCAACTTCGCCTCCTTCATCAGCACGGACATCCTCCCTTATATCAACTCCTCTTTCCTCGCGCCCTTCCTCATTTTCAGATAATCAACACAGTGCTCCACACCACCAGCTCCCTGTCCGGTCGATGCTTGATCCCAGCTCTTATACACTCACGAATGGCGGCTCACTGCGGCACGGAGCCTCCAAAGGCTCCACTTCTAACACAAAGGTCCGGATTGAAGACCCTCGATTCAAGTTCCAAAATGAATCACAGTTCCCGAAACCGAGAGAGTTTACCGGCGGCCAGAGAATGTATAGGGCCGGACGAGGTAGCAGTGTTCCTTTAGATTTAACGTCTTTGGGATGAAATGGAATGTCTAATGGATTGCTCTATTTACTTCGTGGTGGCCTGTCGGTTCATGTTCATCTTCTTTGACATTTTTGGGTTTAGGAGGAAATTGTAGCATATATACTGCATGGGCTGCATGGACTGGTGGGACAGTGCGATCGGTTGTTTTCTTTACCCAGCCCTCTTAGTTCTATCTGACTACTGTAGATCAGTATACTGCATTATTCCTATGTTCGTAACCTTTCCGTCTATATAAACCGCCTATCTCAGAGGCGGCTAATTAAGCGTTTACAAAATATGGTAGAATGGCAAATAGTGCAAAACTCACCGTAGAACCATGAGATATTTTACATTATGACGGAAAAGCTCATTCCTCTATTCAAGCACTGGCTGGCTATCTATATTTGTACTGTCTGATTATATAGTCGGTTTTACCGTGGTTCATTCTGGGTTTTTAGCTATGAAGTACATATATTCCATCATTTGCTCAATCTAGCAACGGTATTCTATATAAACAAACTCTTCATATATAGTACTAGACCTATATATAAAATGGCAACTCTGTACGGAATATTCTATCGTATATATTTACTACCCATACTACGCTAAAATACGCAAGGGACAACGTACCCCGCGTGTGGCCTTGCTTCTACCGCGTACAAAAAGATGAGAAATAGCTACAGTGTGGGATTTACTAGACTGTCTCTCCCTAAACCTCCGGCTTAGACGTCTTCATTAGTTACGTCTCGGCCCACTACGAACATGGAGCAAATCAACGAAGGCACAGGCTCTGAGGAGAGGATATTTTTCGTACAAGGCACCCGGTATATCGCGACCCGTTCAAACACGGTAGGTTCAGAAGGAGATATCAGAGATGATAATGCTGAACAGAAGTGAAGGACGCCGTCTTGACCATCCCCGACGAGTTCAGCCTCGCTACCATTTTCATGCTGCCGAAGGATCAACATGGAGAAATAACTGTGGACTGGATGCGTGATAATGTCGAAAGATATAAGCTCCTTGATGATGTCTTCCATGAAGCGTTCCTGGCCGGTGTTATCTTTCTCTGTGCTGGCGAGGAGCACGTTAAAGTGACGGACGAAGCCTGGACTTATCTCCTCAAATCTGGTGCTCAGTGGATCAAATATATACCTGCACTTGGCGCTGGTCAAAATGTACTGCCAGGTCCTTGTGCAATTTCAAGAAACCGCATATGTGATGTGTGGAAACTGGTCGATGATACTAATGGGACATGCATGAACGCTCTTTGGCCTCAGCAAGGGTCAGTGTTCACTATTTCAGACGTGTTTGTATAGAATTATGTACTCACAAGTACAGCCATTTCAAGCAGTTTCACTTGAAGAGCGTCGATGGTCAATCTTTGAGTGTTGCTCTCCCCTCGCGGATCAAAGGGCAAGCTGTCTCTGGTTCATCTATAGCAGGCTGGCGTATGCTTATCAAAGATAACATCCACCTACAAGGCATCAAGTCATCTCTAGGGAATAAAGCGTTCTATGATGCTTACCCTACGCAGCCAGAGACCGCCGAATGTTTAAAACGCCTTATTGACCATGGAGTGGTAATTCTTGGAAAGGCTAAGATGAGCTCCTTTGGGAACTGGGAAGAGCCTACTGATTACACTGACTACCAAGCACCGTGGAACCCACGAGGAGACGGATACCAATCGCCAGGTGCAAGCAGTTCTGGATGTGCTGCGGCCATTAGCTCATACGACTGGCTTGATATCGCAATTGGAACTGACAGTAAGGCCATATTCCCCCATACCCATATTTGGAATGAGCTATAGAGACATGGCTGACCTATGCTAAGCCTGGGGAAGCGTGACCAGGCCGTCACTTTGGTGCGGCTGCTTTGGACTGCGTCCAAGTATTGGGGCAGTCTCTCCTAGGGGAGTCGAGCCTTGCGTTAGGCAAGGAATCCGCATCCCCTTCGTTAAAAGATGTTACGCTAATTGGCACAGCGCTTGGGATATACCTGGTTTGCTGGGCCGAGACCTTGGAAAGTGCAGGGAGTTTGCCTCCGTATGGCTTCTGCAAAATGCCCTCATAAGGGAACCAAAGGTCTAAAGCCTTTCTACCCATTGTCTGAACCATCATTGACTCCTAATAGCCGTTTTCCTCCATCATTTGGCCAATAGACTTTTGGAAAATTATTGATGCCGACCAATGCACACTTGCCCTCCAATTCGTCAAAGATATGGAGTCGCATCTGTACATAAAACACTCGAAGATCTCATTCGAGAATGTTTGGTCGAATTCACTACCTTCTGAAGCAGCTGGTCTTTCACTTCCTGAGTATATTAATCCAGTAAGTCCCCACCAACCATCCCAAAATGGAAACGTCATAACGCGTTAGGCAACGGCTGCGCTGGCATACGATGCATACCACAATAGTGATGATTTCCGTGCAAGATATTTGGCAAAGTTCCGTCGGCAGCCTTACACCACGCATCCGAATCAGAAGACATGGTAGGTCGTCTTCCCCTGAACAAGCTAGCACTTGCATGCAGGATACTCACGAGCAGGTCAGGGGTGTGGGTAAAACGATATCCAAGGAACAACGAGACGCGGGCTTTAAGCGTCTCAGCATATATGAGCATTGGCTGACAGATACAATTCTATCTGGCGAACATTCGAACGCACTTCTTGTTCTTCCGCTGGAGAGCATGAGCCCTAGATATCGGGATGAGCCACCCACGTTAGTCATATATTCTGGGTGAATTTCGCATTCTTGGTTTTAAACCAAAATTTAAAGGTTCAAAAGGCCTCCGCAAGACGGCATCAATACCCTGGCTTTCGGGCCTGTCATGAAATCCCCTGTCTTGGCCGTTCCCAGTAGGTACCATCCAAGGACACCTCGGAGATGTGTACAGGGTACTGATGTACCTTCATAGTTGGGGAGATTCCGTACGAGTCAGTGGTGACGAAAAATAAAGAAAAGCTTCCTTTTGTCATCGCTGTTATGGCTCCTCCAGGTATATTTTCTCGCTCTCCTATCCTGTTGACTTATGGTTAGGCTAACTAGTAACGTATACCCTAGGGACCGACCTGCTGCTCATGGATTCTGTAAGGAGTACTCTTGAGAGTGCTGGCCGACCATCAACGGTCAGAACTGGAACCACCATGTTTGGGGCCTCTGGCACAAAGATATAAGAATGAAGTACAAAATCGTGTAGTTGAGGTTTGGTAAAGTGTGAGCCTCGTTATTACTTGGTCCGGTGTATTTATCCACCTTGGTATCAACGAGCCTTAGGAAACCCCTTCCGAGGACGTAGAAAACAGGATATCTCGCGGAGGCCATAGAAGGGCCGGTCGATATAATTGTGCAACGCAAGAAACGTCCATCGATGTGGAAGTTGACCTCTGAGTAGCCAATGCTGACTCAGCCACTCGTATCGAGCCAAAGCATCAACGGCGGCGCGAGATCTAAATTGCTCTTTAAGAGAAACCTAACATTATCAAGGACTCAATTTTGATATCGACAGCGTTTATATTAGCCGGGGCTCGCTTGAACGATATAACGGCCGAAACTACGCGATTCACTAAAAGCAATACGAGCCCGCACCTCTGCGACATCCGATACGGACACGCGCATCGAAGCAGAGACCGGACAGTCGTCTGCCTCTGGATGAGCAGCGTGAAAGTGACTGGGTGTGCCTACCAAGCCGCTTCCTCCTAGAGAAATACAAGAACGACCACGAAGAACTATAGACATGTCCCTCCAATCCTATATTAATAGTTCGTCTTTCCATTTTTTAAATAACCCACCAATACCCCTCCCGTCATTTCTCAAATCAGTGCTATGATATTATAAACATAGAATACGTGACAATGGCTAATTACTGGCGCGTCTCTCTAATTTAGAAAAAATACTTGTTCTCACGGTGGACGGCCGCACATTAATAGGCACACTCCTATCGACAGACCAACTTACAAATCTCGTTCTATCCCAAACAGTTGAGAGAATAATTCGGACACCAGATGACCCAGAACCTAGCTCGGAGGTAGAACATGGCCTCTATTTGATCCGAGGAGACAATGTCGTTATTTGCGGAGAAATAGACGAAGAGGTGGACGAGAAGATAGATTGGTCAAAGGTTAAAGGGGAGGTGGTTAAGAATACCAAGAATGCTTGATGACACTGGCTTCAACGATAGAAGGGAGCCAGGGCCACTTTGGTTAAGATAGGGAGAAGAATGAAGAAGAGAGATTAACTATCGAAACCCGGTTTATAACTCGCCTACCAACCCGGCGTCTACCTTGTTCCTTGTCGTTCGTTTACGTGTGATGCATATCGAGGTGGGATGGTCCCAGGGGCGCCTTTATATCCCGTTTCGACTGTTTGTCTGGGTTATATGAGATCAAAATCGGTATTGACGCGGGTATCAGCCAGAGTCTATCCTTGCTCCTGGCCCGTTCCTAGCCCCAAGATTTCATCTGAAGAAGTTCGGCTAGATGTATTTGACTACATCACATGGCAGCTTGGTTATCCTCTAAGCATGAACTTATGGTACTCTTGTGGTGTTTAGCTTAAGAGAAGATAAACAAGCCACGAAAAATATGGAGCATACACAATCACGCCCGAGTTCAAGGTATTTCATATTAGTGTTTCAGTCGTATATCTCATGCATGCACACATCTCACATATCCTATGCGTAAACGATACCGTTCCGTCAGTTAAAACCAAACATTCGGCAAACGGTACCTGCTTAGTTCAGTATTCGTTGCTCGTCCTAGTCTGAAACCCAAGGCTGGGCTCCTGGTTTTGGTAGACCAGTTTCGACACTCTCAGATGCAACGCCCTTAACTTCCCTTCTATTTCCAGGTATTTCTCTTTCAGCATCATGCTCTAAGTCTGTTCTGAGCATCGACGCTCTACTCAGTGGACACATAAGGCCACGACGGCCTTGTTTTTTCTGGGAGCAGTCATCAGACGTTGGTTGATAAAATGGCCGATCCATGAGAAACCTAGGCATATAAATAGCATTTTAGGTAAATCCAGGTGAGGGTATCACATATAAACATCGAGAACAACCCGAAACTGCCAAAATAGGTGCAAAAACAATTCAGCATATTGAGCTACCCAACACCAGTAGGAGCTGACATGTCTCCGGAAGCGAACTCTTGCCTAACGTAGGCCGGGGTCAACGAAGAATGGAAATTTGACGGTAGTGACACAAGTAGGCAGCGAGGATGGAAAAGATGATGGTAGAAAGGGGTGATGTGCAAGGAGGAGGAAATTGATATCTCGTAGGATTAGACGATACAGGCCTTGGCACTTGTCGGGGATACCTCGGCCTAGCGTCCCCAGAAAATAATCCGAAGACTTAAGGTCTAGCTATAAAAACTTACTTGGAGGCATCCAGACCAGCAATATACACTTGTCGAATGCTCACTATACTCCTTCTGTCAAAAACTTTGCCTCATATACGGAGAGTCTATCATTATACATTCCCGTCTTATGATCCTTTATTTTCTTTTTCATTAACAACGCTCGGATCACAAACAAACAACCCGGACGGGATCTCGGGTCTTTTACATAATTGTATCAACGTAGCTTTAGTCAAGCAAACCGGATGTCGACTTGGCAGGTAAACACCGAGAACTATAATAGTTATAATAAGCCACAAGCCAAAGCAAGCTCTACATCCGAGACAGTACCTGTATATACCACTTTGAGATGCCAGCCTGACTATCACGCTTGATGAGACCAAGATGGATAATGCATGGAGATTCGTCTATTATGCCCCGTATTCTTCAATAATCAAATTGTTAAACCCCAGCGAGTATCTTCACCCTATCCAGCGTAAACAGGAGGGCGGACCCCTGTAGCCCAGCGTACCGTCAAGACCTTCTGATCTTCCCGTCCATGCATCCCCGGAGAGAGTCGGGCTGATCATGTCTACCCGCCAGACGGCCAGACATCGCCGTTCATCCATGTGCTGAACCATCCGCCATGATAAGTCGAGTCTCTCCCTCTTCTCTGTCCTTCTATACCGTCCTGCCTTATCGCTCTCCTTATCACACGTGTGGCTGAAGTACCACCATGTACCTCCTCATACTAACTTACCGGTAAAAGGACGTTGGGTGACATGACAGGAAGAAGCGCGCTTGGCGCATGGAGCACTGGCCTTCCACGTGATTGGCCTGGCCTTACGTCACGCTAGTCCCAAAGGGGTAAACCGGGGCTTGCGGGGCCGCGCGCCACTTTTAAGGCTTGGCACCACGTTGGCCGCTTTGGGCAGCCACAGGGTCAGTGCTCGCTTCTTCTCTCCCCTTTGGATATACAGATATCTCTCTCTCTCTCTCCTTTTCTCCCTTCTCACTTCTCACTTCCTACGTTTTCTCTCGACGACAGCGGCTGGCCGGACTGACTTGCTCGCCTGTATCTTAATTGCCTCTGCCAATTGCATCCTGTCTCCCCCACAGCAAGTCTCGAGCAGGTTTCACTACCGGAGTAGCGCCTTACGTTTCAGGTCCATTGAACTCGCGCAATTATCAGACGATTACGACCACCACTTCCAACCCGTCCAGCTCAAATGTGCAGACTCCCCGGCACATTCTTGCATGCACTGACTTGCCTGCTGGCGAAGCCGTGAGCTGAGCTGCGCTGACCCTTCCACGACCCTTCACGGATCAGGTGATGTGGCTGTTCAGAGGCGCCCAGTCTGCGATCTTTTATTACGCGGCCTGCACCCCTTGCACGGAGCAGTTGCAGAGACGAAAGAGGAAGAGGGATGCGCTCAGGACAGCACGTGAGGTAGGCAGGGATGCCCTCGTTGCAGACCAGCCGGTATTCTACCAGCCATCGCCCTTCAGCACGAACACGTACTGGAGCGAGGAGATCGCCTTGGGGCCTGGGCCGCCGACGAGGAGAGGGAGGAACAATGCCGCCAGTCGGACGAGCAGCCAGAGGAATCTAGCGTCGCTGGATAAGCCCGCTGTGACGGAGAGGGCGGTCTTGACGGGGGTGTTGGAGGATTCGTCAGTACCGGAGGATAAGAAGGATCTAGACAGAGTAGACCGTCGGTGGAATAGTGTGCGGTACCAGAGAGATGACGAGGCCCTCTGGGGGTATGATGGGAAGTGGTCGTCTACAAGTCTGCGCGCAACGACGAGGGGCTCGTCAAAGTACTCGATAGATCCCCCGCCAGAGGTCAATGACCTGTACCCGCCAATTGCAGGCGCAATCCAAAACAAGGAAGAGATCCAATGGATGCTCCAGCCGCCACCAAGTGCGAAGGTCATGGAGGGCAAGGTCAGGGCAGATTCGTCGTCGAGGTTATCGTCCAGTGGCAGCCCGTTGCTCAGAGGTGTCAAGCCATCATCAAGTACCGCCTCCCGCTATGACAGGGGCGGACAATCACCTCTTGTTCGGCCATCTCCTGCCCAGAGAGCCGAATCATCCTCATACAGCCCTATAAAGTCACGCAAATCTTCGACCGCGGCCGCTATGCCCCGCCTAATACCCATCGATTCATCCATATCCCTCTCAAACACCGCCCAGTCTCCAGGATCGTCACTCCCGCTTCCATCTACAACTGCCCCAGCTTCTTCTTCATCATCTCCTCCCCCACGAGGCATCCGAAGCCAATCCTACGACCACCACGGGCAGCAAGCCAACCTGTCCTCATCGGTCGAGTCCAATTCTAACTCACCGCTGGAACTAAAACCCTACGTCTCCCTACCTAGCCTTCAATCCCCCAACGCCCGCCAGCACCACAGATACGAGACTGAATATCGTCCAGCTTCCAAGGAAACTATCGACAGCGGAAAGGCGTTCCATCCCACTACTCCTTCAACTCCCTGGCTACGCGCCGCTAACCACCCAAATATCTCGAAACTACCATCCACCAGCACCCTACACATCAATGATATCGACAACTCTAGCGCTGACCACGCAATTGACGAGGAAGAGTTTGACCGACTAGATCGGATCAGAACCTACCGTTGGAGTATGGACTTCTAACCTTAAACAATACAAGCAAATGCAAAAGCAAAAACGAAAAAAAAAAGCAAAAAAGAAAACGCTTTTTGTATATATTCAGGTGCCTCTTTTTGTCCCTACTTGGCTTATTAGTCCTGTGTTAGGACCTACCGTCGTCATTACCATATGGACGACATACCTTCTACCGCTCGTTTTTGTTCCCACTGCGCAAACCGCTATTTTATCTATGGCCCAGCGCTTCTTTTACTGTTGATACTAACGCCAGGGACCATGCGTTTTTCTTCGTTTGATATTATATTGCGTCTTAGCTAAACTGCACAGACTCGCCAACCGAGGACAGCACGGTCTGCCTCACACCATTCTCATGTCTTACTTCCTTCAACCACAGCGTTATATATTATATTTTTGAACCTACCTTTTCAGCAAGCAGGCAAGCGAGTCGTTTTCTTCTCTTTCGTCGATCGTTTATGTCTCGACTCTATTTACGTCTGGTTACTTACTAAAAATAAACGTGCTTGTGTTTATTCTCTTTGTCTTCTTTGGCTGGTTTCTATCCTTATATCGGTCCTCGAGTTGTTTAACAGGTAGATAAAAGTGGTTGAATAGACAGGCCTTTTTTTACTTATTTCTGCATTAAAATCCATGTACCATGATGGTTCTCCGTCTATCCTAACAATTACCATGAGCAAAAACCAAGGTATATTGCATGATCGTTTCTGCACCTTCACTCCAGGCTAGGAAACACCCGTACTAACGACGTGTGTAGAAAGGCAAAGTAAAACTCCATGTTAAAACATATCAGGAAACTAAACAAACCGAACGAACAAACCCTCGACGTATGTTTACGAGAAATAACGATCTAGATGAGAAAAGAAGGGAAGGGAAAGAAAACGACAACACGAAGAGAAACAATGATACAACTCATTCATTTTCAATAGATCATGAGATAGATATATATATGAATGTGACCCTCTGGCTTTCCCAACTGATGTAGATTGGAACATGGACTGAAATGTAAGGAAAACAAAAAATGAGTAAGGCAAACAACATATGGATTGTTGTGGGTGCTGAAATTGCAAACAATGAGATGATGGGCAGGGACTGGTAGGATACGGAATACATGACATGGCAAAAATGAAAAAAAGAGGTTCCTAGAGAAGGAGAAGGCTCTTCTAGCGTTGGTGATGAATTTGATGGTGGGCTGGGTTGGGCTGTGCAAGCGTATTGGAGTCCTTCACATCATGATATATTTTCTCTCTCTGCTTTTCATTTCATTCCTGGGCGGCGGCTGGTTGTTTTATGGAGCCATCCGCTCAGTACACCTTCTTCTTCTCGTCCATGCTGAGCTGTCCAGGGCCCATGTTGACGAGGAGAACAAGACCACCACTATAGAGAAGTTAGTACATACTTAATGTCGTATCTTCAAGGGTTGTACTTACACAATGGAGAGAATCTGGAAGAAGTCGTATTTGGCAAAGTCCTTGTGAGGGTGGTGGGGGTGAAGCTATTAAAGAAGCCAAGTAAGCAAGTGGAGACGAAACCATTGTATAATGACAAACACATACCGTCCAGAAGTTGTTGACAAGGACATTGAAGATACTCAAGACAACGACCAAGATAACGGCACTCCACTTCGCCTTGAATCCAACGACAACCATGACCGAGGCAACGAGTCCAATGCAGCTAACAATGATTCTCCACAAGCTCCATTCTCCAGAGAAGACGAATCCAATGAACAAGAAAATCAAGAGTACTCGGCCGGCGAACTGGACATACATCTTGCGGTCCTTCTCTTCGAGCTGGGGGAGACCGGCGGGCATGAACTTCTTGCGTACCCAGGAGTCGGAGAGGACCATGAGGAGACCGCCAATAACGCTAAGGTTGCGGACGATGAAGGTTATGTCGATAAGGAGGCCGTATCCGAGGGCTTGGGCGACCACGACGCCGAGGAGACCAGCAACGGCGTATTCACTGTGTTTGCGGGCGACGACGAGAACGGAACCAGTAAGCATGACGATGACATTGACGATAAGGAAAAGGTGTGTTATTCCCCATGGAACTAAGCTGATGTTAGAAGTGGTATGCAGTCAATAGACAGTATCAAAAACGTACTGTGTCTGAATTGGTTGAGGTATTCGAGCTGGGGAGTCCATTGCGTCATTATCCGCAGCGAGTCTTCAAGGAAAGTGACAACGATCAGGAATCGACCGATTGCAGGGAGGTGACTGTCGAGTAGCCAGTTAGCTTAGCCTGCACCAGTGTAGACGTTCAACAAGTATAGCCATGTAAATAGGAGGCGACATACGGCTTGATTGGATCAGCAATGCTATCTAGCCAGTCTTCAATCTTGCTCGTGTGTTGCCGAATTGCGTCCAGCGGGCTCGGGTCGCTGGTAGCATCTTCTCTTCCGGGGCCAACGAAGGGATTCTGATGTCCCAGGTTATACCCCGCCGTACCGCGGATTTGGGCCATCTTGAGTAGAGGAGATGCAGGTATCTGGTGTGTTGCTGATTTTTTCTGTCCTGCCGTCGACAATTGGTCGTTGTTTTCTGGATTCGAGGCTTCCTGGCCTACCAGCTGATATGTGTCCTCAACAGGTGTGCGTTGCGTGAGGAGGATGATCCCAGTCTTTGCGTTTTGGTTAGATGCTGATGACGGTGGGTTCGCGTGGAGGACAAAACAAACAGCCTCTGAGCTTCCGAGCGGCGTCGAGAGCGGCGGACCAGAGTGCCAATTGGACCAAAAGGAGGGAGCGGAAGGTGTCGAGGCAGTGAAGAAGAAGAGACGAGGAGGAAGAGAGAGAAGCAGAGATGTTGCAGACGGTGCTTATAGACGGAGAGAACAAAAGAACAGGCCACGATGCGATAACGGGCGAAGTTTAGCAGGGAAAGTCACGTTGCCAAGGGAGATCACGAGACCCACCCACATAGATAGGACAGAGATATAAAGATATAATATATAGATATATGTATAGATATACTCCGTATGTATAGATATGGATATAATATATATAGATATAATAAAGGGTAGAGACATATAGAGAAGAGGCCGGGTGCATGTAGATACGAGTAGATGTGGCTAAAGGAAAGACTAGTGAATCATTGCCTAGGTACAAATACGACTTCGCCGTAGAAGAATACTTTGTCTCGATTCCGCAAGCTTTTATATTAGAGAAGCCTCTGCTAGCGTCATTATCTTCCTCAGGCTGAGATATATGCTTTTGGTTGACCTCAGTGACCTGTATTTTATACTAAGTGCAGTCGAACCTGAGTCGCCGTTTACTGCATAGCAAACAGTATAGACACCCGGTGACTTGACTAGACCTTCGATGCTGTTGAACGCCGAGTCGTACCCCTATATAGGAGCAAATATTAATATCGGATGACCCCGACCATGCCAGCTTTAGGGCTGAGGCAGAATTATATAGCAGAACCATTCGCCAATCATCAACAGACATTCGCTGCTTCAACGCAGGCAGCGTTCGCTTAGGTATTTTGGTATGCTTGGCCTGCTATACAAACAGTAGACATCAGATAGGACGACTTGGTTGTCGACGTTGTTGTTGTAGGGCTGAAGCAGAAATTTAACGGTTGAATGACTTGATCAGCTAGAACTTTGATACTTCGGCTTCACCAACGTTAGCGACTGGGTAACATGGTCAAAACGTTTTTCGTGCCTTGAACATACAGCTAACATCTAGTAAATATACAAAGCTAATATTACGAGATGACACTTATAAGTTGTAATCTTTCAATCCCCTTGGTATTAAGCCCAGTTATAAGATACCTACGTCATTACTATGTAGGAACCCTAGTAAAAGAAGCCGGGGCCGAGGCTGGTCAAGTTGGGTGGGTGATTTAAACAGGACAGTTAGAAGCATGAGGGTACGGTTACATGAGAATAAGCACAGTTGCTGGGAAAAAAAGCAAAAAAAGGCAAGTGAAGAGTAGAAAACCAATAAATAATACAATTGAATCAACTCGGAAACAAAAATGGGCAAGTTTGAATAAAACAAGGAAGAAAAGGGACTTGGATGGAATTTAAAAAGAGGCTGGATATCCCACCGCCGTTGAAGGCAACGTAAAGTGCCATAACGCCATGAGCTAATAGTTAAAAAGGAAAGGAAAGAAAAGGAAAGAAGTAGAAAGGGCCGGTAATAAAGATGTAGGCCTGGATGCTGTGGGAGAAGGACATATGGAAGGTTGTTGGGCGGGAGATGAGTTGTGGTATGTATGCAATGCAGGAATGAGGTGACGCGGTGGGTAAATGGCGGATGGTGGATGATGAATGGTGGTCGAGTTAAGAGTCCTCTCTATGCTGTTCATGATATTGTTTTAAGAGAAAAAAAAAAGATCATTTCACTACCATCAAGTCTCGGCGAAATTACTGTGTTGTTCTGAGCTGCTGGCTTCGCTCATCGACTCGGCATTGGCCTTGCTTCGCTTCTCCTTCTTACGATTGGAGACTGTCGTCCATTCGTTCTCGCTGCTCAGCGTGTTGAGCATTCTCATCTGCTCTTCTTCGGATGGGAGATCCTTGGCCCATGGGGTCTTGGTGGAGGACTTTTTGTCGCCGGCTGTCGGTTTAGGCGTGGGTTGAGATGGCTCGAAGGTATCGAGCAATGGGATGGTAGATGGCTTGGTAGAGTTGCCATTGGTGGCCGGTGCGAGGGTTGCTGCTGGGGTGGGAGATGGAGCTGATTCCCATGCGTTTGGAAGTGGTGCTGGAGCTGGCTTCGCCTTGGCCTGTTGTCTCTCGAATTCTCTGGCGGTATGCATCTGGTTCTCGACCATGGCACGTCTGTTCTTCTCGGCCTCCTTGACCATCTCGTTCTTCTCCTCGCGCTTACGGCGCGCCTGGCGCTGTTTCTTGGTCTCTGCGGGCTTGAAGTTGTTTTGTTTCTTCGTTTTGCCGTTCTGAGCATCTTCCAGCAATCCCGTCAGGCGAAGGACGGATGCTGCCGGGGCCGGTTCCTCGAGCATGTCGGAGACATCACCGGCGGGCTTGACGACGGGTGAGTTGATGGGCGACATGTCGTCATCAGCGTCGGCACCAGTGGTAGAGGAGGCGGCGGTAGAGACATGGTTGGCGTGGGAGTCGCCGTTGGTGGATGGCTGCTGGGCTTGCTTCCCGGCACGGGAGGCCTTTCCTTTTGTGCTGGTGCCGGCCTTGGATTTACCAGCCAGGGGAGTGCCGTTCTTCACTTTTGAGAACTGTTTGGCGAACTCGTAGTTATCGTCCATTCCTCCATTGCTGTTGGAGGTCGGCTCTTCGGCTTGGGCGATGCTCTGCACTTTCTGCTCCTTCTGCTCCTTCTTGGGTTCGGCCACGGCCACGGCCACTGGCGTGCTGACGCTGTTGCTACCCTCGCTGGAGTTGGAGTTGCCATTGCTCTCCGACTGTGCCTTGCGCGTCTTATTGCGCTGCTTCGTCTTCTTGTTCCCTGCTGGGCCACTGTCCTGCTTCTCAGTTGCTGGCTTTAAGAACGCAGGCCTGGCCTTTGGTGCTGAGCCATTCTTGTAGTAGTAGCCCAGTCCACCTGCTGTGAGGAGCAGGATCGCCCAGCTCATGTACGGGTTCATGCTGGAGGAATCACAGAGAGGCTGTCTCCTGTCCTTGTCTTGTATCTGGCGGTGGCTAACGCCGAGCAATCAGGAGGATCCCAGGAGTCCGGCGTTGCGACTGTGCGAGTTATTAGGAGAACAGTCCGGACCAGGGCTGTAGATTAAGCATAAATAGGGTTGGATGTAGCTAATTCAGACGCGAGGTGAAAGGTGAGATGGGCGCGTAGAGCAGAGATGTGACAGTGGTGTTGGTCCTTTGCTTAGAGGGGAGGATGCGAAGGTGGCTTGTTCACTGTCTCGCGGTTAGGTTCACAGCATTCACGCGGTTTAGGTCTTTCACTTACTGAGCAGACATGCATATCTCACAAGAGAGCAGTGAAAGGAGAAGAGAGAGAGAGAGGACAAGTGGAGGACACTGGGATGCGGATGGGATGGGAGTGGAAGACGAAGGGGCTCAATCCTGGTTCCAAACTACTGGTCAATGACACAACAACCTTATTTAGGACCAAAGTATGAGAGAAAGACGATGAAACAGAAACGAAGACGAGGTCCGCCTTGTAAGGAGAGTGATGTCCGACAAGCGAGTGTTGGGAGAGAGGACGACGATCCGAAGGAGGACGAGATACTGTTATGTACGATCTCAAAGGCAGACACCGAGCAGGCCTTGAGGCCAGGTTTCCGCTAATCACTACATCTCGCATCTGCATCTGCGTGTGCATCCTGGGCCTGGTCTTAGATTCCTTGCATGTACGGAGTACATGGCTATATTACCAGCATGACGGTGTGCATCTCCGTGAGATGAGGATGCATGCGGCTGTCCTCACTGTCGTCCTACAGTCGCTCTGGAGTAAGTACTCCCTATGTATGTCCAGATTAGATACATCCTAATACTTGTCCTAGATGTTGCATCGTCATCCGGAGACTTGTCCTTATGGAAAAGGAGGTACCTCTACCAATCCTCAGATAAGGGACTAAAGGATATATCCTTGAGCCATCGACTAGCTCGCTACGCATTGATGCCGTAGATGTCTTGATGATGCTCAAACACGGTCCTTGCACCGAGTTACGCGGCAGGGGTCGTTTCATCCTGAGAACAGAGAACAGAGGCACAAAGGACGGACTTCGTATATACACATGTTTCTGCGCGGTTCCATCTCCGAGGATATAGGTGGTACGGTACTTGTGTCCTTCCCGCAGGTTGCTCATACGCTCATATACGGGCCACCGTCCACCGTCCATGCGGTCGCCCGCTGTCTGGCTCTAATTGCGTGCATAGTACGAAGTACGAGGACGGAGTACAGGCCTGGCCATGGCCCGATCCGCTAGGAGAAAAAGAAATAACAAAAATATATATACTCCGTACGGCTAATCCCATCCGTTTCTGTGCCTGAACATCTTCACTTGAATCTTCTCCAGGGCAAGTTGTTGATCTGTACGGAGTATTAGCATGATAATATCGAAAACGTCCCTCTACCACTTTAGTTGGATGCTGGCTTCTCCGAGAAGTGCCATTTAACATCTTCCACCAACATTACGGAGTTGCTCATTCGGATACTCCCTATTCCGTTCTAACCAAGACGTTTGCCATTGCTCCAAGAGTCTGCTATACACCCTGCCCCTGCCTCTAGTATAAGTACCTTGGTAGTTTGACACTGTTAGAACCAGGCCAAGATGCTTGGTCGATTGGGAAACAAGTGAGATCGAACAACCTTAGGATGTGGCGGTGGATGGTCGTTTATCATTAGCCGCCATATCCATAAAGCAACACTGTACAGAGTATCAAAGAGTCAAAATTATTCTGATCGTTTCCTACCATTAAGAGGCGGAATATAGTTCAGCCGTCATTAGTTCGCCCTTGGAGTTGACTAGTTCGCCCCTTGCATGGATAACGGCTGCATTTTCTTTTTGTGGACAAGCTGCTCTCATATCCAGCCCCTGGACACAAGGCCTTTTGTCTCTTTTGGTCTAACAAAGCCATCTACCTCTACGGAGTACTCCGTATACCCTAAGATAAAGGTTAACCTACAACGGCTTGCCTTGAGCTCTAAGTTGGCATCTTTGATGTGAGGCATATACCAATGTGAAGGTGGATTTGTCTCTACTGCAGGCTATGATTGTCCAGCTTTACCGAGATCAATGATGTTTCTATATCACAAATACTTACTCGTTTGTACATCAGCAATCAATGCAAAGGGTAAATCACTGAATCAGAGGAGCAATCACTTATGTAGGAGGTACCTACCTTTGCTGCTTCTTCAATGCAATATTTAAATATAGAGGGGTCTTCTATATTCTCTTCCTGTTCCATATCCATCAAACCATTTGTCCTCTACAGAGTACGACTTGCATAGATTTCTGGAGGAAAGAAACGATTTCGCAGTACCCCTTAATGACCTCTGGGCAGAATGGTTTCAACTGATAAACCGTCTGGTCTCCCCGGACTCAAGGCAGCTCTGGAAGTTCGAGATTTCCACAAATGTGGTGCTTTGTATGAAGCCCACGCTATCCCCCTACCGTATTTATTATTTGAAAAGGGCTATGGCTCAATTTCTGACCCTCTATAGGTACAACACACTGCTCGATGACTCCGAACAGCCCCCAATTGCCGATAAGCACATTGCAAACTTGGCAGAAATATTTGTCCGCAACGATGCCGAGAAGGTCTTTGGAATTCATTTGATTCACGGCCATTTTAAGATCCCCCAGGGCACCGTCATACTTGGGACTAATTTCAAGGATCCCTCATTGCGCTGGGCTAGAGTTACCAGTATCGACAAGGTCGATCCTCTCCGTGTTCACGGACACATATTCGCCCTCACCAAGGACGGACTATGCGCTTATGAGCTTCAAGATGGGCCTCTTCCTGACCTTTCTGGTGTTAGACCCCAGTTTCTTGACAGTTTCATCAACTATCTTGTCAAGAACGATCTCACAAGCGTCATTGGTCTTCAAGTCCTTGGTTGCAGCAATTGTTCCATGTCGGAGCTCATTCTTGATCAAGGGACTGTCATGCTAGATTCGTCTTGTGTCAAGAACCCTGTGCTATCCCGCATCACAGGCTGGAAATTCGAGGAGGTTGGTGGCATCCCGCGTGCTTGCAAGCCGAAAGAGCTTCATTTAAAGAACGTCGATGGAGCTCATCAGGTCTATCGTCGGGGAGAGCCTATTCCGAAATTGGAAAATATCGATGACCTGAAGGCTGCCCTCTCTGAGGCTGGTGTTATTTATCTGCTGGAAGATTGGATATGGCTATTTCTCCTTTTCCAGCATTTCCTAGCCTTTGTCAATTGTTGAATTTCACACCGTTAATACCCTAACCTTTTGTCGGGTTATGCTGAATCTATGAACTTTGTAACCGAGCGAGTTACCGTAGTTATGAAAATATTTGCCTATAAATGTTATCATGAACATTTTAATAGCACCAAATTCAGGGTTTCATACCTTAACGCCTATTGTAACAATGGCTGACAGTGTGTTGAGTTTATCTCACTCTTGCTCTTGCTTCATATAATGATGGATAGTATAGGATTGATGGTAAGGGAGGAGTGACCAGTGTTGAGATCACCCTCTCAGGAAAAAAGATATACAGTCAAAAAATGAAAAAGGAAAATAGGCAAAGATATAGGCCGAGAACCTGTGCCTAAAGAATTCAAGATGAGGCACCTACGTTTGCTATACTTGATATATGGCATCGTCGCCGTTCTGCAGAACCTCCAGGTGTCAGCATGGTCGATCCCACGAGAATATCTCGGCGTCTATACGAGCAGCAAGGCCCCGATAACTCATAGTCTTTCACCAGACGAAGAGGCCATCAAACGTGCGCCTCCACCGATTCAACCTGGCCAGGCCACCGCTACAAATACAAACACAGCCGCGAGCGGCGAGGATGCTACAGAGAACAGGGTTAACGACGACGCTATCTTCAAGCGGCTGATGTCAGATCTTGAGACCTGCGTTGAAGACCTTCTCCCTTACACAACGGAAAATACACCAAACGACCAGGTCCAGATCAGTGGATCGAAAGTGAGATCGTGCAGACAGGCCATTTTCTCGTTGATACGGTGGCTCGGTGCTCGAGGAAACAACCCGCCAAAAGGGAGCTCGTCTGTCGTCGGAGCCACGGACGAGTATCAGGAATCTCATCAGTCTCATGAGAACGAGAGAAGAGATGACCAAAAATCACGTTTCAATCTGGTCAAGCCGGGAAATAATAGGGATCCGCGCGAGTCTGGCAGGCTTGAAACGAGGGTCGATGAAACTGGAAACCAACCAACACCAACTAATACCAGACCGCTCACTTGTCATGATCGAGCATGTACCACCGACGACATTCTATCGACGTGCGTGACAAAGAAAGGGGCAAAGCTGAAGCCCAAGGTTGCTAGAATGTGCAAGATGTGTTTTCCGCGCAGAAACGAGCAGCTGGTTGACGTATATTGCTCTGAACTGGCCAAGAAGGAGTGGTATTTGTTTTATATTCTCTTCGCTATACTTATTACAGCTGCTGGCACGTTTATCGCCCTGACCTTTCTCCGAAGACTGAGGGCAAAGGCTCAGAATACACAAGATGGAGGAGCAGGCATTCTTCCAATCAAAAGATCCATCCGACCGCCAACACTAGGAATGCCCCGAAGTAGATCTAGGGGAATAGCATCAAGGTGTACAAGGATGGCCATATATCTCAGAGCTTCGGCGACACAAGCTGATGTAGAGGAGCGACTGATGCTTGACGCAAAGGCATATCTGTCTACTCCGACTCACATTCCGCCAGCCCAGGTCAGTAAGCATAAGCAATATCCGTTCCAAGGATCTGGTGCCGAGGCCTGCGAAAGACAAACGGGATTGAAATTTCGGAAGAGCTGTGATTCAAACTTGGAGGTACCTGCTGCCGCTGCACAACGGGGACGTAGCTCCAGCGTTCAAACGATACCAAACGTTGCCCTGGCTACTGGAAACGAAGGTGTCGGGCTGCAGCGTCTCAGCGTGGATACACCTGTTCAACGTCCGCATACCGCCGACTGAATGGAGGATAGTTCTGGATAGGGATAGTTAGTGTGCTCGAGGATTGGTCAGAGTTCCTATAGTTAATGGCGTCCCGTTAGAAGCCCAATCGGAGCCTTTCGTCACTCCTTGGATAAGGGCAATGGTATCTCAAATCTTCAATAGCAGGATGTATTGTTAAGTCACTTTGTAGCATGATATCAATTAGACTGAAAGTGGTTACCTTTATAAAGGATGGCATTGGTAAAATTAATGGTTTATTCCACGGTAACTGAGCTCCCCGAAACGTGGTAAAGGTTGCTATCATGGAAATATTCACCATCCGTCCATCTGCTTGGGGTCAAATGGCTGGAAATAGAGCTTGACCGAAAGTAGCCTCATAGAACAAAATACCCCGAGGCCAAAAACATACAATCATCCATTCAGACAATTAACAAAGGGCAGGCTAATCGCCTCCTTGATTTCCTTCATTGCCTGCACGACCAATTCATCTTGCATCTTCTTCCCTACCAGCTGCAGAGATACCGGAGCCGAAGCCTGAATAACAGGGTCATAATTCGCTTGGTACAAAGCGTCGTCATCGTTTCTAGGCGTATATTCAGATGGCTTGGGGTCAAGTCGAGGGTTGACTCTGGTAACTGGGAAAACAATGGCAGGATAATCGAGGATATTCCAAATCGATGTATATCCCCAGTAGCGGGAGGTAGAGAGGACAGGAGCAACATTGGCATGTGCGGGGCATAGTATCACGTCCATGTCAGGCTCGAGTTTGTTCCATTCTATTAAGTATATAATAGGTTAATTTGAGATCAAGAACTGCAAGATGAGTGGACTGGGAATATGAATAAGGAGCCATACCCGTTAGGTAGTCAAATTTGTAGGCTTCGCGCTGCTTCAGCAAATTCCATAGAGCAGGGAGATCATGGGCTTTAACGGAAGGTCCTGATTTAGCAACCCAGTCTGCGAGGAGAAGAGAAGGCTCTCCACCCTCGGCCAAGAGTGCCTCGAATGATTTTCCACCATCGGGGGAATAGAGACCTGACTATGGTCGGTGATCAAATCAAGTCAGCATGTGTCATAAACTATACCAAGGAGCTGGCATCAATCCGATACTTACAAGGATTTCCATCGCCTCATCGTGGCGGTATGGTTTCCATTCGACGATTTCGACTCCGGGGACGGACTTTAGCTTTGTCACAACCTCCTGCAGGGCTCTAGTTACCGGCGGGAGTGGCTTCACAATACCATCGTCCCACATAACACCGACTCTGAACTTCTTTTCTCCTTTCGGGTCGATACACCGGGCCTGTTCTCTCCAAGGGACTTGGTGCAGGCTTGGGCTCTTGCGCCAAGGCTCAGCATCGAGGATCACCTTCATAAGTAGAGCAATGCTTTCAAATGTTGGACTGATGGGGCCAGCAGTTCCCCAGATCGTTTCGACGCCAATGTTGTAGGCGGTCCACCCGGTAAGTGGAATTCGATGAGTGGTGGGCTTAAACCCGTATAAGCCGCAGTTAGCAGCCGGCGAACGGATGCTGCCTCCTATCGCTTTGTGAGCACTACACGAATGCCAAGGTTGGAACAGATTAGATCAGTTATACCTACCCATGTCTGTGCCAACCCCGAGCGGGCTTCCATATAGTGCCTGGAGCGCCGCTTCACCACCCGACGAACCGCCAGGGGTGAGGGCGATATTGTGGGGATTCAACGTCTCACCGGTGACATTACTTTTAGTTTCTAACATCAACTAAGATGTGCAGAAACGATGTGAGCCAAGGCCAAATAGTGAGTAGTGGTAATATGGGAAATGATCCTTGGGCTCCTGTTTACTCACCAGTCCTTGTGGTTCTGTTGTTCTAACATATTCCACTGCTCCGGCGGTAATGAGAATCTTGAGAAGCTCAGCATCATCGGGGGACGGACGTCCCACCCATGCGACAAATCCCGAACTAGTATCGCAGCCTTTGACTCCCATGTGAGCCTTCACGCTGATGGGAAGGCCATGGAGGGGCCCAACCGGCTTCTTGTGCTTTGCGAAATACTCATCGAGCTCCTTTGCGCGTGCAAGCGCTCGCTCTGGTAAAAGTTCATGAACGCAATTGACCTAAGGACCGGGATTAGAACGTCATATTCGTCTACTTCCCCTCCACATCTTAACTGACCAATTTCTGTGCGACCACCGCACGGCGAAGGAACGCCTTTGTAACCTCAGTGGCAGTAAGAGTTCCTTGGGCGAGCGAGGAGAGTAAAGATTGTGCAGACGATTCAGTAATGGCGATGTCTGCCGAAGAAAGGCATCGTCTTGGAATATCCGTCACGTTGCCGGATAAATCATCTGGGACTCGGGACAGATCAACGTCCACCTTGGAAAGTGCTTCTAGGCGGCGAGCTTGGAAGCTAGCAAGATTATCCTGCGCTTGCGTCATTTTTTTTGATGCAGAGAGGAAGAGAGGGAGTCTACACAGAGGACCAAATAAGATTGGGCTGCGGTGTCATGCTCTGGTTTCTAAGACCAGAATTATATACTGTTTGACGAGGTGCGAGGCCACGTAGGACGGTACGCCCTATTCACAATGAGCCGTTTGTTTAGCTCGAAGCTGGGGGGCGTAATAGGTCGATTTGCAAGCGAAAACAAGCTGTTGCACCCACCATTCGTCAACTGTGTAAGGTCGGCACTCCGGGTTGCACAGCATGTACCGAGTCCAATCCCAGGTCGATGGGGTCAAAATTGGAGTCGAGATAAGAAGATCGCCAAGTGCCAGGGTGGTTGTCCTTATGTATGTGGACCAATCTGACGTTTTCTGAGTGCACTGAAGCCGGACAAGGATTATCGGGGATGCAAAGAACCGAAAATCCCAGTAGGTTCATGGATGTCAGGACAGCCTGTACTTTATATCGGTCAAGCGCGTGGGTCGCTGGCTTGCGAAGCACATCCGTTCCCGGCCGGCGGGAGAGGGCGAGGGTTGTCCCGCACCCCTTGCGGCCCACAGAAGAGCTGTATCATGTATGATCCTCCAGGTAATTTATGCAAGACCAGGTTCAGAGGAGCAACCACCACCCCCAGCGTGAATCCACCCTATGTATAGAACTCGGTTAATGGGACGGTAGGTACCGAAGCCCACCGCATGCCTTTGAGAAAAATACTCTATACCTGCATTGGCCTCAATTCAACCGCACAACAAGCCTGGATAGCCGTCTGTTCCACCGAGATGGTGCGGTCGTTGTTTTATGCTCGCGATATCAAAGAGGTTGGAAGTACTACGGGTCGGGAAACAGACCAGCTAAGCATTTAGAATAAACTTGATGTCACGTGATACGCTTACTCTGACGTCTTTAAAAACATGCGCACTTCTAAACAATCTACCATCAAGGGACATGTCTAGAGTTCTTCTCAGAAGCCGCGACAAGGGAAAAAACACATGTATCGAGAAGAAAGATAAGGAAATAAGAGATAAGAAATAGCAACAAAAAACCTATAAATGAGAAACGCGCAAACTGTGTCGTCCTCGACCCAAATCCTGATCTAATTATACCTCCTCAGTTATTTGCACTCCACTCCAGTCTGGGTGTCTCCCTTCTCATGCAAGAACTCGCATCTGCTCCTTCATGCCAATTCCAAGCTCCTGCGCGGTTTCCAAGCATAACTGAGGCTGCCTGGATGGCACATTATGATTTACTAGCGTGTTCATGTATTGCACCGAAAAGTCAGACCATGCTCCCAGTAAATCAGAACGGAATCTGCTGCCCTGGATAGACTTTCCTACATAGAGGCGAATCATATCCCCTGAATGAGCCAACGTCCCCCGGGGCCCAGACAGCTTCAAAATTAGGTTCGCGAGATCCTGTGGGTTTGGATTGAACCGAAACTCCTCTGGGTAGAACCTGGAAGCTTCCACAACTTTGGAGTTGGAGATCACCGTTGTAACACCGTTCAAAGCCGCTTCCAATGGTGTAATACCAAGAGTCTCGTAACGAGACGGACACACAAAGATACCGTTTTGTCTTGCGACTTCAAATAGGCTGTAAAGTGCGGATCTCGAGACTTTGCCTACCAAGAGGAAGAGGTGCTGGTACTGTGCTGGGACCTTGTCCATGAGTGCCCTGTGCTCCTTGCTATCTGCATGTTCTCCCCCTGCGACGAGGACCCTGAGAGGTATACCCTGGGCGCATAGGGTAATAGCCGCGTCAACTAGCAGATCGATATTTTTAAAGTAATCCAAGCGAGCAACTGCCGTGAACATCACTACCCCATCGAAGTTAAACCAGTTTGTAATGTTTTCGGCAAGCTCGTCTTTCGTTTCCTCAGTTTCGGTGAGAAGTTCAATGGGCGGGCACAGCTCACGAAGGGCGGTGACTCCCCGGGAGGCCAGGAAATTGCCTTGAAGCTGGGAGTGCTGTAGGACAAATGCATTCTCACGACTCTTGATGATCTCAATTCCCTTGCTTTGCTGTCTTTCCAGATGCTCCGCCTTCTCCATGCTCCCAAATGCCAGGGCAGCAGCCTCCTTGGAGAAGATAGTCGCAAAGCTTCCATAAAAGGGGCCATGGTGTGTGACACACAGAGGGATGTGGCGTGGGTGGTATTCTAGCAACGTGTCGGTTTGATAATACAACATCGGGGTTCCCTCCATGGGGCTGGCTGCGTTGAGGATCCTGATGCAGCTGAGTAAAGCATTCGCGACTTTGCTCTGATTCATATTGAAGTTGAAAGATAGAGTGACGGTTGAGATCGAGCTGAAGGCCTCGCTGGAGATGTATGGATCGGCGATATTTTCATCCCTGTGGTACAGGATCATTCCCAAAAAGATTCCTCTTTCCACAAATGCCTGAACCACCGAGGCAGCAAATGCAGCAGCCCCAACCTTGGCGGCAGTGCCATTGTCAGTGATCAAGTATCTTCGGTTGAGGACAACGACGGCAGGAAGGAAAGGTTTATAGTCTTTCGCCATGGCCGAAGACTGAACCACAGGGGCTATTGATGTAGAGTCAAGGATGAGAGGCATGTTGAGATATTATTTTTTTTTTCCAACACCGAAGTTGAGCTTGATATGGGCGACTTGATGACGAAGGGGACGATTCTCCCATGGGATGATATTGAGGGATCTTATATATTTTCGCCATGTATATATGCCGAAGTATAACCAGAGAGCCTCGTCTATACGACAGCTGAAAACAAGACTGATCCTCCTGCCACCCCTTCTATTTCGCCCGCCCGGATGCCGACATGCATCCCAGAAAAGGCCGATAAACACGTTGGCGATCTTTGAAACTAGCCGGCAAACTGAAAGGTACCGCTTTCTCATTTTTGTGAATATTAAAGTTGAGTAATCCAAGCTTATTTAGAAGATGACGAACGGATATCTCCATAGATCGCCCCCTTATCCTTATCTACCGCTTTATCATGCGGCGTGCTATTATCCATGTCGGCGGTGGTGTGCATAGACTTCGCGGGTCTAGACTGGGGGAAGTAAAAACGACATGAGGGCCGCCTGGTAGATCAGTATGTAATCTGCAACGCCCCTTTTTGAGACACTGATCATCTTGGAGATTGATTAGCACCCGACGGCAACTCAAACAGTGTTTCCCCTGAATAGCCATTGCTTAACCTAATAGCACGCGTTGACGTTTCGGGCAACGATTTCGGATATCTTCCACTCGAACAGGGTTTTATAGTTCCCGTTAGCTTTGAAGCCACTCTTTTCTGACTCGCGTACCGTAGTGTGCGGCCCCATTCGTTGTCATCCGCGGTGGATGCTGTCTTGCATCCATCTGCTGCATAGACTCGAGTTCATTGGAGCTTCGTTTTACGGTGAATTGGGATTTTCCTTAAGAGCCATTTTTATCACATATGGGCATATACGTCCAACTAAGAACTATACATGCTAGCAGCCAATATCACTTTGTTGAGGAAGGATTCTTTAACTTTCGGATCTCGGATATAAGGTAGGACCAACTTTGAGCTGATAGTGTGAGTTTCCCTGGTATGTATGACAGTTCAACTGTATAACAGGTGAGCCAGCCACGGCGTCTCGAAGGGGCGTGCTCCAGGCACCTTCAACAACACACTGTTTTAAACAAGCATTATGGGCCAGCGGATATCACGGCTAGTCTCCCCATCCATACTCCACAGCAACGCAAAATCATCCACGTAAGAGATCAGCCAATGAATAACAAAGTGCTATGCATCGATATTATGATGCAATGCTGGCGAGCACGTTGAGCCATGGTCGGTCCTCTGGTGGGAACCACCAGGCTGCATCCACGGTGGAAGCGAAGCTTGATTATTGCGATATTGCAACGTATCGGCATAGGCTAAGTCGGGGGTAGCCTGCAGTATGGAATAACAATATCCACAGACGAGTCCACTCCCATGGCTTGACAACTCGGCACTTCTCAGATATGCATGTCACTGCTTCCATGGGATCAGCAGAGGAAAATCAAACAGGGGAATGTATATAGAGAAGGGAAAAGCATGCGTTGATAGCCTGCACAAATAGGTAGTTCCTTGCGTAGGGAAGTACCACGTGATACACGTAATTTCAACCTAAACCTTCCTATATTGGTAAGTTTGCGCTGTTTGTATATAACCTTTGTTGCTGAATAATTGACCTCCGGCTTTATATTAATACCCTTCCGGCTGAGTAAAAATTATCTGACTAATATAGTCATGTGATTTTATTGTTATATATCTTGGCCCCGTGATATCTTGGAGTGACTAAGCGTTATTATTGCCTAACTGTTACAGACCACCTGCGGCGCAGCCCCAGGATATACACTCATTGGACGGGAGGATCACGGGCCAGACCTTGAGGGCACCAGTCACGTGACCAATAGCGATAGGACCGATAGGACGGGCTTGGCAGCTTCCTATCAATACTATCACAACAACCAATAGGAGTGATAGGAACCCCTTGGCGGAGAACTATCATACCTATCACTAGATATATACCATGTATATAAAGACGCTCATTACCTTAGAATCAAGAGTCTTATACTCGCGATCAAACCAGCTACAGTTTTACTATACTACTTAATATAAAGCACCATTCTAGTTGTCTTATACTATATTCACTAAATACCCCTTTGCCCATTAACGTAGGTTAACTTTGTCTTTATTGCTTATAAGGACCTTCAGCCTTTATCCGACCCAGGTACTAACTGAAGCCACACTTGGAACTAAGGGATAGTCTTACTATAGTATTCTATCTCGCCCTAGTACCAAGCCGTCTTCTATAATGACTTACCTCCAACCCAAGCTTTCCCTAAGACCTTCATACCTTCTGTCTTACGGCAGGTGTGAACCTCTGATCACCTTTAGGTAATCAAGGAGCGCCGTCAGCTTATGATATTGATCGCCCCGACTTCACGGTTACAAAGAGGCATAATCAATTTCGACTTGATAGAGCCCCAACTTCACGGTTACGAAGAGGCATAATCAATTTCAACTTGATAGAGCCCCAACTTCACAGTTACAAAGAGGTAAAAGTAATTCCAACTTACTAGAGCCACCATACTATCATAGATACTCCAACCCGAGTGACTTACGATTATATATTAAGAAGGACAAAACTAGGTACGTATCACCCTACCCCTGAGAGTATACTAACTACAGGAATATACCAAAGCAAGACGAGCCAATATGTCATCAGCAAGTGGACCAACCACCAACACCAACGCCTTGTTAGGGCAAATGCGGCAGAAAATCATCGAGTTGGAAAAAAGAGTCGAAGAGCAACCCAACGATGAGCAGCTGGATGAGACCAACAAAATGGCTATATTCGAACAAGGACTCAAACCAGAAACCCAATACGAAACCATTAAGATGGGACCATACAACAGTTTCGAACGAATGGTTGAAATGGCAGTACACATCGACAATCAACTCTACAACCTACGAAACATACGACAAGGGAAAAACACTTTTTGGAAAGGAAACAGTTACAAAGGATCGAACAAACGCAATGATTACGGCACCACACCCATGGAATTGGATGCTACTGAAAAACGACCTTACAACACTGAGAAAAGCAAAAGATGCAGGGACAAGAAGTTGTGTTTCTACTGCGAGAAACCCGGACATATTGCAAAAGACTGCAGAAAGAAACAAGGGGATACTAAGAAACACCTCAACGCTACCACTACATCTAAGACTAGTAGCAACGAGAAGGAGCAAGGTAGAGGAGGCTACCAAGACTCACAGAACATCAGATAATACCTTAGGGCAACCAGTAAGAGACCTACTCTGATACGACAGAACGCAGTTATAGGGTATGAATCAAGTTCTAACAGACTCACGGAGGAAGAATACCAAAGACTCCTAAGATGCCAAACCAACAGAATCACAACAGAACAGCACAACGATCTATTACAACAAGAATTACAAACACTAGAAAAACACAAACGAACCGTCACAGAAAGATTGGAACTACCAACAGACGTCAAACACAACTTAACGACAGGGCCAACCAAGGAATTGTGACACCAGGACAAACAGACTCAGAAGGAGAAACCAAATCAGAATACGAGGATACGCAGGAAACAAATAACTGGGAAAACGAAGCACCACGGATAATGTTCAAAGATAGTTATAAATAACTAAAGGAACAAAGAGAGAAATGCGATAACCAGATACTTGATGAACACTGGACAGTGTGCAAAGAGAAAGAACTATACTTCAGATACAATAAGGAAAAACAGACAGAAGTCAGAGACCCTAGGCACCCATGCCACGATGAATACAGGTGGGACTGCCACTACAAATACCACATCTTTAAGGAAATATAGAAATCAGGATGAAGAATTCACTACAAAAACTATATGAAATGTCCATTGTGCAGAGATAGCAAGAACATCTACTAGAGGTATTGTATAGACAAGGAGTGTCTGATACACATTAATAAATACTTAGGATGGATAGATGGAAAAAGTGTCAATATAACGGACCAAGAAAACATAACGCCACACAAACGACTGGAAGTCTTATACTAGAAAACAGGCAAACAAATCACTATGCAGTATAAAGGACATACCACACAGTTCAAAGGAAAAGCGGCAACCAGATATTGGTTAAAGACGACACGACACTTACAAAAACAACTATAGCTCCAAGAGAGTCAAAAGAACCAAGCAACACAGACAACGGAGTACCCAAACGAGGACTCAACAGACGAACTCAGTTAGGAAGAACTGAATAAGGAAATTCAGGCTTTAACTAGTACTAAAGGACTGTACGACAGAACTCATGATCAATAAACCAAGACGATAGGAAACGGACAATTTCGACAGTCTACAGGACTTAAAACAGGCAGAAGTCTAGCTGCGACAAGAGGAAAGAATTACTTGGCGATAGTAGTCCAATTGGCAGGGCTAAACACGCGAGCACTGATCAATTCAGAAGCTACTAGAAACTTCATAGATCTGGAATTTATAAAACAGTCAGGGATTTATATCCAAGCAAAGAAGGAACCATACGAACTGGGAGGTCTTAACAAAGACTAGAAACAAATCATCAACAAAGAAGCCAGAGGTATGAAGATACACATCAAAGGATAGTACAAGGGAACAGAATGTTTCGACGTGACAAGCCTAAGGAGTTACGACATTGTCTTGGGACACCCTTGATTAGCAAAACACAACCCAACTATTAACTAGAGAGACAGCACATTGTGACTAGATGGTGGAAACCGCCGCTCTGACCAGAAGACTGATACCCTTACGGCCACCCACACCAAAAGAAGGGATCGAGGTCAGATACTGGGCAAGACACCCCAGATCAAAACGGGAACGACAGGAACTGCAAACGATCAATCAACAAAGAAGCAGGAAACGGTTCACCAAACGGAGAAAGCTACTGAAATGGACAAACTACAGCAACAGATACCAAGAGAATATCACGACCTAATCAAGGTATTCAGAGAATGAGAACCATTAGAAAGCTTGCCGGAACATCAGGCATGGGATCATGAGATACCCCTAGTGGAAGGGAAGACGCCTATATATAAAC